TAATATTATAATTATTCCAAAATATATACCTTCTAAAATCTGTTCATCAGCCATGTAATCAAAATCATCGATATTATTATGGCTGTTAATGCTATCAGCAGTAAGATCAACCTGCTCATTATTAGCATCATAAAATATTTCTTCTGTACAGCGATTAATAACAATTGATTCAATAAAAAAAAAGAGTTTTCAGAGATGGTTCATTAGTTTAAATACTTTATTAATTATAATATATCATTTTGCTATAATAATGTAAACTTTGCATACCTTCTTCTACAACAATGGATTGCTCATCAATTTGCTTGTGAGCACGAGCAGTATGCCTATGCACTACTAAGTATCCTAGCTCAGTAGTAGAGCATGTTGAGCATCTACATTCTCTTTGGTCTTTACTTAACGAGTTGTACATGTTAACATAAAGAGAAAAAAAGGTTATAATATTAAATTAAAAATATTAATCAGATCAAGGTAATATATAGGCAAATAATTATTAACTTTTAAGTTAGTTCAATTTCAAACGCTTCCTGTTATGACTGTAGTTGTATTTACAACTAAGTTAATAGAAATAAACTATAATTTATTAAATAATGAAGAAGCTATTCAAATAAAATTAGTGTATTGTACTTCAAGGCATTGCATTCATTCAACATTCAGTTTTAATAATAGTCATGGTTATAGTATTCAAGTATTAATAATAGTTACATGCATTATATTATGTAACAATAAGATTTCAATAGGATTATGACTGTTATATTCAATTACATAATTATTTATACAAGTCATACATATTATATATACAACTACAATGTTGAATATTGTGATTTAATAACACTTTAGAGAATGATCATAATAGTAGCATATAAATAATTGGTATTGGTTATAGCTGGAATATTCAATGTGAATTAGTATCAACGCGTTACTTACTTCAAAAATAATAATTTAAAATATTTCATTTCTAGTAACAGCAATAGCTCAGGGAGAATAAAGATAAAAATATATCTTATTGTTAAGCAGAATTATTCAGAGATAATGTTTATGTATAATGCTTTATAATACCAGCAATCATTTTTCCAAGTCATATTTTTATTAATATCACTTACCTTGCAAAAAAAAAAAAAAAAAAAAAAAAAAAAAAAACAGATAAATAGCCATTGTCATTTTTTCATATTATTTTTTCTTTTGTACAGTTTTTATATTGTTTTTCTTTCAAGGTTTTCACAAATTTGTCTTTTCTAATTTCTAGTTCCTTATCTTTTGCATCCAAAGCACTTTCCGTCTGTATTTAAATTTAGCATGCACTAAAAAAAAAATTGTAACAGTAAACGCTTACGTTTTTTATTTCTTTTAATTTCAAAATAAAATTATAACATCTACTCGCAATGAATTAACAACGACTTCACACATTGTAATTAACTAACAATGACTTAAAGCTACCTATCACCAATCAATCTGTGCTTTAATGTTTTTTATTCAATTTATAATTAACAATGGAACGATTTTATTATAAATTGCTAAAATGTTTAAATAGAATTTAGGATGCAAAAAAATTACATTATAAAAAGTAGAAAAGATAAATCAGTTAAGAATATTATAGTAATACTAGCAAGTCATTTCAATTAAAGAATCCATTTTATAAATGTAAGAGAATTACTCAATGGGACAGTTGTCATCAGGCATTAGCAACAATCTTATTTGCAAATTTAACCATTGCGATGTCTTTTTGTATAGTCTATAACTTTTATTTATTTATTTTTTATTTTAAATATAAATAAATTATATTTCTTATAGACGCATTATTATGTTCAAAGCTTTAACGAATTTATTTAAAACGTCTTTCAGCAAATTAATAGAAAAAATATTCACCTTTATTGTTGAAACTTTTTAATGTACTTTAAATGCTCATATAACATGCGTATGCCCTCTTCTAAAATTGAATAGAATATATTTTATAACAAAAATAGGTACGCATACTTCACGACTTTGTTAAAAAAAAAAAGTAACAAGATTAAAAAAAATTATCACTATGCATATTTAGCCAATCACAATTATTGAAGGGATTATCAATAAAATTCAATTTCATTCTCAATAAAAAAAATATGTAAACCCCAGAAATTTGCATTGCATGTAAGCGAAAAGTAAACTTTCAAATGATAATAACTCGATGAATTCTTGACCAAATAAGATAAAATAAATACATTCTGAATCAGAAAAAATGTCGCTTTCAGAAGATATAATTTTTTTTAATTTATTCCAACTTTTCGAAAATTCTTGTAAAAGGTCACCTTTTACAATTGTGAAAGGTCTACTTTTACAAACATTTAACAATTGTGAAAATAGACTTTATCTGCAGTGGTCTAAAGTTTTACTCTTTTGTATCTCAAGAAGTCAAGAAACGACACAAATGTATAAGGAGCTATGGCCCAATGGATAAGGCGTCTGACTACGAATCAGGAGATTCCAGGTTCGACCCCTGGTAGCTTCGAATCATCATTTTTTTATATTTTTTACTTACATCTGGTATATTTTTTTATGGTCTATCCAAAAAAAAAAGGTATTGCGATATAATGACAAAAAGACAACTCAAAAGATACAATATCATAAACAAATATGCAAACCTGTCTCAGCTCCTACTTCTTCTTTTTTTTATTTATTCTTTTAATATTTAATAAGACACAATATATAGTTACACTAAGTATCAGTATTCACTCTATTCTATAATAGATGACTGTTGAAACCACTGTTGTTTCGCTATAAAGAACATAACACTAATAATGATATTTTTTAAAGGCATTATTATATTTAATTATGGAACCAATAAGAAATAGATGTATATTAATTTTTAATTTCTATGAAATAAATGCTGTCTATTCTACTAATTATTATACGATAAAATATTATACGGTTGATTGATTATTACGTTCGTTTAATTTTCATATAACAGTTCTTGTGATTGTATTTTGATTTTTATATATTACAAAATAGCGGTTGAATTGCCTATTCATATTACTATTATTTTATGTAACCAAATTATAGCTACAAAAGATTACTGTGTTTCTGATTCAAGTTAATTAGGTGGCTAAGCGAGATATAAATTCAGAATTCTATACTTTTCAACTATTCATAAAACATATTGTTGATTCATCGCTTTTTAGTTTCACGGGTTATCTTTCTTATATTTTAGACCTCTTATCCATCGTGTTAATATATATATATATATATAAAAGGAGGAGGGGGAGAGGAGATAGTAGTCTTGTTGTGATATAATAGATCTTTTCTTTTTTTTTGTCAAAGATACAGTTTCTAGTATTATGAATGTTTATTAGAATATTATTAGAAGATGTCTGTAAAAACTTTCTCAGTGTTTATTAAATAAACTAATAAAAATAATTAAAGATGCATGCAGAAGAAAATTAACAATTGTTAGTGTTGTATAAAGATTAGCTATGTCGTTTAATGATGAAGCTAACGTCTATCAAAAAAATTATATTTTTGTACATATTGTTCGAAAATAATAATAATATAACGTTAACAGAATAGGAAGCCCTCATTTTTGATGAACTATTTATAACTTAAATCACAATATACTGCATAACAATAATTTCACTAAACTTATTTTCAGCAGCAATGCCCGTCAAGCATAGAATATAATTACATTCTTCGGTTTATTTTGTATTAATAATCATTCTCTTTTAAATGAATAACATAACGTATGGTGTTTATCATAAATGGTAATTAATCATAACTCTAATAGTTAGCTGAAAAAGAGAATAAAATGAATAAAATCTCTTCTCCTATTTACTAATTATATTAATAATTCAGAATAGTACAAGTTTTCATATCTAAATAGTTAGAGTATGTAAGTAAACATGTGAATTACCTATTAGCTGTAAGTAACCCCGCTATTCTAACTGCTGCATGCTATCAAATATACCATTGTAGAATGTAAAATTTATTGTGAACATATTGAAAAGCTTAGTTCCAATGTTAAGCTTTTCTTAAACATTATTTGATATTGTTATAATGCATGCATTAGTTTTCTACATATCGCCGATAGTAGTAAATATTATTTATTATTACTGCTTATAATACTGATAGCCATCATTACTACCGCGAAACAAAATTAATAATTATTGCAAAGTTCTGGAAATAAAAAAAAACAAAAAAAAAAAAAACGTTAAGATGAAACTGATTAAAATGATAGTCTTTTTTTTTTTTTTTTTATGATGTAAAATTACAGATATGTCCTTATTCTCTTATTTTTTTTATTTTTTATTTTTTTGTTGCTATCGTTTTAAATGTTACATTTTTTAACTCAAAAATTACTTTTATATTCTGGTTGTGCAATACCGTCGATTATATTTTTTCTTCTCACTAAGAATCAAAATATTAAACATGTTAATAGCAGTCCTCCTGACTGGCTATTAATACTTATCGGTTTTAGTGAAGTCTTTATACCCATCGCTTATAATGCATATGGATCTGTCCTAGATCGTGTCATTGTTGCTGTCATGGCTGTTGTGATGACGTCTGGCATGTTCATCTATATTCATAATCGGCATCAAACTCCGGAAGGTGAAGAAATTCATCCCTTTTATGAGATTTTGGCTAATTGGAATCAGTCAGCAACAAAAGCAGTTGAGTCAGTAACTGAAAAGAAAGATAAAAAAGATGAAACTTCACTTTCACAAATCCGGTTAGATGCCTTTAAATTTCTTCTTCGTGCTATTGCTTATACAATTATTTATATACCAGTCTTTTCAACCATGGATGGATTTGTACGTACCTGTCAGGAACCACCAGAAGTTTTTACCAATAGTCCCTACCTATATCGATTATTCAAAGCACCTATCCCACTAGCTTCTATTATGTATTATATCTGGCTTGGGATTACCTTTACCCTTCATATTGCTTTAATTCCCCTTGTTCATCTTTTGACACATGCTATTCAGCTTAATATTATTGCTTGGATGCCCACAGTAAATCATAAAATATTAAGAAGACTTCATCGTGAATTAGCTAATTTTGTAGCTCAGCCTCCTTTGTTTAATAAACCTTGGTTAACACGATCTGTGTATGATCTTTGGTCTCGTCGTTGGCATCAAATCTTTAGACCTGGTTTCCATCAAATAGCTTATAATCCTATTCGCCGTTTATTTGGTAAGGAGCATAAAGTATTAGGACGATTGATAGGTACAATTGCTGTGTTTGCTTGTTCTGGTGCTATGCATGATTATATTATGCTCGTTATGCTTGGCTATAGTAATTGGAAAGCACCTGGCATGTTAGGATATCAAACTCTTTTCTTTTTCTTACAATCATTAGCAACCATCGTTTCCGCTATTAGTCCGAAATTACCTTCATGGCTAGCTCGTACCTTAACATGGCTTTGGGTGCTCTATACTGCACCCTTCTTTGTTGAACCTTATATTCGTATTGGTTTACATAAATATGTCCAAGTACCTGGCTTTCCTAAATTTATGGATGAGCCAATACGTGCTATTTGCCCTTATGGTCCTCGTGAGTTCCTTCAGTAAAATGAGCATAAAATAAATTTAGACATTTATACACTCTATCTTTTATTATTATTATTTCCTTACATTTTTATATGCATACATATCTATAATCACATTCAACAATGTGAATAATATACAAAATAGACCCTCCCCTTCCCTTTTCTTTCTTTTTTTTTTTTTTTTTTTTTTTTTTTTTTTTTTCTATCTTCAAGTAACTGTAGAGAAGATGTATTGCAATACTACTGTTCATTTGAATAGCAGTAAGGTTAATTTTTAAAAAATTACATAATAAAAAATGATCAACTCCATCAAAATAATACAATAGGATGATTCTAGCAACAACAATAATAAATGTATATAAATCCTTACGTAATGAAATAGGTCTGTGTTCTCAGAGAATACTATTTACGAACTCCGATTTATTCATTTATTTTTACGGGCTACCAACTTCTCTTTTTTTTTTCTTTTTCCTCCCCCACACACACACATTAATATAAATATATATTAACATGGAGTTTATGAGCGCATTAGGTTCACAAGAGGACACTTATCGTCCTTCCTTGTTTGAACTTGTTGCTCAGGAAAAATTAAAAGAATTATTACAACCTGCTGTGCAATACATTTTAGCCGTATGTTATCTATTTTAATTGAGTTGACATTTTTAAATCCTGATGATCATTTATAGATTTATGCTCAAAGATACCCACGCTTATTATTAAAAATTGTAAATAATCATGAAGAATTTTATGCTTTGTTAATGTTACTCATAGAACGACATTACTTGAAAGAATGGGGTACATTTATAATAGAGTAAAAAAAAAAAAAGTTAATTTCAAGATTAACTTTAGTTCGAGTATAGGAGGCTCATTTGCAGAAAATTTTTATGGTTTAAAACGAGTATCGATAAAACAAATCGATAGTATTAAACTTGCTTCGCATGTCAAATTACAAAATTCTATCCCCTTAAGCAACCGTGAAATTAGTCAATCACTTTTAGTACTTGTTGGTTTACCCTATGTGAAGTGTCGACTTGATTTATTATATCAACAGATATCTGGCAGATCCATCTTGGGGGATGAGCAAGAAGAGATAGAGAATGAACAGTTAAATGATCCTACTATACTGAAGAAGCAAAAAATGATGATTCGATTAAAGAGACTATTCAAAAGAGTCTATCCGATTCTTAATTTTCTTTATTACGGATCAAATTTAGCATATAATATTGCATATTTGTTTGGGAAAACGAGGTATTATACACCTTGGTTGCATTTATTAGGACTAGAAGTGAAGCGTATGAGTATGCATGATTATGTAAGTTATTTATCATAGACACTATTCTTTTTTTTTATTTTTTCTTTTGTTAACCTATTTTTATAGCGTGCTCATTATGATAAGTCGAGTAATGGATCAATTAGTCAACAGCCATTTTCACTAGTAAAAAATCCTGTAGGAGCAATTTCTATAATATTCAGTAAAGTCATTGAGTTTTTAAAGGTATTGTTACCTATGTCTATATTCTTTTTCAAATTTCTGGAATGGTGGTATTCTTCTGAATTCTCAAGAGGCGGATCAAAACATGGTCAAGAAGGTGAAAATACGATTCCACCTCCTGAAAAAATTAAGGTAAAGAAAATAATAATATAAGAATCAATTGCATTTTGATTTATATAAATACATCTATTTTCGTTATAGCCCGATTCACGAGGTGTAAAGGTGCCTAATACGGCTAACACATGTCCATTATGCCTTATAAATCCTATCAATAATCCTACAGCATTACCTTCTGGTTATGTATTTTGCTACACTTGTGCTTATCATTATGTTGAAGAGTATGGTAGATGTCCTGTTACTTGGATAAAAGTAAATAAGGACGCTGAGAACTTGACAAAACTATATGCGGACGTTATATAATTAAAACTAAAGAGAAATGCCATTTTTAATTGGCCAAAGGCAAATAATTTAACGTCATTTTAACTTTTTTTTTTTTTTTTTTTTTTTTTTTTTTTTTTTTTTTTGGCATTTTTTATTTTATTTTTATTTTTATTTTTTTTTTCTTTAAGAAACTTTATAAAAAAAAATGACATTTATTCAAAGATTTACAGACTCTGTGAGTCAATTCTTGGAAAAGCATCCTCATACAGCTCAACTTACTTTAACTGCAATTGCAGCCTCAGCATTAACTGCAACTAGCATTCTTACCTATCAGAGCAATCAACGTAGATCCAGAGCTAAAACCTTAAAAGATGAATTAAAAGAAGCAGAACTTAAGAATACAATCGATTTAACACCTATGGGTACTGCAGCCATCCCTTATAATGAGGAACTTATTCAAGAACAATTAAGTAAAAATACAGCCTTTTTGGGAGAGGAAGGAACACACAAGCTTCGTGAATCATTTGTGATTGTCGTAGGTGCAGGTGGTGTAGGCTCCTGGGCAGCACTCATGTTATTACGCTCAGGTGTCAAACGTATTCGTATTATCGATTTTGACCAAGTTACACTGAGTAGTTTAAATCGTCATGCAGTAGCTACACTTGAAGATGTCGGTACTCCCAAAGTTAGATGCATTAAGAAACACTTTAAACAAATTGCACCTTTTGTTGAAGTGGAAGATTGTGTTGATTTATTAAATGCCGATAATGTTGATGAGTTACTTGGAGGTAATTAACTTTTTTTTTTTTTTTTTTTTTTTTTTTTTTTTTTTTTTTTTTAAAAGGGGGAAAGAAAAGGAAAATTTATATGTTTATACTTTAGGAAACCCTAATTATGTAATTGATGCTATTGATAACATCAATACCAAAATTGATTTAATTAAATACTGCTATGATAAAAAATTACCTATAATTAGCTCAATGGGCGCAGGAGCAAAAGCTGATCCATCACGTATTCAAATTGCTGATATTAGTGAAACATTTGGTAAAGAGGAATCCTATTATGTAAAATATGTAAGCTCACAATTAATAAATATATACAGAGGATCCACTCGCGCGTGCAGTAAGACAAAGATTGAAGAAACTTGGCATTGTTAAAGGTGTTCAAGTTGCTTATTCTACAGAGAAGCCTCATCATGTTAAGTTACTACCCTTAGGTAATCATAATCAATTTTAGGTTTTTTTTTTTTTTTTTTTTTTTTTTTTTTTTTTTTTTGAATAATGTATTTACGTATTTATTTATAGAGGAAGAGAAGGTCGAGGATAGAGAAGAGTTTGCAGCATTACCTGATTTTAGAGCACGTATTCTACCTGTATTAGGCACTCTTCCCAGTATGTTTGGCATGTCTATTGCATCATATATTATTTTACGTTTATCTGAATATCCTGACTTTGATCCACTTCCTGTCAAGTTAAGAGAAGGCCTTTATGTCCGTGTTCATCGAGAATTATTATCAAGAGAATCAAAAAAATATAAACAAAAGTAAAAAAAAAAAAGGAGATATCGAGAAATACAAATACATACAAGAATATTAATTACTATTTGGTTTTTTATTTTAGAGTCTGTACTTTGGATGCAAAGGATGTAGCATATATTTTTGAAGAAATGTGGCATGGAAAGAGTGTTATTTCAGGACCTAATGATAAATTAGCACTCACAAGATGGGATAGATCAAAACCAATTGATTATTTCAATACAGTATGCATGACAAGGCTAGAAGCTAACACACATGATGAATTACCTGAAGATACAAACTTGGAAGAATATTATGGTAAAGAAGTATATGATCGTGTTATGAACCGTTTTGAAAAAGAAAGACAAATTCAGAATATTTGGAATAACGTGTTATAAACCATTTTATGATATAAAATTATTAATAATAAGACAAGAACTTTCTTCTTTTTAAAATGTTAGTGACTATTTCGTTTTATGATATGTATGAAGCATACATAGTAAAAACGAACGCAAAACAATATTGAATCCATTATTTCTTTTAGAATGTTATGAAGCTAACGATATAAATATATATTTATATGTATTGTTGATATATTACATAAAAGAACTTCCATGACTTATATATCAAGATGAATAGATTTGTTACCACTATAATTATAAACAAATAGACAATAAGTTATCATTATTATTAGTCAAGGACAGCGTTTACAGCAAATTAAGGCTTAAAGACTACTAACTTGGATATATTATTATGATTGCTTATTCTTATCTTTTCATACAATAATGCATACTTTTCTATGAAAAAAAAAAAGTTCAAGTAACGTGATTACACATCATATATTCCTAAGGAAGAAAAAAAACTATTATAATACACTAACAAATAGTTGAGATGTTCAAGATACATCAATTGAAAATATCAATTAAACCTACTTCTTTTAAATGATATTCTATATAATGACAATCTTGAAACAGCCTCCAGTCCCTTGAAGGTTATTTCAGTTTCTCAAGTTATAAATGCATTCTGCACAAGAGTCTAAAATAAATACTATGAATCGAACAACTATTAGTCTTGTAATTCAAGCCTTCATTTCAAAAAAAAAAAAAAAAAAAATAGTTCTCCTTTTTTTCTGTTGGTCTACTAGTATCTTTTCTCCTTTTATGATGATAACTGGGATAAGCAGACATTCAGATCTATTGTATAAAATACCTTTATTATACTGTATTAATGCTATTTTATATACGTAAATATATACAAATATACATGTATAAAATAAGCTTGCACGAAATAATATAAATATTTGTATCTTAATAATAATCAGTGCCACGATGATCATTATATCAGCGCTGTATTCTTTCTTTCTTTTTTTTTTTTTTTTTTTTTTTTTTTTTTTTTTTTTTTTTTTTTTTTTTTTAAATCAATGAGAATTTTTTTATTTCTAAAAGAAGACATTTGGATTCAAAAAAAGTATCTGTGTGAGCAATTGTAACGAATTAACAATATCACGCCTTTCATTTAAATATCATTCATTGATTCCTCTTTTCTCTCTCTTTCTCTCTTTCGTTTTCTTTTTCTCTTTATTTATTTTACAATACAACATGGAGAAAGAAGAAGAAGAATATATTCACAGAGATGTCATCAGTACTTCTCAGGATGGGCGAACCTCAAATGATGATTTCAGAGATAAACCAGACAATGATAAACAATTTATTGTTAGATCACCTGAAGAGAAAGCCTTTATTCGTAAATTAAATTGGACACTTTTACCTTTAGTTTTTCTTGTTATCTTTATTCAAGTAATATCACAATAATGGATAAGAATAACGACTAAAAAAAAAAAAAAAAAAAAAAAAAAAAAAAAAAAAAAACAAAAAAAAAAATTGTTATTTTGTAGTTTTGTGATAAATCTGCACTAAGTGTAGCAGCGGTACTTGGCATCATGGAAGATGCACATCTATCTGGAAGTCAATTCAGTTGGTTAGGCTCTATTTTTTATCTAGGCTATTTGATTTGTCAGGTACAAAAAAAAAAAAAAAAAAAAAAAGAGATCTTAGCTACTGTAGCATAATTATGTAATCCTTCTCTTATACACACACACACATATATATATATATATTTATGCATATATACAGGTACCCAATAACTATTTAATTCAAAGATTACCTATTAGTCGTTACCTTGGTTCTGTTTTAATTATTTGGGGTGTTGTAATGGGGCTGACTGCAGCTTGTAACTCATTTGGTCAATTACTTGGACTCAGGTTTTTATTAGGTTTATTTGAAGGAGTCACTTATCCTTGTATTTATATTATCATGAATACACTCTATCGTAAATCAGAACAATCAAGATGCTGGGGATTTCTTGGCGTTAGCACTGGTATGGGCACTGTTTTTGGTGTCCTTGTTGCTTATGGCTTAGCTCAATTGGATGGTGTTGCTGGTTTTCGTGCCTGGCGTTGGTAAAAGAGAATTAAAAGCATAGTTTATTCTTTTAATTTAACATACATACATATATATATTATAAGGGGATATATTGTATTTGGTATAGGAACAGTTCTTATTGGTATCTTGGTATTTTTCTTTTTAATTGATAATCCTCATCATAAATTACTAAGATTAAATGAAAAAGAAAAAGAAATAGTGGAAGAAAGAACTAATGATAATAATGTCGTCAGAAGCAAGAAGATTAAAAAAGAGCAAATATGGGAAGCGATTAGAGAACCTCGTTTATGGCTAGTATTCCTTGTCAATATTTTAAATAGTGCACAGAATGGAGGGCTGGTTACATTTAGTACATTATTAGTAGAGGGACTTGGTTTTACGGTAAAATAATATATATCATATTACATACATACATACATACATATGTTTGTATATATATATATCTTATGTACTTCTTTAGCCAATTACTTCTATCATTCTTCAAATTCCAAATGGTGTTGCTGCTGCACTTTTTGCTATGGGATCAGTGTTAATTGCTCATCGAATCAAACAAAATTGCCTAACTGCTATCTTTATGGCCTATATTTCCTTCTTAGGCTGTATCCTTATGGCCACTATTCCAGGAAGACCTAAAATCCTTGGCTTCTATCTCAGTTGGTCAATGACAGGCGTTAATGCACTTGTGCAAACATTAGTTTCCAACAATGTATCAGGCTATACAAAAAAGGTCTTCTATAATGGCGTTATTATGGTAGCAATGACGATTGGCAATTTTGTTGGCCCTCTTGTGATGACTGAGGATCAAGCTCCCAAATACATAGGTGCTATGTTTGGATACGGAGCATCTAATCTAGTTATTATTGCTTGTATTATCCTTCTTTATATATTAATGAGACGACAAAATATTTACAGATTAGCGAATCCGTATGTTGAGAAGCCAAGTGTTTATTTGGATTTAACGGATAAAGAAGATAAAACAATTATTTACAAGCTATAAAACTATTATCAACTTTTTATGTTTGCTTTATATATGACATTAAATGTCTATTAAAAGAGTACACACACACACACACTATATCTACTATACCATGATCTTATCTTCATGTCAAATAATAACGATTCCGTTATACTTTATATTTATTATAAATTCGTTTATTTTTGATAACCATGTTTTACCAAACTACACATTCTCATTTCTATTTTAATGCCTATATAACTCCAAGATAATAGATACAAAAAGGTGTTCTAAATTCGAATAAACTGAATGCATAATAGAGTCTCTACACATATATTTATTTATACTTTAACTTTAGGAGGTAAAACTAAACGTTGGTTTCTTTTCCAGAATTCTACTAAACAACTTGCAGTCTTTAAAGATGCATCCTCCTGCAAAAAATGACCTGCATCAGGAAAGATATTTAATTGAAATTTACCTATCATATTCAAATAACAATAAGACTTTTTTTTTATAACTTATTCATGTATATTATTAGCCTACCTTGCATTTGAGCTATAGTTAATGGTTTATCTAATCTATCTGTTCCCGCTAATAACAACAATTTTGCAGTGCCTGAATTTAAAAACTTTTCGCTTAATCCTTGAAACCATTCAGACCAAAAAGGCTGTGTCTTTATTAAATCCGTAATCCATTTCAATTTATTACTTGAAGTAGGTTCAAGTAATGCTGGGATAGAAAGAGACGCAGACTCCTTGCAACGTACAGTATCTGTCCGAAGACTTATTATTATTATTAAATGTTAATAGTTATCAGAACAAATTTCAGAAGCTTACCTCCATTCAATTGCTTGTTCATATGAATCAAATGTCTTTGGTCTTGAATGTAAAACTTTAGTCATAGACGTCAATGCATCCATAGCAGAGCCTTCAACAACATCTAGTATAGCAATTCCTGTAATATTTTTTATCTTTTTTTGATAAGCTGTGTTAGCAACAACAGAGCCACCCATACTATTCCATTAAAGAAAAAAAAAAAAAGGGAAATTATTAAGCAAAGATACTCTTCTCATCTTCCCCTTCTCTCTCCCCCCTTTTTTTTTTCTTCACACACACACACACACACACACACACCTATGGCCAACAAGAATAATATCCTGATCCTCATGAATCGTTTCTTTTATAATATGCATCAAATCCATGGTTAATGTATCTAAAGAAAAATCGCTATCGAAAACAGTCGTTTTAGATGCACCATGACCACGACAATCAAAAGCAATAACACCACATTCTCCTTGAGTCAAGTCTTTGATATGTTTTGCTACTAAACCAAATGTTAAAGCAGAAGATCCAGCACCATGGTGCATAAAAAAGATAGGCCCATTTCTTTTGCTAGGATTATTTTTATAAATACGAAAGGTGTATGCTTACAGTTAAGGATATACAAATATATAAATATATAATACAACAATAATATTATTTGTAATAAAGGATATATCTTGTGTATTTGGAATTACAACATCTAAGCTTTCTTCAAAGTATTCATTCCATTGCCCTGGGGAATATTTACGACTAGAATGGTGTTGTCTTGTTTGTTGTTCATTAAAACTATTCATAAATGATAAATAAGCAAATGTAACCATTTTATTAATTCTTCTCTCTTTTTTCTTTTTACCCTTCTTCTCTCAAACTATCAAGAGATGGTAAGGCTGATTTTTTGAACATTTCTTTTTGTAATGATGACATGTTTATAAATTTAAGAAAATATAATTTAACAAAAACAGAAAGAAAACCGAAATAGAAAAAAAAAAAAACATATTTTATATTGAAGATAAAAAAAAAAGAAACGCATATAGACTTGACACAATTTTTTTTCTTTAAAAAAAAAAAAGAGAACCTGTTTACAAAACATTAACAATTTATAGTTTATTTTAATTGATCAATCTGGCTTATTTATCCTTAAAAATAATTCCAATTGTATAAGGTATACAATCATCTTTCATTCAATATACATGTGTATGCATGTGATTATTATGCTGAATATGTTTTTTTTTCCACATTATTTTTTTCTTGATTAAGTTTAATCTTTATTTGAATTGTTATTCTTAGGTTCTTCTTTCTTTTCATTGTCAAGCATCAGAGATGGATTTGGTAATGGACCTACTTCAGCTAAAAGTACATTGATTTTAGATTGTAGTAAATCGGCTTTAGCTTCAATTTCATTCATTAATTCTTCGGTATTTTCCATATCCTTCAACATTTTCTGTAAATCGAAATCTAAATTATCTGAAGCATCATCTGAATTAACAATAGTAGGTGTCATTATATATAGTTGAAATGTGTAAAAAAGAAAAAAAAAAGTATTGGATGTGTATAAAAGGCTATAACAGTATTTTTGTATGCGGAGAACTAACTTTATATAATTGTTAATGTTTAGACATAAGAATATAAAATAATAATAATAAAAAAAAAAAAATAATATGAGTTGCAAGATGATACAACTTCTAAGGTACGTTTAGTAGCTACTAGATCTAACCTATTTTCCATTCCTTGGGTTCAATCCCGACGACTGTATCTTAACCTACCTTATAAATATCCGATCTAATAGAAAATTCGCAAATGGATTACGCAGGAGGCCTAACGGTTGAGCGTTCTTTAGTTCCTAACCTCTCTAGCAACGAACACTACTTTAGTCTATCAAGCGATCATTTATCTCTCAATACCAACAGTCATTTGGACAAATAGCCAATTCTCATTAAAAGCTTACTGTATGAAGCTTTCCTATTCTCCTTCTGACTTCGTCATTTTTTTTTTTTTCTAAATAAGATACATGCTCATCATTCATATCAAATTACTACATCAAAGTTATTTCGAGTAGCTATTATCATGCACTTTTATGAACACTCTCACCTTCACAATATTAAATTTAGCAATTTATTTTGTCAAGTATCACCACCTATTATTAGACTTTATTGCCCCTCCCCTCCCTATTGTGGATTTGTTGACTCATCTAGAGCCTAACAATTCTATTCATATTCAAATCATTCAATTCCAGAGTTTTCTAAGTTAAGTTATTATATATATATATCTACTATTGAAGTAAGAGTCTCTCTTAAATCTTTTTATTGCTTGCTCTCTTGTGCTACAAGTGAGTATTCCTCCCAAAAAGAAAAAGAGAAGACAGTCACTATGGGCTAATGGGTCATCATCATCCTCAGCAATATTTGAAAACCACTGTCATTACAGATATGTATCATGTTTTTTATTTTACATTGTTTTCAAGAATAATAAGGCCACTTTGAATGTCTTCTTTGGCGCTTAAGAGCCATAATAGATCAAGTGACACTGACCCACATCAAAAAACTTGATGTCTAAATTATTAATTGTACGACACTCCTATAGTACTGGTTTTATTATAAAGTGCAACACTTTATTTGTATATAAAAAATATGTATTTTTTTTTTCTTGTGAAATTATTTTGACAGATAAGATTAGACAAGATATATAAAAATGTACAAAGAAAAAGAGAGTGAGAGAATGGATAAATGATAATAAATAAAGCAAAGAAAAAAAAAAGTGAAAATGAATCAGTCTATAATGAAGGTTTTTGATGACCGTATTTTTGAACAATGGCTTCGTAGCAAAAGAACATGATAGCAGCATTAGGAACAACTCTCATTAAATGAGCAGTCATACCACCATATAATGCAACGATACCTTCCTCTTTTACAACAAGACGCAAGCATTGAAATAGGCCGGTATATTTGTGTATGCCATTTTCTGCAGGTTGTCTAAGTCTTGTACGAATAACTTCATGTGGATAAGCAATACAGGCAGCCACAAATTTAGATGTGGCAGCTGCTCCTAAATGGCCTGCCCAATCTTGTATTGTTTTACCACCAATCAACTTTTGATGATCGTTCTTTGAGCTGCACCATTTCCTTTTCAAATTTTCATAAATAACCCATTGAATAGTACCCTCAATAACACCTAAATTATATATATTAATGTCTCTCCTTGCTACACTCTTTTTTTTTTTTTTCTTATTTACCTAAATAGGATGCACTCATCCCTTTATATAATCCACGGGCACCTTCTTCACGAAGAATTTGAGAAAGACATTCAAGACTATTACCATATTTTCGCATTCTATTATTGACTCCTTCTAACTGTAATCGTGTTTTAATCACCCAAATTGGATTTGTTGCTGTAGATGTAACAATGCCTAGAAATAAAATTAAATAAATACAATTTTCTTCAATTATCCCCTCTTTCATTTCTTTACCTGCAGTAGCCGCAGAAATTAAATGTACAGCAGTAGTTTCTTTCCCTTGATTTAATTCAGTAAAGAATTTCTTACCATTTCCATAGGTAAAGAAGTTAATTGATCTAGCAGGAATAACCCCAATAAGATTAGGCCCCAACCCTTTAAAATATCCTCTAAATCCTTCTATTTGCTTGATGCGCCTATATCGATTCAATATATATACATGTATCAGTTTACTTCTCTCTTTCTCTCTCTCTCTCTCTCTTTTTTTTTTTTTTTTTTTTTTTTTTTTTTTTTTTTTTTTCATTATTATTTTTCGTTTTACATTAACAGTTTCCCTGTTTCAATAAAATGTCCAAAAATCAATCCATGTCTATGAATACTAGGTTGCCTAAAAGTTTGTTGATAAAACGTTGACTTTATAGAATGAGAGTGATATTAGTAGATATACTTTTTTTTTTTTTTTTTTTTTTTTTTTTTTTTTTTTTTTTTTTTTTTTTTCAAGAGATTATCAAAAAAAAAAGACTTACTTGTAATCTAGTTTTTACGACATCTAAAGGCGATGTGCATACAGCTCCAGCAAGACCACCTACACTATACATTTATATTTAAGCCATTTTGCTTCCCTTTACTTTATTTATTAACCATCATACTTTACCCTCCTGCTATGAAATGGATATAAGATTTTGAATCCTTTAATTTTGGTCTTTCAATATTAGATAATTGATGAAGCGTAGTAGAGGTAGTAGTAGCTGTAGCAGTAATAGTAGTCATTGATGTAATTAAAATTGTCCTTTTTTTTTTTCTTTTTTTGATAAAAGGGAAAAAGAGGAAGGTATAATGAAAAAGACAAAAAAAAAAAAAAAAAGAGAAAGGGGTCCTTGAATACTTTTTTTTTTTTTTTTTTTTTTTTTTTTTTTTTTTTATATAATGTAATTATTTAGGGTCTCCGCCATTATAGTTGAATATGGATAAAAGCCGATTCCGAATATTCATAAAACAATAAAAATGATTGGTTTATTTCATACTTTGTACTTGCAATAGTTTTTTATTTAATTAAATTAGAGTCTCATAAGCAATGGGGGCAATAGTTTGGGGAACATTACCCTTGGTAGAGACATGACGAGCTTCACGAGGTTGAGCAGGGATTCTCTTAAGGTTAAAAGAAACTATACAAAAAAAGAAAAATGAATGTTCAATAATCTATACACATTAGTCTCTTTATATAATAACTCATCTATTTACCACCAGCAGCCTTAGCTTCCTTCTTCTTTTGAGCGTTAGCAGCAACACGATCCAAGAATTCTTGACGACACTTGGAGTGCTTAACATGTTCAACACGAACATTAACACGCTTTTCCATATAACGGTTACCAACTCTCTTGTGAACAATGACACCAACAGCAGACTTGGTGACGTTGTAAACAACACCAGTACGGCTATAGAATAGTATCTATTAATATCTATCTATCTACATAATAAAACGGTATGGAAACTTACCCATGGTAGAACTTGTGAGGCATACCCTTTTGGACAGCAGCATTGGCCTTGATATCAACAATGTCACCGACCTTATAGGTCTTCAAGTAAGTGGAGAGAGGAATAACACCATGTTCTCTGAAGTTACGAGAGAACATGTGGCGGGTACGAGCACGAACTAAAATAAATATAATATTTAGTTTTTTACATGTACATTTTTGGCATTATCTAAATTCAATACATACGACCAAATGAGTGAGGCATTTCTATAAAGTAAGGATAAGAAAAAAAAATAAAGAAAGAAAGAAAAAAAATAGTTAATGTACAGTTTGTTTAATTAACAATTATTCATTCCTCATTTTCAACATTAGAAAAAAAAAATTTTTTTTTTCTTTTTTCATTAACAAGACATAACAGACAAAATTCTACAGTTTGTTGAACCATAGGGAATTTCAAGTCATGGCTGAAAATGGGATATACTATTTATTTATTTTTTTTTATTTATTTTTTCAAATGATACATACTTATCTATTATTAAGCCTTTTCTGAAAGGTGAAAGCAGAAGAATGAAGTATATTACTTTCACACATATTTTTTTTTTTTTTTTTTTTTTGAACAATTCAAATTAATTTTTTTAGACCAATGGAAAACCATTATTTTAAGACAGGATATTATAATTAAGAGCTTGGTGAACAACAGAAGAGGACTAACTTATTCATCTTCCAAAAGTCGCTTAAAGCCATAATTCTACAAATGTTTTTCTCTTTGTCTTGTAAATTCTACTCATCTTCTTTCTTTTTTCAAAATTGATTAACTTGTATACATTATTTATTTATTTTTTTTTTTTGGCATCATCAACATTCTAGCTCCGGATTTTATAACAATTTATAATCTTTGAGAGAATAAAAGAAATCTTTGCGATTGCTATAAACTTGTAAAGTTATATATTCATTAAATATAATACGTATTCTCTACAGTGTTCCATATTACGCTATTCTTTGCTATAATTTTTTTTATCTAAAGCAATTAACAGCTAAATTATGTAATATCTCCCCTGCTGACAACCTCTATTACTACCCCGCCCCCTTTTCTTTTTCTTTTTCTTTTTCTTTTTTTTTTTTTTTTTCTTTTTTATATAGTTGATACAATGAATCGTGTGTTTTTATATAAGAAGTTTTGTCCAACTATAAACTTGGGTAATAATAGAAAAAAAAATAAAACAAAACAAAATTAGGGATTAATAAGCTGATTCTTATTTCGACAGAATGTGTTTTATATCGTTCTTACGCAATTATGAACCGTGCAAAGCATCGAGCTGGTATTCCTCTCATCAAATCAACCAATTCTTTAAAAACTTCAAAGCAACAAGTGCAAAAGAGTAATCAATCGTCTTTATTATCAAATACATTACGAGAACAATTGATCGAGCTCGATACTTCTGAACGCATCTCATCGACTTCAACCATTAAAAAACCCAAACTAAGGATGAGAAAACCAGCAGGTATTAATGAACGTTTAATTAAAGTACCGAAAATTATTGTACAGCCCAACAATCCACACCTATTGAAGGTAGCGCTTATTGGACCTGCTAATGCTGGGAAATCGACGTTAGTTAATAAGCTTATTGGTGAAGAGGTAAATCTACTATTATTTAAGAGAGAGAAAGAGAAAGGTTAATTCTTTTAATTAGATCTCAGGGGTTTCTCAAAAAGCACATACAACTCGAGAGAGGGTTGTAGGGATTCTTACAGAGAATGATTATCAGGTTGTTTTTTTAGATACACCTGGTGTTATTCCAGATCGTAATCATGCAAAAATGAATCGTACATTGGCAACTTCTTCATGGCGATCTTTAGATGAAGCAGATCACAGTAAATATCTGTATATATTCATTTATATGCATTTATAGTATTATAACGATTTTTTTTTTTGTTATATGTAGTTCTTGTTGTTGTTGATGCTCAACGATCTCTTCAACCACAGGCTCGTAAAGTCGAAGAATTTATATTAAAGCAATTACAAAATGTTCATATTCCAGCAACCTTGATATTTAACAAGGTAAGTTCAATGCTTATTTATCCATGTATATATTTAAAAGAGAAATTATTAATTTTTTTTTCCCCTTAAATAGATGGATCTGATAAATGAAGACAATGAGTTGTTAAAAGAAGTAAAAGATAGATATAACAGTGGTTATTCACATTTTAAAAGAACATTAGATATAACAGCTATTAACAACGAAGGGATAGAGACTATTAAGGTAGTTTTATTTTATTTTATTTTACTTGTAAAACTAGATTATCTATCTATCTATTTAACATTTCAAGTTATAGAACATATTATTTGAAGAATCTCCAGCAAAGCCTTGGATATTTCCAGCAGATCAAAAGACAGAAATGTCTGATTTAAAACGCGTAGAGGAAATAATTCGAATTGAACTTTTTAAGCGTTTACACCAATATCTTCCTTACATGTTAAAGCAGGAAAATGCTGGATGGACAGTCTTAAAGGATGGCACATTACGCATTGATCAACATGTATATGTAGAAAGAGATAGTCAACAAAAGATTGTGATTGGTCAAAATGGTCGTATTATCGACACCGTGATTGAAAAAGCAAGAAAACAAATCAGTCAAGCATTTAATAGACCCATAAAATTATTTATACAAGTTAAAACTAGAAAAAATAGTATCATTTCTCAAGGGTAATAATTTATTGTTTTGATGATAATAATTCATCTATTTTGGTCATGCCATCAAAGAATGATTGTCTATCCAATAATCCTTTTGGATCTGGTCCACACTCACGCCAAATACGGGCTAAATTTTCATTTGAAAGTTTGCTTTTTGACCAAATAAAATGTATAGTTTCTCCATCTACATAACCGTTATCTTGAATATCATCAAATAAAATATCATAACGATGCTTTGATGCATTATTATTTAAGCTACTTTTTGGGGGTCTAGAAGGTGGTGGTGGTGGTGGTGGTATCGATTTCTTTTTGCTTTTATCAGTGGTAATAGTACCTATAGTTGCAGTAACACTAGGAGGATTCTCTGAAGCTAGAACAGAGTGTGTAGTTGATTTAGTGTCATTCTCTTTATTGAGAGCAACTGAATTCAAACAAGTATTAGATTGCGGGGCTGTCCAATCTGTAGGAATGTTACTTTTTGATATTGGACTTGTTGCTGATCTACCTCTATTCATTAGAGCAGATGGATTTATATTATTGATTCGAGTAGGTAATTTAGGAATTGATTTAGGCTTTAAGTGAGTAATATTGATATCGCTATTAGATTTGGTATTTTGAAATGATGGCTTTTTGGCTGTAATAGGCGGGGGTGCAGCTGATTTTAAGATAGCTGAATTTTGATTCTTGGCATTATTTCTATTTAGTAGGACATCTATGGATGACATATCTGAAGGTTTAGGTCGAATAGGCGGAGGGTTTGATGCACTACGACTTTTTAACCTTTGAGGAAGTTTAGGCAGTGATGGTGAGGGTGATGTAATTTGAGGTTTTGGTTTTTGGATTTTAGGTGGCGTCTTTTCTGTTAATTTTTTAATAGGTGATACATCGGCAGCGTTCCTTACAGAATCATCCTTTGGGTTTTTGTCATGAATAGAACTAGATGAACTTTTACTAGTACGTGATCTTCGAGTAGCAAGAGATACAGGGCGTGAGGGTAAAGGTGGCATAGGATTATTAGAAACGCCAAGTGCATCTAGCTTTGAGCCTGCAGTAGATGACTTGGGATTATTATTTTCATTTGTCAAGAAAGGCTTTTTCGTAATAGAAGGTTTAGAAATGAATATAGGTGAACTAGATAATGTTAACGACTTTGATGCAAATGGTTTAGGGGAAGAGGATGATTGTTGTTTTTGACGAATTTGTGAAGGTTTTAATATTTGAAAGTCATCTTTTCCCCTGTTATTAAACTTCATGCTATTCATTCCCGCTAAGGCTACCCCATTGTCATTGTTAACTTGTTTTTTAAACGAATTTATACGAGTATTAGAAAGTGGTTTTGATGTGCTTTTACAAAGTGCAATCTCTAATGCATCTTTTGAGCTATTATTACTTCCATTTAATAATTGAGAAGGCTTCAAAGGATTCTCTGAGTTATCAACTGTGGACAAAGTTGAATAGGTCTTTAACCGAATAGATGAATTTCCCTGGTCATTTATCCCCACAGGCTTTAATTTTGATTTTTCTAAAGTTGAAGGATTATCATTTATTTTAACACTTGAACCAATAGTATCATTTTTGTTTATGGATGATATTGTCTTGGGTTTTATAGCAGGCGAACTTTGTTTAATATTATCTGAGGTAGGTGTTAATGGCTTCCATGCAGAGGGTAATTTAGTTGAATCCATTTTTCCATTTGACATTACTGCCTCAAAAGCATCTAATGCAGGAAATTTTGATAAAAGTAATGTGCTTTCTGTATTGTTCTCTACATCTTTTGAGTTCTCCTGCTGTTTCTTTTTATACACGTTTGTACTATTTCCATCATCTTCATCGAGTAATGCTTCAACGTAGTTGTATGGGAATAAGCCAATTTCTAAAGTGTTTTGTATTCTTCCCTTATACCAGCCTTCCTCCCCAGATTCTTCAACATCTACAAGAATGTCACCTTCTTTAAAAGACAATTCACCGCTCTCATCTGCAGAGCAGTCATAAAGTGCTCTCATTTTCTTTGCAACCATGTTTAAATTTAAATAATATGTGTATATCTATTTAAATGTCTACAAATGACTGTAAAATATCTGTTTATGTATAACCTTTTTTTCTTTCTTTTTTTATAAAAAAAGGTTTATTTCTATTTCTGAGTTTTAAGTTTATGAATGAAATTCTGTTTCATCTTCGAATCGGACTATCAATAAGATGGGACGTAGTTTCAGCTTGTTGTTATTGTTGTTGGAGAAAGAGTTGCACTTGAACTTATTCCTATTACAATAAACACATAAATAAACATGACAATATAAGCAAGTTTTTGAGTTTAACGAGCTTGAATAGAAAACAAAAAAAAAAAGAGGACTTATACTACTACAGTATGTCGTTGTTTTGTATCATAAAAATATAAAAGATAGTGTAATAAGCTCGCTAAAACTCAAAATAATTCATTGAAAAAAAAAAAAAAAAAAAAAAAAAAACAGCGATTGTAACAACCTCATTAATAAAAGCATTTTTGCACTCAATTATTGGATTCATTTCATCCATTGGTATAGTCAACTTACATATACGGGTTCCTAAAACATAGTTAAATATAAGACGAATTCAGGGCAGCAAGAAAAGAAAATTCCTAGACATAGTTTCCAGGAAAGAAAAAGCTACTATTTGAGACGTTGTTTAAACGAGATGAATAAGCGTGGTATTATGAAAAAGGATTTCATCTTATTATGGACAATGAGCCAATTCACCCTTCAAGATAAATAGAGGAGGTAGTTGAAATAGGGATACTGAATATGTTTATCTTCCTTTTTATTCGCTAGAGCACAGCCTAATTGAATAATTTGGAGTATCAGTTAAAGATAAAAATAAGCGTCATAAGCAGAAGGACACTGAGATTCTTGCAGCTAGAATTGCTGATACCTCCCATACCTGGATAATATTACACTTTTACAATTGCTTTTATTTGAACATCAGACTAAAAAGGGTTATGTTACTCCAATCCAGCAAGTTGGAGCATGGACCTATTTTGGAACTCAACAAAAATGTTTTCAAATTGACTGTAAAAAGTTGTTACATATCACTAATAAGTATACTTCAAGCTCGGTATATCTTCCACTCTTTATATTTCCTAGAGGACACTTTGCTCACTAGATTGTTGTCTCTTCTTCAACTCTCTTCCAATCACTCGCAATGATACTGCTTGTTCAAAACTCCTATTTAGAAAAGATGTATTACTTTAATCCATACTCTTGACCAATGTCTCTTCAAGTCGACTTGATATTACTTACTTCTAAACAATGTAATATTCAAATCATTACTCAAAATACCTTTCAGTTTGTAGTAATATCTCGACAATTCATCTTGTACTATCGAACCATAATCATAGCCACTGTATCTGTTGGCGACTTAGTTGGTTACCATCTGGTTGCCCTTCTCCATGTCCTTTTCATTCTGTTTATTTGTTCAATCAGTCTCATTCCATCCACTATCTACAGCATACGTAAATTCCTAGTGTAATTACTTATTAATCTTCCTGCAAAAAAAAAAAAAAAAAAAAAAGACACGAATCCTTTAAGCTAGTAGTCTTTCTTTAGTTCATCTATCTTGCATGAAATGGACTATCTGACTCATTCTTCTGTTCCTTCTCTCTTGATTGAGTAGTTATCTCAACTTATCTCTCCGTGAAACTATGTCTTTTTTTTTTTTTTTTTTTTTTTTTTTTTTTTTTTTTTTTTTTTTTTTTTACATATTATTTTCCCGATATGCATGTCTATTTCTTCCTTTTGTCTTAACTTTTCTTTTAAACTGACGAGGACAAATCAGCTTTGTGCTCATTGGTCACAAAATAATAATAATAATGATAATAATATTAATACTAATATTAATCATATATAATTCTTTTTTTTTCTTCAATCGTATAAGTTGTTACTTTTCTTTTCTCTTTTTTTTATTTTTATTTTAGGTAAGACAATTTAAACTATAATGTGATATGTATACATATTAACAATTCCTTAGAAGTCTTTTTAATATATAAACATCATGAGAGAGATTATTCATGTTCAAGCTGGTAAGTTGCCATCACTCATCTGAATGAGTTAAAAGACAATTGTTGTTAATAGTATTTTATTATTAGGCCAATGTGGTAACCAAGTAAGTCTAATACGTTTTGTTTCATAATAAAGAGAACAAGGAGGAAAAAAAAAAAGAAAAGAAATAGAACAAGATATCGTCTGTACGTATATAAGTTTATTAATGTATCTTTTTGTATAGATTGGTCAAAAATTTTGGGAAACAATCTCAGAAGAACACTGTATAGACGTCAATGGCAATTATTATGGTGATAATGATCTTCAGCTTGAACGTATTAATGTCTTTTATAATGAAGGTTCACCAGGAAAATATGTTCCAAGGTACGCGCTATTAAGAGAGGTCATATTTTTGTTTCCTATATTCATATATCTTCCGCCCCCCTTTTTTTTTTTTTTTTTTTTTTTTTTTTTTTTTAGGGCTGTACTTGTTGACCTCGAGCCTGCAACAATGGATGCCATTCGTAGTAGTCAATACGGAAGAATTTTTCGCCCTGACAACTTTATTAATGCTCAATCTGGTGCAGGTAACTCCTGGGCTAAAGGTTATTACACAGAAGGAGCAGAGTTAGTTGAACCAATTATGGATATTGTTCGTAAAGAAGCGGAGAATACGGATTGTCTTCAAGGTTTTCAACTTTGTCATTCCTTAGGTGGTGGTACGGGTTCTGGTCTGGGATCTCTTTTGTTATCTAAAATTCGTGAGGAATATCCCGACCGTATCCTAAGCACTTATTCAGTTGTTCCTTCTCCTAAAGTATCTGATACGGTTGTTGAACCTTACAATGCTGTATTATCAGTCCATCAACTTGTAGAAAATTGTGATGCAACCTTCTGTATTGATAATGAGGCACTTTACGATATTTGCTTCCGTACGCTCAAATTAAAAAATCCAGGATATGGTGATTTGAATCAACTCGTCTCTGCTGTTATGTCGGGTGTATCCACTAGTTTACGTTTCCCTGGTCAATTAAACAGTGACTTGAGAAAGCTATGTGTCAATATGGTTCCATTTCCTCGTCTTCATTTCTTTATGGTCGGTGTTGCTCCTTTGACTGCCTTTGGATCTCAACAATATCGTAACTTGAGTGTTCCTGAGTTAACTGCACAAATGTTTGATGCTCGTAACATGATGGCTGCCTCTGATCCTCGTCATGGTCGTTATCTGACAGCGGCTACTATCTTCCGAGGTCGTTTGTCGACTAAAGAAGTTGAAAATCAAATGTTAGCCATTCAACAAAAGAATTCATCCTATTTTGTTGAATGGATTCCTAATAGTGTTAAAACCTCTCTTTGTGATATTCCTCCTGTTGGTCTCAAGATGTCAGGTACCTTCATTGGTAACAGCACAGCTATTCAAGATTTATTCAAACGAGTGAATGAACAATTTACGGCTATGTTTAGAAGAAAGGCTTTCTTACATTGGTATACAGGTGAAGGTATGGACGAGATGGAATTTACTGAAGCCGAGTCCAATATGAATGATTTAGTATCTGAATACCAACAATACCAAGAGGCTACTGCTAGTGAAGATATTGATGAAGAATACAATGAAGAAGATGCTCAAATGGATGACGAATAAAAAAAAAAGCATTTAAATATTTTATATACAATACACAATAGTATATGGTTTTATATTCAATGATTAGCCGAAAGAAAAAAAAATTATTCCCTTAATAAGATCTATAACTTATGCTATTAGCAGCTATTCTCCACTTTACCTTTACTCGATCGCTTTATTTTTAATATTAAATCCCAATAAATAAAAAAGTACAAAAAATAAAATAAAATAAAATAAAATAAAATAAAATAAAATAAAATAAAATAAAATAAAATAAGAATTAATAACATGATAAAAACTGATTAAAAATAGGAGAGAACTAGTATGCTCTATGATGTTGAAAATATGGATTATAATCGATTATATCATTCATGTATTTAATTGTATTTATTTATTTATTTTTTTGTATATAAAAGACATAGACAACACTAAAGAATAGAGGTAGAAGTCTTCTTTGTAATATATTATGGCTTTGTAACCACTGGTTGTATATAACAAGAAGTATATATTGTTGAATTAAGGTATATAAGAATTATTAACGATATTTAACTGGTGAACTTGACAATATTTGACTCTACTTTTTTTAATTCACGTTTTATGTGTATATAATAAACGAAGTTTCTTTTTCTTTTTCTTTTTTGATTCATACACTCTTGATAATTTCCATCATGTAATTCAGGAAAAGTGTATCTTCAACGGTTGATATTCGAAGAGAAATATATACAAATATATTATAGAATCCTGCTGCTTTCAATTGTATTTGCGTTCTAATTTTATATAAAAACTCGAGGAGGAGTGACCATTAAAATCTATATTATTTTCCAAAAATGAATATTTTATTTTTTTTACATGCTTAATCCATATTATAATTCACTCTATTAATTAAAAAAGTAATATTCATACGCGTTTTAATAAAAGTCAATAGTAAAGGAAATCAATAATAAATATAAGTTTTATAACAAAAGTATTTTTACTTTTTATTTTATATAAATTTAAGCGAATTTTTTTTTAGAAGAAAAAAAAAAAAAAAAAAAAAAAAAAACCGCAAAAAAAAAAAAAAAAACCGCAAAAAAAAAAGAGACCTTCCCAAATTCAACCGGAAAAAAGAAAAAGACTGCATCAACAGCAGAACACCAAAGACCAAAAGTCAACTCCAGTCCAAGACGGCGCCAGAAAAAAAGAAAAAACCCTATCCACCTTATAGGGCTACCCCTAATCCCCTAAATAACCCAACTTCACCAGATGTGTCCGAAGACAACACCCTCCATTGGATCATCTTTCAGATCAATCAGAGATAGAAGAACACAAAGTTCTTCTACCTCATCCACCAGGTCCATGGGATCATCGATCTCCAGGGAACCTGATGGTGATTGATCAACAGGGACCGAGGTAGCCACAGCAGCCAAGACATTTTCCCCAAATTTTGCAGGCAAGAAACGTGGTGGGGGCATAGCAGCCCTATCAGCTGCTTCACGAGAAGCGACAGAGTAAATTGCTTTAGCAGCAGCGTCAACAGTAATAGTTTTAGTAGTAGTAATTATTAGGAGGGTGTTTAATAGAAAAGCCAAGACGATACAAGATATATAGAAATAAGAATATACATACAAACGTATAAATATTTATATGGATTAATTAGGAGAATTATTTGTTAGTTATACGCGTTATTTTATAATATATAAAAAAAGTTAAAATATCTAAAAGAGAAAAATACTTACAAGAATAAGACTTTTTTTTTAATTCTATTTGAAAATAAAACGGTTAAAGAAAAAGAAAAGGTCAAAATAAGGAGGATTATTTTTATAGTTATTTTATTTATTTATTTTATTTTTTTATTTTTTTTCAAAGAATAGATATTGATTGCCTATCAAAAATCATATGCGTTGCACAGTATTTTGGCGTCAAATTGAAGCTACATAAACTCTAAAATAAATCATATGAAAATGTTATTACTTACAATGAATCTTCCCTCCCTTTTTTTTTATTTCAACATAAAACAAATATACTTGTGTTGTTTAAATGTGTATGAATTTTCTAAAATACTATAGAATGTTAGTCTTTATATTATTTAAATAATAAATAAAGTAAAAAGAGGAGGAAAGTATATATATATAAAAAAAAAAGCCAAGAACAGATAAACCTTACAATACGCAATAAATTTATATTTTATTCCCACATCTTTATAAAAGTAAGGAGTAAAACTCTTCTACATGTGTTTTTTATTTCTTCTTTTTTTTTTTTTATTTTTTTATTTTTACACTAGCGTCGTTGTATTTTTATTTATATTGTGTATTGCTATAAAGGTAGAAGGGATATTAAAATATAAAGAAAAAATAAAATAAAAGGTGTACTTTCTCTTTTCCTCACTATAAGCACATTATGTATGGTTATATGTCCATGTATAAAATAATAGTAATTTTCTTATTAAATAGGATAGTTTGATGTCATATACATAAGCAGCAGATTTGTGTACCTTATTTTTTTAATGCAGCAACAAGTGTTTTTTATAATTTAAATTCAGTTAAATAATACAGAAGCTTTTTACAAAAAATTAAACTTCTCTTGAGATGGACAAATTGATATGCGTATTATATATGATTATTCCTGTTCTTATAATAATTCACAACTCACACTAGCTAATGCTATCATTTCTTATACATGCCAATTATAACTAGAACTACATGCCCTTCATTACAAAGTCAATAAATGGATCTAATTCCTAATTATAATTATTATATATTATTACTAGTAGTGTGAGGAGTATAGATTATCCTCAATAAGAGAGCTAATCTATGTATGTATGTATACAAGCCAGAAGGAAGCAGTATTTAATATTATTTATATATTTGTATACATAATAATAAAATTACTTCTTCTGCCTTTTATATTTATATATATATATATACATTTTACAATAGTAGCCCTTAAGATATTTATGTTCATTTGTAGATAAAACTACATGTTAACTAAATTAAAGTATATAATTCTTCATGTCTCATTTATAGCCTATATATTATCTTGAGAATACAACTGATAGAATCTTGTTTATGCCCATCATTCAAAATAAGGGTCACTTGGTATCTTTTTTCTTTATTGACATAATTCAAATAGACAACATAGTTGCAACTTCAAGCAAGGCTTCATTAAGAAAATATTTCACAAGTCTAAAAAAAAATTGTAAATAGCATTCATTATATACCATTGCTTATGGTTAGCAAAGGCCATCAAAGAATGTTATTTTCCTATTTTTATTTATACCTATTCATATTGTTAATGACATGATATGCTATTAAGCTCACAAGAGTCCTTTGCTCTTTTAATATATTCTCCTTCAAAGTAATGCAATTTGGATTAGGATATCTACTTTTACTATCTTATGCCACCTTTATGATTATTTGGTTAGAATTAAACAGACGAATCAAGTAACCATTTTATATGGAAATGTTACGAATAAATTGGAGTCATCTTGATACTAATCAAGACAGAAGCCCATGTAGCTATCAAGAGTACAAACGGATAAATCAAATCAAATGTACACTATTTATCGTCATTATTAAGATATCTATTTAGTAAGGTATGTTGGTCATAGTCTATGTAATATTAACAATAATTGACTTACATTATTACTGTATATGTTTATAGATATATATTTATCTATTCTCAGACTGAAAAATAAAAAAAAACTATGACAGAAATAACAGAGAGGGAAAGAGGTGCCAAGTCGAAACATTTTCTTTATTTTTATTACACAAATAACGGGTTTACTTAATAAGAATGAATGAAAAAAAAAAAAAAAAGACTGTACTATATTATGTCTTTATGGAAAATATACATATGCATCAACCTACTCATATAAAAGACTTTTTATTAAGGATCGATATTATGAATAGTAAAAAAAATTATCCTTCATTATCATTTCTTCGTTCTCTTGGAGAGCTTTATTTGAAAATGAGATATAAATTCCAAAAAAAAAGGACTTTTCGATAATACGGGCATATCAATTTCATTTGTAAATGTATGATAATAAATTATCCTTAATGACTGTCAAACATTGATAAAGACTCTACACTTAAAAAAAAAAAAAAATCAAACTAACCAATAAACAAATTTGTTATCTAAAAAAACAAAAAAAAAAAAAATCAAAATTGTATTTTAGCACATAATGAGTACCTGTGTTGAATGTGGTGCTTCTGTTGCTAATTTATATACTCAATATAGTAAAGATAACATTCGTCTAACAACATGTGTAAGCACGTAGCTTCTTATAGTCATCTCTAATTATTAAACTCATGAATTTTGTACAGGATCATTGTAATCAATTTGCAGATAAATATATTGAACATGATTTCGTGATTGTGTTTATTGATATGTTACTTCATAAACCACAAGTATACAGACATTTATTGTTTAATAGAATAACTGAACAAGATGGACTTGAAGTAAAACTTGTAGACGATTATTGAATCTATTGATTTAACAGTTTTATTTTGTTTTATTTTTATGTAGCCCCACGTATTTCGTTTTGCAATATTATTAATTTTATTTGAAGTATGTAAGTACATTCGAGAATGGATTTATAACATATATTTACGATCTAGAAAGATATAAAATGGTTTAGATTAGAAAGATATTATACTGAGTATGATTCAAAATTCACTCAGTTGCCTCTTTATGGCCAATACTTGTATCTGTTAGCCATTTGTGTATTTGGTAAGTGGCTGATAACATGTAATTGATTCTTCTTCTTCTTTTTTAAAGGAAAAACGTTGTATAGAATTCATTATTTTTCATTGTTGTGTCAATTTAATCATTCGATTGTATTATTTTATGAAAAATGAAAAAAGCAAGAAAGTCAAGTAAGAATGTATTACTTGAATGCATGATTAGGAAACTAAATTTATTTTACATAGATACAACTATGTTTCAATGGCTTTAATAATATCAAGTTTTGGTAAAATGCTTTTAATTTTTATGGTTATTTGGGATTATAGACAATTGGAATACTCTTGGCTTGTGAGTATCATTGTTCTAGCATCAAATACAGAAGCCTTATCAGGTAATTATATAAAGAATATGTATTTGTTATATTTGTATATCTACTTAAACAAAGTACATACATGATATAGTTTACTTGAATATACCTTATTTTCATACTTTATTGATTATCTTTATTGGCATCTTAAGCAGAATCTGGGCTCAATATTTTTTCTTATATTTTACTTATGATAATGATATAAAAAGCTTAACTACCTATGTACTGAATAGATCAAATTGGATAACCATCTAATGAATTAAATAAATATTTATGTGTGTATTTATTTTAATTGGATAAATGGAGCAATGCTGTGATATATTACTTTTCATCCAAAATGAGTTTATTAGAACTTATTTATAGAGTATCTGATTGCTTCTTTAATAGTCTTAATCCTGTAAATACCGAGCAAAATAATGACCTAGTAGCCCATTCGAGTTATTGAACTATGTATCTTACACAACTGTTGACAAAGCAGCCTACTATCTTTAAATAGGCTCTCGACTTTAAATGCCTGAAACTGTGAATCATTTCCTTTCATTATTGATAATTTGACGCGGGCCATTTTATGTCATTAAAACAATCAAAGTTTAAATATTGCAAGCAGTAGCAACAAGCAGAACCCTAAAATGGAACAAAGCTAATTTTACAGCAGGAAAAAAAAAAGTCCTTTTTTTTCGGTTATTGATAGTGATTTGTTTATGCTGGTACGATTCTAGGTTGGATAAATATTGCAGCAGGAATAGGGGGCAGAACATCATACTATATCTCCTTCTGTAAAAGAAAGAAAGAAAGGCAATAGTGGATAAAACTTCACTAATTTATTTTATCATGATGTCGCATTTTTACACCCAGTTAAAGTGAGCAATATTGTAAAGTTGTTTATACAAAAACCTTTCTGTTACTATTATAGATGACCACTACTAACGTAACTATTATATAGATATACATTCAAGCATGTGTTAATAAATCATGGAAAACATCTATGGAAGTGGGTGTTAAAGTAGAAGCAAAATCGCCTTTATCGCATGATCGCTTCTTTGTAGCTCACGCTTATTTGACTTTCATCGCCCTCTCGCCTCGTCCAAAGGCTAAATTTCATTTGGGCCGTATTCTTTCTGATTTTCAGCCTATTCCTATCCCTCAACTTATACCTCCCCCCCTATGGAACACAAACAATATAAAATGGCTGAATTACAAAGACACCAACGCTTCAAATGGAAAAAAAAAGTTAGATTATAGTGAGGTACGTCAAATATATGAGGGAATTATCTCAGGGGTCAATGACAGAAAGCACCTATAAAACCTCATTCAAATTATTTTTCTGCGAAGAGGATGATGATCAGCCTATGATCCCAGCTTTAAGAAAAAAACGAAGGTTTTCATAGGATCCAAGGGATATTACAACAAGTAAAAGAAAGGCCCATAAACTATACATTTGCAGAAGCAGTTGAGGTGGTTATGCCTCAGCATGCAAATACGTTAAGTATTACATTTGGTAGCCAAATTATGGCCTGGATGGAAACATGTGCTATCGCAAGTGCTAAAACTTATTTATTGACAGCAAGGTAGTATTATTAAAAAAAAAATGTGGAGGATGAATGAGTCACATCAAAAATCACTGACTCTGTAATATCTATTTTTTTTTATTATTATTATTATCAGCATTGATAGTTTAAACTTTATTGCTAGTTCAGGTGTAGGTGATGTAGTTACGATACATTCATTGGTTTCAAGATCGTTTAACTCTTCTATGGGAATCTATGTTAGTGTAGAGTCAGGTAATAATATTGACGGAAATAAATCTCATTTTATAATAATTTGTTTTAATAGAAAACTTATTGACTGGAAAAACGAATAGATTTTTTACAATAAGTAAATATGAAATTATTCATTCTTGCATGTATTAATACTTCATTGTGTAGCTGCCTTAAATGATGACACAGCTGAAGAAATTAGGTTGGGCCACGAAAAAAAAAAAAAAAAAATGGGCCATTTGAAAATATTTAGGACACAAATTTTGAAAAGTTTGAAAATAGGACACTTATTTGGAAACAGGATAAGAATATTTGCAAGAGAACCATTTTTTCCAGTAAACTTTTACAGGTAAACTTTTTTTTTAAGTTGAGTTCTATTGAATAAAAATCCAAATGATCACAAGTATTTTATATACTAAAATTGCCCGGACCAGTTCAAATCTGTATTTAGAGAAAAAAACCTTCATGGGCTGAAGGAAAAAGGATAAAAAAAAAAAGAGGAAGAGATAGGGCTATTTATATGTGTTTTTTTGCAAGGTAAATGATATTAATAGAAGTATGATTTGGATAAGTGAATACTGGTATAATAAAGCATTATGTGTAAATGTTGTCTCTAAACAATTTGGCTTGTAATAAGATATATTTTTATTCTCCCTGAGCTGTCGTTGTTACGAAAATTATACCCAATTATTATTTCTGGGGTAAGCAACGCGTTAACATTAATTCACAGTGAATATTCCAGCTATAACAATAAGACCAATTATTTATATGCTACTATTATTATTATCATCCACTAAGATGTTATTACATGACAATATTCGACATTATAGATGTATATATAATATGTATGACTTATGTAAGTGATTATGTAAGGGCATATAACAATCATAGCCCTATTGAATTCTTATAATTACATAGTATAATTATTACTCTAACAATGACTATTATTAAAACTGAATGTTGTATAATGAACATTATGCTGTGAAGTACAATACACTAGTTTTATTTGAGTAACCTCTTTATTATTTAAATAAATGATGGTTTATTTCTGTTAACTTAGTTGTAAAGACGAATACAATCACAACAGAAGGAAAAAAGAAATTCATTTTGGGAGCCTTTTCTTTGCGAAAAAAAAAAAGTTTCCCTGAAAAAGTTTACCGGACAAAAAGGTCCCCTCGTCCTGTTTCCAAATAAATGTTCCAAATTTTCTTGGCTGCCCCATTTTTGAAGCACTGATCCATTTCCAAACTTTTCAAAATTTGTGTCCTAAATATTTTCAAATGGCCCAAATTTTTTTTTCGTGGCCTTATCTAATTTCTTCAGTCGTAATTATACCAAAAGTAGTTCCATAAACAGATGCTAGTATGAAATTATATGAAGGCAGACATGACAGGCGTATAAGACGTTTAAGTCAGTGAGAAGAATGAATTGATTTAATGAACGCCTCACAAATGACAACACTGCTACTAATTAATACTTTTTCAATAAAGTAAAAGATTATCTTGTCTCAGATTTTTTTTTTTTTTTTTTAATAGAAAATCTTTCGTAGACTGCTTTTTTTTTCTTTTTCTTTTTTAATCTATTATGAAAATCTCTAATTGCCCCAGATATTTAAAACATCATCTTTTTTCTTTTCCTCTCTTTTTTCTTTTTTTTTCTTTTCTCTTTAAGAAAATAAAATAACATTGTATACCATGTCAACATCTTGTAAAACTATTCTTGCTTCTAGAGTATCTGCTTCTTTTAGGTAAGTTCTTTCTTTCTTCTTCTTCTTTCATATTACAAATAATGCATAATTGTTGACATTATACGTCGATAGAAATCAAATTAAAGAAGATATAAAGACACGTAATATTCGACCCAAACTAGTTGGATTTCTTGCTAATAAAGATCCTGCTGCTATGAAATATGCTGAATGGACATCAAAGACCTGTGCAGAAACAGGTGTTGATTTTGAACTTCGTACTGTAGATAAAATGGATCTGGAAGAAAAGATTACAGAGGCCAATGAAGATAGATTAGTAAATGGTATCATGGTTTATTATCCTGTATTCGGAGGAAAACAGGTAAATGAAGTATAAGACGAAATAGACATGCATGAAAACTTATTTCGCATAATCAGGATTTATATCTTCAAAGCTGTGTTAGTGAGCTTAAGGATGTGGAAGGCTTATGTCATAAATTTGTTCATAATGTGTATCATAATATTCGTTATATGGATGAAAAGGAGACGATGAAATGTATTATTCCTTGCACTCCTCTTGCTTGCGTCAAGGTAAAAGTGTAAAAACCTGCATATTTCAATCAATGCGCATATTTTTTTAGTCTTATTTTATATCATAATAGATCCTTGAATATATCGGCGTTTATAATCCAGTTATCCCTTATGGTAATCGTCTTTATGGTCGTACGATTGCTGTCATCAATCGTAGTGAAATCGTAGGTCGTCCCTTGGCCGCTATGCTTTCTAATGATGGTGCTAAAGTTTATTCAATTGACATTAGTGGTGTTCAGCTCTTTACTCGTGGTTCAGGTATTAAACTCTCTGCTCATAAAGTAGAAGACACTGAATTCACACCTGAACAAGTGATACCTAAATGTGACGTCGTCATTACTGGTGTTCCTACTCCTAATTACAAATTATCAACTTCCTTATTAAAAGACGGTGTAGTTGCTATCAACTTTTCGTCTTTTGCAAACTTTGAAGAAGACGTCAAGACAAAGGCGTCTATCTTCGTGCCTTCAGTAGGTAAAGTTACAGTAGCCATGTTGGAACGTAATTTACTTAGATTACATGATTATCAAAATAACTTGACAGAAAAATCAAAACAATCATAGATAACTGTAACATATATCAATAAACTCTTTTATACATTTTTTTTTCTTTACACACACACATATGTATATATATAAATGTATCTATACTATCTTTATTCTTTTATCCAACCATCGTTCTCTTACGTCCTCTCATTCTCACTACAGAATTATTCATAAGTTTAGCAAATATCATCACTTCCATTCATTAAATTACCTTCTTCTAATTTGCGTGAAACTTGCTTAGCTTGCTTTGAATTCTTAAAGTAATGTTCAAGAATGGTTGCAAACTACATGTATCATGGAATAAGCAATCTATATTATTTAATTGTAATGTTCATTTACCATAGATTCTGTTTCTGGATGAGTACTGGAAAAGGCACGTTCAAGAACATAAAGATCGACAGCTTTATCTTCAATCAATAATGAAGTAGAACTTAGTCCAAAATCAATAATAGCCTACCAAAAAAAAAAAAAAACTAATTAATAATAAATTGAATAATAAATATTCACGACTTTACAACTGAATCTTCTTTATCCCTAATAATTAAATTGGATGTCGTCAAATCACCATGAATAATATTTAATTCATGCATTTTGGCTAATGAGCAACCAATCTTTTCTGCCAAAGCATCTATAAACCAGTATGAAAAAAAAATTCTCTATTATACCCTTCTCTCTCTCACACACTCAATATATATATATATACCTGTATCTACATTCTTATAATTATCACCTTGATTTTCCAATAACTTTTGTTTAACAGTGACACCCACAATGTTCTCCATATAAATGGTGGCTGAAGGTATGTCTACATAGTATACGGTGGGAGTATCCATACCGGCTTTTTTACATTTGTAAAGGCATCGAGCTTCCTGAACAACTCGTCTGCTTGTCAAAAGTTGGTCTAAATCGGGATGACGGTATGATTTTTTAAATCTTTCTTTGGCAATGCAACCTTCTGGTAATGTAAGAAAAGATGGTAAATGAAAAACACGCTACTAAACATGTTAGACTCTACTTATAAACACTATTATTATTGTTATTATTAAAAAATAAATAAATAACATTACAGCTTCTGCTCCTTGTTTTATTAATACAGCATTCTCAGGAATCATCATATTATTAAGAGTTTTTAACAAAATAAAACTTTTTTTTTTTTTTTTTTTTTTTTTTTTTTTTTTTTTTTTTCGATTGTTTACTTTATTTACATCTTTTCTCAGTTATGTCGTACTTTAAAATTTTTGAACTGTCACCTTTTTTAATACAAGAAATTATTAGGGAGAAAAGACTTCTAATAAATATCCGTCATGTGTTAAATTACGACGTCTCCATTTGATTGTCTCTATTCATACCCTATTATTCAGACAAATAAATTAATCTATAAAACACACACATATTATTCCTTATCTTACATAATTAATATATGCAGGTGTCTCACATGCTTCATATTCATCAATCAATTCCTGAACAACATTTCGTGAATCATCAAATTCATCCAAATCCTCTGCAAACATGGCATATTTTCTGTATTGTTCCAAGAATGCATTTCTTTTCCTCAACTTATCATACTGATCACATGTACGTTTGAATAATGAAGCAACACTCGTGTGATTCGCGAGCATTAATCCACTCACTCGATGTGGTGTCTGTACGTAAGGTGATTTTTTAGATAAGGCGACTTGAATACTTGCCGGTCCCCATGGTATAAATGATGCTAGTCTTCTTTCTCGAATACGTAATAAAGATTTGTGAACATCTGTGGGATCTGCTTCTCCTTGAATTATATTAAGTATTGAAATATAGCAACTGCTCTTTGATGGCACAATAGATACCATTCTATTTTTAGGTTGTAATAATCTTCTCATCACATCTAATACTGTTGTTTTGCGAATAGAAGTAGCCTAAAAAGAAGATGTTAGTGTCTGTATATAAATAGCTAAGACATATATAAACAAACCTTTTCTACTTGCTCACTTGAAAATGGTGTGTATGCAGTCGTTAAGAAATGACATCGAGGTGTTGGAATCAATGATGCAACAATGCCCACAAGATCATTATTCATATAACCCGGATATCTAAGTGTTGTTGTACTTGCTGACATGACGGTAGACACAAGTTGATTTGTTTGTTCAAATGTAGGTTGTTGAATATGTAATCGATCAGTTGCGATTCGAGATAATGCTGTATTATCCAAGACCACTACACTATCTGCATTATGAGTCAATCGCTTAAGTGCAAGCATACTATTGTAAGGCTGAACAACTGTATCTGATACTTCTTCAGAATTAGGGAAAACCGAATATGTTTGAAGTAATTTCTTTGGATAACGATCATTCAGTTTCTCTAATAAAAATGATCCTAAACCAGATCCAGTGCCACCAGCAATTGAATGCAGTAACATAAATCCCTATCAAATGTAAATTAAAACATACACCATTTATCAATTTAAAATAATCACATATTTTACCTCAAGTGAATCGCTATTATCTGCTTCTCTGTCCACCATATCTAATATATCTTCAGCAAATTTCTCTCCTTGAGAATAACCGTTTGGCCATGTATTTCCTGCTCCTCCGCCGTCTTGAGAAGTAAAAATATTTTCAGGGTTGTATAAGTTAGCGTAAGGTGATGCTTTAATGTTGTTAATAACCTATTAATTACAATTAATTACGTGTTCTGTTCAAATTATTATAGTCGTACTCTAGGTTCAAGATCTAATAAAAGTGCACGGGGAATATAATGTTCATCATCTGCCTAATACAATGTATAAGTAATATGATAATGCTTTAATGTTGGAATTGCTTCCTTTTTTTTTTTTTTTTTTTTTTTTTTTTTTTTTTTACCTGATAAAAGAATACATCTTTTCTATCTCCTCCTTCAGTAGCAAAATCTTCTAACGTACCATCGTTACTGATTCCATGTTCTGTACAAATCTGTCTCCAAAACTCACTACCAACTTTTTTTTTTTGTTGTATTAGTCAAATATTATAACTAATGTATTTTTATGTTTACTTTGATTGCCACATTGGCCAGTCTGAAGTGTAATAATTTCGCGAGGCATTTTTTTTTATTTTGCTGATTAAAAAAAAAAAAAAAAAAAAAAAAAGAAAAGACAGAAGTATGGTAAAATAAAGAAAATGCAAATCCGTCGTGACGCGTTTTATGTGAGATTTAACAATTCAGTAACAGCAGAGAAAACGACATTTCAATTCTTGACTATCCAATTAAAACTGTTCTCGTACAAATAATGTTACAAGTTGCGCATTGACTCTCTTATTTTTTATTTTTATAAATATTTATATTCATTTATTTTATATTTTTATTTATTTATTTATAGAAATTTACATAAAGTATGAGTACAGTAACTCCTGACAATAAAGTAATATGATTCTTCACAACTGTATTTTAGCAGAATAGTAATGTTTATTGTTCATTAGACCTACAATGATTTATCTAAAAAGCCTTCATTGCCACGATTTGGGTCATCAAGCACTTCAGCTTACAAGTACATTAGCGGTAAATTCTATCACCCAAGTACACGTTTTGAAGATCTTCAAGGGCTTAGCATCAACAAGTCTGGTACATGTGATTTGATACAGGTAAATAAATACCATGCATATATAGTATTATTACTATTATTATTTTCATGTTTTTTTTAAAAAAAAATAAAATAAAATAAAATAAAAATAGGCCAATACAAAATTTATTGCTGTACCTATCTCAGGTCCTGGAGGTCGTGTAGGCATTATCAACGCTAGAAAACCCGGTAGACTACCTATTCATATTCCCTCTGTACTCTGTAATTCAGAAGTAAATGATTTTAAATTTGATCCCTTCGATGAAAACATCCTTATCACAGGTAAAGAAAAAAAAAGGAGTGTATGATGGCTATATATATTTCTAATTTTATTTTGCAGTCTCTAATGATAATAAGATTCGAGTTTGGGAAATACCTGAAGAAGGTCTTGAAGAAGACTTTGCTGAGCCAAAATATGTTTTTGGAGGTAAGCATTCTACATATACATATACATATATATATATGTATATATACTGATCATTTTAATATAGATGAATCTATGGATAGAGTTCAATTGATTGAATTTCATCCAACTTCTAAAAATATTTTACTTTCTGCCTCTGATGATCTTGGCCACCCCACCATTCGTCTTTGGAATCTTGAGACACAAAAATCAGAAATCACATTCAAGCATCCAGGCTTGATTTTTAGTTGCGCCTGGAGTCCTGATGGTCAGCACATCGCAACCACATCAAAGGAAAAAAAAGTGTATATTTTGGATGCTAGAACTGGCCAAACAAAGGCTGAAGGGAATTCACATAGTAGTATTCGACCTTCACGTCTTGTTTGGCTCTCTAATACCGAATTCATTAGTGTCGGATTTGGATTAGGATCCAGCCGTGAAATTTTATTGTTCAACGTGTCTGACTTATCAAAACCTGTCGCTAAAAAGCAGATTGATATTTCACCTAGTGTTATGAGTATATATTATGATTTTGATTGTCATCTTTTATTTGTAGCAGGTAGAGGAGATAGAACGATACATACATATCATGTTGAGGATGAGATAGTGCCGTTAGTAAAGATCGAGGCTTCGACATTACAACAAGGATTCGCTTTTTACCAAAGAGAACATGTAGCGTCAAAGAGATAGAAATTGACAAGTTTTATAGGTTAACTCCTTCCAGTATTGAAACTGTAGGCGTGCATGTGTCTCGTGCAAGAGTAATATATATATTTATAATATCTACAGATTTTATTATTTTTTTTTATTCTAACTGATGCGCTTTTATAGCCCGAGTATTTTCAAGATGATATTTTTGTGCCTACTTTAGACTTGGAACATCCAGCTCAAAGTGCTGATAATTGGTTTAAGGGTGAAAATAAACAATTAGAACGTATTTCTTTACAACCTGAAGATATGCCACCATGTAAGTTATATACAAGGAGTTTTTTTTTTTCTTATAGCTTATTTTTTTTTCTTACTGGGATACAGTGTCGACAGCACCTCCTCCTCCTTCACAAGCTCAATCAAAGGCCAAATTCGAAATGGGTAAAAAATATGTGAGTGAAGAGCAAAGAAAGAAAGAACAAATGGAACGTATGTTTGCTTTTGCAAAGAGTATCGAAAGTGATGATGAAGAAATAAAACCAAAAGTGAATCCAGAAGAAGAAGAGGTAGCAGAAGAAGAATGGGATGATTAATACATACATAACATGATTTTATTTTATTCAATAATAAAAAAGAAGTTTATATATAAATAATAGGATAAGCTTTATTTTATTTCATTATTTTTTTTTAAAGTGTCAATATTTAAATATGTATATGCAAATAGTTAGTGGATAATTTCTACATTATTCTTTATCCATTCAGATAAGGAGGCTGATTTAAATTCAATTGGGTTATCTTGAGTTGTATCTTCTGATATTGCACACTCATTATTATATGAAATGGCAAGAATCCCCTTCTTCTGAAATGTATCAGCTTGTCTGTCACTTTCAAAGTTCTCAAATGCTTTCTGAGTCATTTCCCCAACTTGTTCCCATAACTGATCGCATGTCCTAGTGGGTGCAGTACATTCTATATTCATAGTATTAGTATGACGAGCATCTAAAGAGTTTGTAGTCTCCGTCGTATTAGACAATTTTGATTCTAATGCAGCAGATTGGATTATGGAGTCAAACGAAACCTCATTATTATCAAAATCAAATAAGTCTACAAACATATCTTCATCTTCATCTTTGATAGTTGGTACTATATTATTAGATTCTACAAATTATATAAAAAAGTAAAAAGTATGGATAAAATAATTATGATAATAATAATAATAATAATAATTATACTATACCATTTGGTTTATGTAATCCTAATATATTCATATCTGTTCAAAATAAATTAGAATAGTATTAAAAAGATATTGCTTGCATACCTCGTGTAGAAAATACAGGGAATTGTTCAATTTCCATACTTTTATTTTGTATATTACTAGTTTCTGTATAGGTAATATCTTTTATTTCATCGTTTACTGTCTTTAGTTTTTTTAGATACAGTTTTGAAGAGAACTGCTCACTATCATCTTCATCAACAGCGGCCTTTCTTTTTAATCCATTTCCCTTATTCATATTTAGAGAAGATTGGTTTCTTTTACAGCATTTATGAGCGCAACTACAATAAATTATATTGATCAAGTTAGATATCAATTTTTGCTTTGAAAATAATAAAAAACAAAACAATTACTCTTCCTTATTTTTGCACCTATGTTTACAACTATAATAATAATAAAATAAGTCTCCTAAAAATAAAATAAAATAAAAGACAACTTTTTTTCCTCCCCTTTTTATATTTACGGTGCAATAATAGGCTTTTGTTGCTGTGATTTTATCTCAGAATAATTATCCATGTCATGTTCTTTCAAGACTTGAGTCTGCTGTAGGTTGTCTTCAAAGGGAAATTCATAGTCATTTTTGTTAAATTTATTAGGAATTGAGATGGTGGACGTAGCAACAGCCAGTATATCCCATAAGTTGGGATCTATCTTATCATCGTCTTCAAAGCCGTCAATATCCTCATTAGTTAGGTCTACTACAGTTTCTAACTTTTCTTGATTTTGATTCATCATATTAGATTGACCCATCACTGTAATAAACTTTCTAGGATCTACATTTACAGTAAGTTCCTTTTGAACATCAATCCCCACTATATTCATATTTATAAGCAATAAATAAAAAGGAAAGAATGATGAAATATATACTCTTTTTTTTTTCTTTCATACCATAATCTTCACTTTGTAAATGACAATTGATATTTGTAATTGGAGATTTTAATTCAATTTTTATATTGAATAACTGTCTTTTTTGTAATAGCTTAGATATTCTGATTAAACTTATATATTAGAGGAAAAAAAAAAAAACCTCCTCACAACTAACTTTGCATTCTTCTAAATATTACTTACTGAATTCGACGGAAATCTATTAATTCTTTTTCTGATGTATCAAGCCAGAATAGTACATGATGCTTTTTTCCATGCTTTCCAGTATTTGCATGCTCATTTTCTATTCCTATTCTTATATTTAGTGTTATCATATCGTTTCCATTTTGTTTGTTAACATCTCGGTTTGATTCCTTATAATAAAGTATTATTTAAAAGAAAAATAGTTATGTAAATGCATACTTTCAATTATACCTGCTCTACATCTAATATAAAAATGGGTATAGCATCAATTTGCTTCTTTATCTACAATAATAATTAATATCTTATATATATATATATAAAATAACATTGACACTCTACCTTTGTTCCAAATGGAGGATTGCGATGTAATATCTATTAACAAAGAAGCAGCTTCAATAAGTAAGTCCTAATATTAACTTTAGGTTACCATTTCAAGTCGTCCTGGATCACATTGACGCAGTTGGTCAAAACTGATTAAATTGGCCTGTGCTAGAGTCTTAACAAGTTGAGATCCAATACCATCAATTTGACGAGCAACATAAGGTGAAGTTGTCCAGAGCTTAGCCTGTATATTTTGATATAATTCAAGAGCATACTTTAATTTGATAGGGTTTTTTTCTTGAACACTACAGTCGATTAAGCCTACAAAAAAAAAGTCATCAAGTCTATAGCTCTACTATATATTAGCATATGTATATACTTACATTTCGTGACACGGCTAAGATGGTTCATTACAGTGGATGCTTCTATAGCTAATAAGCCACTACCATTATTATAAAGCGAAATATCGCCAAAAACACACTAGAGTATATAGTTTATATATATATATATATATAAATAGATGGATAACTTTATAATAACTAACTTACTTGTAAAAGCATAAAAACCTTATCTGCTGTACTTGAAATTTTAGTTAATGGAAATCGAATATTAGCATGATTCTTTAAAGCGTTCAAGAATTGTTTTTCTCCAGGATTGAATCTAATCATATCAAATTCTTCACAACATTTACTTAAAAGATCTAGCTATATAAGAGTATTATTACAGTGATTGTTATATAATAAATATAACTAAAGGTTAGGTAGAGTTAGGATATAATATCTTACAGTATCTCTGACAGAGTTTGGGTTTTCAGCTTGAAGCAGTTTTACCATAGTAGGAAACTTTATATAAAATTTATCCATAGCTAGACCATATGCTATTATACAAAAAAAGAAAAAAAAATACAATTGAATATATAACTGTTTAATAATAATAAACTTTTTTTTTTTTTTTTTTTTTTTTTGAATCATATATTACGTGTAGGCTTAAATGTATGATCATTTGAATATGCTTGAATTAGATTATTCTCTTTAAGTAGCTTCAAGTCTTTTACACATATTTCTATTTGACAGTAAATATAAGTTAACATATAAAAACCTACAACTAAAAAAAAAAAAAATCAAATTACCTTGCAAAATATGATTAGTTGATATCGAACCTGAACTTAACTTGTAATGTATTGGGTTTTTTGTTACTCTTACATAAAGGAAAGTAAATTGAAGCCTTTTTTTTTTTTTTTTTTTTTTTTTTTTTTTTTTTTGAAAGCATTAAATTCAATGATATACATCTATATTTGTATATGCATTACCATTTTAAAGCCGATTTTTCGTCAAATAGAGTACCCAAGCATATCTCTGACATTAAATGTTCTATCAAGTTTTCATGCAGTCTTGTTTTTTTTTTGTTGTTAATACCCTTTTTTTAAAAAGAAGCAAAAATACATTATATACCTGCTTTCTAAATTTGTTGTTCCAGATACAAGTGATTTATATCGTTGTTCCATTTGAAGAGTTGTTAAAATAACCACACAGCCTGAAGTATCTAATCCAGGTCGTCCCGCACGACCTATCATTTGGAGAAGATCGATATCAGAGTATTCAGTTAGACCACCATTTTGATATCCTGTGAAGGAATATAAGTATATATATATATTTATATATGTATAAATGCGTTATGAAAATAAAAACCTTGAGTCGATTTAACAATAACCAAGTGAGTAGGTAAGTTTACTCCAACAGCCAATGTTGAAGTAGTAGCTAGTATCCTTTTAGGTTAAACCTTGTTTTATAATAAATTATACATATATAGATAGATAGCTTAAATACCAATAACTCTTATATATCTGTTAGAAAATAAAGTCTCAATTTGAGAGCGATCACTTAGATCGAGTCCGGCTATGTATGTGTATATGTGGATACATATAGATATATATGTATACATATTTAAAAAAAAGCTATAAGCAATAATAAATTAAAAATTACTTATATATAAGTACATACCATGATGAAAAGCAATTCCTTTTTCAACTAATTTAGGTAAAATTTTGTTCTTGAAGGTAAGATTGGATCGTTCTCTAGTATTTCTAATTTTATTTTATTTTTTAATTCTTATTTTATATGTATATATTTATATATATTTTTTACACTTTTGTGATTATTCTACCTTAAACTGTGAATGCCTTTTTTATCCATCATTTTAAGTATAGTATTACAGGATTGCTCTGCAGATTTACGAGTTGAACAAAACTAGAAAATACATGCTTTTTCATCAGATTTATTTAGTTTAGAATGATCATGACAATAAAATACTTTACGATTAACACTGGCTTGTTATTACTATGTTTCTGTATCATATCTAGAAGTCTAATATGCTCTTGTTTATTATGCATTGTTTTTTTTTCTTTTTTAGTGATATTTAATTAACTTACTTCCAATCAAGTCTTCTATCAAATAAAAACATATTTTCTTCATGTTGAGAATATGCATAAACAAATCGATCAAGACGTATAGGCCTGTAATCTTCAGAGAAGCAAATAGCTATTTATTTATTTAGACAAAAGAAAGATTATATTTGTTCCTATACAAACGTTTTGCATCCAGCCAAGTAGCAATATCATTTAAGTTAGGCACAGTGGCAGATACAGCGATAAAACGTAAACGATTATTATCCATTGTCTACCAAGATAAATGTATAACAATAGTTAAAGGGGAAGGGGGGGGAAGTTATAAGTATATATTTATAAATATATATTTATGTACATGTACATGTATATGTATTCTCACTTACCTTCATTCTGCTTACACAAGCTTCTAAGCATGCACCACGTTTTTCATTAAGTATATGAACCTCATCAATCTAATAAATAAATAAAAGGGGGATATGAATAATGCTATTATGTATATATCATGTGCGCATTTAGATATATTATAGTTACTAGAAACAAATTAATAAGTCGCATTAATTGACGATGATCAATCCAGTGTCTTGTCATTGAATCCCATTTTTCAGGTGTGGTTACACTAAACAGTGTTATCTTTCATTAAATTTACTCTATTTTATTACTTACATAATGGTAGTCTTTCTGATAGTTGAGATTGTATTATTATGAGTATCACCTGTAAATTCTTTACCTAATACAAGCATGTTAGTCACCTTTTTTTTCTTTCCACCCTCTGCCTTTGCCTTTGGTTTTGCTTTTATTTTATGTATATATATATATATATTACAGTCAATATTGAAAGGCTTAAATTTAGTCTGCCAATCTTTTACTCTTTCACTACATAAGCTTTTTGTAGGTGCCATATAAATGATTTTTGAATCAGATCCACTATGTAAAAGTGCTCGAATGATAGCTAATTCCATGATGACAGTTTTCCCAGACCCAGTAGGAGCTATTTAATAATATAGAGAAAAGTGTCGATATTCTTGATATACATATACAAAGTGATATCCTTATTACCTGAAATAACTAGATTATTATTTTCATAGTATGCCTACAGAAATAATATTTACTATTTATCTATTATTGTTTTTTTTTATATGTTTACATCATTTAAGCATATAGATTGAATCTTGTTAAAGAATGCAAACTTGAATATAGAATTAAACGGTGATGCTTATATAAACTAGATGTCAACCAACCAACCAACTAACTAACTATAAATACATCAATTTTATACTTACGAATTTCACTAATAGACCTTAATTCATCATTGTTTTCCAACAAGAAAGCATCTTTTTGGATTGAATCTAAAAAGCAAGTTACTATTTTATAAGGTAACTGAACCCATTATATTACAAGTAGATACCTATATTGTGGTTTCTATTGACTGAACATGATTCCCCCTTTTTTTTTTTTTTTTGGTTTCAATAAACATCAGTATAAAACATGATAAACATACCACTAGATTGTAGGTTACCTTTAAATTATTATAAAAAGGTGCAGTAAGTTGATCAAGTGAGATCTCTTCTTGTGCTAACCATTCTTCAATATCTTCATATTCATCATTCTCTTGTACTTCTTTTATCTTCTTTTTATCGTTTTCCATTCTATCTTTGAACAAAGATGTAGGCATATTTAATTAAAAAAAAAGAAAAGAAACAAAGCAAAAAGATATAAATGGCATAGATATCATTTATATTTGAATAATTAATTTAACAACATTTTTTATTCAAATGAATATTGTTTTCATATTTATCATTTATACATCTTTTGCCACTATTTATTTTAAAATATATCCATCATGTTTTTTTTAAAAAAAAAAAAAAAAAAAAATAATGAAAGTCTTCTTATATTAAACGTGTAATTATTGGTTATTTTATTTATTTATTTTTTCCCTTTCATTAATATACAAATATTTATAAAGAAAATGCTACATAATAAAAGAAAAAAAAAAACCCCCTCATTTTTTATGTATCTTTCTTTTTTTTTTCTTTCTTTCGTTACTGATTAGCCATCATAGCTTCCATTGACATGTTACCTTCCATTTGTTCCTTAACAAACATTTCAAAATATTGAAAGATAATCATGACCATCATCAAGATACCAGCACCAGATCCAATAACACCAAAGATATCTGAAATTGCAGCAACAGCAGCCAAGAGTGCACCACCAAAGGAAGCAGCAGGAGGAATGACACGTTGTAATTCTTTATACATAGAGATATCACGGAAACCAGCAATTGCAAGTTGTTGATCCTTAAGTGTCTTGGCTACATCACGAGAAGAGGAACGAGAGACATCAACCCAAACTTTAGAAAGATAAGAACAAGTCAAGAGTGTGAAAGAGATATAAAGGAAAGTATGAATAGGATCTACGATAGCAGCCATTAAACTGTGAGGTGCTGATAAATAATAGGCAACACCACTGACAGCTTCAAGTTGATTAGATTCAGCCATGGGAGCCCAAACACCAAGGATGCGAATAAGAATATTCTTTCCAAAGAAGATATAAAGTGTTTGAGAAAATATAAAGATATTAGCAAACAATGCAGATTGAAGCATGATGGGCATACTAGAAGTATAAAAAAGCTTAATGGGATAAGAGGCTCGTTGACCACGCATACGGTTTGATTTGACAGGGAGCTCAATTCGGAAACCTTGAAGGTAAACGACTACACCAAAGGCAATGACAGTTGCAATTAAACTCATCATATTAGTCAAATCACTGCGATAAAATGCATCCTTGAGGGCTCGGACCTTGTTTTTGCGAGATGCTAATAAACTGAAAAGAGAAACAAGAGCTCCTTCTCTTTCTGGTCCACGAATTGTTTCAATAAATCTAAAGGACATCGTCTTCCAGAAAATGTTTTGACAAATATTGGCTGCTGTAAAAAGATTAATACCGGAACCAAGTCCATAACCCTTTTGTAATAATTCATCCATCAATAAAATTACTGTGGAAGAAAAGACGATTTGAAGAATTAAAAGTGCGCATCGAATAGAGCCAATTTCATTGGGGTTTCCATAGACACCAGTGAAAACAAACAAAGAAGCTTGACCAAAGGCAATGAAGATGGCGAACACTATAAAAATATTTATTTATTAGAACTTTCTGAAATTCACCTCCCATTTAAATTTATCATTCTATTCCACTCTATTACAATGCTTATGTAATAGTGTTTACCCTTTCTTTATATAAATACTATCCTTCTCTCTCATCATTTGTATTCATACTTACATTTTTGTGCACCACAGAATAAAGAACGATCTTCCTTCAAGCTATAATCGACACGGATAATGTTAGAAGCTGCTAAAATTTGCATAATCATACCAGAAGTAAGAATAGGAAGAACACCCAATTCACCAAGTGTGCCTCGGTTAGCTCCCATCACGATGCGAAACCAATAAAAAGGATCAGAGGATTCTGATGAAACAACCCCATAAAGTGGAAGTTGAGACATTACCAAATATACAAAAAGTGCAATGACTGTATATAATAACCTTTGGTTGAAAGGAACCTATTTATATAAAATTAATAAACTTTTGGTATTTTTTCTTTCATCATCATCATCATCATCATCTTCGTCTTACTTTGCGATCAGGTGCTTCAATTTCAGGAAGAGCAGCCATGAATGGCTTTAATACTTTAAGTACCCGGACTATAAATATCATTATTTAGTAACCATTAATTATTCCAGTCTATGTGTTGTTTTGTTTTGTTTTTTGTTTTTTTTCCTTAAACACTTACGGCCCATTTTATTTTATTTTGTTTTGTTTGTTTTTTTTTCTAGACGCGAAAAAAAAAGTAAAATAAAAATAAAAATGTCAACTCTAGAAAATTTCTATTAGTTATGAAATAAGGTTTTTTTTTATTGGATATTCTGAGTCTAAAATTTACATATTTTTGTGCAACAAAATAAAGCAAAAGAAAATATTGGAGGAGGACTTTGTTAAACCCAACATTTCATAATATCTCTCAAAGAATTGTTTCCAGAGCGCACATTATAACTCATATTCATATAAATAAGTTTTACTCTCTTCATATCATCAAAGTATACGAATATCGTCATTCTCTAACTCTGACTCCTAACCCTAAGGTAAAGGATGTAGTAGTACCGTCTTGGAAAGGGTATCTATGCTTTAAAAAAAAAAAGTTTCTCTTAAAAACGCTATAATTAGGTCTTCACTATAGAAATACTCTTCAAATGGATGTATATTTTATTTTATTTTATTTTATTTAAAACAATAGTTACTATATATTTATTTATATAGTCTATTTTATATGTACAAAAGAAGAAGATTATCTTTTTATTCATTGAATTGCTGTTGGTGTAGGCTGCTGGCGTTGTTGTTTGAGTTCATGAATTCGCTCGGGAGAGGCTTCATCATGAAGATAAAAACAATCATCTCCTTTTTGGCAAGAGCCTTGCAAGTGATAAAATGTACATAACTTTAGAGATTGCTCCAATTTATTTCTCTCTTGATCATCTATTGGCTGATGAGAAAATAAACATAAGTCTCCAGAGTTACAATAACCTTTAAAGTGGTAATATCTGCAGGGCCCTGTCATTTGATGGAGACGAGCACGTTTTTCATTATCTAAAGGACCATGAGAAAAGGGACAGCTCTCTCCATTCTTACAACTACCATCAAGGTGAAAGAATCGGCAAGGCTCCAAATTTTTCAAATCCTAAATAAATCATGAATATATATATTATTATTAATGATGAAGGGGACAATAAGAATGAATAGTAAAGACTTACATGAGAGAAAGGGCACTCAAGCCCTTTTACACAAGATCCTGTTTTAATAAAGTTACACAATACGACTGGACGAGGAGGAGGAGGAGGAGAGGGTGAAGGGATTAGTTCAATATCATGTTTAAAAGTGCACTTATCTCCCTATAATAATAATGCTGAATTAGATGACAATTTAGATAGGAATAATATATCTTCATATTTACCTCTTTACAAAGACCTCTCATAAAATGACGACACGGAACTGTTGGAACAAATTTCTTCCGTGGAGTTGACTGCTTTTTTTTCTGTTCCTGTGTTTTCTGCTGCTTAATAGGGCGACCTAAAACTTTATATATCTTTTAGACTATATTAGTATGAATATAATATTACAACTTACTCTGTGCTGCTACTTCTTCTAATGAAGGCTTTGTATTAGTTTGTTGCGAATTGTTTTTTTGTGTTATTTTGTGTCGTGTATTATTTGACTCTATATTATTTGGTTGCGCTCTATTTGGCTGTGCTTTGTTTTGTCGCGTTTTATTTGTTTTCTACAATTAGAATAGTATTATATATTAATAAAAATATAAACTTTTTTTAAGAAAAAAAAAAGCTTACAGATTGACTGTTTTTTGTTTTTTGTTGTTCAGGACCACTAGCTTTCTCATGGTATTGCAAAAGAGCATCAAAATCCAAGTCATCAACATGTTTTGGATGATCAAAATGCGCAGCAGTAGCTCTTTCATCTTTCTTTAGTTGTTTTTTTGCTTTTCTCTTGAGCTTTTTCTTTTGACTTTTTGTTAATTTTTTAGGATCATTCACAGTAATAGGTTGAGTAGGTGTAGGAAAAGGTGTTAAGTTTTTCATAGCTGAGATACTTCTTTGTTTAACATTTTCAGTAACTATTGATACAAGATTATCTATAAATGATATATCATCCATTGACTTATCAATAGGGACGCGTTTTGTTTCTTCTATATTCAACGATGGTTTATTTGGGACATTAATAGGATTAGATGTAGGTTTAACAGTAGTTACAGTGGGAATAACCGTCGTAGTAGGGATAGTGGTAGCAAGAGAAATATTGGTGACTACAGGATCAGAATCTGTAGAAGAGGCAGCAGTAGTAGTAGAAGCGGTAGTAGTAGGTGCAGTAGTAGTAGAAGCAGTAGTAGTAGGAGCAGTAGTAGTAGGAGCAGCAGTAGTAGGAGCAGTAGTAGTAAAAGCAGCAATAGTAGGAGCAGCAGTAGTAGGAGCAGTAGTAGTAAAAGCAGCAATAGTAGGAGCAGTAGTAGTAGAAGCAGTAGTAGTAGGAGCAGTAGTAGTAGAAGCAGCAGTAGTAGGAGCAGTAGTAGGAACAGATATAGTTGCAACAGTAGTTTCAAAAGGCGTAGTAGAGTTGGCAGAGGATGTACCCACAGAGTTAGGAATAGTCATAGGGACACTAGAAGAGATAGTTGTTTTTATTTTCTTTGAGGCTGAATCTTTATTCTCCGTAAGGGGTTGTTTTCTTTTTTGTAACAAATCATTTACTGGATTTTCCTCTCTTTGGTTTTCTAGTTCTGTGGAGGTAACATTATCGCGTACAGCTTTGTAGACTACTGAATTGGCGTCATTTTTAGTAGGATCAACAAAACCTATAGCAGATAAAATTTTTAAATTAGTTACGGAATTAGTAACTAGAATAAAAAATAAAATAAAATAAAATAAATAAATTAGATTAATTAGACTTTACCATTAGAAAGGGAATTTGATTCAGGAGAAGATCTAAGCTTTTTTGAAGTAGGATTATCATTTTCAGTGTCTAACTGCTTCCTCTTCTGTAAGATCTTATTATGATTAGCGATGTATTCTTCTTCCTTATCTTTTAATTCACAAGATGGAGGAGGTACATCAAAAATGCTGAGAATGGATAACTTTTTATCAGACATTTAATGAATTTTTTTTTTCTTAAAAAAAAAGTATATAATTTGTGAAGTAACTGTTGAGTAAATTTATATATGTTTTTATAAATTAACAGAAATAAGAGTACTTAATAAATTAATAAATAATTATAAAATAAAAAGTGAAGAGAGATCTTGTAATTGTATATTCTTTTTTTTCTTTTTATATACAAGAAAAAAAAAGGTTATTATTTAATTTCCGCTAATTCAGGTGTATGCATTAAACCATAGATATCCAAGGTGACTACAGAATTTTCACTTATTAAAAAATGGGATTTATCTAAGAGGCCTGCTAGCCTTTTAGATAAGCCAATAATATATTATATTTGGAGATTTTATCTGTAAATATTTGAATTCTTGTTGAGAAGAGAACAGTATTCGGTGCTGTGACGTATATTGTAAGGTGATGATGCCTCACTGAAGAATATATGTAGTCTTCCATAATTACAGAGAAAATCATAGACAATTTTGTATATGTATTTTAGATACATTTAGTACATATTGATTCAAATTCTCAAACGAAAGTTTTTGAGGACTGTGTATTTCTTTTCCAAGCTTTTTGAATATACGAATATAGATGCATAAATCAAATTGTTTTTTAAATATTTAAGCATCATGTAGACTCATGCGAATTCAAGCAACTGAACAATTAAGCATATTTATCTTTATTGGTGTAAGAAGCAGAAAAGAAAAAGAAGAAGTGGAGAAGTGCAACATAAATCTGGCTGAAAATTTAATAATTTTCGTTGAGACATAGGAAAAGAGATAAACAAATAAGAAGAGACTATGGGCACTATACTAAACAAGCTTCTTATACTTTTATTTTTTGGTTAAATTGACTAGTAAAGCAGTAATCTAACATGCTTTTCTATTTAACTGATACAAGGCTCATCTATAAGTGGAAGTTATACATGAAGACTTTTTCTTAGATACAGCGACTCACAAAAGTGTGGCATAATAATTTTTTTTTCTTAACAAAAACGCCATTTTTTTTTTATTTTAGACCACTTAATATCATTTGTGAATTAACAAAAAGGTTTACTTCTTATTTAATATCGTTTTTTTTTCAAATTCATAACTAATCTGAACAACATTTGTGCATCATTTCCATTAACACATAGATCATCACATACAATAAAATGAGACTAATTCCTTATAATAAAGAGATGGATATTTTAGCAAAACTTAATGATAAGGAGTCTTATAGAGATACTTTTAAGGCGATGGGCGCGTCAACTAGGACAATTGGCAGAATTGTCAAAGAAGATCAAATTGAGATTAATGTAAAAAAAGTAAACCAAAGAAATCAGCCCATTACTTTGAAGATTGATTGCGCGATTTTTTTATACTGATCATTTTATCATTGCAATGGACGCTTTCTGGAACTTACATGATCAAGGGTATGATATTTTTAAGGGCTATAGACTTTGTAAGAAAGATGCAATTCTTCAACAAGATAATGATCCAAAGCATACATTCAAATATACCAAAAATTGGTTCAAGAAAAATAAAATAAATGTTCTTGAATGGCCATCATAGTCACCTGATTCAAATCCAATTGAAAAACCTTTGGTTTTATTTGAAGTGCAGTGCAAGCTTGCTGCCTATGATAGACCACCAAAAAAAAACATGGATAAGTCATGGGAGCGAGTAGCTGATGTTTGGTACAATAAAGTTACAACAAAACTATGCTTAAAACACATAGAAAGCATGCCAAGACATATTGAAGCAGTAATAAAAGCTATTAAGTATTTAATATTAAAGGTACGTTGCTCATTTCATTTTCCAATAAAGTATTTGCATAAAATTTATATACATGTGACTGTTAACATGACTTTCGAAATGAAAACATTATATAATGCATACATGCTATAATTATCATCAGAAAGAGGAGTCTTCTGTCTTTCCGCTAATATGTACTATAGAGCACTTTGCTTAATAAATAGATGATTAGTTGTTGCGGATTTGCATGAATTACCTAAAATTCCGATACATTGCCACACTTTTACGAGTCACTGTATGATTAGTAATAGAAATGCAGAATTATACTTACAGATAACCATGTTAAATATGTTTACTGAAGACAGATTATTTAATAAGGCTAACATAACAAATGCCTATAAAAATAGATGTTATTTACTGAATTCGTAATAATTTTAATGTTAAATAAGAATAAATAAATTCTACACTTTATAGGGAAAAAAAATTACTGGAGCAAATGAAATTCCAGGAATCGAAAAGGGTGTGTAAAAGATTTGGTAATTTTTTTTTTTTTTTTTTTTTTTTTTTTTTTTTGTAAAATATAAAGTAATATACACAGTACATTCTGCAGTTATTGTGTATTTAGAAAAACAAAAGTATAAAAAATGCTGCCACGGCTCTCGACATCTTGTCTAAGGGCTATGGCAACTAGAAATGTCTGGCAAACTCAATTAAGATCTCATACAACATCTCCGCAAAAAACATTACAATTATTCAACAGATTGCATGCACCTAGACGTTCCCCAATTTATGCGTATTTAAATACTACCAAAAGATTAATCACAACGAATACAAAGTCGTCTACAGTGAAAAAGAATGGGATAATAAAAAAACCTGTGACAGATGCTATCAACGACACTTCTAATAATAAAAGGAATGCTACAGACTGGGCTATTATTAAGCAGCTTATGAAATATATCTGGCCAAAGAATGATATTGGAGTAAAAACTCGTGTGGTTATTGCATTATCTTTATTAGTAGGTGGCAAGGTAAATATTGATAATGAATAAAAGAAAGAAAGTTTTTTTTTTTTTTTTTTTTTTTTTTTTTTTTTTTTGATTTGTAATACAAACTTTTTTTTTTTCTTACTTCAGCTATTAAATGTTCAAGTGCCTTTTTTCTTTAAAAATGTAATTGATTCATTAAATGTAACAATACCAGAGAATGGGACTCTATGGACTGTTTGTGGTGCTGCTATTATTGGGTGTAAGTATTTCTGTTTATAGTAAATGACGAGGATGTTGATTTGATATACTAGATGGTTTGGCTCGACTGGGGTCAAGTGCTTTTCAAGAACTTCGTAATGCTGTCTTTGCTGCTGTAGCACAAAAGGCCATACGACGTGTAGCACTTAATGTATTTACACACCTTCATAAACTTGATCTAGGATTTCATTTAACTCGTCAAACAGGTGGATTGAATCGAGCTATTGATCGTGGTACAAAGTAAGTTTTAGACTTTATGTAATCAGAATGATATTAAAGCATTCTACATAAATAGAGGTATAAGCTTTATGGTAAGCTCTATGGTATTTCATGTTTTACCTACTGCTTTAGAAATTAGTATGGTTTGTGGTATTTTGGTAAGTCCATTTTTCTTTTTCTTTTTCTTTTTTTCACTCTTTGGATTGACATTTTATGTGTAGGCTTATAAATTTGGTACACCTTATGCGCTTGTAACATTTGGTACAATTGTAGCATATACTGGATATACTGTTACAACTACAGCTTGGAGAACTAAATTTAGAAAACAAGCAAATGCTGCTGATAATGTTGCTGCTTCAAAGGCAGTAGATTCTCTCATTAATTTTGAAGCTGTCAAGGTAAATTATAGCCCCCTCCCTCTCTTTTTTTTTTTCTTTTTCCATATCATCCTATAATTAGAATAGGTTCATTAATAATACAATTTTTATAGTATTTTAATAATGAGAAATTTGAAGCAGAGCAATACGACAAACCATTACAAAAATATGAAAATGCATCACTTAAAGTAGCATCAAGTTTAGCTTTATTAAATGCAGGTCAAAATGCCATCTTTAGCACATCATTAACACTGATGATGCTGCTATCAGCACATGGAGTCATGAAGGGAACAATGACTGTAGGTGATGTTGTCATGGTGAATCAACTTGTATTTCAACTTTCAATGCCATTGAACTTTTTAGGTTCAGTTTACAGAGAACTTCGTCAATCATTAATTGATATGGATACTTTGTTTAATTTAGAAAATCGTACACCTTTAGTTCAAGATGCACCTAATGCTAAGGAGTTTATCTTTAAAGGAGGAGAAATTCGCTTTGAAAATGTTCGATTTGGATATCATCCAGATCGACCTATCCTGAAAGACGTATCCTTTACAATTCCAGCAGGATGTAAAGCTGCCTTTGTTGGGCCTAGTGGCTGTGGTAAATCCACTATCTTGAGATTATTATTCCGTTTTTATGAACCACAGTCAGGTAACATCTATGTGGATGGACAGAATATCAAAGACGTCACAATGGACAGTCTTCGTAAGGCGATTGGTGTTGTTCCTCAAGACACAACCTTATTCAACAATTCTATCTATTATAATATTAATTATGGACGAATTGATGCTTCACGAGAAGAGGTCTATCAGGCTGCTAAACGTGCTCGTATTCATGATGTGATCATGTCATTACCAGACAAATATGAGTCTACAGTGGGTGAACGCGGTTTGATGTTATCAGGTGGTGAAAAGCAAAGAATTTCATTAGCTAGAACTATTCTTAAAAGGCCACGTATCTTATTCTTGGATGAAGCTACATCTGCTTTAGATACTCATACAGAACAATCTCTCTTGGCTAATTTTAGAACTATTTTGCGGGAAACAGGCATGACAAGTCTTCATATTGCACATCGTTTAAGAACAATTGCAGATGCAGATCAAATTTTTGTTCTTAATGAAGGCAAGGTAGTTGAGTCTGGACGTCATGAGGAGCTTTTGTTGATGGATGATAGTGTGTATAAGAATATGTGGACAAAGCAAGAAAGTACACTTGCTTATTTTGATGAAGTTGAAAGACATGAACAAGAGTTTAATCAAGACGATGTCGATCATGTAAAGCACTAAATATAACACTTTATTTAATATGTATGTATAGACTGAAATAAATGCATGCTTTTCTTTTTATAACTGCTTTATTAAAAAATATATATATATAATGCTGAATTTAATATGTATAAATACATATATTTATATAAAATAACTGTATTCAATGGGTAATAATAATTTACAACAGATCGTAATCGTCCAACTATAATAATTGGTTAGTTTTTTTTTCAAAATATATTTTATATACATATAATAGACATTATTTGCGCTTACCTTGTCATTGTATTTCATAATCTTTCTCTTAATCTTCGAAGTATCAACCCAAGTTACATAATCCTCCATCGTTCTAGTCACTAAAAAGGCAGGATCAGTAATCGTTTGGGGTCCAACACGAACATGACCTTGTTCAACGAATGTCACAGCCTCTTTCACTGTTTCTGCCATTTTAAGACGGCACATGACAATAGGTAAACGTCTACGACAAAAAGCGGATACTGATACTTTACGACAATCGGAGAATTTTGTAGTTGCTGTAATAATACCCATATTGTATAATTTTTCTAATAAAGCCTTTTCTTGTTGTGTACGGAAAGGATCTCGAGAATCTAAAAGTGAAATCTTATTTGCCAGTTGTCTAATACTACCCACTATTTTGTTATATCTTATTTTTTTTTTTAATGTTAGTTGTCATTGATCGATCTTTGATCTTTGATCTTTAGTTTTTTATTTTTTTTTTTTTTTGAATACTCACTTGTGATAATCCTCTCTCTGCTGAATAAAGTATTTGCGAATAACCTTCATTTCTCGCAAAGTGTCATCTTTTTTCCATTGCAAGAAGTCCACCTTCTTTAAAAGTTTTTGTTCATGGTATTTTAATTGTCTCATTTTGCACTATTTTAAATGAAGATAAAAAAAAAAAGAAAGAAAAACACCCACATTTGTAGATGAGAGTTCAATCCTGAAAATTATTTAATTTCAAAATCCGATTTACTTATTAAAGTATAACTGTCTACTATCTAAGCCACTGGATTTATGAAATTACCAAAATGAAATAATAAGGCATAAATACTTATTTTAATAAAATGATATTGCATTATCCAGGACAGATAAAAAAAAAAAAAGCTATAAATAAAATCGGATAAAAGTCGGCATAAATTGCAAACAGACAAAGGGGATAAGGGTAGTTCAAAAGGAGAGAAGACGCAAAAGGATTTACCAGTACAAGAAGAAGGATAACTAAGACATATGCAAATGTAGTGTAGTTTACTTATATTGAAGTGACATCATGAGAGAAGGAAAAATACAGATAATATATGAATAACCAACAAAAGTAGAGTTTATTTATATCTTATAATCTTAATGTGAATGCATCCGTTTTCCTCTTTGCCGTCAACTAAACGGCTTTTTTCTTATGCTTTTTCTCTTTGAAGAGACACAAAAATCTCTTTTGTATAAGCACTCAAGAGAAATAAAAAATGATAAGCATAACAGATTTTGGTAGTTTTCAAGCATATATATATATTAGACTACTCGTCTATATTCGCCCTATCCTCCTTCTATTTATTATATACAAGCTGTACTGTAAACAGAGTTATAAATGATTTTGTCTTATTCTTTGATTATCAAGTACAAAATTATCATGTTATTTCGCTATTTTCAAAGGATATAGAAATATAAGCTAATAGAAATATGAATGAAGAGTGGTGGATAAGTATAGCTTGTTTGTTTGCTTAATGATGATTGTTAGCTATTTTCATGATTCATAAATATATCTGTTGATTCACTTTCCTTTTTAACACAGTCTCTTGGTAAAGATGACTATTGCCCTCCTCTCTCCCCCCTCCTTTTTATTTCTTTCTGAAGCCATCCACCTTCTTCAAAAGTATTCAAAGTGGCCTTTCCCCTCATTTGTTTGGTTTCGTTCCTAGCAATAACTTGTATTTTGTTTCATTATTTCTAATCAGGTAACTAAATTAGACTCTGAATCAAAATCTTTTCTATTTACCTTCTTCTTCTTCTTTGAAGCCTCCCTATTAAGTTTACCGAGTCATAAATTGTCATATATATATATATACATATATATCCTTATCTCTGCGTTACAACGGATTAGATTACATTTACTTTAATGCATACATATTATTTATATCTAAAGAAAATTGTAATGAATATCTAATAGTTGTCTATAGACATTACTTGGGCTGCTTTAACTTGATAACATCATGGATTGTAGCAATCTAAAAAATATATATAAATATATGTGAATAAAGGAGTCTTAAGGAGAATTATTCTTATCATATTGTCTAAATATAACTGGATTTAAACGTCAAATATCACACAAATGTTTTGAAATAGTTCTAACAATTGTGTTTATGTTGCATATTTAAAGAGGAATAAGATTTTGTATAACTTAATAAAGTGAGATAATGATAGCTAAATCTTTACACAAGAAGAAGTATAAAGAAGATATTGGTAAGCATCTCTGATTATTAAAAATAAAATTAAGATGGATGATTCCCATGTATATATATAAATACATGTATATAAAGTAATTAAGCCCAAGAGAAACAGACAAAAAGTAGTGGCCATTATATGAATTAATTGGATAAAAGTCTTTTTTTATTTTATTTTATAATGAGCCTATTTACAGCTCTACTACTACTAACTACTACTACTAACTACTACTACTAAAATTTAAACTAGGATAATAGAAAAAAGGGAGAAAGATACAAATGCATTTAACTCTCCTGAATTGAATTCTTTAAGAATCATTTTAGTTTTCCGTCGAGCGAAGAGTTAGACGTAGCCAATTCAAAAAGAAATAATATAATTTAGAGTTACTGAGACATACAATTCTATTTCTTACAATAAATGACAACAAACCTATTCGTATGCGGCTAACGCTGATTAACAAAACAACAAGCGCAAATTGGGGGGGAGAAGAAAGTACTACTATGCACATAGTAAATATTGTTTATTGATATTTTCACAATCCGCATAATGAAAATTTATGATGAAAATCTTTAAAAAAGGTAAATAAAATTGGATGCATGTCCCCCCCCCTCTCCTATGACATCCAATTAGAATACTAAGATAACGTAAATATTCACACTAAGATAACATATCTACCAATAAAAATTAGTTTGCTGGCTGATATTTGCAAATACCATTTCCATGTTTCTTTAAAAGGAAAAAAAATTGGAGTCAATTTTTTCCAAAATGACGAACCAAGAAGAAGGCACATACTTTTTAGTAATAGAGTTTTTTGCACTTCAAATTCAGACAATGTTAGTATTTTTCTGGACGAATCAAAATTAATTTTCAGGCATTTAACTTACCTTTTTTGGAAAAAGTATAAATGGAAATTAGAGGTATGTTTAGACTTTTTCACCTACTAGACATCCAATAATGTAGTATATTCTAATTGATAATTGCCAAATAATAATTTCTGGTCCTGTACACCGAGAGACAATGGATGCAGGTGGATCTTTGAGACTGAATTTATTCGAAGAAAGCTTGAAAGCTTAGCTTGGAGGGCAAGTAGGTGTGCCTAATTTTATAATCATAAGCCAAATAATCCTTTATAAACATTTTGCTTACAACACAACTGGTGATAGCCTCAAGCGTTTGAACCATAAGCAAAGGTCGAAAAAAAAATGACAACCTTCGCTCAGCGGGATCCCACTCTCCCCCACACCACACCCACCACCAGTAATAAAATAAATGTTGTCTGTATAATCACCTCTTTTTTTTTTTTAAAAAAAAATCTTAAATAAATTGTTTTTTTTTCACTTTATTACTCTATTGAATATGTCTAATGAATATCGGTCTGGCATTATTAAAATAGAGAAAGAAACGGTTTTCAACATTCGACTAGTATTTAATGAAGGTCAGAACTTTATAAAAAATGTATATAAAAGTTTTTACTAACTGATATTACAGCAAACGCGAAGTGTACTGACTGTGAAGAAGTAGGACATTTCAATAAAAACTACTACAGGTGCAAGTTTTACAAAGAAGTAGCCGTTAATGATGGTACGGCAATTTAATATTATACTATTTATATATAATAATGATCACGTATAGTTGGAACTTTAAGCAAGAAAAGAAAGGCAAAGCAAAAGTCTGAAGCAAGCTAAACAAACAGCAAAACGACAAAAGACCACAAATGATAATGTGACCGATCTTCATTGTAAGAAATGCCGTGGTGATAATCATTCTACAGCAAGATCTCCCTTATGCCCATACAATAAAACACCTGAAGACAGCTAAGATTGTTTTATGATGTTTTCAGTTTTGGGAAACTACGATACAAAGGGTGAGTATAGATAGAGATTGTATCAAACCAGACTTATGTATTTCTTACTTTTATATTTGTAGCATTGCTGAATTAACACCAGATGGAAACAACCAGATCCTTTTTTTTTTTTTTTTTTTTTTTTTTTTTTTTTGGAAACTTGATACGTACTGATGGTTTTGTTGTGGATTTTTTTGTTTTACAAAAGATGTCAAGCCAGTTACGGTCCTTCTTTTCAACGCTTTGAGTTGACTCTTCACGACTTTACTTTACCAGAAGTAGCAAAGGATTCATCCAATTTTTGTTGACCCTGGGCGAAAGTCTGTATTCACTGCTGTGGGTGGTTTAAACGAGTCTAGGCACCCAATAATCCGCTGCAGTACTAAAGAGTATTATTATCTTACTGGTTTGACTGTTTTTTCTGCCCAGCAACAATTTTTGAAAAGTCAAAACGGAATAGAGGATATTGAATCAAGAATTCCTACAACCAAGACATCAAACCCGGAGTGTTTTTTAGACTATGTTCAATATATGTTTGACAACATAAATACTATATTCAATTTTTACAATTCCAGTACTGCAAAAAAAAAAAAAAAAAAAAAAAAAAAAAAACGCTTCCAACTTTATCAAGGGAGGCAAAAAGCGCAAGAAACTATGGTCAATATGCTTATAAACGGCGACACCAAATATAATCGAAGTAGGAGAAACAAGAAGAGGTAGAAAAAGAAGAAACAAAAGAAGAAAAGACAGAAGAGACCAAATAAGAACGATGCTATCAAGTATAAATATTTTCTACTTGATTATATTCAAACAGTTATTAATTCAATTTTTTTTACTTTAGAGAAAAACTGAACAAATGGAGGCCCATCAAATACAAAGAAGACAAGACGAAAGTTCCTCTGATAGTATTTGGAAGTGGAATGTTCAATAAGGAACACCAACAAGATCAGGACGCTCAGATGTGGGGTGATAGGTATTTTATGGCGCGCGCTGAAAAGGCGAGAAACGGCTGGATAACTTATCACAATCACAATTGACGAGTTCCGAACATCCAAAGTATGCAGTAAATGCCAAACTCTAACCTGGATGCCAGCCTCGCCTGTTACTAGATTGAGTGTGCTTACCTGTTCTTCTTGTCATACTCTTTGGCAAAGAGACATTAATGCCTCCCGAAACATGATGACAATTTCTATCAGCATTTGGCAGGGACGAGAAAGATCAACACCTTTTCAACGCACTACCACTACCAACACCACCACCACCTCACCGCCACAGTCATCGCTGTAATAAACACAGCTTACCTAGTGTATTTAGATGACCACATTCACTCAACGTTTGTTGTTTGGATGCTTTACAAGTAAGCGTCTGAAAATTATGTTTACTTTGTTTAAAAACTAATCTCACTTCTTCTTCGTTTGTCTAAAAAAGGTAAGCTAAATATCTGAAAATTAATTTTCATTTGTCCAGAAAAAGACTAACATTGTCTGAATTTAAAGTAGAAATACTGCAGATAAGCTGAAGTAAGTTAAGCGTTTTGATTGGCTAATTCATAGTAAACAGAGCATAAAAAAAAATAAAGTCGTTCATTCACTCTTTTTTTTTTTTTTTTTTTTTTTTTTTTTTTTTTTTGTAATTATTATTTTTTTTTCTTTCATCTTCTTCTTTTCATTTTCTTCTGCTATAAATATAATTATACAACACTTTCTTTTAAATGCTATTATCATAGTTGCTTATATTATGACAGATTTAAATTGGTGTACATTTTGTGATAGCGCAATTAGTCCATATTCGGTATGATTTATCATATTGGATTAATTATATAAACTAAATTCAATGCTATTTGTAGGAATCACTTTATTGCAGTGAACATTGTTTACGCTCAGATGCCCTTCGTAATCATCCTTTATTAGGTTACAAATACCCAGAATTTATTGATTTCCCTAGACCTGATAACAATACAAAAGACAGTAGTAGCCATAGCCATAGCCATAATACCACTACTATGACTTCTTGTAATGGTCTTTCAACGCCTATCTCGCCTACATTAACTGCTACAACTAGTACTAGTATATCATCATCATCTATAAATAATTATGACTTATCTTCTTCTCCACCATTTAAATATGATTTTTTATTATCAACAATGACGTCTTTACCTCCTATTACAAGTATCATTACAGCAAAACCAGATTATTATACTTTTATTAAATCAACAACTACTAAATATTGATTGATTATATACCACATTCTTTTTTATTATTATTTTTATTTTATTTTATTTTTTTCTTTTCTTTTTCTTTTTCTTTTTTTTTTTAATAAATTTCTGTGTGTAAACTTTGTACTGCCCTGAAAATTATTTTATGTTTAATTAAATTTGAACATGTCTAAATTTAGTAGGAATATTTTATATGCTTTATTTGTTAAGTCATAGTAGAAACTCATGTTTGCCAATAGGAATCTATTTAATATGTCGTAAGTCGAATACATTATATCAATTGATTTATACTATACATAAATACAATCTTGTTATTTAGATGATGTAATAGAGTAGACATAAGGGATGTGTGTGTGTGTATGAGGGGAAGGGGGGGGAGCAGAACTTATTTACTAAAATACCTTCATGTATACTACTTTTAGTCAAGTAGTTTGCTCTCTGGAATATTATCTGATATTTCTGTGTTTGTATTTAAATAAATTTCCATAAAAGTAAATTACCTCTTTAAATAATTAGATCAAATATCATGTAGCCTTAAGAAGTAATGAACAAACTATTGGTCACAAATGTAAACAAAACAAAAAAAAGGGGGGAGGAGATTAAGTGAGTAAGTGAGAGAAGGAAAGATGTACCCAGATTTCAATCTTTTTTTTTTATCTGTTATCTTTATTCTACTACTGAGACTTTTTGTACCAGTGCTTATTTAAATACTGTGTATACAGTAGCGTGTGAAAAATAGATATGCATATACACTAATAACAAAAAAAAAGGGGGGGAGAGAGGGAATTGATTTATTTTTTTATGACTTGAGAGAAAAAAAAAAGTGCTTGCTACTATAAAATATTTATTAAGAATTATTATTTTTTTTTTACATACTAATAAACATGTATATAAAAAAAAGAAAGAAAGAGATATTCTAGTACTTTACTTATCATTTATTAAGCATGTCTAGACAATGATACACAGAAAAAAAAAGGAGCAAACTACCAATAAAGTTCGTATTTACATTGCTTCCAAAAGGTAATATCTCAGGTACAAAAGGATATAGTTGTTTCAGAGAGCACGTTCTAAAAATAAGTTGTTGTGTGCTTTAAAATTAAAGAAGGGGAGGGAGGGGGGCCTTGATGGTCTTCTAATTATCTATCATATATTTATATTTCCTATTTGAAAATTTAATGTGCAATTTTTATACGAAGGTGTGTAAGGGTTTACTGTTCTGGGATTAGGGACAATCTATTTTTTTTTCTTTTTTTTTTTTTTGGAAATGATTCGTTCTCATACTCAGTATCTGGAATTAATACCTGCGTAGGGATTTTTCCTGAGCTACTGTGATGCAAATAAATATAAACTTAGAGATATAGATTTTTTTTTATTATGAAAGACATGAAAAAAAAAGAAGCATACCTATACTCATTATACTATTCATGACAGGGCTGTCCTTTTTTTTTTCTTCAATCTAACGATTATAAAATGTTAGAATACTTTTGTACAGCACAAAATCAAGTGAAAGTACTTTAATGAAAATCTCTTTCAGAGTAGTGAAAAGAAATGTCATAGATACATACTAATCAAGGAGCATAAATACACTATACTTGGTTTATATCGACACTAATTCTTCCGTTGTTATTACCAAAGAAATCGAGCAATTCAATAGTCTGAAAATCACTTAATATACTGTCTATGATTTGATACAAATTAGGTACCCACTTTCTCTTAAGCAGGCTGGGTTTCAGTAGGCAGAAAGTAATAACCAGTCAAAGATCAAGGTACAGCATATATATTGGTTCACAAATGAAGGCATATGTAGCTTCTTCTTCTTTTTCTCCCCCCTTAACAAACTGAGAATCTCAGGATGAATTTGGTATTTTATGTAAATATGAAACATACGAGTGCTTTGTTCAAGAAAGACACCGTTTCTATCATGACAATAAAGGTTGTAATCAGATCTGCTGCTATCTCTATTTTAGGATTAATTAAAAAAGAAAAAAAAATCCAATCTTAATAAAGAGAAAAGCGGGTCAGGAGTTTAGGAGAAAGAGAAATGTGTGTGTGTGGGGGGGAGTGGAACTCTTTTTACTCCAGATGAATGATACTTGCAACAGCGTTTAATGGTGCAATTTATATGTATTCTTATTGAGGTAGCGCTATGATAGTCGACATTGTCGGCTTCTGAAATGACCAACAAGATTATACAAGCAGATACATTTATTATGTGAAAATCAACAGTACTCATTTACATGATATAAAGTCCAAATTTTGGTCATTTGATTATAATCAAGTAAGCTTTATACAACAAGTATCAAAACCCGGTCACGAAAAACGAAAAAAGATCTAAATTCACCAAGAATTTCTATTGTTAAACTCTAAAGTACAATAACGGCTTCTGTTAGAATTCGATTCATGTCTTTAACAATATGCACTGCTAAGAAGCATCTCATTTTAGCCTTCTAACTATACTAAAGGTCTAATCATTATTCTATATCGTTTTTTTTTTCTTTTTTTTTTTGTTTTTGTTTTCCCGTAAAGAAAACAATAAAAAAAGTAAGACACTTTTTTCTTATTTGCTTTGTTGATGATCGGAGAAAAAAAAAAGGCTGTAATGTAAAAACAAAAAACGAAAAACGAAAAAAAAAAAAAAAAGTATAGCGTGTTAAGGATTTCCCCTATTTTCTTTTTCTTTTTTTTTTAAAAAAAAAAAACTTCCTTTTTTTTTTAAAGAATAAAAATAAAAATAAAAAAAATATGCCTAATAAGGTGCCAAATGAAGGTATTAAGCAAATAAATTAAAAATTTTATTGTACATAATTTAGTTAAACCTTACTATTAAAAAAAAAATTAGAGTTGCCTGTACTTGAACGATTATTAAATATTCGTGCAAGACTTTCAGCTGTCAAACGTGACCGCTCGAGTTATCTTAAAATGGAAGATATAATGCCTTTACGTCTTGAAACAGAAGATGAAATGAAAATCTTGAGTGATTTAAGAGGAGGTCGACTTTTAGATGAATCTCGTGAATTGAATAGAACTGACGATGTTTTAGATGAAATTTTACAAATGTTGAGTTTATGCTTTTTATCTTTGGGAAAGAAAAGAGAAAGTAAGGAAATTTTACAAATGGCAAACAAATGATTTATACTGTCTATAATATTAGGTCCTGCTGTATATTCACAAGTAGTAGCTATTAAGGTAATATATATATGTATACATATATTTATATTGATTACTTTTTTTTTTTCTTTTAAAAAAAAAGACTAATACAAACACATGAAAATACAGCATATTTTTGATCGTTTAGATGAATTTGGTGTTTATGAAGAGGAATATTTGGAGCCATATAAAGCCAAATTGGATGAAATTGAAAAAATTTTAAGTGTAGATAGTAAAAATCATGCTTTACCTGAGCCGGTTATGCAAGTATTACAGTATAAATATAGACAATGCAGTAAGTGCTTTATAATTTTATATGAAATTCTATAGATATTAACCTGCATAAAATAGGTCTTATTTATAATAATTTAATCAACACAATTCATGAAGTAGCACCTGAATTGTAAAGTAATTCATTATATAGAATTCAAAAGAAAAGAAAAGTACATTAACTTTCTTATAATAGAGTTCCGATTAGAGATAAAATGTTACGTATTAGACGACATCTTGCTTCAGTATGTTGTCGTAGTCATTATTTACCTAGCGATATAAAACCTTTACAAGAAAAGATTCGAGAAATTGATAATATGCGTATTAATGGTAAATTTATGAGTGAAGATGGCGTTTCTATTCCTGCAGGCCAAGCTGTTATTATTAACTTACTTGAGCAATTATTCTTTTGGTCACACGACCTCATCATTGCTTGTAGCGAGGACTTTTCACCTGCTCTCCAAAGTATTCGTGAACGTTTACTTGAAATCAAAAATCAACTAGAAAGATTAGAATTGACACATAAATGGACCTTACGTCAAACAGACCTGTTTACTTACCAACATCAGTTACATGATATTGTAAAAATGAGATACAGTGATAAAAATGAAGAACAGGCAGGTGATCCTAAGCTACTTGGTAAATTTTTGGATGAAAAAGGTGAAGCAGCTGAAGGACAGACACTACTTGAATTTTTACTTCATAAATGTTATCGAATGATTTTCGTACTTTTGAGTGAAAGTGTTCCAGTTTCAGAGGCTTTATCTCCTGTTTATAATCAGTTAACAACTGTTCGTCAATGTTTATTAGCTGTTAAACAAACAGGTGCCCCCTGTTCTGCCGAAGAACTCTATCCGTAAGAAGTTTTTTTTTAAAAAAAAAAAAAAAAGAAAGGAAATAAATTAACTTTTATATTTTCTAGTTATCAAATGAAATTAACAAGTATTGAAAACTTGCGTAAGGATGGAAAGTTTTATGACGATAGAGGCCATATTCCAGAAGGTAAATTTTTATATTATACTAAATATAAAATGAATGAAAGATTCATATTTTTTTCTTTTATATATATATATAGGTCAAGCTTTGTGTATTGATATACTTGAAGAATGCTATAAGCTTTTAGCGTCTTTACGTGAATATTCTGAAAGCAAAGAACAATTGACGTCTGAAGAAACTACATCCAATTAATATTGTACAATGCTATTATTATTATTTAATATAACATGTAATAACACAAATTATAAATATTGCTCTTTTTGTTAGTATATACACATATAGATATATATATTGATGGCTTGAACTTTTGAGTGAAACCCTGATTTGTGTATACAGTCAACTAAAGTTTAAGCAGAGAACTTTGATAGTTTCATTTCCTTCACAATTTGACTCACATTAATATATGTATGTATGTAGATCTTTCTTTCTTTTTTTTTTTATCTTCAGTTCTTCCACATTATAAACTTCTGAATGTACTATTATTTCATGAGCATTAAGAAAACATTTCATTTCTAAATTCTCAAACTGTATAAAAAATAATTAATAGCTATGCCGGTATAAAACAATTGTTCGAATGAGACATTGATATTATAATAAACAAACAAACAAAAAAGGGAGGGAGAGAAAAAACATAAAAAAGTTAGATATCAGTATAGAATGCATATTCAATATATAAACCCTAAAGAAATCAAATATAACATATATTTGCTCCCTATATTATTCACGTATCGTTCTCAATGTTTAGTTCAGATATAAGCTTATAATTGGCACAGCAATAGATTGCTAGCTACTCAAGTTTGGATCAACCTATTTAATTAGGCGTATTGTTTACCCAAATAAGTAGTATTTCACAGAAAGTTGCAGCTGCAAGCTTAGATTCTTTTTTTTTCCTCAACCCTCGATTAAAAGTATCCAAGTACACAATATATAATATTTAACATGGAATTTTAATAGCTCATTTACGCACTTCTTTAGGATATATGGATTTAAAGACATTGCATACTTTATTAAAATATACAAAGTATGATTCAGTTGTAGCTACTACTTTCCTACTGATCTCGGATATTTTTAAATATAAAATTATAAATAAAAGAATTGGCCTTTCGAACTATTTCTCAGTCTCATTAACTTCACTAGTCTTTTTTATAATGATATATAATAAAAGCGATATAAATAAACCATTTCTATACTATGGCATATTTAGTAGAATTTAATGTGACTAGAGTCGTATAATTAGTATCTTTTTTAGGCAGCTATCTACTCGTTGACTCTCATTTTGTTTCTCTTTATTGGCTTTCAGAATAAGGTCATTCCTTATCTTACCTACTAAACTTAAACAAACACTGAAAATATTTTAGCATCCATTTTTTTTATCTATCTTATATCTTAAAATCTTTAACTCTTATCTCCATATTAATCTTGTAATACAGAATTAGAAAATTGACCTGTAGTGGTTAGTTACAACATTAATAATCTTGAGTGGAGAATTTTGAATGTTTATACTCCTTTAGAGTAGTCCTTTTTTTTAACAATCAAATTATCCAACATATCTTTTAAAGGCTTTGGTAATATTATTAAATCTTTAGTCATACGTATGATCCTCTTGTTTTCGTAATTAATGTTGACTTTAACAACCTCATAGTATAGCTGTCTACTATCACGATGGTCTATATTGCTATTTTTAATTAGAATATTACAACTAAAATCCGTTTTGTTTTTATTCTTATTGGTGTTACTAATTTATTTAATAATCCTGTTTGCTAGTCTTTACACCAACTTATAAAGATGATAATCAATGCAGTACATAAACAACTACAAAGCTCATTTAGTTAGTATTGAATCTTCTTCTACAAGTCGTTATTACATAAAAGTTTTTTTTTTCATTTATAATTAATAATAAAAAAGGGGTAATGATCCAATTAGCCAGTAGCTTTCTTTTATATAATAATAAAAAAAAGACTACTGTTTCCAGAAGCAACCAATCGTGGAGGTTGATCATTATGTGCTTCCTTTCACAGTTTTATTTAACGAGAGACGTGAAAACACCAGATGAAAGATACTCTCGGGATTGAATATTTTAAGTGACCAATACATCCAAATAACTTCACTGGGGGATTTATTATTTAGAGTGACCATTATCCGGAGAATATCACTGACGATTTATTGTTTATAGTGACCAATATCCTCAGAATATCACTTTCACAAAGGAAAAGAAAAAAAGAAAAAGAAAAAAATCTATTTTTCTTCCCCTATTTATATTTTTTTTTCCATATAAACAAAAGGTTTCTAATAGGCACAGTGCTTTATTGTGGCTTATTGTTTTCTATTAATGGACATTTAACGATATGACTCTGTTTACCTTTGTTACACTTTAGATGTAGATCATCATACATATTAAATTCCAAGTTTCCCCCCTTTTTTTTTATTCTGTTGCTGCTTATATAAATTCTTTCTATTTATAGACTTTAGTATAATTCCATTATTATACAGTATACAATCAATACAACTCTAAACATTTCCACTTATGCTATATATTACAATAAAAGAGAATATAGGCACTGTATGTATGTATATGTCTCTTTATATAAGGATATGAATAACAGCAGCATACGCCAAAATAAAAGAGCTATTATGTAATGGATATTATAAATCTATAACAAATGAAAGAAACATTCAGAAGTTCAAAAGAATAATACATGTATAATGATTTCAGCTTTATAAATATGTATATGAATATACAGATTACTAGGTTTATATATGCGTATTAAATGCTACTCAAATGTTACATGATTATTACTCTTATTAGTAATTACAACAAAACATTATACGTTTGTTCTTTTATTAGATTAAATATTATGATGATTAATAACAGCCTTAATCATCATAACTCGTAATAGAACAGGTGGTTCAATATTTGCCACTACCTTTTAAACTTAGTTCCTGAAAAAGTCATTAAGAAATATGCTGTACATTTTTTATTTTTACTCCTCTATCCTATCGTCTTTCCCACATCCTAGGGCCTTTTTGTTTTAGTTTATTTTGTTTTCCCTTTTTATTTTTTAATGTAAGATTATCTTATGTTCATATAAAGCTGTAGGGTATTTTAATAAAAATTTATTATATACATGTATTTAACATCTAGTCAAGTCAAATCAATTAGGCCATAAGGGGCAGTATTTATTTCTGCATATAAATAAATTATACATTTCTATACTGCACTTGGTTGAACATTTGATCTATGTATTACAGATATTTTTCATACTTGCTAACGATATATACATCCCCCCCCGAAAGTTACTAATAAATTTAATATTTTAACAAGATGCGTTCAAAGCACTTATCTAATGAGTTGATATACTTTCAAATGTGTAGTACTGTTTACTCATGTTCTAGACTTTCAAAATCAAAATTACATATAAGAATATAAACTAAAGGAAGACTATAATGGCTTATAATCCTGGGCTCCCTCTAACAGGATGACTTTTTGCTCCTATTGAATGCAATATAGAAGCTATAAAGAATATAACAAGTATTCAACTAATATTTGATCATTTGAATAGATTACAAGCAAGCCGTACATATAGGAGACGCATATATAAATATATATATAAGTCTTGAAAGACTATATAAAACCAAGATGCCGCAATTATAGAATAGATCTCAAGTATAAAGTAATTCATCATAACCATGCTTCACTTATAGTAGGAGACTTTACTTTATTCCTTCATATAGACTTGGTTATTTATTTTATAGTCAATATACTGCATTCAATCTTTAAATTTTTTTTTTATTATTTAATATCTTGTGTTATATATTAATCAAATAATACATTATTACTTTGTCATCTGGCTACCAATTTATTTTACGATTTTACAAACTAGAACCAAAGCAATTTACTAAAATAGGAATGTACATATAAATACATGTTTCTACAATTCGTGATCGTTTTTATGTAGCTCACGTGAAGTATTACAAAAAAAAATGATATGCTTCTGCTATGATAATAGTCTATTATTACATGTAAAATTAGGTGGAGGTTGTAATAGTATTCGATTAATAGCAGGATCATCTATTAAATCATCTTCTTTTATAATAGCTTCAAATTCATTAAGCTCATGAGGCTGCATCACTCTTGACAAACGATACTTTATTCCCAGATAACTCAAATAGTTTGCTTTTGGAAATACACGTACTTTTTTCACTCTAGGAAATAAGCCATCTTCAATATCCACAAAGGTTCCACCTAATCCTAACGTTTGTTCAAGTTTATATTGATTTATGCTTGCGAAGGGAACCCACTTTGAATGAATGAAAACTAACCAAGTGAAATGACTATTGATAGTTGCTTTTATCGGTATTAGTTGTTGTACATTACTAGCGTTCTTGTAGCTTTGCTGCTGGAATAAAGCATATTCAAGTTGATAAGGATGATTACGAATGTTTTTATGTATTGGCATATTTTTTTTCATTACTGAAAAAAAAAAAAGAAAGTAAAAGAAAAAGTAAGAGAAAAACAAAAAAAAAGGGCTACAACATTTATATGAAAGTAGTACAGTTCTTTAAAAAAAAAAAAATCACAACAAAGTTTTGATTTTAAAACCCTTAAAAGAAACACTTTCTTATAGTAAAAGAAGTAGAATATTTGACAAGATGAGTCACACAACAGAAAGGATCCTAAATCCCCTTCATTCCCTTTTTTTTTGGTTTTCGAAAAAAAAAAAGAAAAAAATACGTCTTTTGTTTGCCAAAGAACTACAGTTTGCATTATATAAAAAATCGAAATAATGACCATTCAACTTTTTACTATATTACCCATGACTAGAAATTTCTCTTTTCAGGAACTCGCTTTTACTCACTGTACTACCTCACATAATCCTGGGATTTTTTTTTTTAATCCAGTCGTCTGTTTTACTAACTATGCTCGACCAAGCAAGTAATGTATATTATAAAGCTAAGAAAATGTTCAAGTATCGATATCGATCTCCGAGTCAGATCAAAACCTACTCTAATGAATAGCAATTATTTTCCCATAAATCTACCTATTTTTGTCTCCTCAATATTCATTCATTCGGGAGGAGCAACAATCTCATTATTAACATTAAAACAAGACATAAATTGAGAAAGAACATTAATGAAAGACATTAAAATAAAAATACGAAGTTTAAAATGCATAAAACCAAAAAAAAACATGCTGTTATCAAAATGAAATCAATATCAAGTATAAATATATAAAACAGAGATATACACTATATTTTTATACAAAAATTTAATCCTTCATAACAGTATCGTGATTAGGTAATGCTGGTACATCTCCATCAACGTCATCATCATCATCATTAATATCATGGCGCAATGCTGCCCCCATATGATAATGCATAGCTCTTTTACGAAGGAATTCTTCATGGCGTTTTCTCTCTTTTTTATATATATACATATATAAATATAAATATTAACTTATCTTATTCTCTTCTTATTTCTATTCCTTTTTTTTTTTTTACCTTCTTCCTCTTCTTCTTCTGTTTTATTATCCCCATCCATCTCCCAATCATCATCACTTACAGAAACTCGTCTACGTGATTTTTCTCCGTTAGATGCTACACTGCTTTTGTCTGATTCAACATCTCCATCTAACGTAAATTCTTCTGGATATGGAATATCTGGAATATCTTTTTTTTTTATACATATATAATAGACTATTATTAAGGTAAATCTTACAACGTATTTCATTGCCTGGTCTTACCTTCTAAGTTAAGTACTTGATCTGTTTCAGCATTATAACGAACATAAGGTGTTTTTGGTTCATTAACTTTCATTGTAGAATCCTTTTGAGCTTCTGTTAGTTCAATATTTGCCTCATCCCATCTCAAGCTAACATTATGTAAGAAGTTAATTTCTATTTTTTTTTTTTTTTGTTTTATGCAGGTATTTATAACAATTTACCGTGTTGGTTCAGCAGGATTCTTATGCTTTTTTAAAATCCCCTTCTTTGGTTTTGCTTTTAAATTAGGTGAATGACTCATTATAAAGGTATATATTAGTAAAAAGTAAAAGAGAGAAAGAGAGAGAAAAAAAAAAAGAGAGAAAAGAAAACACAAAAAAAAAAAAAATACGGGGATTTAAATTTTATTCTATATCAGGATCGTCATCTTTAGGTAAAAGATGCTCAATGTCTTTTAATTCTTCCTTATAAAAATACTGAATCATATTTCTAACTGAACGTAAAGTAATATTATGTACAGGATGGGTTGGAGCCAATAAATTATCAATATGACCTACGATGACGAATTCATTTTCATAGGTCCATAAAAGTGAACGTAAGCCTTTAGTCACATCAAGTACAGGATGATAGCGAATAGAATGTTGAGCAATAGAAAGACCAGAAAGACAATAACAAGTATGATAGAAATCAGGACTTTTACCAGGCTTATCAATAAGACCTCCTAATTCAGATTGACAACAAAGTAGTATATATTCTTGTAAAGCTTCTCTGTCAAATAAATAATCATCTACAGTTATGCAAGTTAAATAATAAATAATAAAAATAAAAAGATATAAAATTTACATGTGTTATTTAATGTTTGTCGACTTTGTTCAGCACGAATAATAGGAAAATCACCTGCGCCCCAGAATGAGTAACATCCATCAACTAACTTATTTGTTCTTCCTTGAAATCCACCTTCTAAGCTCATTTGTCGACTTGAACACCAATACTAGTATTATGATTATTATTATACAGTGTAAATTAAGCTTCTTTCCTTTCCTTTTCTTTTTATTATTACCGTTAAACTATCTAATCTTAATTCACTCATGCCTTCTAGTATTTCCATCGCAGCTAAACCACAGAATGTATATCCATTATGAGCTTCTTTTCCTGGATAAGGTCCAATACCTCCTTCATAGGTTTGTGATTTTCGAATAAATTCAATACAATTTTCTGTTAATTCTGGTGTTAATAAATTTGTTAATAAAGCAACTGAAAGAGCACAATAAGATCCTCTAATAAAATTCCAATGTAAATATATACTTGATTTTATTTTGATTCTATTTTACCGAATATCTATCTCTCCTCCTTTATGCATCGTAAACGACCCATCAGGCTGTTTCATACTCATCAAAAATCGATATAACGTTTCTCTAAATAAAAAATCCTACTTACTCTACACTCTTTCTTTCTCATATTGCTTTTTTTTTTTTACCTGTTAATCACTTCATATGCTTCTTTCGTACCAATAATAGCCAATGAATTAATAGCTGCATATGTTGTAGCAAGATGAGCTAACTGATCCCCTCCTCCTCCAAAACCACCTGTAGGTAATTGCCAACTTTTACAGGTTTCGATTGTTCTAAATTCGTGAAAGTTAGACTGGTATTTTTTTTTTTTTTTTTTTTTTTTTTTAGCTCCATTAGTTAGTTAATACCTTGAGATAATAGATACATCTAATTCGTATTCTAATAATTCTAAAGAATGTAATATCCAATAAGCCACCCAAGGTTTACTTGCATCTAAAGCAGCTCCCCATCTTCCAAGCCCAGCTAATCCTCTTTTTAAAAATGCAATATGTTTTTTACGATCTAGTTCGATACTTGAAGGTATTACATGTTAATATAATAATAGATTAAACGGAGAATTTAAAGACATTTACCTTTCTAGAGGTAATTTGCGTATATTATTAGGTGCATAAGGAACAAACTTTTCTAACACTGAATCTTCTGTTCTTTTCTAATAATAATAAAAAAGATATATAAATAAACTTATGCCTCTTGTTTGTTTTATCATTTACTTGTTCGATAGATGTATCAGTGGGTAAATTATCATCTTTAAAACGTAAATTATTTAAAGGCACGTTTCCATTAAGTATTCCCATTTATTTTTTATTTTTATTTTTCTAACAAAAAAAAAAAAAAAAAAAAAAAAAAAAAAAAAAAAAAAAAAAAAAAAAAAAAAAAAAAAAAAGTGCGTACATTTCAGCTGTTGACTATCAATACACGTGATTATGTCAAAAATTATTACATTACATAATAATTTTAAACTTTTTTTTTCTTTTTTTTTTTTTTTTTTTATAGCTTAAAATAATGTCAAAAATAAAATAAAATAAAAACTAAATCAATACTTAGTTTCAAGTAATTAACGATGATATTTGTAATATTATAGAGTCAAGTTATTCCATATGATAATAAGCTATTATTACTGCCGCATTATTGCATGATTTATGAGTGTGACTTTCAAGTTATTTTTTTTTTTTGATCATAGTATAAACGCGCCTTTCTCTGCCCTTTTTTTTATTAAAAAAAATATTTATATTTTGATAAAAATGGAGTATGGTATGAACATGATGATCAACAAATAACTTTTATAGCCTAATTGTTTTATCATGTATAGAAATTGATAATAGCAATGTGAATGCTATTAAAGAAGGAGAAAATTTAATCAATGAAGAATACAAGATCTGGAAAAAGAATTCACCATTCTTATATGATCTTGTTATTTCACATGCGTTGGAATGGCCTAGCTTAACTTGTCAATGGTTTCCTGATGTAGAAAAGTAAACAATTATAAATCTATAGACATCGATGTGTGTGTGTGTGTGTGTGTTTTTTTAAAAAAAAATAACGTTTTGTTTTTTTCTTTCCTTCTTTTTTGTTTAGTCGACCCGATAAAAACTATAAAACTCAACGTTTACTACTTGGCACACATACAAATGACGAAGAGCCTAATTATCTTATGATTGCAAATGTTCAACTACCCAAAGATAATCAAGATATTGACCTGAGGAAATATGAAGAAAGCACAAATGGTAAAATAAAAAAGGAGTATAATATATACGTACAAAGTGTAATAATATTCACATTGAACAACAACGACAACTAGAGATTGGAGGCTATGGTTCCTTTAATGATGCACATATTCATATAACACAAAAGATTGTTCATGATGGGGAAGTGAATAGAGCAAGATATCAATATGAAAATCCTAATATTATTGCTACAAAATCAAGGACAGGTGAAGTATATGTATTTGATAGAACAACTCATGAATCTTTTCCAAAAGAAAATGAACCTTTTAATCCTGCTTTAAGATTAAGAGGTCATACAGAAGAAGGGTAATGTTGTAAATAAACAATTAAATAGGATGATAGCTTATATTTCTATAGTTATGGCTTAGCTTGGAATCCGCATAAAACAAAATCAAATCATTTACTTAGTGCTGGACTTGATCAAGTGATTGTTCATTGGGATATTGCTGCTGCTTCAAAAGAAAAGCGGATACTAGAACCATTACAAATCTATAGAGCACATACAAATGCAGTTATGGTAAATATATATATTTATATATGCATACATATAATGTATAATATTTTTTCGTTTCTTCTTTTTTTTTAAAAAAAAAAAGTTATTAACTTAGGTTTTAGGATGTAGCATGGCATATGAGACATGATTCTATTTTTGCTTCTGTAGGTGATGATAAGCGCCTCATAGTGTATGTATAATAAATGTTTGTAAGTCAAGTATGTGTATATTTATATATGGCTATTTAGTTGGGACACTCGAGAAGAATCATATCAGCCAATACATAGTGTTATTGCCCATGAAGCAGAAGTGAATTGTGTTGGGTTTAGTCCAGGAAATGAATGGATTTTAGCTACTGGCTCATCTGATAAGGTAATTTATATGTTAATTTTAAAATAATCTCGATTTATTATGACTGACATGATAACAAAAAAAAAAAAAAAATAGACAGCAGCATTATGGGATTTACGTAACTTGAATAACAAATTACATTTATTAAAAAAACATGAGGAAGACATTGTGCAACTTGCTTGGTCACCTCATCATGAAGCTATATTAGCCACAGCAAGTTATGATAGAAGAATTTGTGTATGGGATTTGGCAAGGATTGGAGATGAACAAACACCTCAAGATGCAGAAGATGGTCCTCCTGAACTACTGGTAAAATAAATGCATTTATAAAAGAGAAAAAAAAAAGGACTAACATAGCATAGTTTATACACGGTGGACATACAAGTAAAATTTCAGATTTTGCATGGAATCCTGCAGAGCCTTGGATGCTTGCGAGTACAGCAGAAGATAATATACTTCAAACTTGGCAAATGGTAATGAACTAAGTAGCGATGATAAAACTTATTTATTTATTTATTATAATTAGGCAAGTACAATATATGGTCAAGAGCTACATGATGAATCTGATAAAATGGAGCACTAAAAAAAAAAAGAAGTGGTTGCGATTATGCGCATATTAAAGATATTTCAAAATTTATATAGTCATTTATATACTTGAATAGAATAAAGTTAAATATATTAGCAGCATTTTACAAATAGGTAACCAAAACTTTTTTTTTTTTTTTTTTTTTTTTTTTTGCTGGATCATAATAGTGCAACCAGTGTATCATTTACAAATGAAAGGAGTGAGAGGAGAAGAGAAGTCTCCCAGATAAGAAAGAAAGAAATGAAAAAAAAAGAGGATCATGTATTTCATTAACTTCGAAATGGATGTACTTATTTGATACTTCACTCTATGTTAAGTAATACTTAGCATCATTGTGCAAGATATTATTATTATATATAGAGTAATATAAATATTTCTTAAAATTAGTTTTATCAAGAAAATACAAAATAATTACTTTAAAGAAATTAAAGAAATACAGAGAAGAAATAAATAGATAAAATATGTATATATTTGATATTCATCTATGCTAAAAGCACATGATAGTTTCAACAACCACGCCTTTACCAGCATTATTGCCAGTAGGGAACTTTATTTTGATCAGCCTAGTTCCTCCAGCCATAGTAAACGATAAATTGAGATCTAATAAGGTTTGTGAAGGATCAGCTATAGTGATTCGATATTTATTTGATCCTAACTTTCTAAAGAGTAAAACACAAGGCTTTGTCGATTCAATGATGAGCGATTTTCCCCACCATGAAGAACTGTAATTGCCTGGAGCCCAGAAGGCTATTGCGATTGTTTTATCTGCTGCACTGTAGGCTGCGTGTATGTAAGATGAACTCTCTTTGAAATCAAGCTGAATAGGAATCTTGTTTGAGCCTTTATTATTATGGATCTTCTCATTAAATTCATCAAGACTGATACCAGGCTGCACTACATACTGTGTTAAAAGACGATTATTGGTCAACGTATTTGAATGCTTAATATAGGACGTCCAAAGCTGATGCATTTCGTTCCCTCTAGAGATACCAATGGATGCCCAATCGGCTGCACGCGGTTTTGAGTTAACATAGATCGTCTCAGCATTAGGGAAATAATAACCCATATTGTCATGCCAAATACTACTTGTAGCTTTACTCTCATACATTGAATTGGTATTTCGAAGTCGGCCTGAGATATAGATGTTACCATTACGACGTCGTTGATCAAGGACGGTGACAAGGGGTGCGGTTTTATTCCTCGAATGAGTAAGGCCCACTTGAATAGCATAACCAGATGGGAAGAAGAAAGCGGTCTTTTTAAATGCTAAATTTCCATGAATAGGATTCATATAGTCCATAACAGCGATGCCTATATTATCATCTGTCGCACCACCTACAAACTCTTTTTTACCCTTTCTTTTCACTCTGTTACATGATAAGGGCGTTCCAAACATGTCTACAGTGATACCAGGTATTAATTCCCAATTCCAAGCTCCAAAGGTATCCATATATTCATCACCGGTCAAATAATTGTAGATGGCACCATCACTAAGATGAAAACCAAAAGGGTTTTGAGAATTAACACATTCGGAATTGACAGTACGACTTGAATACATTTTCATAGTGATAACATAAGTAGGTGCACGATGAACCTAAAAGAAAATGTCCGATGTTAATAATAATAATAATATATGTGTATATATGTATACCATATAGTCTGCATTATAAAAGTATTTGGTACCAACAAGTTTTCCTTGATTAGCGTTATCTGTTGAAGGCCTCTCTAAACGATCTACTATGGCATCAATTGTTTTTTGATTCTCCCAGCCTTTAGCACTTTCACTTACTTTTTTAAAATCAATAGCTACACCACCACTTGCTTGTCTATTCGAATATCGAAAAGAGATCATACGACCAATCACACTATATTGCCATAGAAGCGAATGTAATTTGATATCTGCGACCATCATCCATTCCGTACCACTCATCAAGGTAGCGAATGCTGATTTTACTTTAGATGCAGGCCCCAATGAGGTCCCCTTTGTTTCGGTAAAGATGGATAAGAGATCGTTGATGTAGTCCTTACCATAGTTACCATTATAAAGCAATCCACCGTGTTGCATAAATGAACCATCTGCTTGGATACCGTCTTCAGCCACCCTAGAAGTAATCTGTGCGCCGCTATAGAAATAATGGAGAGCTATTTGAATACCTGTCATATTCTTTGTCAAGAGAGCCAAATTAAAGCCTACTGAAGAGACATCTAAAAGATTGGCACCTGTGTATTTTGTAGGGGGTGAAGGTATAGGGCCACCAATGGTATCAAATGAACGGGCCTGAATAAGTGTACATTTTCTAAATTGATAGGGAGTCAAGTTATCTCGAAGTAATAAGCATATGTTGCCAACATAGCTAGGTACTGAAATTATTTGATTATACCAGTTTGTATTCCAAAGACCAGGAGTATGACAAGGACAATTTGAATCTAATTTACCGCCTCTTTCAAGACAATCAGGTTCTTTAAAATCATTTTCAAACCAATAGTTTAAAGCTAAATTAATTTTATCTAAAAGAGTCTCATCGATATGATTTACAACATAGGCACTAGCAAGTAAAACTAAGAAAAAAAAAAGGATTTGAGATTAACAATGATGGTTGTTATGAATAACATATATTAAAACCTCTTACGTGTTCTATCCAGATGAGTTGTTGCAGGCCAATTTGCACGTCTATTGAAAGGAAATAATAATCAAATATTAGAAGCATGATGTTTTTTTTTTCAATGATATCAATGTATTTGTATGTAACCTTGCATCGCAACCTGCAATCATGTTAATATCAGGCCAAGTACCTTCTGATGAAATTGAAGATTTCCTGATCATTTTTATGCATGTTAACAATGACGCTCTTTACCTCAATTTACTAATGTTTTTTTTTTGTTTTATATCACTTCTTACCATTTAATCACATCACTAACGGAAGGTGTGTAACGTTTAATTGTATTTGCAACACGGCGTTGAGTGATAGTTATGAACTCTTCTTTTGTTGGTTCTGTCATAGTAGTATAAACAAATAAGACATTGAATGCAATAGTTATTAGTAAAATAAAGCGCATTATGAAATATTAAGGAAAAAGAAAGAGAGACAAATGAGCTCTTTTTCTTAGTTTTTATATTGTTTTTTAATTCTACAAGCCTTCTATACAAGGTTTTTTTTTATTTTTTATATTTATTTATTTTTTTTTTTTTTTTGCTTTAGCCAGGTGCAGGTATAAACCAGTATATCTATGTATATTATATATGTAGCATTATACACACATATATATACAAATTTTGGTAAAGATATATCTTTATTATATATGTATTGTTTGTATTGTTGGAGTAATTACAGTAAAAGATGCTTACATACCTTTCCTTTACTCACTAACCTAAGTTTAGCTTATTATTTCTATTCAAATTTTAAACATTTTTTTATCATTAAAAATCTTTATTACCTACTTTACTAACTGTTACATAACAACTAATAACTTTATGGATCAGAGGAAAAAATAAATCCCTTATCTGTTATGTTTATATTATTCAAAAGTATATTCTCTAAGGGTAACAAAGCTCCAAAGAATATAATATAGGATTTAGAAGATTTATATTGTACAATGTACATGTTAACTAGCTTCAATACAATTTAGGCCGTCTTTTTTTTTTTTTTTTTTTTTTTTTTTTTTTTTTTTTTATAGCTCCGTGGAGCATATATAAAATTAGGTAAGCTCTCACAATAAATGATTTTTACAAATAGCTAACTGAATTTATATTTAATTTAGTTTGTATCAAAATAGTTAGCATATAAAGGATTGCTTGTTAGCTGTAGGTACCAAAATTTACTTTACAGGAAACATTTTTTTTGTCTCTCTTTTTATGATGTTCTAAATATTTTTAATCAATAATTATACAAGTTTAATAATATCATCTTTTTTGACGATATGTGATCGAATTTTTATTTAAAGAAAATATTCTTTAAGAGTCTGCGATATTTCTCTTTAAGACAAAGCCTGTTTTTTTGGATAATACAATAAATACTAAGAATGAATGTAGCTAACTGATAAAGGTTTCATATCAAACAAAGACCAAGTTTATCAGTGATAATTTAATGAAACGTATATAATTTTAAGCCGTTTAGCTATGTCTAAGTAATAGATCAAATACTACTTATAGAGGATATATTAAGCAAGTAATAATTAAGAATGAAAGAGTGCTTCAAATGTATCGGCTCAAAATTACTTTTTTTTTTTAGAAACACGGACAACTCTGCTTAAATCTATGCCTCTTATTATTTTATACATTTGAAATATTCAACAAATTACTCGACAGCAATCATTATCGAGAAACGTTGCTCTTTTATCAATGTTTGAATAACCGCTGCTGGAGCGTCACATTTACCTTTTTTTTTTTTTTTTTTTTTTTTTCAACAAAATATTTTATTATTTCCCCCTTTTTCGGCTTGAGGAGTCGAGTTATTTATTATCTCTTAAAAAAAAAAAAAAAAAAAAAAAAAAAAAAAAAGAAAAAAAATGAGCTCACCATCTTTACCATCTCCCGGTGAGATTGTGATATATGATTACAGACCAAAAGATAAACCTATTGTAGGTGAATCCCTCAAAGTACTTCAATGGAATATCGAAAGAAATTATGGTATTGGAAATACATGTATTAATATTATATATTTATACATTTATATAAATATATACTCATCGTTTTAATTAGAATCCGAAGCGATCATTGAAACTATTCAAGATTTAGATCCTGATGTCATTTTACTTCAAGAAGTTGATATTTATTGTAAGCGATCGGGTAATCGTGATCACATGCAAGAATTATGTAAGGCACTTCAATTGCTTGGATGTTTTGTTTGTGAATTTGAAGAACTCGATAGTTCGGTCAGAAGGCTAAGGGATACAGTAAGCATTTTTTTTTAAAAAAAAAAAGTCTCCTCTCATTCAAATAGCGTTCAACTTAAAATATTCTTGTTATTTAATAGGGTGGAGGTGTACATGGAAATGCAATATTATCAAAACATGATGTTGATTTTAGAGTTCTTGAACATAGAAAGAATGCATTTAATTGGGAAAAAAATGGGATCTTATTAAGAGAGCCAAGAAAAGGACAGTAAAGTAGTATTTTATATATAGAAATATAAGTATGTAAACATATAGTTTAAACATATATTTGTAGACGATATACTTTAGTTGGAACTGTGAATGCATCTCCATTACCGCCTATAGTTTGCTATTGCGTTCATTTAGAGGTAAATAGTAAATTAATATATTTATATGTGTATCGTATATGACTATATACTAAATTAAACTTTCTCTCTCTCTTTTTGTACAAGGTTTTTACAGGTATTATTAACCGTATTATAAACTTTTCTGATATATTTGAAGACGCAGCCTCTTTATCAGATAAATACCCTCATCAAATTATTTGTGGTGACTTGAATACAATGGTTCAATCAATCGTTCGATTATCTCCTAAATATGCACGTGATAGATATCGATTTATGTCTGTGGGTGATACTGAAAGTAACTGGTTTGACCGCCATGTAATGGCAGTTTACAGAGACAGTCAACATGAATATAATCTTCGTTTAGCAGCTGCTGGTTTCCCATTTTCGATAGCCCCTATTCGATTCATTCGTTTTATTTGGAGATTATTTGGATCACTTAAACTATTTGAGTGGGTTTCTGGATTTGATGCTGAAACCTTAAGACAGGCTCGTAATCCTGGATTTTATGATCCTTGGGACCCTAATGAAATAACGCTGCATAATCCTGATTATTTTGGTTTGTTTAAAGCAAAATTGGATTGGACGATGGTTAGATGCATGGATGTACGCCATAAATGGATAGGAAATAGAGATTACAGTGCAAGTGATCATGCTTATTTAATGGTTAAAGTAACACCGGATTCAAAGGAGAAAGTTGAAAATGTTCACGAAATATGGAAAACAAGACGTCAACAATGGCAACCAAATGGATCTGCCCCTTATAGACGTACTGCTATTGGTGTCTCAGTTCTATTATTGGTTGTCATCCTTCTTGCTAATTGGATCATTTATTTGTTTACTTTACTTTAACACAAGCTTAGATTTTAGTCTTATGATATCTTCTCGTATACACTTGTTAATGCTTTATATATATATATATATATATGCATCAATTCGTCTATTATCACTCTTTCTAATTGTAATTTTATATATTTAACACACATGTCATGCGTTATATGCATATATGAATAGAATATATGATATGAATTCATGGTGTCAATCTACTTTATAGATTTTTGATAAAGTATTTGTGACCATTAAGTCATATGTAGGAAGTAAGCTACATAAAGAATACTGACTATACAAAATACCTAAAAGGGAAGAATTAATTCTTCACTAAAACATCATGTATTTAAAAGTAAAATAACATTACAAAAAGTTAATCATAATCTAATAACAACTAAAATCAAATCACAAAAGATTCCAAGTTTAGAGGAATTTTTGGTAGATGCAGAAAAGTCCATCTTCCAAAAACCTACAAGATTCATCAGAGTGTAATCCATACTAGTTTACATTATTGATCGTATAATTTCAAAATATATGTGTATACATATACATGTAGATAGATAGAGAGATAAATGTATATATAGAGAGAGAGTACTGTAAACATGATACAAAATAGTGAACTATTTGAAATTTCTATAACGAACTAATCGTACTCTTATTATTAAAGTTTAAGACAAATGTCATGTGATGAATGTGATGAAAGATTAAAAACTTAATAATTAACATGAACATTATATAGATTAAAACCCACTAATAAACCTTTTGTGTTTTTTTTTTGTACATGCAGACACTGTATAGTTGAAATGGAGTTAAAAGACATTGGTCATGGATATTTGTACATTCATTCGCTTACTATTGACTTTAAGATTGCTGAGCAAATTCTATTGGATTGTATATTATTAATTGTTATTGCAAAATGAAGCTCATCATTAAAGCCTCCTCCTTACTGGTGTTATAATAGACGATTGAATGCCTGAAATTTAATTTCATTTTCGTCTAAAAATAAAATAAGAAATTTTAAGTTGACAAATTTATGAGCGGTTATTCAATAATAGAAATCAAACTAAACACTATTAAACAAGTATAAAATGATGATTATTTAACGCTTATTTAATCTCTGTTTCTCCCTCATTCTTTTCTTTTTTTTTTTTTGTATTTTTCTTTTCTTATTATTCTTCTTTTTTTTTGGGGTTGCAATTATTATTATACGAATGCATAATAGTACTGTTATTAATAATAGTGAATCATGGGATATCTATAGAATAGATCCCACAGAAGACCTTTTTACAGAAGAAGTTATTAAAAATGAAATCAATAATGATCCAATACCAAAAGAGTCTGATTTCAATGGTCTCTACGATACTCTTCTAACAAAGGAAATGACTCCTTCTTCTACTGATACCTCTATGTCTTCATCTGAAGAAAATCTCTTTATAGATGATCTTAAATTACCTAAGCGTATTACAATCAATAAGAAGAGGATCAAACGAATTAAAAGAAGTACAAATCAAAGAATTATCATGTTTGTACACTCACTGCTATCAACCATGCTATCTCTATCAGTCTTACTTGTGTTTGTTATCATTGCAATATATAAAACAAGTAAAACATTACTATTCGATACTTTTATCTACAAAAACTTACGACCTCATGAGGATCTATTAGAGGTGCCAGATGAGCTACTTACACAAGACGAAACTTACTATGCAGATCGATGGGGTTACACAAGTGAAATGCACCAAGTTGTTACTAAAGACGGTTATGTTCTGAATATGTATCGTATTTATAAAAAAACACTAAACCTCAAGGTATGTTATGTTAGATGACAAAAGGGAAATGACTACCATTCTTTATTAATAAGTTTTCTGATGACATATTAACCTTTTATAGGTAAGCGTCCTGTTATGATTGGTCATGGCTTATTCCAATGTTCTGGCGCATTTGTTTTAAATGAAGAAAGATCATTAGCTTTTACGTTAAGTGATGAAGGTTATGATGTCTGGGTAGGTAATAATCGCTCTATTACAGGCTATGATCATATTTCGCTATCTCATAAGGACCCAGAATATTGGAACTGGGGACTAAAAGAATTAGGTGTTTATGATTTTTGTGCGATGATTGAATACATAAAGGAGTATACTGGTTTCTCAAAGGTAACTAAATGATAAATAAATAAATAATATACTGATACTTTGTTTTAGGTCGCTTATATTGGACATTCTCAAGGAAATGCTCAAGCATTTATTGCATTAAAACTTTGTCCTGATATAAAGGATAGTCTAAGTTGTTTTGTAGCATTAGCTCCTGCTGTATTTTCTGGTGATTTGGTCAAGTAAGAAATGATAATATCAATACACACACACACTTTCTCTCTTGCTATATACTAACCAATATCATATTTTTATATAACAGAAAATTCCCGCTTTGTCTTTTAATTAATTTGAGCGATTGGATATACACATTAATGTTTGGTAAGTAAATAAAAGGTAACAAATAGATAAAAAAAAATAAACTAAACTTATACATTAAATATAGGCAAAACATCATTTTTACCCATTATGAAACTAGTACAAACAATGATAGAACCTAGAATTTTTAGTTTTTTAGCCTATAGTATGTTTTCTTATCTTTTTAATTGGTGGGATAATCATTGGTTGCGTAGAAGAAAAGTTAAATATTTCCAATTCACTCCCCGTCCAGTGAGTGCTCGGTTAATTTCAGATTGGCTTGCAGGTTGGGGACGTAAAGGAACATTACTTTATGTGGCAGATAAAGAACAAGAAGATGATGATACTAAAAAAGATACAACCAAAAAGGTTCCCTTAATTGTATTTTATGGTACATCAGATTACTTGGTAAATGGAGAACGATTTGTAAGAACCTTTCCTGGCTATGAGAATCATGGTCTAGGTGAACAATCACCTCCAGTCAATGATAGTCGACCCTTATTTTCTATGCTAAATTTAGTACAAGTTGAACGCTTGGTTGGCTATGAACATATGGATACTATTTGGGGACATGATAATCATAAAACAACTTATCCTATCATCTTAAAAAACCTTAAAAATATTAAAGAATGGAATTAAATAGTTTTTATTTTTAATATATTAAAATATATAGATTTATATTTATATCTTCTACTACTACAAACGAGCCTTTACTTGCTGCTGAGGAACATACCAAGACATTTCAACTTCTTTCCTTGTAAAACCACATTTTTCATAGAAAGGCACATTCTTTTTTTTTTTTTTTTTACAAAAGTGAATTAGATTTGTGTTATTTGTTAAATTATTGTCAAAGCTTACCTTTTCAGAACAATCTAAAATAACTACATACACAAATATAGATATATAAATATGTATATATTCATATATATTGTCAATTTATATCATATAACTATTTTACCTTTGTAACATCCACGTTTAGCACCAATGTACTTGAGGGCTTGAATAATTCTTAGACCTAATTTCTTTCCTTGTTGATTACCCCTAACTGCAATATCTTCAATATGACCCACTAATCCATTCTTGCGAATAAACTTTCTTTCAATAAAAATTGTTCCTACTGCAACTACTTGATTTTTACTATCATCTGAGATGGTAATTGTATGGTCTATTTTTTTTCCAACATTTAGATATTTGTTTTATTATATAAATAAAAAATTTATGTATATACATGTCTCGACTTACATTCATGATTGTGCTTTTTCATGTATTCAAATCGTTCTATAGCGTAATATGTATAAGGTACAACATATATATATATATGCTACTATTATAAATTTACCTTTAAATTCTTCTTTAGTATGATTTCCAACTTCAGTCAGCACCTTTAAAACGTCAAGAAACCCTCTTTCATAATCATTTGAACGAAGTGCTCGAAGCGTATATCCAGAAGGTAATTGTGATTGTACTTCAGGAGAGAGTAAACTAGATTCAAATAAAGAAATCTCGGACATATTTTCTATAATTTAAAAGAAAAAAGAAAAGAAAGAAAAAAAAAAAGGAAAAATAGAATTCTAGTTTATTTTATTTATACACATGTAGTTTGATATATTACAATACATTTTCCGCGGGAGGATAAATAAGGAGGAAAGTTATCAGATTTCCGCGGATTAAATGCATATTTATATAACTGGAGTTATACAAGCAAGTAATTTGATCATAACATTCAAGATGTGTCTTATCTTTGATCTTATTAATTAGTTGTTATAACAATTATATATTGATATTTAACATTGCAGAGTATGAAACGTCCCGTTTTCTCTTTTCTCTCCTTTCCCTCCCTCAACCCTCAAACCCCCCCCCGCAAAATAAAAACAAAACTCAGCTCGAAAAGGGCTACCTTTTGTTAAATAAATACACTTTACAGACAATCAATCATATAATATCTAAACGCTTTCCAATCTGTTTAATAAATACAATGAAAATTAGTGACAAAAAAAGCCTTATCTAGGGTTTAGGGTTTTATAGAATGCAAAGAGGAGAGAGAGAGAGAGAAATAGAGAGAAACAAACAGTATAACAAAAGTAGAATACTTGAGATTTATTAAACAATTAATTAAATAAGCATCTAAATAAGTATTTTTATTTTATGTATGATAGTGCAAACAAGATATACTAAGTTGGTACTTGAACAGGAATCTAATTTATTTATTTATTTTGAAGTAAAGATTCACATTTGTATATAATACTAATAGTACCCAATTAATACTTTTCTATGGAACAACTTCCATCTTTATGAAACTCAGTATTTTTATATAATCCAGTTGATAGTAACTAAAGAACTTGAATAATTTTAATGTTATTCATACCTGTTGAAAGCCCTTCAAAACTCTCCTAAATATTATTTTACTTTAAAACGAAACAAGGAAATACTTTTTTTTTTCTTTTTAATAGATGCTGACTCTCTTATTGTAATTAATAAATAGAAGACTTTTTTTTTCTGGAAAACGATAGTAAACTAATGTAAAATTATATATACTTTTTCGGGACAAGTAGTAACTTTCGATATTCTTTGTTATATCATCTACGACCTTAATCAACATATATGTTGATCAGCATTATCTTTATGATGATTTCAACGATTTGGATAGAAATACAAAGGATTTTTATCTCATTTTTTTGGAGTATAATAAAGATAAATAGTAATAGCTTGCTAAATATACTAATATTATGACCTGCTAAGACTTATAAATGATTCGAATACAACGAATATATGGAACTAAAATCTGTGTATATGTATTCGATTATCTTAAAGCTCACCAAAGCTAATGCATACAAGAAATAAAAATCCTCTTTCCTCCTGATTCCTTATGTCACAAACGACAGCATAATAAATGCATATAATGACAACTTCGATGATTGTCTAATGAAAATATATATATATATATACATATTAACCTTATCTTTATTATTTACTGCTACTGAAAGTATATCTGTTTATAAATAGTTTATTGTATTTTATATCTACTTTTCATTCTACTTAACAAATCATTTCCTTTGGTATTTGTTATGATTATCAACTAACAGTGTGTAGCTATGGAAACTAGACTACTTGAAATAAAATTTCCTTCCCAATTCTTGATCCTAGTTATTAACTAACTAAACTACTCAACAAATTAAAACTTACTTAATTAAAGCCATACATGCTCAACCAGTTATTTAAAACTGTTAAATAGAGGTCTCTCTCTCTCTCTTTTTTTTTTTTTTTCGTAATTGATTGTAAAAAAAAATAAAAAATAAATAAAGTCACCACAGTATATAAATAAAATTTTATGCACAAAGCTTTCTTATTTTTTGCTAGTCAAAATGAAAAAGTTCATTGAACATCAAATAAAGTTAATTGAAACAGAAAAGAAAATAGATGTTGATGAGACATTGAAACTTTTATCATCGTATGCCCCTATTCAACTTCAACGTCGCGGAATTGCGTTAGTTGGCTTAAAAGTGACAGGTAGCTCTAGTGATCCATTTGTAGCTTTACTGGATTTAATGACATTTATTTAAACATTATAGGCATGAGAACTGGTTTAGGGGGAAAAAGGTCTTTATATACACATTTATATATGATTATATATTTGGACACCTTGTGATTAACATTATATATATATATATATATATATACAAATATATATATAGTTTAATCGATCTTGAGCTTGCTAATCCAACTAAATTACCGCCTGTCTTTCCTGCGCATAAGATTACAACTGGAGACATTGTTGGTTTAGATGAATACAAAAAAGATAAACCTTCAAAGCAAGTGGCTAAATGGTCTGGTGTTGTACTTCGAGTAACTGACTCGAAAATTACTTTAGCTCTTCAGGAACTGGATGAAGAATTACCTAATGAAATACAGGAACGCTGTCAAATGTAATGTAACTTATCTGAATGGAATGAATGAGGGAGAGAGAGAGAGAGTTTGTTTTTTTTTTTTGTTTTTATTGTTGTTTTCTAACTAGTTATATTTATCATTATTATCGCTATAGTATTCAACTTGCAAACAGTATTACTTATGAAAGGTAAATAGGTTTCACAAATTATAATACATATTAACTCTTGAACAATAGAATGCTGAAAGGTCTGGAAACATTACAAAAAAAGTGTGAAGAAGGTGGATCAAACTTGATTAATGTATTGCTAGGGCAAACTAGATTATCTTCAGTTCAGTCAATATCAGATATTACATTTTTCGATGAAACTTTAAATGAATCTCAAAAGGAAGCTGTTCGATTTGCTCTTGGTTCTCCCGAAATAGCCTTGATCCATGGTCCACCAGGAGTAAAACAGATACGAAAAAAAAAAGTTTATGCAAATACATATGTGGATTAATTTTTTTTTTATTTATTTATTTTGTTAGACGGGCAAGACATATACGCTTGTAGAAATTATTCGACAATTATCCATCAATCAAAAGAAACGTGTCCTTGTATGTGGTCCTTCAAATATCTCTGTTGGTATAGTATACTCTTTCATACATGTATACAAATAGATTTTATTCACCGATAACTCTTTAGATAATTTGGTTGAAAGACTTGCTCAGTATCGACTTGATATCGTTCGTATTGGACATCCTGCTAGAGTATTACCGTCTGTACTAGATCATACACTTGATATTATTACTCGTACCTGTGATTCGGGTCAAATTGTGTCTGATATAAGAAAAGAAATGGATGAAACATTAGCAAAGATAGGGAAATCCAAGAATAGATCCGAGCGAAGAGCTATGTATGGTTTAGTGAAGGATCTACGTAAAGATTATAGAGCAAGAGAGAAAAAAGTTATAGATGAAGTTTTGACAAACGCTCAAGTTACTATCTCTACTTTAAATGGGTAAGATGATTTGTATGTATAACCTAAACCAACGGAGGACTAAAAAAAAATTATATACATATATATCCATATTTATACATAATAGTGCTGGAAGCCGAAGCATCTCAAACCGAGAGTTTGATGTGGTTATTATAGATGAAGCAACACAAGCTTTGGAAGCAGAATGCTGGATTGCATTATTAAAAGCTAAAAAAGCTATTTTGGTAAGTTTATTTATTATCTTGTTTTTAGAATATTGCGTTCCTAAATGTTTCTTATTATCTATAGGCTGGAGATCATCTACAATTACCTCCAACAATCAAAACACCTATTAAGATTACAAATGTTAAAAAAAAATTGAAGAAAGGAGAATTACCAACTGATACTGATCTTTCAACTACATTGTTTGATAGATTGCTTGGTATGTATGGTGATTCTATTAAACGTATGTTAATGGTTCAATATCGAATGCATCAGAAGATTATGGAATTTAGCTCAAGAGAACTGTATGAAAATAAACTTATAGCTGATGAAAGTGTTGCTAGCCATCTTTTAGTTGATTTACCTGGTGTTGAAGATACCGAAAATACAGATGTTCCACTAATTATGATAGATACATCAGATACAGGATTGACACATGAAATAGTAGATGATACCCAAGAAGAACAAAGCAAAGCAAATGAACTCGAGGTAGAGCTGGCTGTATCCCATATCCGTGCTTTATTAGATGATGGCTTGGAAGAAGACCAAATTGGTGTTATTACACCTTATGCTCTTCAAGTCTCTAAATTAAAAAGAGACATTCGTGAAAACTGGCCAGGTATTGAGATTGGTACTGTAGATGGCTTTCAAGGTCGTGAAAAAGAAGCCATTTTGTTTTCATTAGTTAGATCAAATGAAACTGGTGAAGTAGGTTTCTTAGCAGAAAAAAGACGACTTAATGGTAAAAAAAAAAAAAAAAAAAAAAAAAAAAAAAAAAAAAAAAAAAAAAAAAAAAAAAGAGAGAGAGAGAGAGAGAGTAAAAGATTAATAGTATCTATTTAGTTGCAATGACAAGAGCAAAGAGACATTTATGTGTAATCTGTGATTCAGAGACTCTACTTGGTAATAAGGGTGGTTCAAAACCTGCCTCTCGTTTTGATGGTGACTTCTTAAAAAGATGGATAGAGTATTTGAGCGAAGAATCTGACTTGAGATTTAGTGAGTTTGTCACGAAGTAACACAAGAATTATTTTGAAATTATATTAAATTAAAAAGAAAAAGCTCATGTGTACATATTTATGTGTTTTCATGATGGTTCAAAGAGAGTGTACATGTCATTTATTGCTTGCTTTATAACTTTTCAATTAGTGTACCACAAAAGAAAAAGCTTATCTTACCTAAAATAAAAATGTATCACCAAACTAAAGCATGATCATATAACAAATAAAAATTAATATATTGTACAGAATAAATTATAACAGTTTTTGGTGTAAGAGTATCAAAAATAATTTAAAAAAAAAAAGAGAGAGAGAGAGTGCAAGCAAGAAAGAACTAATACTATCATAGATAGGAATATAATAGGCTATGTAATACATATACATGTTATAGATTCGTGTTGTTGTTGTTGTTGTTGTTGTTGCTTTTTCTATTATAATGTGACGTACATGGTATAATTATACTATGTATTTCGTCTATCTGGGGACTGCGATAACCATTCACGGACCATTTGATCATCTGATTGTCTAGTAAAATTAGACGATGGAGCTACCTGATTGATCGTGTATTCCCAAGATGGACGGGACGCAGTAATATTTGTAGTTTGTACATAATTTAGATGATCGTCCATATATGTATTGTTTTGAGAAGATTTAGCATGAATATCATTATTGACTTCATATATGGGAAAGTGTTCTTGACGAGGATATGTGACAGTATTGTTATTAGATTTTGATAAAGGCTTAGACTGGCCTTTAACAGTAGCAATATCCATCATGGAGAACATGACAGGTTGATTACTATATGGATCTTCAACAGCCAAGCTATGAGACTGCTGCTTATAGGCCATCTTTTTTGCTACATTAGGGGGTGATAAAGATACGTTACCCATATTTGAGTAAGAGGTTAAAGGCATAGTATCATTCGTAGGCGAATAAGGAATATTCACTGTAACAGGGGACATAGCACGCATGAATCCACCATTATTATCATTTATATTGTTAGAAGACATTGTGTATTTGTTATCAGTTAACGTATTTCCAGTAATTCCTGGAGAACTTTCGTTGATGTTATATTTATTACTAGTTATTTGTGATCTTGGCGTATTTGAATAACGGTAACTCGATTCGTTAATTGTATTGATTGAGGTATCCATCATATTACGAGTATATTGAGGACGAGGATGAAAAATAGCTATCTATTCAAAAAAAAACATAAGACTTATATTATACATGTATATATTTTTGAGCCATACCAAAAGTAACCAAAGGAGAACTGTGCAAATATTTACATTTGTAATAATAGTATCTGTAGCAAACTTATTACTATTAATGATCTTGCTTTCAGTTAAACCATCAGAACAAAGAATAATAAAAGACGAACCATAACTGAATAAGATGATAGAAATCTGTAAGTTCATATCTTTGAAATAACCAAGTCTGGAAGCAACAGGCTTATTGCTTACACTATTACTTCTTTGTGATAATGCAATCATACGCTTAAAACGGAGATGAGACCGAATTCCTAATAAAGCAGCCAAAAGGACTTTTTTTTTTTAAAAAAAAAAAAAAAAGTAATGTTACTCGACAAATTCACGTGAATTATACATAATCATAATAATTTACTTTCAATACCGTAAGCAAGCTGTGGAATACCTTCACGCTTATATATATCATCTCGAAAGATCCATTGAAGGATAGGAAATAAGGCCATACTTCCTAGTGCCCTGAGATTTATACAAGTTCAGTATGTATTATATAGTTAATAGATTTCAATAAATATACCAGACAATATAAAATTTAAATTCAAAAGAACTCATAAAACTTTTTTTAGCAACTGTGTTAGAAAGGTAATTCCAAAATGATTGCATTAAAAAGAATACACCAACTTGTAATGAGAAAGTAACGCATTCTACGTAATCCATTGCCTACCAAAAAAAAAAAGAGCAATAAGGATTGGTACAACAAAGAACGTATCACAAGATTAATCCAATTATAATTTACCATCATATTTCTTTGATGTGTAGAAGACCATTTAATAAAAGGTTTGGTAATAATAGTTCCCTCATAAACTATAAAGCCTTCATCGTATTTCACATATGTCGATACAATATCTATTTAGGAGATTTAGTAAACTGGAGAATAAAGATAAACTAAATTACCCCACATAAACTGCATTAACATCATTAATATTAAAAGTACTGAAATGATTGATTTCAATTCTCCAGATATAATTGATCTTAGTCTTAAGCATCTAAATCTATCGCCAATGTAAATACTATAGCCTAAAAATACAGATATATACGTCCAAATCGCACATCTTTCTATTTATATGACACTATTAAAATTTTTTTGAGGGAAAAAAGAGAAAGTTATATTATTACCAAGGTAAGAAAAATCACTACAAGTATCACATATGTTAAGTAAATTAGAGAAGGAGAGAAAACGATATATTTTATTCTTGTACCTTAAATGAGTCATTTCTCAAATGTTTATTGTAAAAATTAAAAGAGAGAAAGAAAGAAAAATATGAAAGAACAATGTAACAAAAAAAAGAGACTACTTATCATTTTCTCCACTTATTTCTTAGTAAAAGATTGTAGCACTTTGAGTATAAAAAGTGTCTCTGTTTAAAAATCATGTATATCAATTTGTGCTTCTTACAATACGCGGAATTTCAAAAGTTGCTCATGTAATATTGGCTCCAACATTTTTTTTTTTTTTTTTTTTTTTTTTTTTTTTTGCATTGACAAAAATATAGGTCTTAAACTTCCTCTTTGATAGGAATGCATATAAATAAAGCCTTTATTTCTTTAGTCTTATGATCTTAAGACATATATGTTAGTTTTCATATCAAGGACCCTAAATATCAGAAAGTAGTTTTTTTTTTTTGTCTGTAAACTTTGTTAATAACAATGGGTTTCCTGTCATTTCTTTCGAAGAAGTTAAAAGAAAGAAGAAGCAAGCATACTACTTTGTATCTCGTTCAATATACTTATTTATTGATGAATATAAAATGCTTTGCAGAATGCAGGTGTAAAACTTATTTATTAAGAATGTTACATTATAATTGTTTATTACACCAACAAGTTAAGCGTAAAGGATACAAAACACATACCAAAATATCTGATATTAAAGAAAGATTTCAAACATTTTGTAATACCCCCTCCATGTAATGATCGAGCAATCATAACTTTTATTTGATTATACTACGTATGCATCTCATACAGGTGCTATATTTCCGTAACTACTATTCCTTCAACTAAGTACATTTTCACGAAGATAATGATAAAATGCTTGCTATAGGATTTTTCTACAATCTCTACGGACAGCATAAAAAAATCTTATGAAGATTTTGCTAACTAACTTTAGAACAATGATACTAAAGTCAATGATCTTACAAGCTAAGGTTATATTATTTTATTCTGAAAAAGATAAGACATCCTGTTCCAACTACATAATCAAGAATTGTTTAAATTTTACCAGCTTGCTGTTATAGAATACGAAAACATTAGTAAATTACGCATAACAGAAGAAAATTGGTGCAAATTCAAAGTAGTCAAACAGTGCAAGTGAAAAAGAAAAGAATCAGGGCTTGATGGAAATATATTTGAAATGCTGTACTAAATCTAAGCTGTCATTATCAAAAGTGCCAATGCCAAAAAAAAAACCCTCCTTTTTGCCTACACACATAAATTTTTGCTATGGCTAATATGCAATTATTGATATACCAATAATAAAAATTCGTATCTATAATCTTCTATGATCATTATAATATGTATGATGAATCCTAATTTTACGATTAGAAATAAATATACAGCAATTTCAAAGAACACGTTTCAGGAAAGGAAGGTTTTTACTTGAATTAATAATAATAGAGAAATAAGCAGTAATTGGTGCTTACGGTAACATTTTTTCGCGCTTGTATAACATACCGAGATACTTAAATGTAATAAGGTTGTTTAACCTGCTATCCTAATATCGCACAATTTACACTAGTAAAGCTTTAAATGCTTTTTTTTTGTCTTCTATTATCATTAGTGTTCAAAGATAGACTCTATATTCGAGAGTTAATATTGACTTTATGTGTATAATTAATAATTATTGTAGTAAAAATGAATGAGATAATACCTTGACCATAGTTTATACCAATATTGTTACTTTTTTAATTAAAATTATAGCCTACATGAAAAATGGCTAACTAAATTAAACCATTTTTTCCTTTTTTCCTTTTTTCCTTTCCTTTTTTTTTTGGCAGGTCAGAATTATATTTTGTATGACCTTTTTATTTTATTTATCCAGTATTCGTTAGATATGGTACAGAAATAAGTATAGTTTGAATTAATAAGGCATTAGCCAAAAGAAATAAATAAATAGCTTAATTATATATTTATATCTGCTTAAAGGCAATGTATCAAAGAAAAATGCTATGTAATATAATATCCAATCTTTTATATCTAATGAGTTACCTTTTTTTTTTTTTTTTTTTTTTTTTGCAGAATCAATAATTCATTGAGCTTATCAGAGAGATAATCACATCTACTGCTATTTTTGACTTTGGGCGAAAATCTCTTGATAGGAATATATGAAAATAAACAGGCTATATGGTAACCTTGACACTCACACATATTCTTAGCATTGTCATATGTATGAAATTGTGACATATTTAGTAAGACTTAATAGGCTTTTACTAACTATTAGTAGCTATTTTTCTTGATATATGTATATACATATATATGTTACTAGGGTATCTATTATGATATCAATTAACAGCATAAAATACTCATATCTAGTTCCAATTACTATACTAACATCCAAAGTATTTTCTCACTTTTTTTTTTTTTTTTTTTCGTCTTCAGTTCTTTAATAGCTTTTAGTTTTTACAAAGCTAAATTAATGATGTCTGTCTCAAAAATGACACCACCTAATATTAAAATAGAAATATACCTTTATAGGATAAACTATTCTAGCAGGAACACATTTTTTGATCTACCAAAATCCCACCTCAAATACATATTAAATTTAATTTTTATTTAAAAATCAAACAAACAAAATAGATTGTTCAGTATTTTTTTTTTTATTTTTTTTTTATTTTTGAAATCATCTAATTCTTAGGTTAAAAGACTATATCTATAATTCAGAACTATTGCTGATCCAATTTTCCTTTTTCCTCAACCAACTACTTCTGAAGGGACCCAAGTTTCGGCAGTAAGCTTCCCCTTGGTTAGTTTATTTATCCGACGATCCGTATCAGTTTGCATGAAACGGGATAATCTATTTCATTAAACACTTCCCTCTCCTCCTCTTCTTGTCTATTCTGGTACCAAACTGACATATTGATTGTCCTCATCATAGACTAGTATACTCATATTGTTTCTAACTTTCTTCTTTCACCTTTTTTTTTCCTAGTGATTCCTAAAAGGGAGGTTTTTTTTTTTTAATTATCTTCTCCTTTTTAAACTGACTAGGGCAATACAGCATAATAAAAATATGTATGAATTGTGCAATGGAGGATGTGAGATTTCATATGATAAAATGAAAACAAAAGGTTGCTAAACTGCAGTAATTTAAAATTTTAGCTACTATATCCTTTGATACTTATGGAATTTCTTGTAGTAGTAGCCACATGTTAAATAAAACGTTTAGAGTTATTTAACAAAAAAAAAAAAAAAAAAAAAAAAAAAAAAAAAAAAAGAATACACAAAAGATATAATTTAGTATTAAATTTTCACTAGTTCTAATTCTCTGTCTACGTTTTAAAAAATAAATAAATAAAGTACTGTCCATATTAGATATAAAACTATATATTTAATATATGGATAAGAGGTAGTAAGTCAAATTGAATACTTTCTGTAAACTATTTTCTTGGTAGATATTCAATATTATAGCTTTGTTCTCACGTACGAAAAAAAGAAAGCTAATTTTATAATTTACCTATTTTTTTATATTTGTATGTATTTATAGAGATAGATAAATCGGATAGATTTGCAATACTTTGGAGGTCGTTTAACTCAAGTATAATGCTTAATTTGATTCTTCCATAGAAGCAATAAGCTTTAGTCAGCAAGAAAATAATATCTCTTAAGCTAACAATTACGCCTTCAATAGTTGTAAATGATGATGTATAAATTTATCCCATAATTAGAATACATTACAATTAAATTAAATTAAAAAAAAGAAAACTGTACTTTTATTGCTTTGCTCCTTATCATCCCTTTTTTTTTTTTTTTTTTTCTTCCAAAGAATGACACATAAATTATTCTAAGACATAATGAGACCTTTAATAATTAATTTAATGACAAAACCTATTTTTATCTTTTTTATTTTTATTATTATTTCTCTATTTAGAATTATAAATAAAATTCAAATTATATCTTAATAAAAACTGTATTCTATATTAAAGCTTATTATACATCTATACCATTTTACAAATGTTAATAAACAATATGGATTCCCTAATATAGTATATAAATTGGATTTAATGACTCTATGTTTATTAGAAATATTCAGTAAAAAGCATTCTATTATATACGAAAGCATATAATTACATGCTTTTAAAATAAAAATTTGCTTTTTTTTTTTTTTTTTTTTTTTTTTTTTTTTGTTTAATTAATAAATAATGAAATAAATGAGCAAAATAATGTTAGGCCTATATTGAAAATTAATGTATTTGATCCTGATTCAGATTGTGTAGGAGTAGTAGTAGTAGTAGTAGTAGTGGCAGTACTTGTAGGTGCACCAACTACGGACATGGACGAGCTACTGGTGGTTGGAACAGCAGAGGACGTAGCAGAAGCAACAACTGAAGATGAAGAGGAAGCGACAGAGGAGGATGCAGCAGCACCAGAGGAGGATGCAGCGGCATAAGGTAAAGGTATAACAGAGACAGAATTACCACTAATAGAGCCATAGCAATAATTATTGGCATTATCAACACAGAGAATATTAGAGGCATTGCAAAGACATTTAGATGTAGTCCCTGTAAGAGTGGATGAACAGGAAGTAGGCATTGTAGGGCATGTTGTTGAGCTTAAGGAAATAGACCCCCAACAATATTGTCCACTGTTATTGATACAAACAGTAATGGTATCACTGCAACGACAAGTAACGTTATTGCCGATATTGCTACAGGTGGATGGTACAGCACATGTTGTTGATGGTAAGGTGTTATAAGGAAGTCCGTGATCTCTTTTCGATAAAAGCTGATATTCGTCGTGCTCAAAAGCTGAAGCGATATAAATAATAGAGGCAAGTGAGTAGAAAAGAGTTATACTGAGTTTCATTCTTCTAGCTTTCCTTAATTTAAGAAAATAAAAAAGAAAAAGAAAAAAGGAAAAAGAAATAAATAAATAAATAAATAAAAAGGAACAAAGAGAAAATATCTCCGTATTAAAAAAAAAAAAAAAAAAAAAAAAAAAAAAAAAAAAAACGGCTTTATATAGCAATCTTGCCCGTGGAATATAGTCCGTACCTTTATTTTATTTTATTTTTTTTTAAAAAAAAAAAAAAAAAAGAAATTAACAGTAATACAAAGAAATTTCTAATCAAGCAAAAAAAAAAAAAAAAAAAAAGATTTTTGATCTAAAATTAGAAGTGAAAAGCTATATATTGTGTGATTCTATATATAACACAAGGCTATGAGTATTGTATACATGATTGACTATAAAATAAATAATATGACATGCTTAAAGACATTGATCTCGTAACTGCAATTACAGATGAATATACTGTCCATATAATTAGCTAGCAGCATTTGATTATGATCAATGGTATTAGCGTTATAAATTAAACTTATACTTCAAAGCATACATTAAAATTTATTTTTCATTTGAGTCGTTTATCATTTTTAAATAGCATTGATGTTTACATATTATTATTATTACTGTATTGATAGCTTCTTTCATAAAATATAATATGATGGTCATAGCTAACTCCTTTTTGACAGCAACTTCTATTGAATAAAATAGGTTGTTGTTATTTCTGCCCATATCATATAAAGTCCTTTAATAAGTGATGTATACATCTATTAGGTTACTCGTGTACATTTTTAGAAGCGTCTTTTTTTTTATGATAATTTGCCTTTGAATATTTAAACTAGCAATAATTTGAATTAATTATAATGGCTAGCAAATTAATCCTAATAGTAAAGCTCTTACGCTCTTTATTAGCTTGGCTTTAATGAAGTTTGGATTACACTTTTTTATTGTTATTGGATACAAGACGTTTAACTTATTAATATGACGTCTGTAAAATATTCAAGTAAATTTTATTCTTATTGAATTTGGGCTTGATCAAGGTTGGAAAAAAAAAGCAACAACGAGATAGAGACATTAATCATTTTGGTTTGACACTTTAGCAAAATTTTTGGTCACGAAAAAAATAAGTAATAAATAAATACACATTTACATTTTTGTTGTAATAAAACTAAGTCACTATTTATAAGAATCGTCTTTTTTTTCTTCTTCTTTTTTATTATTAGAATTATTATCATGTCAAATCAAACATATCAACAAGTACAAAGGCTTGATTTTTTATTTAATGCTGGACATTCTATGTTAAGCATGTGTCCATCCTTGAGTCGATATTATATGAATGAATTTCAAAACACATTAACCGAATACGAATTAACCGCTTCAAAACCTATTGCTCGTTTATCTTGTACAAGTTGTGGTCAGATTTTAATTCCTGGTTTAACCTCAAAAACAGAAATCATACCAAAACCTAAACAAAAAAACCCAAAGCAAAGAAAGAATCAAATTAAAATCACTTGCTTAGCATGCCATCATAACAAACTATATAACGGATCATTCAAGAAAAAGATGCCAAGAAATGAGACGATGACTACAAATAAGAAAAATGAGATGAATTCAGTTATTACTAATGCTAATAAGGCTACTTTGACCAAGACAGTAGTTAATAAGACAGCTATCAATAAGACAATGACTACTAAGATGACTATTAGTAAAACTGTTACAACAAACAAAAATAATAATACTAAAATGACTCCAGTGACTACAGAAATCACAAAGAAAAAGAAGAACAAAAAGAATAACTTGAAAGCATTATTATTAAAACAACAACAAAATCAAAATTCTTCAACTGGTAGTGGTGGCGGATTAAGTGATTTTCTGTCTTCATTATAAAAAAAAAGAAATGTATATAATATAGTAGACCAAATATGTAGTGTATATAGTCATTTAAAATAATAAATATGTTACTACAATATAACAACAATGATTATCCCTCATACATTTGCGTTGTCATTATCATGTACAATAATTTTATTAATTTCAGCGTTATTAAAATAAAATAAAAATGGATATTTACTTTAAAAGGAGTTATTCGTAAAATACCAAAAAAAAAAATACATATTTTTTTTAATCAATTTCATTATATGTGAAGCTGTAATAAAAAGAAATTATTGTAAACCAATAAGATAGAGTAAAAAAATAACAAACATAGCAATAAAAGTCAAATTTGATCTAAGGTAGGGGGTGGCTGATGCTGACTAGTTTAAAAAAAAAATGTTACATTTATAAGTCTTTAGTTGCATCAAAAAACTATTCAAGACATCAGGGCTTCTTCCTTATTGCAATTATTATTAATTACAGCATAGCACATGTTGATTTCTAAAGAAAATAAAGAAAAAAAAAGAAACCCAATTTTACTAGAATGTATTATATTTACAATGTGCATATCCTTTTTGTAGATAACACTAAAAGCTTGATTTAAAACTACGCAAACTTTCTTCTTGTTTTATGGAAAAAAAGTTTAAAGCATTTTATTTTATTTTTTCCCTTTTTTTTCTTTTTTTTGTTTTTTTTTTTTCCTTTTTTTTTTTTTTATTAGGCACTCCTTAAAAGAAAGTATAAATATACAAGTCAATAAAACATAGGAAAAAAAAAAAAAAAAACTTATGTTAATTTGGGTTAATCATATAAAGGCTGGATAAATTAAGTAAAAAGCTTAGCATAAATACACATTCACCTTTATACTTACTTTACATTTTATTGTATTGTTTTATGTAATAAGAGAAGAAATATATGTATTATTTACAAAGATAAAACCATCTTTTATTACTATTACTATTACTACTATTACTACTACTACTACTACTACTACTACTACTACTACTACTACTACTACTACTACTACTACTACTACTACTACTACTACTACTACTACTATTACAATTACAATTACAATTACTATTATCTCAATCATATATTCTTTATATATTAATTATTATTCATTTCAATTATGCACTCTAAGCATACACATAGCGTAACAGCAACAAACACATCAGAAGCAGTGACACCTGCATTACCATATACCATGTCAAACAATAATAATTTGTCACAAATAAATCAACAAAATAATCCTAATCGAACTATTGCAGTGAATTATCTAGACGTCGAACTATTTCTAACTCGATGCGGGTTATCTCAATATTACGATGTATTTATTGAAGAAGGATTTGATAGAACAGAATCAGTAAGATTATTCATATAAAATAAATAAATAAACAAATAAATAAAAAGAGAGAAAATGTGTGTGTGTGTGTGTGTGTGTGAGAAAGCTGTATATGTTTATAACTTCTTTATAATATACGATAATTTGTTTTTTTTCCATTCTTATCTTTCTCTTTGTATATATACGTATATATTATACTCTCTTATAGCTACTGGAAATAACAGAATCTGACTTAATTCAGATGCAAGTAAAAAGAGGGCATCGTAGAGTATGTTCCTTAACTTATTGATAAATATACAAAGAGAACTAAACTTTTTTTTTGGGACAAAAGCTTCTTCAACGAGCTATTACAAATGCAAAAGGGATACCATCAACTGTTCCACTACAGGCAGCTTCAAACTTCAATACAAAAGATTTAGCAAGTATGTATAATATCTGTTAGTTAAACAAGTATCTAAAAATCTTGTCTCAATACAAATAATAGCCCATAGTCCAGCCATACCCATAAAGCATAGAATAGAATCCAATCCTTCTTCTGAAATAACATTAGCACCACCGCCATTACTACCTCAGCAGCAGTTGTCAACATTGTCTAGCAGTAGTAGTTCTATTATGACATCTATGAATAATAGTTATCCTATCACACCTATGTTAATAAGTTCCTCCTCTTCTTCTAATGCACCTTCTACACCTATTTCACATTCTTCTTCAACATCACCGAATAAAATGACATCTATCATGTCTTTTAAAAAGAATATAGAACATATGGGCGACACTAGTATGGTAACGAATAAAGAGTACTTTCCATCAGCAGGCACTGCTACCACTCAAAGTGGTATGTCATCTACAGAAGAAGAAGCGGTAACAAATGATAATATCCATCGATTATGGAAACGAAAATATTATCGACATGCTAAACCTGATACAAATGCTCCTCTAAAGCCACCCTCTGCTTATGTGATGTTTTCAAATGATGTAAGAGCTGAATTAAAGCAACAAAACAAATCATTTACAGATCTTGCCAAAATTATCGGTGATAGATGGAAAAATATTTCACCAGAGAAAAAAGAAGTATATGAAACAAATGCATTTAAATCAAGAGAAGAATATATACAACAAGTAGAGAAATATCAAAAAACTGACGCTTATAAAGTAAAAGTACTTTATAAAATAGAGATATATAGATAGATAGATATCTTTTTTGCTCTGTTATTAACTCGATTCTTTTTTTTTTTTTTTAATTAGAATTATCAACAATATCTTTCTGATTTTAAAGCAGAAAATGAAGCAGCAGGTAAAACAAAAAAAAAATAGAATATAGAATAATACACATAAATAAAACTGATATATTTTTTTCTTATTAAATTTTAGCTCGGCCTGTAGGTAGACCGAGAAAAAGACATAAAAGAGACGAAGATAAAGAATTAAGTGATGAAGCAGTAAGTGATTCGACAAAACAAGTTAAAAAGACTCCTTTAATATCATCACAGGCGGATGATAATCATCAAAAGATAACACCTACTTACTTGGATCAAAGACAATATCCATTTTATCTCTTAAATGAAGACTCATCTAGATCTTCACCTCTACTAACAGAAACAACAATAGCCAATAATGATCCGATAAAAGCGGATAGTATATTAAATAAACCACTAAATCTCAGTAAAAAATCATCTAAACGGCATACGCCCAAAAAAAAAGTAAATAAATATATGAAAAATATTTCCCGTTTTCTCTTACATAATAATTGAAAAGAATTTAAAAGAAGAATTTAGAAGGAAAAAAAAATTTTTTTTTCTTCAAAATAAAATGAAAAGCTTCTTATTAATTAAATAAATAACTAAATAAATAAAAGAAACAAAGATATTTTTCTTTAGTTTTTATAAAATTATTCATCTTACCCCTTTTTTTTTTTGGAGAAAAAAATTCCTATTATCACATAATTCTTCAAGCAAATATTTTATTCTTTAACACGACTTTGCCTATTTTTATTTTCTTGTATCACACTGAATACTGGTCTGGAATAAGATAAACTTATAGAATAAACAAGAATAAGATAGAATTAATGTTTTTGATATCAGTTCCTGATTTTTTTTTTCACTTTGTTCCGTTGTTTGTATTCGGCTTTTAATACTCCGCTTATGCTATTACTAATTGCAAGATCGATGGACAATATCTTAATTACTTAATATTTAGACGAAGTTAGTTTTTTTTTTTTTTTTTTTTTTTTTTTTTTCTGGGCGAATCCAAATTAATTTTCAGACACACTGCTTACCCTTTTTGGACGAAAGGAAAAAATAAAATCAGAAGATAATAAATCAATCTATTTTCAAAGGTCTCGACGATTGCATTCTGATACAAGGTGGCTACCTCCGTACACGCCTCAGCCAGACATTGACTTGCACCGCTTATTAAAGTTACGGCATGGCATGCCTTGGGGTTTTCTCTTTTGAAGTTATCCCATTGCCGTAAAAGATTTGGACTGACTAGAGTGCTACTGGTAGGCCTTCTGTTATTGACCAATTGACATATAGTATACCGGAATTGTTGCTTAAAGATGAATCCTGGGGCAGGCTCATTGGGTTTTTGTAAAAGATAGTAATTTACAAACAACTTTGCTCTGTAGATAAGGTGTCTTATAGAATTGCAGCAGGTGATAATTTTTTTTTCTTTCAGGACACCTTTGTATTCTTCTTTTATGCAATTATATCAAAAGGAAGCTTCCGCGTGTATGCAGTATAATTATATCCAAGGTTGAGAGCCAAGGTTTTTGCTTTTGATAAAATATAGAAAGAGCATTTAGGGGAGCCGTGCAGAGCTATGACCTGAAAGCTTACATCTTGAACAAACACCTTCAGTACTGGCTTGTGTTTTCTGTCTTTTAGCATCATTTTTTTTTTAGCTCTTTTAACGTTTTCTGATTGTTTTCGTTTTTTATTAGTACCAGTGCCAACTATTCATTAACAAATAAGAAGGTGTTTAACACCTTATTCTACATACGAACAACTATACTTTCGTCACCAGTCTCGGGTGAATATAATGAGCATTTTTTATAGTTTTTTTTTTGTCAAGTGTCCCTTCTGACCACAATCAAAGCATGTGGCATCTATGATGTTATTGTTAATTTTGATTAGATATATGCACTAATAATAATACTTGCTTGAAAGCTTATTCTTCTCTAGACGACTGCCATAAATAACTTTTTTCTTGTTAAAAATAAATGATCGATGCATGTCTTTGTATGAAATAAGCAAAGATTGGTAAAGAAGGTAAATAGAATGTGACATATTTGTGGAAAATTTAAGGTTGATTTGCACTTAAAAAAAAAAAAGAATAATAGAAATCGAGTGTAGTCCTTTTTGGTAAATATTCCACTTATTAAACAGACTAAGGTCTTAAGAAAAAAAAACAAGAGCAACCTTTTGATATGGCAGGTAAATTATTTCTCTTACAGTGTCCATTATTAGCGACGTCATAACACTATCTTGAGTAACATCTCCTATTGTCCTGTCTGTCACAGCTATCACCTGTTGGATGTAGTTTGAACGCGAATCAATATAGAGTTGTTAGTTATGCAGTAAGTCTGGACTCAACTGGAGCTAAATAATCATGCCTATATGTATATTATTTGATAATAGTGGTATTTTAATAGAGCGTACAATATCTTTCTATTTGTGGATATCGTAGCAAAGTTAAAAGAGTACTATTTTTATATACTTTTTTTTTTATATTATACACATATATATGATTGTATTATTGATACCAGTGGTCTAAACATCCTTTCCATAGTATAACTTTTTTTTTCGATTATTTAAGCAATTGTATTATTTAATTATAAGCTTTATAAATAGAAGAACATATCTTAGTGTTGTCGACTTTCCTTTATACATTAAAAATGCAACTAATTATTAAAAGTTGCATTCTATTTTCAAATTTGGTTAATTGCTATCAAAACTATTGATCAAGGAAATAGTATTCAACATTAGAAAGATGAAGATTGTTTGCATTGAAAGAGAAGGACATACACTTAAGAGTAGAGTTAAATAATAATTCGAGTCCTATCATTAAAAGAAAGAAAAAAAAAGTCAATGATATGAATGCCCTAATAGATGTATGAAATAGACTAATTATATATAAATTATTGATTTTACAAAAAAAAAAAAAAAAAAAAAAAAAAAAAAAAGAAATTATTCGACTAGTGTCAATTACATAAAAGAAACTATTATTTAGTTATGAATACAAGGGCAGACAGGATAGTGTACAAAATGTCATAGAGAATATATTTTCAATTCAGTCTATAAGTATGTATTACAATCTATTTTTGTTGGTTTATTTAAAATATTAACATACATCGTTGTAAGTAACTATCTATTAACACGCAACTATTATTGTAGTTTGCTTTTCAATTACCGAAAAAAGAAATAATGCAGAATACCTTTACTGTTCAAAATTTGACTTGTTGATTTCTGATCCTTTCCCCCCCCCAGTTTTTTTATTTTGTTTAATTATTACTAATAGATAGTCTAATCCAAATACACACATACAATGCATCTTTTTCTTTTCTTTCTTTTATAAGAAATAAGTCTTTACATTTATATGAACAAGCAAGAGACAGCAAGATTTAATACTTTTGGTGAATTTTTAACTCCATCTATGATACCATCAGAAGAAAGAAAAGATTATTATTATTATAATGATTATAGCAATATCATTTCGTCACATCACCACCACCACCACCACTACCAACAACAACAACAGCACCAGCACCAGCACCAGCAACAGCCATGGTCTACAGCCCTGAGTTATCCTCATCCATCAAGATCTATCTTTACACCTAATACAGTATTTCATTCTTCTTCTGTACATTTGCCTATGCCATCTTATTTAACCGCTATATATAATGCATCCACATCATCTTTACCCTCTTCACCACAGTCATTGATAGAAGAATCAACAAACAAAACTAAAACATACTCGCAAAAGAAATACAACGATATCATCATTACAAATAATGAACCTCGAGTGCGAGGACGTCGGGTATCAAAGGTACCTATTCAAGATGCTCGTACTTTTTGTTGTAAAACAGAGGGTTGTGGTAAGGTTTTTAAAAGATCAGAGCATTTAAAGAGACATATTCGATCTATTCATACATTAGAGAAACGTAAGTAATTCCCAATAAGATTATGTGCATACAGAAACCTTATAATAATGTATATATATATATCTTGTAGCTTTCAAATGTCCTTATCAAAATTGTAATAAACGCTTTTCAAGATCTGATAATTTGAATCAACACATACGCATTCATAGGCATTGTAGCAATAGACAAACAATGCAGCAGAAAGGTGATTACAGAGGAAACAGTAGTCATGATGTGATAACAGGCACATCTTCTTCTTCTTCTTCTTCATCATCTTCTTCTACTACCACTACAATGACCTCTACGTCTACTAGTCATCAACTTTATTCTTTTTAATATGCTCTTACATTGCATACATACATTGCATACATACATACATACATATATGTATATGTATATTTAATATTAGGATTTATTCTAAAGATAGCTGATTTATTTCAAACAATATAAGCTAATCACATGATTTATTCATTATATAATGCTCAACACTTTATTTTCCTCTCCCTTTATCCCTTTTTTTCTTATTAATAAAGCTAATACAATAAATAGAAGTCCTTTATTATAGACGAATCTATTTTTTTTAAGAAAAAAAAAAAAAAGCAATGTATAGGATTACCTTTTGTCCTTTTTATGAAATAATTTTTTCTGCGTTGTACTACTGGAGTAGTATTTTAATATGACTATTTTATTTGAATACCGCTTCCCTGGTTATTATAGAAAAAAAAAAAAAAAAAAAAAAAACGACACTTCTGTCATATGTAAAAGATAATTCCTTTTTATTCCCCCTCCCCCCTTTTTTTTTCTTATTATGAATAAAGAAGAAAAAACAACTACGATAAGCTTATTAACAGGTGCATCAGGTGCCTTTGGAGCAGGACTCCTAGGTGCCATTTGGTATACAAAAAGAAAACAACAAACACAAACAGAAGAAATAAAAGTGGCAACGCCAAAAATGATGACACCTGCAGAATATGCAGTTGCCAAAAGAGACGCAACATTATTTGCCTTTAAAACCCTAGGATACGGTACACTTTTGGCTTTCACAGGTGCAGGATTACTTGCTATCACTGTTGGCTATTGTCTTGATGTTCATAATGTAACTACGAAATAGTTTTTTTTTTTATTCGAATTACACATTCTAATTACTATTTTACCTTTTTTTTTTAAGTTTAAAGAGTTTTCAGATAGACTTAAAGTGATTATACCACGACATACAGCACGATTAAGGCAATGGGCAGGCGGATCAAAGTTTGAAATGACGGCAGAAGAACAAAAAGAACTTGATCAAATTAATTTGGAAAACTAATGTATTATAGAACAATTTCAATGTGATGATTATTTTGATGAATTTATTTTTATCTATTTATGCACAAGTCCTTTTATAAATTAATTGAGAACAGAATATACCATAAAATAATAATAATAAAAAAATACTGGGGTAAAAAAAAAATGAATAAATTTACTTTGTTCTGTATAAAAGCTATATTAAGTTTCTCATCAAGAATAATAAATAAAGTGAAAAGTTGTGCCTATGTTCTTCTGGTGTTTATTATTAAGAATTAGTTTAGCAGTGTGATACTTGCAACAGAGTTAATAATAAATGGACCCTAGATAAAGCATCCATTTTTTATTTTATTTTATTAGCAAACAAATAATAATAATAAAAAAAGAAGTTCCACTCTTCTTCCCCTTCTTTAAATCACTATAAACTCATCCTTTATTCCTATTTGCTTTGTTGAATGATATATAATTTGTAACTGAATAGCAGTCCTTCTTTTTTGTAAGCAACATGATGCAACTTAGGTTCTTGACAGTAAAAAGAAAAGGTATAAAATAGGCCCGTCGATTCATTTCCTTGTATTTATAATGTTAAATGATATAGATTATATTATATGACTCCATTTATTACTTGTCGCAATCGATGATAGTAAAGTTTGTTCATCATTGAACACTATGAATACGTATTCAAATACAATTACATAATAAACTTTAGTATTTAAAGTCAAGAGGATAATATTTATTTGTGTATGATTTGTGTAAACTTTTTTTTTTTTTTTTTTTTTTTTTTTTTTTAACTCTTTCTATCCAACTGTAAATCTAGACCATAAAAAGTGAAGCAATAGTATATCTTTTGATTAGTTTATCAATATAGTGCTTTTAAATAAAGTAACAGCTGCACCTACTTGCCTTTTTTTTTTCTTTTCTTTTAATTATGCCATATTGCCAACTACTATTACACATAGTATAAATTATATGATTATTTTAACTTTAATTATTTGACGGTGTTTCAATGAATGATAAAGAGAGTATTCTTCGTGGAGAACTAAACTCTATTCCTAATACTTTAGTCCCAATATGAAACGTCATTTTTATATTAAATGAAATAATACATTACTAAACAAAAAAAAAAAAAAGTACATAGAGGGGGGGGTGTAGATGATGACGGAGAGGAAAAATAAAAAAAAGAAGATATACATATAAATATATACATATATAAAGCTATAGCCTTTTTTTTTTGCTATTTTTCCTTTTTTTTTCCTTATACATTAATAGATATGCAACACCAACAAAGCGAGCAATTGTCAAGAGAATGGGGACTTTTACAAGATCCTGTTATTCATACTGAAAGACTTGAAGCTATTCGTCAAAAGAAGGGATATATTATTGATATGGATGGCGTCATTTACCATGTACATACATACATACATGCATATATATTAGACGCATAATATAAACTAATATTACATATTTGTTATTATATTGATAGGGAGCCAATTTATTACCAGGTGCTAAAGAGTTGGTTCAATTCTTAAAAGACAATAATAAAAAATATCTTTTCCTTACCAATAATTCAGCACCTACTCCACAAGAATTACAGCAAAAGTTACATCGATTAGGTATTGATGTTGAAGCAGATCATTTCTTTACATGCGGACAAGCCACTGCCCTCTTTTTAGAATCCCAAATGCCGGGTGGTGGCACATGTTATGTTATTGGAGAGCATGGGCTTGCTTATGCTCTTTATGAAAAGGGCTTTGACATGAACGATCATAACCCTGACTATGTCGTGTTAGGTGAGACAGCGGCTATCAATTTTGAAAAGATTACAAAGGCGGTACAGCTTGTACAACAAGGTGCTAAATTAATTGCCACGAACTTGGATGTTGAAACACTTGACTCTCAGGGTCGTAAAATACCTTCTACAGGCGCCTTTGCTGCTTCTATTGAACTAGTTACCAAAACCCAAGCCTTCTATTGTGGTAAACCTTCTGCTTTAATTATGCGTTATGCTCAACGTGTGCTTGGTTTAAGTAGATTAGAAACATGCATTATCGGCGATCGAATGGATACTGAGTAAAGTTTATATATACAAATATATATATATATATATATATATATATGTATATAATGGAACGCGAGAGAGAGTGAAAGGATAAATAAATAAAAAAAAAAAGAAAAGAAAAGAGAGCAAAAATACAAAAGCCTTCGTCTAGTGATAGATAGGTTGTAATATTAACATTATTTATATGTAGTATTGTCGCTGGTATTACTTCAGAAATTGACCCTGTTCTTGTTCTATCCGGAGTCACGACTATGGAAGATCTTAAGCAATTTGCTTATGGACCTTATCTCATTTTAGGTGGTGTTTATGAAATACCAACTGAAGAGAACACACATAAAGTAACTGATGAAGAGTTAGAAGAAGCAAGCAGAAGAGTAAATATGTGATGCATTTATCCATCAAATATTATACTACGGAATTAACATTTATTTTAATTTTAGGCTTCATTCCTGTAAAAAACTGATTTCTTAAATTTTTTTTTTAAAGTACCTCCTACCAATAAAATTAAAGTGTTTTGTTTTATTTTGAAAACAAAAACAAAAAAAAAAAAAAAAAAAAAAAGAATAAAAGCCAAGTTTTACTTTTTTTGACTCTATTTTCTTTTCTTTCTCACCTTCTCTCTTTTTTTATATATATATATCTCTCTCTCTTTCTTTCTTTAATTAAACTTAGTATGGAAAAGCTAATCTTGAGAAGGGTACAGCCTTTGTTAAGAAAGGAAAAGACTAGTATAACAAGGAATTCTAATGATCTTGTGATTGACAAAAAGTCATTTCAAAGAGATCCAGTAGAAACAGAAAACTTGTATAGATCTTTGATAACAGAACACTATTCTAGTTTACCTATCCCAACACAGAAATGTGTACCTATCATGGCATCCAGGGAACAAGTCTACTTTTATGAAGCTCAATTTGTTGTACCTGCTCCAAACTATCCAAAGTATCAAACTATAAAAGATCTTTTGTCTATTTATTCTTATTCTAGTGTCGCGCCTGTGGGTAAATTAGAGTTTGTATTGAATTTCTTTAATAATATTAGATCTATGAACATTGTAAGTATATCTTTTTTTTTATTACTGTATAATATATCTTGTAGATAATTACACACACACACATATACAAGTATACAAATATATGTAGCGTATTGTCATAATTTTTTTTTTTTTTTGTAATAGAATTTGGATGTTGCTATTGTTTGTGCTGATGCAAAAAGTCAACACTTCTTGTACCAAGCATTACTTCAAAAAGAATTTAATATTCAAATTATTTCCCTAATAGTACCAGATTCTGGAATGTATGGCGTTATTATAAAGATAAGAAAACAGGGTAAAAAGGTAAGTTTGAGTACATCTTGTTTTTTTTTCTTTTTTTTTTTTCGTGAATGCGTAATTTAGGGAGGGATTTTAAGGAGAAGAAAAAAGAAATGATATTTACTTCCATAATTAGAATACACCAATTAGTCGAATGGAAGTAGATATTATTATGGTTTATGATTCAGCTATTAATTATCCTGAAACACACTTAAGTCAATTTAAAGGAGCTTATCATCATAGTCCTCATGTCCTTTATTTAACTACAATGGATACTGCGGATATCCGTTGTTATATTTCTGAAGTACATGACAAAAATAATTGGAATGATTGTTATGATAAAGTAAAAAATCAACAACAAGTATTTCATCAAATAAATCGACATCCATCTTTTGAACATTTCAAGTTATGGAACCAGTATATTTCAAATCAAGTAGCTGAATGGGCAAAGAAAAAAACGACAGAGCCATATCATTATTCTCATCCTAACAAACAGGCTTCACGGGCAAAAGAAATATGGCTCTCATTTCCTAATCATCATAAATCTCTTAGAACAATACCAGAATCAAAGTCTTCTTTGATCACTAAAGTACCTACAATAAAGGCAGCTTTTCCTGCCTTTAAAGGAATTAGTAATAACAGTAGTAATAGTAATAATAATAGTAATATTAATAGTAGTAGTAGTAGTAGTAGTAATAATCAACCTACTGTTATTACTAATTCTTCTGACAGAAATAGTATTTCTACTTCTACAGTCAACTGTAGTACTTTTTCTCCTGTTCCTTCTACTACTAAAAATTACGTGGCTTTGCCCACACCGGTTGAAAAGGATATCAATCATAATATTACCCCTGAACCGGTGAAGGGTACTAAGCCACTAGAGCCAAACGCGATTCCTGTCCTACCGGAGTCCAATTCGTCATCATCCGTTCCTGTTTCAAATACCACATCTGATGAAGGTTCAGCAATGGCTTTATCAAAGAAGAGGCCATCTAATAGTAATGAAGATTCACAAACGTCAAATCAAGATACGTCTTTAAATGATTTACCAAGCAAGCGAGCTCGTTTAGATGATCAGGTATCACAAAAAGTGAAACATAATAACGATCCATCTCATATATGTATATTGTACCTATCTATTTATATCTTTTTTTTTTTTCCTTATCATTTATAATAGGCTACAACTCAGTCTAACACACAAAATATACCACAAGATACTGTTAACGATAATCAAACATCTACAACTATTTCAAATAATAACTTAAGCTCTTTCTTTGATGATCTACTAGAGCAATTTGAAAAAGACATGAACAATATTAATGTCAAGTTTTAAACAAAGGCAATTTTTCTGCTTGGCATTATCTGTCTACATATGTTATGTGTATACCTTTATCATTTTGATATTTAAAGTAGTGTAATAAATAAGCATTACACTTTCTATATGTTTATCATATACAATCCTCTTCCTCAGGGAAAGATTCTTATTTTTTGTTGTTGTTTAGAGCTAATAATAACAGTTTTTTTTTTTTTTTTTTTTTGGTTTTTACCCCTCTCTTAGAACATAATTTACTTTATGGAAAACGACTCTATTGTCATTACGAAGTGACAAATTTGTTTTGAGCACAAATGTAATACTGTACTGATATAGTTTAACAAAGATATATATGTATATACATGTATAATATGCTTCTGTAGCTTATTCAAGCGTGTTTATACAGTAAAACAATAAAAAATATACCTTAAATGTAATAGGAGTTTTATATTATTAATACATCTATATTTTCTTGAGGTATATCGGAAGTTATAAAAATCTACATGTCATTTTGAATCCATGAGGCTACTTTAGTAACCATATAATTGATATGTTTCGGCTCTAATTGTAAAAAATAAAAATAAAATTAAAAAAAAAAAAAAGACCTTTAAAGTTAATATGTATTATAGAGTATACCTAAGCAGAACGCATGTGGAACGTTCTCAGGACAAAGATGAATATTGCCTGCATTTCATAATGTATATTTAATAATAATAATAAAAAAAACATCATTATTTATAGTTCTAACAGCATACATACCATCTGGAAAGTGCTCCATCATATAGTCATAATGATCTTTAGGCGCCCATTTATCATTAGCTGAATAATACATGATAAATTTATCTAAATGTTTTGTATAAAAGTCATGATCTAATGCTTTTACTGTTTCCATCTCAAATCGAGCCATTGTAACGGCATTCTTTAACACTGAAGAATAAAGCAATTGATGTGCTGTTACTTGTAACCCATCTCCTTCTTGGCCAGTCAACATTTTTACAATTAACTGTCGAATAGATGGAGGTAAAGATGATATTAATGTGCCTGCAAACCCAAATAATGAAGCAGGTATAGTATTTACTATACGCTATATATATAAAAGATCAGATGACATGCATTTAACTTTTAATCAAAAAAGTGTAATGACTTACTGTTATGTTTATACCATTGGGTGTAATAGCAATCTCTCTCAATGTAGGGAATAAGGCTATCACTCGAGAAATACGATGGTTAGGTCTCTTTTTTAATACAGCAGCAGCAATATAAGAGCCGATTGAATGGCCCATCAAAATAAAATGTGTATTGGGCTCATTTTCTTTGATGAGAACATCAAGACAATTAATTTTGTGATCAATTTGATCCTCTAAAGAATATAGTATTTTATCATTTTTATTTGTTTCATGATAGTTGATGGAATGTCCTTTATGAGAAACTTTATACAATAGTGAGTTAAACATACTACTTTTTCTTTTGTGTGTGTGTGTTTTTTTTTATTCTATGATATGTCCATATAATTTACCTCCAATAATCTCGAATGAAGGATGATTTAAGGTTTTATAAATGCCCTGAAGGAAACTAGTATAATATTCAACTAATCCTGGATTGCCAGGAATGAAGAACAAAATTGTTTTGGCTTTAGCTGAAGTGGCAGGCCATAATAATGTTTCTGTTTGATAACCCGAAACTTCCCAAACGGCACGTAAAGGAGTTTGTAGTAAAGACTTCTTTACAAGAGTCGCCATAAAGAAAGAAAGAAAAAAAAAAAGTTACTACCCTAATTTTTCCAAATTAAGCATTTTTTTTTAATAGCAGATGACTAATAATACATTTTTTTTTTTTTTTTTTTTTTTTTTTGAAACTGACTTTGGCAATACAGTATTAGAATTGCTTTGTGTTTATTGATTCTAATCGTAGTCACTATTATTGCTAAAAATACAAGAATCCAGACAGAATTAAAAATAAAATAAAATAATCGTTTTTATCCATTCTTTTCTTTTTTTTTATAAAAATTCTTTAATTAATGTAAAGAAAAAAAAACAATATACATATATATATAGACGCATATATATATATATATATTTGTATATTTATATAGACAAGTACGTACATACTATTTTAAATAAATTCTTCATGTCAGCACATTCATCACTTCGTAGAAGAGGTACTGGTTCGACTTCAGCGGGACCCGATTATCCTAATTATATTCCATTATTTCGAGATACAAGCCATACTCGTTGTGAGTTAGAACTCCCCAAAGATATAAAAGAAGAGAATGATAGGCTTCATATTCAACGGAAAGGCAGTTTTCAAAGTTTTTTCACCAAAAGTAGTATACTCCAAACAACGAACACAAATGATGACGATGAAGTCGAAGATGTTAAGACTGATGTATTGTATCCCCGTTATAAGGCAAGTCAAGATGATGATCATGTCGATATGGATGCCTTTCAATGCATGTTACATGAAGGTACATTACAACTTTCGAAAACACTCAGTCGTCAAAATCAATTATATAGTTCTTCAAGACATGGGTTTGATATCACACAACCAACTCCTATAGGTGTTCGTTTTCAGATTTATTCGGCACAAAAAGGTTCTGATATTTCAATGAATTTAGAAAATTTGTTAACAGAAGAAGGCCAAAAGGCTTTAAAAGCAGTTATTAAATCAAGGGGATGGTGGGTAGATGTACTTTGCCCTTCTATTGAAGAGATGAGAGTCATAAGTAAGGTAAGTCATACAGTAACAAAAAAAAAAAAAAAAAAGATTTTTTACTCTATTTTATTTTTATTTTTACATACTTTAATACTAATAAAAAAAAATAGACATTTCATATTCACCCATTAACAACAGAAGATATCCAAGCACAAGAACCTCGTGAAAAAGTAGAAATATTTCCAAATTACACATTTGTATGTTTTAGAGCTATTGAAGTTGATCCATTTACAGATCAAATCAAGCCTTTTAATTTTTATTCTTTGATTTTTAAAGAAGGGTTTTTAACTGTAAGTTTTCTTGATTTTGACTATAATAATCTGCAAAAAAAAAAAAAAAAAAAAAAAAAAAAAAAAAAAATACTAATACATGTATAAAGTTTCATTTCAAAAAATCTGATTATTGTAATATAGCCCGTCAACGATGTAATCATTTAAAGGAGTATATCACAATCACACCTGATTGGATGAACTATGCTCTTATTGATTCTATTACAGATAGTTTTGCTCCTATTATTTCACAAGTTGAAATGGAAGCTGTTTCTATTGATGAACTTTCTATGGTGTTAAAGGAGACTGAACAAACAGACATGTTAAAACGTATTGGTCGTTGCCGGAAGAAATCAACGCATTTGGTTCGTTTATTAGGTTCCAAGATAGATGTCATTAAGAGTTTAATGAAAAGATATGAAGATAAATCAAGAGATTTGACTTTAAAAGAAAAGCAGCAACAGTCATTCTTTACACAATTGAATCATGCATTGACTAACTTGGAATCTGACAAAGAGCCTTTTTCTGATACTGGTACAAATAGTTACAATGAAACCAAAACTAATAGCGCTGATACTACTTCTTCTCCATCTTTAACAATGATCTTGGACAATAAAAAGGTTTATACTGATACTTTATTATATTTGGGCGATATTCAAGGTAAGAAAAGAAAGAAAGAAAGAGAGAGAGAGAGAGAGAGAGAGAGAAAGTGAGAGAGGCAGAGGGATCTAATTGCTTATTTTATATATTTATTATAGATCACATTTTAACTATGGTTCAGAATATAAGTCATTATGATCGAATACTTCATCGCGCACATACCAACTACCTGGCACAAGTCAATATAGAACTCATTCAAACTTACAATCTAACAAATGAGGTTATGAACCGTCTTACCTTTCTAGCCACTGTCTTTATTCCTTTAACTTTAATTTGCGGTTTATGGGGTATGAATGTCGCCGTTCCTGGTAAATACTATGGTGATCTCGTTTACTTTTATTGGATCCTGGGAGGAATGGCCTTTTTTTGTGTAGGCTGTTTATTTTATGGTAAACGAGTTGGTTTATTATAATCATGCATAATAAATCTACAGCATTGTGGCTTATAATTGGATAAAATTAAGTCACAATATGCTTCTTTTTTTCTTGATCAAGTGTAATTATTAATTTTTTTAAATTTGTTCTCCTTTATTTTTTTTTTTTTAAAAAATAAAACTGTAATAGAACTAAAATGGCTGAGCAAGTACAATATCAACTCGAGCGTATGATTCCTGAGCTCGAGGCTCTTGAAAAACATAATATATTTTCACATGTAACTATATACAGTTGGTACTAAAAGTTATCATCTTGAACTTCGATGTTAATAATTGCCCTCTTTTTTTTTTTTATTTTCATTTTAGACCGAGGTTCAGTCCATTGTCAAAAATAGATCCAAGTTTGAACATGCATTACATCGTCGTATTAAACAAAAACTTGATTTCCTTAGAGCAATTGAATACGAGACTAATCTTGAAAAACTTCGTAAAAAGCGTATTGCAAGAATGGGTAAAATAAACCTTTTTTTATATACATGTATATCTTTAGTTATCCTGTTCATTGACTTTTTTTTTAAAAAAAAATGAAATAGGTCTTGAAAGAGAAATAATAGGCACAAGTGTACAATATGCTGGAGTTAGACGTATTTTGAGCTTATATCAAAGAGCAACAATTCGATTCAAAGGCGATTTGTCACTTTGGTTACAATATATTGAATTTGCCAAATCTAGTCACTCAAATAAAGTATTATCAAGTATTTTTGTACAGTAAGTTTTTTTTTTCTCCCCTTTATTTTTAAGTTAGATCTATGGTTATATAACACATATATTGTAGAGCTATTCAATATCATCCTAATAATGCTTCATTGTGGATTATGGCAGCATCATTTGAATATGAACAAAATTCAAATATGGCAGCAGCTCGTATCTTATTACAACGTGCACTTCGTTTAATGCCCGAGAACCAGCATTTATGGCATGAATATTTTCGATTAGAATTGTTATATATTGAAAAGATTAAACTTAGAAGACGTGTACTTGGTATCAATCAACAAAAGAATGCAGAAGATATAGAAGCAATGAATGTGGATGAAAAGGAAGAAGAAGATGATAATACAATTCAATTACCAGCTGTTACAGGCGAAGATGTAGAAAAATGGAAAGAGGATGAGGGACAAAAGAAAAAGATTAAATTATCAGAAGCAGAAGCAGCAGCTCTTGAAGAAGCCAATAATCCTATTCTTCAAGGCTTGTTATCAAAGATTGTTTATGATAATGCTATACAGGCTATTGCGGATGACATTGAATTTCGCAAAAAGTTTGTCGAGATTTATCAAGAATTTACAGATACTGAAAAGCATATTGACTATATTTATGAAACCATTCGTCGTGATATGAATACATCACCTGTAGCACGTGCTTTCCTTGCTAAAAGATATTTATTTGAATACAAAAACCTACAAATGATGACTATGACAGATCCAGCCTTTATTCCTGCTTTCAGATTATGTGTGCAAGAATTCGACACAGCGTTGAAGGAGGTTCCATTGACTGAAATGTGGGAACTCTACATCCAATTTTTACTTGATTGGCATACAGTCGCAACTGAAGAGAACTTGAAATTATATCTTGTTAAATTATTACAAAAGTTGTTCAAGACATGTAGAAAAGAGGATAAATTGAGCATGAAATTGTATGAGTTATGGTCATCCTTCTTGATGAAGGAAAATGAAGAGGAGAAAGCAGATAATATTGCATCCGTTGGTTTAGAACATTTCCCTCAGTCTGTTCCTCTTTGGTTAAATCGCATTGCAATAACTAAAGAAGAGCAACGCCAACTTTATGAAACTGCATTAGAGAATAATCCAGAATCACTTTTATTATGGACATCATATAAGGATTGGATATTGAATAATGACTCACACTTATTGACAGAAGAAATGGATCAACTATTGTCTCATGCATGTGAAAGAGTGACTCTTTTACTGCCTTCTGTCACCTCTTCTGAACGTAATGAGATTAAGGATATGATACAAACAGCTTATACAGAATGGGCAGCTCAAACTCGAGGCATAGAAGAAGCACGACAAGTATACAAGAAAATTATGAAAAACAGCTATCCCACTTATGCATTCTATATGAAATGTATTGAAGTTGAAAATAAATATGGAGATAAAACAGGACAAGAAAATGTAGAATATTTGTATGATAGAATTACAAGCTTACAAGAAAATAAAGATGGTAAAAAATATATATATATAAATATACGTATATGTATACATAAATGTATTTTGATACTTATTTATTTGAAAAAAAAAAATTCTTATAGCGAGCTACATTTCTTATTTGGCATATCTTTATTCTCAAAAGAAGTTCCAAAAAGCAACTCAAGTGTATAATAGAGCATGTAAAGAGGTTTCTGATAAGGAAACATTTGATATTAAAGTTCAAAAGTTAAGAGAATCTAAACAAAGAAACTTGTAAATTAAATAAATATTGACTTCTTTTAATCTTCTCCTTAAATATATATCTTCTTTGAGATATTAGATTAACTCCTTTTCTTTTTATAATTGAAAGTACAAGTAGTAAAGTTATTCTCATTATTAAATAAATATACCCTCAGTAGCTACTTTATAATTCAATGTCTATAAGAGACATCGAATAAAAGGATAATATCGATTTATCCAAAAAAGAAAAAAAAAAAGCCTCCATAAAGCTACCTTATTACTCGTCCTCTTTCCTAGTTTTAGCAGTAATAATACTCTTCCTTCTCTAGCAATTTTCAATAAGTGAAAGCATCATTGTCAAAAGTGGTGTAATAAACAGAAAATAAAACATACAATATTACCTTTTTTTTTTTTTTTTTTTTTTTTTTTTTTTTTTTTTTTTTTTTAGAAGGGCAACAAAAGAATGACTTCAAATTGATCTGAGCTTAAAGTCGAGATATTGACGGCAGCAGTTGTCAGCACGTCACGGATTACGTATATGTGTATTTTTTTTGGGTGATGTCCAAAAAGGGGGAGAGACAGAAATGAGAGTTAAGGAAAAAATAAAAAAAAAAAAAAAAAAAGGACGCGCACACGCGGCGGATAACTAAAGCATAAAGTTTCTTATAGGAAGCTTTCCCCTTCTCTCTTTTTTTTTTTGTTATAATCTATACATATTATAATTCACAATGGCTAGAAGATACGATTCAAGAACAACTATTTTTTCACCCGAAGGTAATCAAATGTTAATGTAGTACGCTAATGTATACTCTTGTCGAAGAAAAAAAAAAAAAAAGAGAGAGAGAGAGAACTAAATTATACATTTCATTGTTTTTTTTTGTTACATAAAAAGGTCGTTTGTACCAAGTCGAATATGCCATGGAGGCTATTACTCTTGCTGGTATCGCCTTGGGCATTCTCGCAAAAGACGGTGTTGTGATTGCTGCAGAAAAGAAAGTGACCTCAAAGCTTTTAGAGCAATCCGCTTCATCTGAAAAAATTTATAAATTAAACGAGTAAGATGCCCCTAGTATCCATTTGTAATAATGATTCTAATTCTTTTTTTTTTTATCTATATAGTAATATTATTTGTGGTGTTGCAGGTATAACAGCCGATGCAAATATTTTAATCAATTGGACACGAGCTAGTGCGCAACGCTATTTGTTTGCTTATAATGAAGAAATTCCTGTTGAACAACTCGTTCAAAACTTGTGTGATTTAAAGCAAGGTTATACTCAATATGGTGGTTTGCGTCCATTTGGTGTTTCATTTATTTTTGCAGGTTATGATGAACATCATGGATTCCAACTTTATCATTCAGATCCTTCTGGTAATTATGGTGGTTGGAAGGCTACATGTATTGGTGCCAATAATGCTACAGCACAAAGTATTTTAAAACAAGATCATAAAGATGATATGACATTGGAGGAAGCAAAGGCATTGGCTATTAAGGTGTTAAGTAAAACAATGGATAGCACAACATTATCAAGTGAAAAGTGTAAGTAATATTTGTAATCATTGTTACCAATCTTTATTAAACATTATTTTTTTTTTTATATAGTGGAATTTGCTACTATTAAACTTGTTGATGGAAAGGTTAAATATGATCTTTACAAACCTGCCGAGATTGATGCTTTGTTGAAGGAACAAAATGTTGGTGCTAGTGCTACAGAAACAGCTCAATAGTTTAGTTATATATATGCATATATATCGAAATAAAACAAGTATATAATAGTATAGATGTCATGTTTTATTTAAGGATAAAGATAAAATGCAATCCATCCACAAATAAACGTCATGATAAATGAGGATAGAATGTTAACTTGATGATTATCTAATAAGGGTATACCACTAATAACTTTAATATTTTCATCTTCTTTAACTTTTTCAGGCACAATCTTTTTCCTGTCTTCAGAATATAAACTTTGTTGAACTGTTGCGCCCAATAAAGAATCAATCTATATGATAATTATCGTGTTAATAACTGGCTTAATTCTCTTTTTTTTTTTTCGTTCTTTTTTTTTTTTTTACCAAAGAACCTCCTAAGCCAGCGAATGAACCTAATACAATCAATTCCCATGCAAAGCCATGACAGGGCTGCTCCAGTGCTAACGTGAATGCTCCCGATAACCCTACTAAAGCTCCTCCAGCAAGGGAAGCTGCTAATCCAAGTCCAGACACGCCACCATTTGTGCCTGGTGGTACTTTTTTCATACGTGTAATCAAAATGGGCCATTCTTTATTTAAAATACCCAACTCACTTGCCCACTATATACATGTATATGTTAGTCATGATAAGAAGCTCATCCTAGATGTATACATATATACATATAACAACATTTACAGTATCACCTGCACAACATCCATAATGCCTAAAATATATATAAATATATAAAAAAAAAAATAGTATTAATATACATCTTTATATGTATATGACTAAGAGGTGTTATGCATGTTACCCAACATAGGCCCATAATAAGACAACACTTAACCGTGTATGATCAAAACAGATATCATTAGTAGTAGATTTGTTGTTGCAAAATAACTGGAACAAAAAGACTGCAATTCCTCCAGCTAAGCCATTACACAGAACTTGAATTGCATTACGTTCACTGGAGGCTTCATACTCTGCTTCCAACATCTTTTTTCGTTCTGCCTTAAATTTAGTTAATTTCGAACTACTCAAAAAGAAGGTCATCAAAATCACTGTGAAAACCCAAAAGGACGAGGAAAAAGTAACCATGCCCAGTATAAATGCTGCTGCTGCTCCATCCACACTTAGTGACTTTTTACGTCTTGAGTGAATAACAAGTGCTATAGATAAACTTAAAGCAAATAGGATGTTCATTAATGTAAAAAAAAAAAAAAAAAAAAAAAAAAAGGAGAAAGAGGAAGACGTCCTCACCAATAGAATAAAGGTTTTTGTGTCTGTATTATGTAATGAATTCCTGTCTACTTACTACTGATTCACAAATGCCGGTCACATAAAAAAAAGAGGCATTATTATCTTTCCCAAAAAAAAAAAAAAAAAAAAAAAAAAAAAAAAAACGCGTTCAACTATCTTTTTTCTTTTTTTCTTTATTTTTTTTTTTTTTTTTTATTTTAAACAAAAAAAGATAATAATTTAGCATAAATGACAGATTCTACAAATGAGTTTTTAAGAGATATCGAAAAAGATACTACAGATGAATTGACCAATGTCGTTGATAGTGAGGTGACTGTAATAAAAAAAGTAATTTCGACAGAAATCGTAGTAGAATCATCTGTACCCACTTCCAGCATTGAGAATCAACTTGAAGAGCCATTAAATAAAGAGCAACAAGATGTGTTATATACTGAAGTGAATGATGAGATAAACAAAGACTTGTCAGAAAATGAAGTGGCACTTGATAAAGATAACATGGCAACCGCTAGTGAAACTGAAGCTGGAAAGCAAACAGAGATTGATCAAGATAGTTTGGGTAATTTGGATCGTGATATAGAAAAAATGCAAGAGGATATGGATATGATTTTGCAGCAAGAAAAAGAATTATTTCTCTCTCTTGATAATGATGTGAATGCTATAGATATGGCTGAAGAAGATGAAACCGATCAAGGTTTTGAAACAGCCAAAGAAACGCAATCAGAAGAAGTGAATAATCACACTAGCGTAAAAAAGGATACAGATATTAAAGAGGCTGAAAAAGAAAAAGAAAGTCAAGATGTGGAAGATTTAGAAATGATTGAAACTACAGAAATAGTTGAAACAACGGAAATAGTTGAAGAAATGAATAAATCAGATAAATTTGAAAAGACTGAGGAGAGTGGATTGGATGAACAAGTTGAAAATCCTAAAGAAACTAAAGTTGATGAAAGTTTAGAAAGTGAAACAAATGAAGTTGAAGAATCTATAGAACATGTAAAAGAACCTAAAAAAGGCCAAGTAGCTGAAGACGGTGAAGAGTCTGATGAAGAAGCGGTCAATGTCATTGAAGCTATCTCTAGAAAAGAGAATCAACACCAAAATACTACAAAAAATCAAACCATGTCAGATATAGATTCTAGTGATTCTGATAAAGCTGAACAACCTAAAAAGACGGCAAAGACAGGTAAACAACTTGAACTACCCAAGGAATCAGGAAATACTAGAAAATCTCGAAAGACAAAAGAAAAAAAGAAACGTGTTATTGAAGAAGAAGAAGAAGAAGAAGAAGAAGAGAGTGATGTAGAAGAAGAATATGAAGTCGAAAAGATTGAAGGCCATCGAATTTACAAGGTAAAAAAATAAATAAATAAAAATAGTATGTTTAATATCAGGAAAATTGTTAATCTATTTTTATCAAAAGGGTAAAGTTGTAAAATATGAAATCAAATGGAAGGGCTATCCTTCATCAGAGAATACAATGGAGAGTGCAACTACTATTCACACGTAAGTCAATTACTTATAAATCACCTTGAATAATGAATACTAACAAAAATACAAAGTGATGTACCCGAGTTATGTATCGCTTACTGGGATAATTTGCCCCACATTGAAAGACCATCTAATGTGCCTACAGAAACAGAACTGGATAGTATAGAAGAAGAGCAGAAAAAGGAAAACATGAAACCTTCCCTCAATAATAAAAAGAGACCATTAACGAATAAAATAACAGAAAGTTCTCCAGAGCAATCTTCACGAAAGAAACAAAAACAAATAGAAAAAACAATGGATAAAAAGTCTGAAGATTCTGCTAAAATGGTGGAGACTTATTTAAAACATGTACCAAAATACATGATTGAACTTGGATATGTATTTCCTAATTCTTGGCCAAATAGTAAGACTAAATGGAATAGTGATTTAAAAAGAATTTGTGTCCAAGCATCACCTATTGAACCAAAGACGATGCTTTGTTATATTGAATGGTAAACAGATAATTTTTTTATTTTATTTTTTTTGGATGTGGCTTAACATATTAAATATTTCAGGAATAATGGTGAAAAGACGATTCATTCAATGTCAGAGATACATGAAAAGATCCCTGAAACGGTAAGCATTGAAAAAAAAATTATTAGCTTTAAAAGAAAGAAAGCAGTAAAAGAGCTCACAATTGAATCTATTTTTAGTTGATTCAATATTATGAAGAAAGATTATTATTTGTTTAATCAAAAGAAGAATATAATATGTTATTTTATGTTTTCTATTCCCCGCTCTTCTCTTTTCCATAAATAGTAATTTTTTTTGTCTCTTTTTTGTCTTTTTTTTTTTTTTTTTTTTTTTTCTTTTTCTCTTCTCTTTTTCTTTTTTTAGCCCCTTATATATTTTTGGAACTAAAAGGTCGAATTATTGCATTTTATTGTTTCTCCTTTTCTCTCTCTTTCTTTTCTTTATTTATTAGTTTATTTTATTCATGTGGAATATTTCACACTTTGTAAGTGTTCTCTTATCTGATGATAACCTCTTCTTCTATAATATATACACATTATTCATAATTTAGTTTGGAGATTCAAAATGGACACGTGCCATTTTTTTAACAATACTTTTACAAGCAATATTAGCCATCTTATTTGAAGCTATTATATTTCAAAACCATGCAAATCAAATCAATATTATTAATGAAGAACGTTTAAATCAAAAAGCGTTTGGACAGGCACTCTTCACTGCTTATTCAAATGCACGTTCATTATTAGTTTATTTTGCTCTTTTTATTATAGCCCAATTATTTACAGTCGTTTTAATATTAGATGCGGTAATAATATTAATTAAAAAAAAAATAAAAAAAAAAAAATAAAAAAAAAAAAAAGTTTAATATTACATATTTATTCATGTTATTCGTTCGTTTATAAATGATAAAATTAGATATATCAAAAAAATACAATCCAATTAATTGCGCTGGTCGTATTTGAATTGGGTATGAGTGCTTATACAATTATTCAATATCATCAATCTTCAACTTTGTTCAGTAATACAGAGGATCCTAGTGTTAGTCTTGTTATCGCCTTTTTGGGTGACACCTATCATGCTTCTCGTTGGGCGGAGATTACACAGATTTGTGTGATGCTCATCTCGTCCATTCTTTTTACATTTTTAGCTTATAAACTATATCTTGAATTTGGCTGGCAAATATATAAAAAAATTGGAGCAGATCTAACAATGAGAGGTATTATTGTGATAAATAAGAATCAAATCTCTCTTTCTCTTTTTAACAAAAAAAGTATTATTATTTATGAATAGATCGTTATAAAATGTATCAAATCTTTATGATGCTTTTGAAGTTTGATTTCTTTTTCTTTTTGGGATTTTCAATTCAATATTTAGTTTTATTGATTGTTGCATGGTTACCAGAAGCAATTGATGCACAAGCTAGATCCAATATAATTAAAGAATTAATAGAACACATTATACTCAGTTGCTTAGTATCCATTGCTATGTTGGTTTTTGCTTTTTTCGGGGTAAAGGAGTATATATGTATATAATAGATGATTCTTATGACTAACAATTTTATAATAGCTACGTCGAGAATTGAAATTACATATGTATTTATTTATTGTATTTTCAATGGCAAGTATGGCTTATTTTATTTATATGCTTGTTACTATATCTCGAAATCCAGAAAGATTCATAGGATCTAGAATTTTTTTAACTTTCTTTTGTAAGTATATCCCTACGTTATTAACAATAATCATAATAATAATAATAATATTCCTATTCCTATTTATTAGTATGTGTTGATATGGTTCTTATTTTGGTAATCTTCTATATTAAAAAAAAGGGGGGGAATCATTCTTATTTATTTGATTTATTTTGATTATTCTAGGCTTCAGTACCCTCTGCTATTATATGTTTAAGGAATTTCAATCATGGATTAATTAATCATAGTATGTATATGATATTTACAAAAAAAAAAAAAAGGAGAAGAAGAAGAAGAAGGAAACTAATGGTTTCTTTTGTTTATAGTATCACATGCTACATCTCTTACTACTTCCTCTAATCATCCTATGCATACTACATCTGCAAATGGAGTAGAAAAATATACAAATAATCAAGAAAGATGGTCTATAGAATAGTTTTTTTTTTTTTTTTTTTTTTTGTACATTAAAAAACAAGTGCATACAAATATAAGCCACCTCTCCCTTACTTTTACCCTCCCCCCCCTCCTCTTCTCTCCCCTCTTTTTATAATACAACATCACCGGTAAGTTGCTATAGTAATAAAATATGGGATCTAGTTTTTATTAAAGTCGTTTTCCAGCAATAGTACAAAAGAAGGCCATGATAATGAAAGTGATTAATAAAATAATACCAAGTACATGTAAAGATCTTTTTCGTAATATATTTTTAGCTTTAGGTTCTATGATTTGATTAAAATGAAAAGGAATAGTTTCACTAATAAAAATAAGAAAGTTTTTTTTTTAAAAAAAAAAAAAAAATCTAGCATCTATGTTATGTATGTATGTATGTATGTTTATACCTTGTATTAAAGATAAGGACCCAAATAGGGTCAATACCTATCATTGAAGTTATTATACAAAACACACCAGAAATAATAGGTAAAATACCCTTATAAAAATAAAAGATAAGGTTAAACCCTTCCCAAAAAAAAAAAAAAAAAAAAAAAAGTCAATTTCTAATTCACTTTTACCCATAATCTCTTTTGCCAAGGTTGAATATCTAAAAATATAAATGAAAATTCAAAAGAAAATCCTATACATAAACAAAAGAGACCAGAGAAAAGTCTTGCCACTTGTTGAGGTAAAGTCAAGTTCATCCATAATTTATAACGTAAAAATAAAGGAAAAGTAGAAGCAAGTAATTGATAAACATAGTCTTTAGCTTGGTCATAAATGATGGGATCCTCTGGGGATAGTTGATGAAAATGAAGTCTAATCGCTTCCTTTATAGAATAAGGTAATTGTTCAATTTCTTTCTCTGCATTTGGAACGATATAACGAAGATAGATGCCCTCAAGGGTCTCTATCATCTCCCTTTGTGTAGGTGGTGGTGGTCGAGGCTTCTTGCTTATGAATACAGGACGACATGAATCTGATAAAAGTAGTAGAGTTGTCAAGAGATGATCGTTTGAGTTCTGTTGTAATAATGAGGGTGCTGTAGTTAATAATAAAGCGGATTCCATCTCTTTCCTTGATGAACTCTTTATATATCTTTTATATAACAAATTGGCTTGTGTTACATCTAACCAAAAATCCAAAAGAATCTCAAGCCCTAGTCGATCTTTTAATACGATATAAAAATTATAAAGACATACAGGAGGTTGACTTTTCCTATGTAATACATCATCTAAAGTAAGTAATAACACTGGACTATTTTCTTCTTTCATAAGTATTCGTATTATCAATAACAGATCCAAGACAAATAGAAAAAGAGAAAGAGAAGCATTTTTTTTAAAAAAAATAAGTAAATTAAAGTCAACAAAATGAAATTAATAGGAGGAAAATGAAGCTACAAAAGGAGATCATTTCTTTCCTTTTATTATTTTTATTTTCTCCTTTTATAATAATATTATTTCACTTTTTTTTTTTGACGAGCGGAGTAGTAAATTTTGTAGTTAGCATAGGCCCTAATTGTATTGTTATTATTTTATTTTATTTTTTTTTTGTACCTTTTTTTTTATTTTCATTATTATGACAAAGAAAGAAATAAAATTCATATAATATTAATGAGTAACTACAATACATTTAATAATTCAACAGAAAGGTATCCTGGAATCACTCCACCTGATCCATTACAAAGATATGGCTCTGCTCATCTTGACCAAGACATTTTTGGCATCTCGGTTTCTCGTTTAAATATTGTTCAGCAATTAGGTATATAACAAAGAGTTATCCCTTCTAGCTTTATAGTTAATAACTAATGTTGTTGGAATAGAATTTGCAAGAAAAGTGCTTTGCATTACAACAAGTCAATTATTAATTTTAGCTTTTACCATGTTTTTTATTGTTAAAGTCTGTCCCTTATTTGAATGGCTTAAGAATAGGTAAAAGAAAAAAAAAACAAAAAGAGTGAATAAATGAATGAATGACATGGATGAATTAGATTCAATGGATTTTCAATTAATCTCTTTATTATAATAGTACTTGGACTTGGTGGATTCCTGTAGCACCTACATTTTTATTTAGTTTAATCATTATTTGGCAACTTTGGAATCAATATTTTCAACTAACGAAGGCAGTTAGGACGACTTTATTATGTTTGTATACATTAACTATGTCACTTGTTATAGCTAATATAGGTACAAAATGACCAAAAACGGTAAAGATGAAGCATGCACATCGTAAATTATCAACTCAACCTATTATTTTGTTTTTAATTATAAAAAGTTTCAAAAGCAGTGTATGAAGAAGGTATTTCTGTTATTATCATGACCATTTTTGGATTATCATGCTGCATTTTATACACCTTTCAAAAAAGGTATTCATTTTCAGGTGTATTTCCTTTGTAAGTGATTATTATTACTATTATGACTATTACTAACAACAATAGGGATATAGTGTGTGTAGTCTAGGTGCCCTCTGTTTATGTTCTTTAGGGCTAAGATATAGTTATGAAATGGATCCTATCGAAATTTTGTTTCCTATAACAATAGCTAGTTTAATATGTATTTACATCATTTTAGAACTATATTTTATTATGCAAAATGTGACATCAGATGACTTTATGTTGGCTAACGTTTGTTTCTTTGTTGATGTTCTTTACCCAATCTATTTTATACATCACGTATGTGAATTAACAGACAATTTTGATAATGTATTTCCAGATATTTTATACCCAGGAAATTAAATAAATGTATCACAAAATAATATTATTACATGTTGTTGTAAATAAAATAAAGAGAATCAATTTTTTTTTATTATCATTTAAAGAAGACGACTTCAAACGTATATGTATATAAAAAAAAAGGACACTTTACGACATACATGTAAATATGTTAAAGAGTTTATATAAAGAAGGAAAAGAGAATGAGTGAGTGAGTAAGTGAGTGAGTGAGTAAGTGAGTGAGTGAGTAAGTGAGTGAGTGAAAGAAGAGGCCCCTCCTTCTCTCTCTCTCTCTCTCTCTGCTTCCCGTACCTTTTTTTTTTTTGTTTTTTTTTTGTTTTTTGTGTGTTTTAATTTGTATGTATTCATTCTTGGTAACTCTTCCTTTTTTTTTGTTTTTGATAGAGTAGAGCTTATTATATATAATTATAAAAGTAGTGTTTACCAGTCCTTCTTGATATCAAAGGACCAAGTCCATTCCATATGCGTAACACCATCATCATCAACAAATTTACTCTACAAAATAATATGAATAAGATACATGTTTATAACTCTACCACTTTATAGAAGAAATACCTTTGCTTCATAGTGATCTCGAACAAAGAATCCAGAAGGAGCTTCTTCCATTTGGAATTTCTTTTCATAAGGTTCAGCAGATGGACCATAACTGCCAATCATTTCTTCAGTCTTATCGACTATGTCAATAAAGTTAATTTCGTGACACGATAAAAAAAAATAGATGTGTATTACCTCTGACACCCTTTCTCTTAACAACTTGTAAATATTTTAAACCAGAAACAACATCATGTTGAACTCTATCACAAATTGAATTAGAGAATAAAATAAACATAATCATTTTTCTTCTTTTTTTTTTTTACCTGAACTTGACTTTCATACGATATTCAACACCTTCCTTAATAGTAAAAGGCGTGTTCTTTGCTTGCTGAACAGCAGCTATTACAGAGAATGAAAAAAAAAATTTTTTTTTGAAGGTCAGTTTCTTTTTTGTTATAATTTTGGAAAGAAAACACAAGTAAAGAAACTTACAGGGAGTAGATAAATCAACTCTAACATCTGGACGACCTTCAACTTCAAGAGCAATATATTCAACAACAACCTATTAAACCAAGGATTAAGTATTTTATCGAATAGAAAAAAAAAAAAAAAAAAAAAAGTCTTCTTGTTTTCCGCCCATCCGCCCATCCGTCCGTCCGTCCGTCCGCCCACTCATTCTTCCCTTTCTTTCTATATACACAAATATATTTTTTTTTATACTTACTCGACGAGGATCATCCACAGGACCAGCTAAAATGCATTTTCCAAAAAAAAAAAAAAGGTGAACACGTTTAACACATATTTATATAATGGACAAACTAACAAAAATTACATTGAATAGCAGCTTTATTTAAACCAAGAGACTCCTTCCACTTGTTTAAAGACTCGTCTTGAGCATCCAACTTTTGGTATTCTTGAAGACTTTTCTTTTCTCCTGGCTTATAACCAGTAGTTTGAGTAGGCAAAAGGTCATCTTTTTCGTTATGGTCAGTCATTGTAATATTTATAAAATGATAATAATAATAATAATAATAATAAAAGAAGAAGAAGAGGAAGGAAAAGAAAGAAAAAAGGAAAAGAAAAGAAAAGAAAAAATAAAAAAAAAAAGGAAAAATAAAAACAAAAATAAAAATTAAATTACATTACATATATGAATATTGGATAATGACTGTTGTGGTGTCTTCTATTATAATAATAAAGTAACAGTATATGAACTTCGTAGTACTGTAATTTCCTATTTTATTTTTAGAAGCTTATCCCGATAATAAACGGACTTCTTCTTATCCAATCAAAATTAGATACAAATATGAAGTTCCTGCAAAAAAACAAAAAAGGGCGTTCTTGTTGAAGCCTTTTTCTTCTTATTGTTATTATCATTTTGATTTCCCTGAAAGAGAGTTGGAGTTTTTTTTTTATCAAGAGGAGGTCCTCATATAGAGTAGACTTTCTTTTGCTTGTAATCAGATAAGTAGCAAGTATCGTGTTAATTAAGCTTTAATAGTAATAGGAAAAAAAAAAAAAATAAAGTGCATGAATAAAAATATTCACTAATAATAATTATAAATTTCCATAAAAAGTATATTTATTTGAAACATCATATATTAAATAGTATATTTGAATAAAAGCTAGAGTTATCGGCCCTTTTTTTTTTCTTTTTCTTTTTTTTTTTTTTTCATAGTACTAACGCATAAGACAAAGAATATCTTGCATGCAGATAAATTATACATGTATATTCTTTAAAGGATAATCAGTATCCTTGTTATAAAGAAAGGAATTGAAAAAAATAATAATAATAATAAACTGTTTAGTGTCAGTTCATGTTGTTATGATTCAACAAAAGAAGAAAGACAAGATGGAATGATAAAAAGTAAATAAATCAACAAGCCTTGATATTTTGTCAGAGCTGGTCTATGCAATATAGATCCATAGATAGCGTTATTGTCTGTAACTAGTACAAAATAGAGACATTATAACATCAAATAGAATGAAATAAATCAAGTGTTTATTTCTTTGCTTTAAGGACAATTGATCTCTTTCTCTGCTAGTGATTTTATCCAAACATAGTTAAAGTTTTATTATTTTTTTTATTAGGTAAACTGTAGTAGTAGGTTGAAACATTTCCTAACTTGAAGATCCGTCCATCTAGGGGGGGGGGAGCGCGATCCTTACAATGAGATAATAATATTGTTTCAGCAGTAATATCAAAACAATAGAGAATAAAAAAACAAGGATGCCCTATCCATTGACGGTCATTCAGTTTTTTTTTTTTTTTCTTAATATAAAAATAAATGAAATCTTGGGTTTATGTCCTTTACGTCACTTGTGATACAGTTTCTCTTTCTTTTTTATAAAAGAATATATTTACACATGTAACCTTCCAAAAACATATAAATATGTATATATTTTAATAATTGTGTGTGTGTACATGAGTAAAAAAAAAAAAAAGTAATAATAATAATAATAATAATAATAATAATAATAATAATAATAATTAAACTTATATATTAGAATAAGTAGTAGCTATAATAATAATGTTATGTAATGTATGTATGTCATTGTAGATGTAAGTGAGAGAGGGAAGGTAGAGGACAGCTATTATAGAATGCACTACTTCATTAGAAAGCAACTACAGTCAATTTACCTAATCTAGCAGCTTCTTCAAATGCCTCTGCATTTAATTCTGTTAAATAATCACCCGATTTATATTGAAGTTGAGCATCAAACCCAAGTCTATCGAAAATCTTGGTTTTCAAAAATTCCACAGTATTTGGTATGGGCACTTTGATAGCAAAGATTTCATCCTTGTATATAATCTTAACTTTCACAGTCGTTGTTGTTGTGATTGGAATGGGTGTGGTGGTGGTGGTGGGAGACGATAGATTATGATTGTTTCTTGCAGTAGTAGTTGTCATATTATTATTATTACTATTATCATTAGATGTTACACCGTAATAACCACTTATAATCGATCTTCCAATCCCAGGATCAATATCAGTTTCAATATCACCTTCATGAATACCAAATAATTGACTTTGAACCCAAGTACTTTCTGATAAATATTTTGGTAATTTTAAGAGATCCTCACAATATTTGGATAAATCTCTTGCTCGTTCCGCTTAAAGATGTATTAAGAACTGTGATATAATATATATGTATATATTTATATGTATGTATGTATGTATGTATATATGTATACTTTACCTGTTATCTCGTTATCGACTGTATTTAATGGACCAGGCATGTAAGGTAAGATTCGAGGTTTATCTAGTTTTCCTGCTTCAGAAGGAAATTCTTGTAAAAAATTAATTTGAAAATCATAAAAGTCTATGTATGTAAAATAAATAAATAAATTCTTGAATAGTGTTTATTTAGGATGAAGAGGATGGAATTATACCTTCATAAAGTCGATAAAGGACTCTATACTTTCCATTTGCTAATTTTCCAAAAACAATAAACCAATATTGATTACCTTCCAAGATATAAGAGTCTACATACGCTGAAATAACAATCGATTGATCCCGTATTTCTTCTTCTTTTAACGAAAAATAATCATCAATGATAGAATGATCACTCATTGCCATATCTTCCATTGGCCTTTCAAATCGACCTAAAGAAATACTAGATGCTTCATAACCTTGTGTTTGCTTTTTCCATTCTTGGATATTAGGAAATAGAGGAGAAGGATGAAGAGTGGTGGTGGTGGTAGCGGTAGTAGTAGTAGTAGTCGTCTTTTGTAAAATATCAGTTGTAACAGTACGTCCTGTAGTAGCATCTCGTATATCGACAAAGGAGACAGGAATCAATCCTGGTCCACCTAAACGACCAATAGGTTTTGCAACAAACCATTCAGTATTGGATTGTGCAATGATAATAATCGCTTCTCCTGCTTTTGCATCTAATTCATCTGGTCTTTCTGCTTGAAAATCATAAAGAACAATACCATAAAGTGGCTGGAGTTTCTTTTGTCCTAAAGAAAAAGAAAAAAAAAGGGGGGGAGGGAGAGAGAGGAGGACATGTTTGTATACAAAATATACTTGACAAAAAAAAAAAAAAAAGAAAAAGAAAAAGAAAAAAAAATACCTTCATTTTGATCCTTTCTTCGTGGAGTAGAGGTAGTTGCCATGGTTCTTTCATGTTTCTCTAATACCTGAAAATAATGTACGGGAACTATTCCACGTGAATTTGTGATCGGATTAAAGGCTTCATAATAATTCGGATCATTTTCACGTCCAGTTACTAAAAAAAAATCCCCTCGGGTAAATGAGAGTTCATATGGATTCTGTGCATGGTAATCATATAATGACTTTATGACTTTTTTTGGTGAGGCAATCGTTGTTTGAGCAATAGGTGTCGATATTTGATTTTTTACAACTGAGAGTCGAGCTGATCGTAAACTTCGTGGTGGTTTGGCTTTTTCTTTATGTAAAAACATATAACTTGAATTTAGTTTATTAAGATAAAGACCGAAATAAAAGGAGGTATAAAGAAGAAGAAAGAATATAATTGAAAAGAAAGAAGAAGAAGAAAAAAAAGGAAGAGAGAAAGGATATAATACAATAAGTCTTGAAAAAAAAAAAAAAAAAAAAAAAAAAAAAAAAAAAAAAAACTCCTCTTTCCTTAGTGTAACCAAAGTTAATATTGTTTATTTTATTTGGAAACTAATTTTAATTCAGCAGCAACCCTTCTTCTGAACTTTGATTAACAATTACTCTTGATTCAGAAGATGGAATAAATATGAGAATTAACTCTGTCTCTCTCTCTCTCTTTTTACATAATAATACTTTATTAAATAAGTCTGAGTAATAGAAAAGAAGATGAATGTAATCAAATCAAGTATTACACTAATATATAATTTATTCTTTAACTTTATCTATGTTGATGCATCTTGGTTATTCTAACTAAAGTAGTTGATCCTACTTGTATAGGTATTTAGATATTATTAAAAACTAGACGCTATTTAGAAAACAACAAGCATAAACTACGTATTCTCACTTATTTATGTAGTTAATTTAATACATAAAAAGGATCAACAAAGCATATATGTATATTTCACTAGTTATTACAGTTATAGAATTAATATCACAACGATATTTGATAATCTGATTTCTCTTGTTAATTCAGTCTTGGAAAGGAGAAAAATTAGTATTAACAAATAGATAGTAAGAAATCACTCTTTGTTAATATAGAGAAGGTGTCTTTTCATGATTCATAAAATCAGTCATTCCATTCTCACTTCACAAAGCTACTTAAAAAGGGATTTTTACTTATAATACTCTCTCTTTCTTTATTTTTGACCATTCTGTACACAAGTTGCTCTACTTTTCGCCTGAATTATTATGTTCTTGAGTAATAAAGTAATGATTTTTTATGTATCATTTGCTCATGTTTATTCAACAATAACGTTTGGTAACTTTTTTTTTTTTTTAAAATTCAGATACAGTGACCCTGAATTTTTTTTTTTTGGGTTTTTTTTTTTTTTGAAAAATCACATTATTAATATAGTGGTTTTAGAGAAAAAAAAACTTTTATAATTAAGCAACAGTGAAGGAATCAATAACGTATTTATATTGAATGAATTATTTTTTTCTTTCATAAAATGTGAACTTTTATATCAATAAATAATAAAATTAGATAACGAACTGTTACTGCATAAATTCCCTGACAACTGCTGATTTTTCTTTTTTTAGTTAACAATAAGATAAGCTTTGAAAGTATCAAAACTCAAAATTGTAAAAAGATACGATTTACCGAACAAAGTAAATAATATGAATATAGAAGAAATAGCTTTAGTCATAAAGTCTCTAAAAGCTCTTTTTTTTTTCCTTTCTCTCTAGGAACTTTTTAAACACTTTATTGTGAGTGCTTTATTTGAATATCATCTATTTATTCTTCCAAATCTTTTAACAATGAGAGTTGTGTTGCATTAATCCAATTTTTCTCTATATGTTAATGTTGCTTGAGTTTGGAAAGTATATTATTAATTATTTAATTAATTTTCTGTCTGTCTTTTTTTTTTTCTTTTTGATCTGGAATTCAAGAATATTAGAATCACGTGAGAACTGATTTGATATCAATATGAGTCCTCGTTCATTCTATTGAGTATGAACACATGGTTCAAGAGATAGATTGTATTTAAAATACAACTCCGTTATTACTGTATGAGTAAAAGTTGTTCTATTATCAAAGCCTTTTTTCTTTTCTTTTTATTTTATTTTATTTGTTTATTTGTCTATTTGTTTGTTTGTTTATTTGTTTATTTGTTTTTTTAGCTCACGTCACAATTTGGTTCGTCATATGTGTATCCTATTTCAGACTAAGAAAACCTGTAACAGGATTGAAAGAAATCAACCATTTTTTTTGAATCCCCGGTATAAGCATTAATACGGTAAAATAAAATAATGATTATAATTTTTTTTTTTTTTTTTTTTTTTTTTTTTTTTTTTTTTTTTTTTTTTTTTTTTTCGTTAAGAATTAGATTGTATTATGTTTACAATAGCTAAAAATACTGAAGAGGCTGGTTCCTCGTTAGTACAAGATGAAACAGCAAAAAGACATAGTCGATCATTTGATCTTGAAAATGCTTCAAGGATCCCACCCAAGAGACATCAGAGATCAGCATCAGAAAGTGATGGACTTGAATTAAAGATGGTAGCAGAACAGCAAAAGATGATGTCAACAACATCTGTCTTTTCTTCATATAAAAAAAGATTGAGTCAACATACTATATTGGGGTTACCAGAGATACGTTCACACATATCTAAATCAAAAGCTTCTATAGGTTCAGCCTTTGCAAGTCTTTATCCATCTTCATTTAATCATAATATAAAGAGATTCAGTACACCCATTAATAATTCTGGTAATTGATATAAATTCATGTTTCATTATAAATATAAACATTTGGTTTTTGTCCTTTCCCTATTTTTTTTAATTAGGTGCTGCTTTATCTATGCATCCATTAAACAGTCAAACAAGTATCAAGGAAGAAGATGAAGATGATGACCAAGTTCCAACTTATCTGCTGGATCAGATAGGAGAATCAAAGTAAATACATCTATTTATTATATATATCACTTTAAATCATAATCTCGTATGTATTTCTATTTATGTAGGCGTTCATTACCTTCCAGTTTACAACATGAAATCAATCAATTTGCTATCGATGGATTTGCAAAAAAATATTTTGCAACACATAAAAGGGGATTATTTAGAAGAGCTGTACCGATAAAAGAATTATTATGTTGGACAAAGGATTCAATTAAACAACCCTTATTATTAGCATCGTCAGACAAAGATGCCTTGAAATGTTTCAAAATTTTACAAGTCTTGATGAATGATAGACCAAGACCTCGTCATTTTAATTTTATCGAGTCTTTACAATCTATTTTAAGTTGTGGCATCACAAAAGGGCACTTGCGTGATGAGATTTATGTTCAAATCTGCAGGCAGTTGAATAAGAACCCTAAAATGTAAAGAAAGAAAGAAAGAAAGAAAGAAAGAAATCATGATAGAAAGACGGGATTAACATCTTTTTTTTTATATATATATGTATATCCATAGTGAAAATGCTAGAAAAGGCTGGGAAATACTTTGTGTTATTAGTATCACATTTCCTCCTTCAAAGAATTTAGAATCTTATCTTCATCATTTTGTTCAGCAATATCATCAAGATAAGAATCAAGACATTCATATCTTAAGTCAATATGTAACTAGAAGACTAAATCGTATTTGTACTAAAGGTGCAAGAGGAAAAATACTTTCAGCAGCAGAAATAGAAAGAGCCATGGTACGAAATATAGATAAAATGAGTCTACATGTAAATCTCATTATTATTATTATTATTAGGAAGCTCCTTTTAAACCTTCAGTCTTTGGTGAGTCTTTAGAATCTATTATGGTACTTGAAAGGAAAAATCAGTCGACACTTAAAATACCCAAAATTGTTACCTTCTTAACGCATGCTGTGCATCACTTAAATGGGAAAACGACTGAAGGTATCTTTCGTGTACCAGGAGATGCAGATGCAGTAACTAAATTGGTAATACTTAGTCTATGAATGAATAAGCCATACAGTCATTCATTCCAGTTCATTTCATTTTTTTTTAGCGTATTCGTATTGAAAATAATCATTATGATTCAACTGGTATTGAAGATCCAAATGTACCTGCATCTCTTTTAAAATATTGGTTACGTGATCTTGCAGATCCTTTAGTTCCCAGTGAATTTTATGATGCATGTATTAAGCATGCTAATGATAAAGTAAAGGCGATTGAAATAATTAATTTGTTACCTGATATAAATCGACGTATTGCACTTTATATGATTCGCTTTCTTCAAGTAAAATATATATGTCTATAGAATGATGAATCATTAAATACTAACTTTAATATATGTATAGGATTTTACAGATCCAACAGCTATAGAGCATACATTAATGAATATAGTCAATTTAGCTATGGTATTTGCTCCAAGTTTTCTAAGATGTCCTTCTGCAGACTTGAAAACTATCTTTGAAAATTCTAAATACGAACAAGACTTTTTAAAGACCTTGATCACTTTTTTAACTGTTGATCCAGATGACTGTGTTTATAGCGATGAAAAAGTATTCGGTAAAATAAAGGATTCATCTTAATACAAAAGGAAAGAAAGTGTGTTACTCATGGAAGATATTATATATTACATAATATTAACGATTCATATTTTTACTTCATGTACACACACACACACACACATATGTATAGAAGCTTGTAATGAAATAAAGGTTGTGAGCTTTTTATAGTATTTTCTCGTTGGACAAGCTAATGTTTTTCACATTATTTGTAGTAGTAGTAGTACCACTTTTAAAGAATAATTTCTTTTTTCTCTCTCTTTTCTTTTTCTTTAAAAATAAATATACATTATTTAACAAAACTCCTTTCCTTTTTCTTTTCATTCCTTTCCCAACTATGAAGCTATTATCTTTTATCTTTCTATTTTCGTCACTCATTTCATTTACTAGAGCACAACAACAGAATTCAACTACTACAACAATAAATCAAATATTTGATAAAAATCATGATTATTACAGTTTTAAAACTTCTGTTCATGAAGGTGATACTTATTTATAATAAAGAAAAAAAAAAAAGAGGGGAGGATCCTCTTTCATTTTACATATAATTTATCTATCTATTTAGATGCCTTAAATGGATTTACAATTGAATATAAAAATTATTATAAAATTGTGACAAATAAAATGACTTCCAAGACTTATTGTTTGGTAGGATTTAACCAAGATCGACCTGAAGAATGCTCAATAGAAACAACCATTCAAATACCTATAAAAACGTTTAGTATAGATTCTGATTCATATCAAGTTGTACCTTTTATTGAAGTAAAGTAAACTAATTATATGAAATAACACAAAAAAAAAAAAAAAAAAAAAAAAAAAAAAAAAAAAAAAAACTATTCAGAGATTTTAATTGTATTCTATATATTTATATTCAAAGTTACTGGGACTTCAAAATAATGTGACAAAGACTGCAACCGTTAATATGACTTCGCCTTGTATTCAAGATACACATATTATTTCACCTGATATTACTTTTTCATCTATTCACTCTGGTGCAATGTTTGTTAGTTTCTCTGCAAATCAAAATAACCTGACACCTCTTCAGGTAAATATAAAAGAATGATGATGATAATAATCAAACAAGAGACCTAAATAATTGTTTACATGTCTGTGTATCATTCTTATTCTTATTTTTTTTTTTTTTTCAAAATTAGAAAGCATCTTGGATACTTTATCTTGGTGCATTTTTTGATTTGGAACTCAAGGCATTTTCTATTTATAGCCAAATCTCAAATAATTATGAATGTCATAAACACAACTTGATAAATATGAAAACCTCTTCCCGTAAAGGAGTCTCCTGGACAACCTATTCACCTTCTAACAAACTTTATACTGTTCATAGTGACCTTTATTATTTTCAATTGACTCAAGATGCAGGTAAAATATATGTATATATAAAAATATGATTTCGTTACATCAAGAACTAATACACATATGTATACATATATATATATATTAAGGTGGCCATCTGGAGGCTACAAATGTCGCTCAAGGAGACACTTTTCAAACAGATATAACAATAGATCAATTAGCTTTAGTGAATGCTTTGCATGGAGCAGAATATATTATTGATACTAGTTCTATAGAGATCGACTATTCTACATGGTTAAATGGCAATGCACTTTATTTTACTAAAAACGATAGTATTCAATCTCGTATCAGACAAGTCCCTGCCATTGTCAATCATAAAGTTTATTCTATGAATGGGCTTGTCAGTAAGAATCATATTTCAGGTAATATGATAATAATAAAAGAAAAGAGAAAAAGGGATAGAGTCTAACCTACCTATTTTTTTTTTCATCACATACATACACACACACATACACATACACATACACATACACATACACATACATCCCCTTTTTTTTTTCTGGATAGATTGGACACAAAGAGCCGCTGCACGTCCTGATCTTGTTTTACTTGAATTAATCAAGCTTTTGAATCCTGATTTTAATATTGCTTCTAATCATTTGTTCCCTATATGGTTAACAGCTTTTAATACACTCAATGAAACACGTCGAACGATGACGGTGGATATCTATGGTGGATGTCAGGATATCGCCTCTAATGCATTTGCACAATCTCAATGTACGTTGAGCTCAAATAGTACCTTTATTCAAGATCATTTATCCAAAGGAGAGAAAGCAGGTATCTCTCTCGGTACAATTCTCTGTTTTATTTTCATTCTCTTGGCTGCTTTTTGGTTCTTCAGAAGATATCGTCGAAACAGACATAGACATCAATTTTACAAAATGAATGAACTTTAAACCTTCATAAATGATCTTTTTACTGCTAATAATAAATTTATTTGAAAATCCATTTTTTTTTTTAAAAAAAAAGAAAAGAAAAAAAAACAAGTGTATATTAATTCTATCTATATTCTACATGATTAAAATTAAAACGGTATGGTAATAATGATAAAAGAAGATTGAGGATAGGTTATGAGGAGTACAAATGTATGTATGTATGTATGTATGAGTGAGTGAGCGAGTGAGTGTATATATAAATATTTATACATATATGAATGTATGTACGTATGTAGGGATGTATGTATAAAGAGTTAGGAGGTAAATGGTATTTTTCTTTTGATAATATGTACATCTTTTTTTTTTGTTCTTTTTCAAAAAAAAAAAAAAAAAAAAAAGAGAAAAAGGAAAGAATAGGATATGTTTACAAACATATTCTTGTATACAATAGAAATAATTACATAATATTTAACAAGCAGCAGTTGCTGTATTATCCAAGGAAATTCTTCTATTATCATTTTTCCACCAATTCGTGTCATTTGTGGTTGAATTCGTGTTACTATTATTATTATCCAATTGTTTTATTGTTGATTTAAAAATAGATTTTGTAGAAGATCGTAATTCTCGCTTTAGAGTACAAAATGAAGAGGTGTGTGACAATAATGGAATCCCATTCTTTGGTATATTTTTGATATGTGTTGAATCATCGTTATTTGCTAATAGTAAAGTTTGTTCAAATTCTCTTAATTGAAACAATAATCCTAAATTAGGACTAATAGGAGGTGCTAATGCTTTAACATGGTTATAGGCTTCTTGAAGAGGTAAATGAAGTGTCTTCATGACGTATGCAATAATGACAGTTGCAGAACGTGCTACACCACATTGACAATGAACAAGAATCGTTTGTTCTGCAGCTCTTGCACGATCAATGATATCAATTGCCTTTGCTAATTCTACAACCAGATTGTCTTGATTATGTTGCCATGGTAACTTTTGATAAGTAAGCGTGTTTGAAAAAGAAAATGGATTTTCTTTATTGATATGATGGTCCATAGATTCATAAGGATTATTTACTTCAGCAGCAACATTCAAGATAGATTGTACGCGTAACTCTTTCAAAAGATTCAAATCCAATGAATTCATTTCAGATCCCAAGTAAAGATAAGGCATGATTTTTGCAGGACCTGAAAGATATGCATTGACATCATCTTTACGTTGCTTTTCTATAAACACATGTTTTGTTTCCGTAATCATGTTGTTGGTAGTTTCTGAAGAAAGACAAAGCGATAAATTCTTATTATTTCTTCTTCTACGACTTGCTAATGTACTTGAAGTTGAACTTATAGGTGAAAGTGATGCTAATCTGTTATTATTCATAATACTACTAATAATAAAAAAAAAAAATAAAAATAAAAAAAAAGATAAAAAAAAAGTATATATAATTATTATTAAAAAAAAAAAAAGAATTATTAAGTTTGAGAAATCATTTTTATATCATTATTATTTATTTAATTATTAAAATGCCGGTTCAAAACGGAGGGAAAGTTTTTCATTAATTAGTTTTTATCCAATCAAAATTGAATATGTTAATTAAAATATATATTTCTTTGTTTATATAAGCTCCTAATATGTATATCATCATGTCCCCCCTTTGTATATTTGTATAAGAAGAAGTGTAGAAGAGATTATTTTTAGATTATTGTTGTCAGTTTGACTATTATTATTATTATAATACAAGGGAGAAGAAAACAAAATAAAAGAAAAAAAATTCCCTTTTTTAATAGTCACTACTATTAAAGTTCATTTAATAACAAGAAAAGAATTAATCTTAATTAAATTATTAATACAACAACGACAACAACAATAATAATAATAATAATAGTAATAATAATAATAATAATAATAACAACAACAACAACAACTACTACTACTACTACTATTGCTATTACTACCACTGCCACTATCGCTACCACTACCACTACTATAATTACTATTACTATGACTATTACTATGACTACTACCACTACTACTATGACTACTATTACTACCACGGGTTCATTTCTTTGTCTAATTTTTTTTTTAAAAAAAATTGGTCCAACGATTTAATTAAAAGTAGCTAAAATTGGTGGCTATGAATTAATATTAATATTTATAATAATAAGATTCCTTCCTCTCAAGGAATTGGTCATATGTCACAAAACAAAATATGTTAGTAATACTGCCACAGTGAAAATATGTCTGAGTTCATTATTTATTTAATCAAGTTGCTTCCCTGAAATTTGCTAGTATTTTTTAAGATGATAAAAGAGTCATCTATCTATTTTAAAAGAGGGGAAACAGCATACACCGAGTTAGAAAAGAGTTTAGATGTTCTTCTTTATTCTTAGTTCCATTGTTATGACATAAGTTTTTATCCAGCTGAAAGGAACCATTAGTTTCATTGTAACACGTTTATTTTATTGTAGAAAGAAAAGAATGCTCGATAGACCGTGTCTAGCCCACATTTTGTTTGAGATAAAAAAAATAGTTTCTTGTTTGAATGTCTTTATTAAGAAAATCGTATATTAATTAATGCACCTTAATTCAGTTTGTTGCTAGGATATACCTACATTTCCTTTATTTATTTCTTACTTTAACTTCCATTAACAAAGATATGAATATTTTTATTAATAGAATTTTTTTTTTTCTTTCTTTGATGACCGTGGTAGTTTTTGTAATAGATCTTAGTTATTCTAAAATTATAAAAATTCGTCAAACAAGACCTATAAATAATATATTGGTCAAGCCTAGTATTGAGAATAACAAATTGCAAACTTACAATCTTCTTCTATTTTCCTTTGATCAGATATGAAGTATAATTCCTTAGTTTGATAATCTTATCTTTTTAATACATATCTTTAAATATAAATATATTTATGAAAACTAGAAAAAATCTTATCATCTTTATGATTGTTCAAGTATTCTTTGTTACTCCCTTTGAAAATCAATTCGACAGATGTAGCACAGCAATAAAGATATAATTGAAACACATTTTCTCTTTTTTATTATAGGAGATTAATTAAAGATTGCTGTTAAAATTGCCTCCTTTTTTTTTTTTTTTTTCTAAATGGCATGGTGGCTTTAACCAAAAACCTAAACCTTTAATAATAAACTATATTATCGTGCTTTTATCCCCACCCTTTTTTTTATCTTTTTTTTTTTTAGGAGAGGCACATGTCTTGATAAATATGACAGACTACTTCCGACCATTCATATTGATAAACCTTTATTACATGCTTTAAAGAGGAGAAAAAAAAAGGATAAAAAATATCAGGAGTATATTATTTAGCCCTTACTTTTGATATATAATTTCATAATGAGATCGTATGTAAGAATAACTCAAGAAGGGGATAATACTGGCAATCTTTTTTTTTTTTTTTTTTTTTTTTTTTTAATTTGAACAAGTTGTTTAAATATTGTTAAAGATTAGGGATCATATAAGGATTTTCAAAAAGTAGTTGTTTTCTATTAAAGTGAATTGTCTTTTTTTTTCACGGAGAAATATATACTGTTTGATAATATCAGTTCTAAGCTCGTATATTTGCAAAAATAAGATCAATCATATATATAATCATCTATAGAACTTATAAAAGTTACTGCAAAAAAAAATATGTTCCTGAAAAAAAATATACATATAAATAAATAAACAGATAAAAAGTCGCATCGATAGGCGAATTACCAAGACAAAAAATCGTTAACTTTTCATAAAATATGTCCCCAAAGAAAATGAAAGCGAATTGAAAAAAAAATGCATTTAAATAGATGTAATTGAATTCGATATGACAAAGAGATAAGGCTATGTACGATACTATTTTTATGTATACTTTGTCAAATTCAAGTAGCATACTTTTGATAATTGCCAAGGGAAAAAGACGCGATTGAATGATATTCTGTCACCACGTTACTTTGATGTATTCATTAAAAGAAAAAGTTGACCTGAAAAAGATTTTTTTCTCTTATAATGAATACAAGATGCAAAACATATATGATGTGATAATTTGTTAAAGAAGTCTATCCTATCACTTCTAGTTAGTTTTTACCCTCTTTGATTATCAAAATTGATTTCCCTTCATTTAACCCCAGATGAATAGTATCTAATGAAGAAATAACATTGCACACTTCATCTAATAATGCTAAATATTACTTGGTCGTGACTAATACCTTTTGAATTCCTCTTCTCTGATCTCAGATAGTCTTGTATAAATACTCATCATTTAAAATCATAAATAAAAATGATTGTTTATTAGAACTATTGCTCTAGTCTTATTAATTTTGTTAGTCTTTCACTACTATTTTTTTTTCCTTATAATTATATACTCCTTTAGAATCTGATATCTTAATAGAGATATTATAAGCGATATTTGGGTCACATTGTGTTCGTTTATGTTATCTGCTTTTCGTAAGATATATTTAGAGAAAAAATCGTTAGTAAATCAACACAGTATAGAGAATTCCAACTACTCAGCAATTGGAAATATTGGTGATACTAATAAGATGATTACATTTATCATATCCACTTAAGCAGACTCTAAGGCCTTATCTTTATTTGATTTTGTAGCTAAAGATAATAGCATTATTATGTTTGACAGCTATGACAAATCCACAATTGGATATCGGCCGACTCCGATTTGAAGATACTCTTTCCCATTATCACGACTCATCAAAGTTAATTCTCAAGCATGTTACTATCTACTTCTAAGAACCGAAAGAAACACAGATTAAAGTCTTTGAAGAACAAAACTACTATCAGATCTTACTTTATTGCTAGTTTATATTTAAAAAAAAAAAAAAAAAAAAAAAAAAAAAAAAAAAAAAACTTGATTTAGTCATCTTTCTTCGACCATCCACTTTGTCAAATTAGGTTAAATTCATCATGTGAAAAAATAAGATATGGGCATCCTGCTATTTAAAGTACACTTAGTACAACCCCGCTTTAGACACTAAAGCTTTTCAACAATAGTATTCCATTCAAATTGTAAAATATGTATATAAATATATGCAAATTGAAGTTTAAACTCGAATTCTTTTTGAAATATCCTATTATACAACTAACCAACGAAACCTTATTCAGGATTGATTCAGGTACGATAAACAATCCTCATGTTGGCAAAGCAAAGTCAAAAAATAATAATAATAGATACCTGTCCATGGTACCGCTTATAATTATATCTTATTATATATTTCATCATCTTTTATTATCTTTATTTATATATTCTTGTATCTCTTTTCTTCCCCTCCCAAAAAAAGGAAATACATGTCTAGGCAGAAAAATATGAAAAAAAAGGGGAAAATAAAGCATAGCTCTGAAATTCTCTATCATGTTATTTGACTTTGTTTCGCCAATATAAGGATTTGTGCAAAGCTTTATTATTATTATTCCGGGAATGTACAACTAATTTATGAAAAAACATAATATTTTAAATGTTTATTCTATAAGACTATAAGCAAAAAGTTACTTTCTGCAACTTGTTTAATTTTCAGTATCCTTATTTGTAGATAATAATTAATTTATGAACAATCCTTTCTTCATTTGAATTGAAAGAAAAGACACACACACACACACACACACAAAGAGAGGGACATTTTTTGCCTTTACTTTCTAAAGCCTATAATTACTTCAAAAGAATGAATGATTCAGATTCATTCTAAATAAACATGCATATAGTGGCTTCTATAGTATACTTGCTAATTTAGTAGATGTCTATAATGTCACTCAGAGGTAATTAAAAACGAATGAATCCTTATTAGAAACATAATTTATTTGATAATGTACATATTCTATTCTTAAAGCTGATTACACATAATTGAATAAGCTTATATTTTTTTTGTTCTTTACGTTTCCTTTAAAATATAATATGTATTAGTGACAATTTATTTACTGAGTTGTTAATTTTTAATCTGCTATGGGGTCTACAATAATATAAAGCCGATTAGCAGCATAATCTTGTGAATAATAGTTATGCTTCTATCGCTATAATACCTCTTCTATAGTATGAAAATAATAACACATGGCATAATGGAATTCATAACGTATTATTCGACTTCTTTTTACTTTATATATTTTACACACACACACACACACACACACACACACACACACACAAAAGAAAAATGTCATATAACTTGACAAGGGGATCATTAGTTGATGCTTGAATTTTATAGAAAAAAAAAATATACAAGTGATGTAGATAGTTTCTGTTTAATATGTTATTTCCTCAAAATAATGCAATTCATACTTTATTTGACCTTGGATTACAAATACTTATTTAAGATTTAACATCAATCTATAACACATTATATGTTTTGTTAGTGTGGAATATTTTATTATAGTGTAAAGAATACATTTTTTAAAGTTACTGGCATCATACTTTTTTTTTAAAAAAATAAAATAAAAATAAAAATAGTGAATTGGTGAAAATAATGTCAGGTAAATATCCTATAATATTACATTACATAGTTAATCATTTGAACATACAGGAAACACTTTCCTAATATTTGTAAAGTATGCCAATGATTATTTTATAATAAGGCCATATACATTTATATGAAACCAATAAATTATTTTCAACTTCTTAAAATATGTTATAAGCGTTAATGAAACAATATTAGAATAAACAAAAATACCGTTTTTTTTTTATTTTAAGCAAGATAAAAGAATCAGAATTAAAAAAAAAAAATTCACTGTAGCAAACGATAAATACATATGCTGATGTACTTGTCTTGTAATGAAGCTTGACATAATAGTTTTTGAGTCAAAGACTAACAAACAATGGTATCTCACTCACCCCCGCCCCCGAAACCATACTTAAAAGATAAATATGAGTTCATTTTTGCTACATGTTGCAGATAATAGCCTTAAAAAAGAAATTAAAGATTTAAGTGAAGACATATATAAAGTAGTTAAATCATATACTGAAATGAATGTTTTCTATTTGTTTTAAACAAATTATCACAATTGCCGTTTATATTAAATCCAATCTTTTGTTTTTTAGTAGGTATTTTAATAATTTAAATATGTATAACGTCCATTGATTGCATCATCAAAAGCTTATTTTCACAGTATCCTTTTGTAACAAGTAGTTTAATTTCATCTTCGTTCAGTACCATGATTATATTTATATGAATACATATATATATATATTTTTAAAAAAATGAAAGTAGAATTTTTATCCTTTTCAGCTTTGCAAACTCTTAGTTTTATAGTCTAGTTTGCTTTTAACATAAAAAAAAAAGTCTTTTTTTTCTACATAGTTGGAGTTTGTAACTAAAAAAAACAAAAAAAAAAAAAAAAAAATCTAATGAAAATAGCAATAATTATAAACAAATTTACAAAATGAATCTTTAAAAATAATTAACACTGTTCGTAATATCTCTTTTTTAATTTTTTATTATATATTTTACATCATTATTATTGAGTTTTCAGATAAACTAGATTATATCCTTTTTTTTTTATTATTATTATTTAACTACACATATTATGCGGGTTAACGTTTTAATAAATTGCTATTATTATTATTATTTTCTCATTTATACAGACTTATGACTAATTGTTGTACAGGGTTTTTTTTCTTTTATTTAACTTCTAGTTATAACAAAACCCATAAGCAATGCTCTAAGACACTTTAGAAGCAGCGTTTCCATTGACATCTTAAATTGTTTAGATGATGGTTATAAAACTGAATTTTAACTAGGTATAGAATAAGCTACTGCTCTTAATTCATAAAACATATTCACATTATTTCTTAAAACCTTCCATAAGAGATATAGGTAATACATAGTCATACATATCACAAATCATTATAATTATACCTAAAAATATAAATATTTATATAGTTGGGGGTAGAGGAAGATAGATTAGACTAGAGATGATGAAGATACTCAGCTTGGGTCGGGAACCTGAGATGACACAAATTTGTTCATCAGAATACGTTACAAACTTGTCCACTTACTTCATGGTCCTCTATTCTTTATATGCATACAAATATATATATATATATTTATATACATGATATATTTGTGCAGGTTACATATCTTGTTGAAGCTCAATAGGAAAAGTCTAGAAAAAGAAAAAGGTCTTTTTATCCGATGTTCGGATGATTTTATTAATAATAATAAACCAAGATATTTAGTGTATCTTATCTTGTAAAAAAAAATGAATAAGCAATAATGGAATAATATACAATAATAATAATAGCCTATTCTGAAGTAGGTGTTATTTTCCATTATTATAATTACTGAGGAGGCTCATATATGAAAATAAATAATTTATACTACTTGTATAAAAACAAAAAAAAAAAAAAATAATAAATTCGAAACCAGTGCCAGTAAATTTACTTAAGATCAACTACTAATTGTAGTACCTAGCGCTAATGTAATATTAAAAGGACAAAGGATAAATACCTAGTGTAATATCCGTATTATGACGGTAATCAAGCACACAAAGAATAGTATACTATATGATGTAGAAAGCGGCAAAACAATACATCATGATAGCTTTTTTTTTTTAATACTCATTTACAACCACACAGTTATTTGATTTAGTTAATGCCTTCAATTTATTAAAGAATAATATATATATTATACATATACATGAATGTTCACCAGTTTGTCAAAAAAAAAAAAAAAAAAAAAAAAAAACTCAAAGTACATAGCGGGAAAAAAAAAACTATAGTAAAAAGTTAAAGAAAAGTTTGCAGACAAATAATAAAAAGGAAAACGATATGAAGTATAGTAAAAAGGATAAATATTTTATTAAGTTAGGTTAGTAAGAACACAAGACTGTAAAGTTCATAATCTTTAAATGGAGGATAATCTAGTTTCGAACCATTGGAGGAATATGACTATTGTTCGTCAACTATCTCCGCAAATGAATTAAGTGGAGGAGAAGACTCTATATAGTCAAAAAGTTCTACTGATAATTCAAAATGGTCTCCATCGTCAGTATTTTTCTGCTCTTCATTTTGAGCCTATAGTGCACACCACAAGAATGCTTATGGCATTCGTGTATCCTGAGAGAATCGTTCTTTTCTTTCTTTTCCAGCTGTAAGAATAGGCTGTTGAAACGAACGTGAGGCCCTCTCGCTTTCTCTCTGAGAACGGTAGAATAGAGTGGCGGTTGTGTAACCCAACAAATATTAAAATCCACATGCTTTTTCTTTGGGTTTGCTATCAGCAGATTTATGCCGTTCTCCGACAGTGTGTCTAAATAAGCAGTACTCACACGAGGAACTCCACCTTTCAGAACATTGATTGGTTTCAGCGAACTATGAGCGGTTTTCTTGCTAGCTAGAGGTTTCAAAGCAGTGTCAACTCCGGACAGTAGGAAACAAGTTTTCTTTCGATCAGCAATTTTCTTCCATTCCAACAGCAGGAGCTGGGGCCTAGGTGGCGTCTTGTTCAATATTTTTCCAGAGACCCTATCTTGATCTGCATAAGCAAGAACTTCAATCATCATTATTATTTTTTTTTTCTTTTTAAATTTAATAACAAATATATTGTAATGAAAAAAAAAGGAAATAGCACCATTTACTTCCTCTTTTATAAGACCTGTAAAATAAGGAGAACGAGAGAGAGAGAAAAAAATATAGATCACAATAACATAAAAAAAAATAAGGAGTTAAAAAACTCAGGAGTAATACTTGATGTTTTTGCTTTCTTTCAATGCTTTATTATGCTTTATCATGCTTTCATTCTCAAGCTATGAAGTTGTTCTCAAGATAATGACAATTATATTTATTCCGACCCTCACATTAATGTGATACATGTTGCTTTATAAACCACGCTTTATTTTCATTATATTAGACATAGAAGAATTTTTTTTTTTTTTGTCCTTCTAATATTTTTCAATTTTTTTTAAGGAGGTATAAACAAAAACAATAACAAAAAAAAAACATTATCAAAAAAACATTGGTAAAAAAATATTTTATCATAGAAAAAGTATGTATCACTTTCACTCTTCTCATTTCATCAATTCGTGTCCTTTATTTGGAATTAAGTCTAGTTCATATTAGCTGAATATAGCAGATAGCTAAAAATATGGACTCCAAATAAGGGAAGTATAGTATAAAATAGTGTTCCATGAAAAAAAAAAAAAAAAAAAAACTCACTGAATGAGTGATACAATAATAGTAATACTAGAGTAGTAAGTTATATAGATCGTTTTTATTTTTGATTATTATATTCATGTAGAGTTATACAGTCCTTTTTTATTTTTAATTTTTTTTTATTAATGACTTAAGGTAAATTATTTTCAAAATTATGAGAAGATGGAGTATAAATATTATTACTATTGTCTAAGGAGTCAAAACAACTAAGACTAGACCAAAATTGTTCATCTATAAGAGTATTTTGATCCGTATTTGCCGGGAAAAATTGTGATACTATATTACATACTTGGTTCCATTCTTCAGTAGCTTGGAAATCAGAAGATGAGGACTGTATTGAATCGGAGAATTCTGGTACTAGATCAAATTGTAAATCCATTTGTAAGTTATTCTCACGTACAAAATAATTTTTTGATTTATCTATAGATAGTATTCCATTTGAAGATTCCGCTGTTAGTTGCTCAAAGCGCCTATCAAAGTAAGCACCCCAGCTATCAGCATTTGAAGGCTTGGTATCGGAGGGTTTACGTGCCGTTGTGGAATTTCTTTTAAGGTTATATTCAAAATCAGGAAATTTTTTTTTATGAATTTTTCTACATTCAATAGCTTGTTTAATATATCCGTCTCTGATTTCACTATCAGCTGCTTTCCACATGGCTCCTAATAATTTAGAGATATCGCTGTTACTGTAATTCGGAAATAAAATTTTAATTTTTTTTCTAAGGTCGTTATTATAGAGAATAAAAGCATTTGTAGGTCGTTTAGGCTCATCTTCCTTTAATTTTTCGTTTGAACCAGATTCAAATTTGTTTGTCTCCAATTTAGAATTTAAATAAGTATAATTATGAATAGCTTTTAGTATGTCTTTACGTTGAATATATGACGTATTTCCAACAACGATAGAATCTCTTTTCTCTTCAATCATTAAGATTAAATCTCTAGATTCGACCATAATTTGACTTGGATAAATAATGATAAAAGTGTTTTTTTCGATATCATTGTCGAAAGATATATTTTGAATAGATACTGTATGCATTGGTGACATTGATTTTGGTTTAAGAGGTCTTGAAATAGGGCTAGGTGTATGGTTAGACATATTTAAATATGTATTTGTATATATATAAAAGCTTTTCTTTTTTTTTAAAAAATAAAATAAAATAAAATAATAAAATAAAAAATAAAATAAAATAAAAAATAAAATAAAATAAATATATAATGATCAAGCAATCACTTTATATTTATTGTATAATGCAGGTACAATGATTACAATGATCCGAACGAGCTTTGATGGTTTTATAGTGAATAAAGTTGATGTAATTGGTCAAGCGATCAATTCATATTCATTGTATAATTCATTTATATATAATGAACATGTTTTTTTTAGCGAACTTACTTTATTCTCCTGAGATGAATAAAGTTATTTTAATTCAAGTTGATTTTTAATTTCCAAACAGTGTTGTATCTTTTATGCAGATTGTAGATCAGAGCTAAATTTCTTGGGGTGATTATTTAGTTTATATTGTCATGTTTCATTGTGGTAGTATTTTTTTTTTATTCTAATTTATTGCGGAGTTTTTTCTTTCAGAGAATAAAAGTTCTCATTTTCAGTGATATAATATTTGCTCATGCATAAGATATCGAAACTTCATTATTATAGAACAATGTCTGTTGTATATCAATGGTGTCAAAATAATTGATTGTGTTTTTTAACCTTGAATAATATGCTTATGTTGTATTTATTAATTGAGTTTGATTTCTATTATCATTATCCAAATTTTGTTCCTGAATCGAATGCCAAATTTTTTTTTTTTTTTATTTCGAGATTTTAACATTTTGAAATTTTGAATGTAATGAATGCATTGACATTAAGAAGATGGTTGTCTCTTTTTGAATCGATTTATTTTTCAAGTATAAAATCTAGTAATTGGTTACTATATTACTTTCCACTTACCTAATAAAGCTTTTACCATACTACTAATTGTTAATTAAAAGGAAAAAAAAAAGTAACTTCAAACATCCATGTTATAATCCTTTAATTTCATTGGACTGTATTTAATTTTGTTTCAAATACCGAATGAAATAAAGATATTAACCCATTCATTTTACCATTACTTACCTTAATTATAAAAAAGTATACCATAACATTATACATATACAGAACATACATACATATTTACAAACTGATTTAATTTTTGATAATAAATGCTGTATGTTGTGTCATTCATGAAATGCGTTGCCTAGTGATAAAATATTCATTCCTCAAGTGAATTTATTGAATAATAATTCCAATTATACATTGCAATATTCCTTCGTTGATTTGATTTTTTTTTTTTTTTTTTTTTTTTTTTTGGAGGAAATAAGGGTCGGGTGATTAAACTAAGATAGCGATTGTTATTCATAATTGTAGTTGATGCAAAGCCCTTTATCAAATTTAGTATTTCAATTTCATCATCTTCTGGCCTTCTTTTAGATAACAGTCTTTTTTTTGTTTTTGTTTTTTAAACTATGGTATTGAAAAATCACATCTAACTAATCTGGCTCTTCTATTTCATGACTAATATCAAGTAACTGCATAACTTGTTGCAAAATAACAGTGTTAGCATTATCGAATATAAATTATATCTTGACGGGATCATTCATGCTCATAGGTGAACGATTTCGATTGCCTGACTAAGTTGGTTATGTTGTAAGGAGAATTGCCGCCAGAAACCCATACTTGCATTTCAAGATTGAGATAAAATTGATCCAAACGAGTAAAAGAATGAATAGTATTGCTCACTGGTTTGTTTGCCATGGTTATTTAGTTCATTTGAGTTTATACCAATAAGACAGACTTTCGTATAGATGTACAAAACCGAGTCCTTCTTGGCTTCATATAAATTGCTAAACCAGTATGAAAGCTAGAGTAGCTTAGAAATATATCTTGTAATATTGTTTTGCCAGAAAGTAAAATATAAATACACTAACTGGTTATAAAGATGTCTTTTGCATCATAGTAAAACTTGTTCATATTTATATCTTTTTTTTTTAAAAAAAAATATTTTTTTAGAAAAAAAAAAACAAAAAAAAAAAAAACGCTGAGTACTAACCAAGCTATAAACGATGACTCATTACAAAAACCTCCTTATTGTTAACTTAATTTAGATTATCTCCTTTGCTGAACTTAACTTTTTAGGGTTGCTCATATTCACAACAACAACAAAGCATGATTATGAATCCACAAGACTCAGATACAAAAACAAATTAAGGAACTCGGGAACCGTTGTTTTTCTCTATTTTTAGACAGAACTTAAGATTTTTGTACCTTTCACAAAAAAAAAAATAAAACATTAAAAGGAGAAAGTAGTTCAGTGATACTTCCTCGAAGACTTTGCCCCCCTTAAAGCATTCATAAAATCTTCTTAAATAAGGTCTTCATCTATTTTAGGGTTAATTGCACAATCTTTTTCTTTATTTATTTTCATACAAAAAAAAAGCAAATAAATAAATAAAATAAAATAAATAAAATAAAAATAAAAATAAAAATAAAAATAAAATAAAAATAAAATAAAAATAAAAAATAGATGATATTTCATCATTTAACGCGGTACAAAAGTATAGAAGAAATTAATTGAACTTGTGTTCAAATTTATAAATTTTCTTCCGAGTAGAGTATATCTGAAGAAAAAAAAAAAAGAAACGTGTGAATTCTTAAAAGGGAACATACAGAGTAAATAACCGGAGTGGTTTACAGGTACAAATGGCTGGATATTGTAACATGTATTAGAAAAACAAGAATAAAATAAATAAGAAGGATAGCCAGAGAATGTTCATTATACATACGTGCATGTATATTTTGTTTTGAAGCATAATTTAGTTAAACAAAACTTAACTTATTCATAAACAAATTGATATACAAATTTTCATAGATGTATAAAAACATGGATACTATAACATCATAATGATAATAATTCATCCTCAGAAAATAGCCAAATCTAATGGTATGTATCATTCCGATAGGTGTGTTGTTCTTATAAACAATGATCTGGGAGCACTTGTACAACTACTACTAATGATAATGAGTCTTAATAATATTTAGAGAGAATAGAATTGTATACATTTATTGGTGCGCTTATAGATCTGAATGTAATATTTGTAAAAAATAGTTACTCTTGATCATCTAAAATATATCAATATCTACAATAAAAATTTGGGCTGTGATTAAAGAGACAGGAACACAATATTCTCACATATATTTCTAGAAACAAAAATCATGAAAGTTCAGAGAGAGAGAGAGAATAAAGGTATAACGTGATACAGCCAATAATCATAATACAACGGAAAAAATCAGCTATTGCAGTGTTTCCCAGATGCTTTACATGCTTTATATGTTTAATATGCTTAATAAGTCATTCATATCTTTTAATAATAATAATTATAATAAAAAAAAACTATTATATACCATAAAAGGTAGTCATTTATAGTGGAAAAAACAAGAAGAAGAAAAGAAAGATGATAAAATATGAATAAAAGCAAATAAATAGACATAAAGTATTTAAATAATTATGAATAGACTAAATTTCCTGCTTATACTTATATTAGCATATCTGGCATTAATATAGAAATGTAAATATAAACTAAACAGTATGAACACATGTGATCATTTCAAGTTATTTGCGACCAATCATACCAGTTTTAGAAGCATAATTGTCAGGGTATTATTATTTTATTTCATTTTATTTATTTATTTATTTTTTAAAGAAAAGGAAAGTATTTCACTAATATCTCTTAAGCATCTCAGTTACAGTTTAAATATATCTAAAAGGTATCGATATGATTCGAACTATTACTTTTTTTTTTCTAAACATATATTATTATTGTAGCTTTTTGGTAGAAGGGAAAAAAAAATTCTTGGACTTTCGAGTACTGGGTAAAATGTCACTCAACAACAACGAAAAGGCCGTGTAATTTAGCATATTTAGTTCCTTTTATAACCTTATGTGTTTTTTTTTTTTTTTTTTTTTTTTTTTTTTTTTTTTAATTTTATCTTAGAAGCACCATACTAAAAGATATAAGCAATCACAAAAAAAAAATCGAATTAGAGCTTTTTTTGTTCATTTTAAATAAGAATCTTTGCTTAAATGTAGTAACACAGTATTATACAAGATAGTTTTTCTCTACTTGAAATAATAAGTAAAATCACTTTTGATTATAAAATGTTATAACATTTTAGAAATTCATATACATCACAACTAAATAAATTGATGAAAGTCTAATATCTTTTCCTTTTTTTTTTTTTATTATTATTATTTCTATGGGATATCTTTTTAATAGCTTATACTTATCTAATATTCTCTTAAAAAAAATAGAGTTAACTTGATGGAATAATTTTACATATTCGCAAAACAGTGGTATGATAAATACAATACTTTTTTTTTTTTACTATCCAAATAAAGCAATGTATTAAAACAAAATAACCTCATTAAAATTAAAGATACGCGTAAAAGTAATACTTGAATATATGTCTATGCTTTGATGATTTGCAAAAGTGAAATATGAGTTTGGTACCTCCTCTCAATGAGTGAAATTCTCCTTATTAGTAATACATTGGAATACCACACATTTTAGTATGTATGCAAAGTTTGAAAACAAATTGAGTAGTAGCAAAAAGTAATATTCATTTACTTTGGATCAATAAAAGTTATAACTATAAAGAATGAAGAGGAAGGAAGATAAATACTTTTATAGATAACGGAGACAGCGGAAGATGATTCCGATCAGTAAAATGTGAGTGGCACAAATCCCCATTCATCTCTATTATTACATTACAAAGTATCTCTTTATCCTCTTTCTAACATTTTCTTCACTATAAATGATTTTATTCATATTCATATACATATTTTATTGTAAAACAAGTAAATACAATTTTCTTTCTTTTCTGAGGGGGGGGGAATATATATTATATACATCTATACAAAAAAAAAAATTATTACATAAAAGATAATATGCAACAATAAAGGTTATTTGTATTAGTGATAAGCTAGTATATTGTAATTTAGAGAATAACTTCGTTATAGGTTCTTTGACCATTATTATTATTATTATGTGAAGTAGGAGGTGTAGGAGCTGATGTGTTATGATAAGAAGGTGGAGGAGCTGAAGTTGGTATAGAGGGACTACCAGTAACTTCCGTACCATGATTAGTATTATTCTGCCATTGATTTGCATTATTTAACTCATATGTGTTATGGAGTTGATCCGAAGTCTGAGTATAGGCCGGAAGTGGCTGTTGGGGTCCATAAGAATTGCCATTGTATAATGCTGGATCTACCCATCCGGTAGGAGGAGGAGGTGTATAATATCTTTGATTATTTCCATTACCTGGTGTTCCTACAACAGGCGGAGGGGGTGGATAATAAGGAGGTTGAGCACTATTATATTGTGAATAAGGGGTTTGCTGAACAGGAATGACAACAGCCTTAGTAGTTGCCATATTATTATATCCATGTCGGTTAGGATAGAAACAACATCTGAATAAGCAAAACAATAAGAGTAATCCAACAACGATAGCCACTGGAATGACAATTTGCATATGACTATTGATCCAATTCTTGACATTATTACCAAAATTGTCTGTATTGCATTGACCTGATTTACAAACACCACCAATACCACAAGGTGTACCATCTACAAAATAACCAGGGAATTGAATACATGCTAATGCTGAACGAGGATCTTGACAAGTAACTTGACATCCATTATCAGCCCCGCATGCTTTCGTTATATCATAAGTTGAACCACGAGCAATACATTGTGCATCACGAGAGGTACATAACCCTGATGCACATTGAAGACCATTTCCACAACTTGTCATATCATCCTTATATTTATCAGGAGGACAGTCACCTGATGTTCCCGAGCATACCTCTGCAATATCACATTCTGTTGAAGCAGGACGACACGTATAATTAGCAGGTCGTAGTTGACAATTATTGCAACAAAGATCATTAAAATCACTATAATAAGACAATTAAAAAAAAACAAAAGAAAAAAAAAGGGGGGGAGAGAAGTAAACAAATAGTGTGCTATATATATTACTTACTCGCAGACTGCTCCTGCTTTAAATTTACAAGTAGAAGGATCACAACAATTACTGGGTTCCCCACCTGTATCACAATCTTCACCTTCCTCCTTTATACCATTACCACATTGCTTCAAAGTAGTTATATTTTTAGATCCAGGTTCTATCAGATAAATTAAATATAAGTATATAAATATGTTGTTATCATTAATATAATATATATACCTAACAAACAAGACATAAATTCGGGCATAGATTTACAAATAGTACTAATACTGCAAGGGGAAAAAGCATCTGATGAGGCATTGCTGGTAGGATTCATAAAGTATTTTCCTTGAGCATCACATTGAGTCGAACTATATGGACAACAGTTACAGCTTGATCCAGAACAAGGACAAGATAATGATGTACAATCATGAATTGCGCCTAGTAAATTGATATATAAAATAAGTTATATTGCGCTGTTATTATTATTATTATTTGAGGGAGGAAGGGTGAAAAGTAGAGAGTACTTACCAAAGCCATGACCAATTTCATGAGCAACAACTTTCCATTCATCACGAACTATGTATATTATATAAATTAGAATATATATTATTTTTTTTTTCGTATTGAATTAATAACTTTACTAATAGATGAAACACCAGTTCCAGAAGTATATTCACCCGTCGTACTAGATTGAATACTACCTGTATTACACACTTGTGACATCCATGCAATACCGACTTCAGCACCTGTACTATAGTGTAATCATATATCAAATTAGTTTATGTATAAAATAAATTATATCATGTCTATATATTATATATATATATATATATATATACTTACGCGCAGTTTGTCATTAGATGCCATAAGCCAGCACCGTCATCACCAATAGAACCTCTCCATTTGCTAAAATCACTTAATCGACTTGAAATAGAATATCTCGTAGAACAGGCTTGATTCCAGTTTACAGAACTAACCGGAGTACTGGGGCAAGTAGTATCCATCAATGTGATATTGATTAAACCAATATTAACATTGAAAGTGTTTCCGTAGACAGAACTAACTGAGTTCCAATCATTGATGATTTGCATACGTGCATTATCGGCTGATTGATAAAATTTAACATATGTACAATCTGCAGCGACTCCCATATAAAGTACTATATGTGTATATATGAATATAGATAAGTTTCTTTATACATACATATATCTATATATATATCTATATATATCTATATACATATATGTATCAATTATGTAATATATATGTATACCTTTCTTTGTAGTGGGACAGCCAGTAGGAGCACGTTTAGTTAGTAACGAGAGCTTATTATTAGTTTGTATAGCAGCAGCAAATTTCATATGATTATCTACAACTTCAAAAGGATTATATTTTATTTGAGTATTTGATAATCTATCAAAACCACAATTTCCGCTTTCACTTTGTCGGGTTATCATGTCAGAATCACGATAAATTATCATATGAGCATTGCTTGATGTTGCTTGTACATCATCCGTTCTCTTTGTTAAATGATAATTTTCTTTTAATTTAATATGGTGTATATCTCCATACATATTAAACGTGCCTTCAAACAATGGATAATTAAGATTATGGCTAATATTATGTAAGAAAAAATAAAATAAAATAAAATAAAAAAATAAAAATAATAAAAAAAAAAGAGTTAGTATTTTATATAAACTCAATTCATTTCTTACTTGATATCATTTCGAACAATGACTCTAGCTGATCCTAATATACCAGGTTGATTATCCATATCTTCTTCTAATAAGCCATTTAACCACCAATGATCAGTATACATTTCATCTACCGCATAACCATGATATACTTGATAATCCTCGGGATTAATTTTGACTGACTTGCCGTTAAAATGAAAGACAGCCTCAGGATGAAATAGATCGAGATTAGGAATGAGATGTAAATAAACTGTTTTATTATAAGCCTCTAGTGATAAACGAAATGAATCGTCATGTTTTAATGTGTGTGCCGTAGGACGATATTTTACATTGGGTGATATTTCTCTCTTTTCAAAGAATACATTGGATCGCTTTGCGATATCTAATTTTAGATTTTCTATTGGTTCTACCCATAACAATTGTTTATCGATTTGACCTATATGAAAAGAATAAAATTAAATTGATTTATTATCTTTTTCTAAAAAAAAAAAAACAGCTATTTTTTTTTTTTACATTTTACAAAAGGAACAATAAGAGATATATAATATATAAAATACAATAGTAATTTAGTCATAATAAAGAAAAAGGAAAAGAAAAAAAAAAGGAGAGAAAAAAAGAAAAGGGAGAGAAAAAAAGAAAAAATGTTTAAAATTAATAATAAAAAACACTCCGCATTTTTTATGTTTCTATTTAGAGAAAGGAATACCATTAGCCAAAAGAGTTTTAAGCCTGTTTTTTTTCGGATGTCAGGTGTCTAAATCTTGGCAATTAAGATTCTGGAGAAGATACAATTGTGGCTGAAGGGAATTACTGCTATCTGTAACAAATTCTCGGCATTTTTTTTTTTATCAATTTAAGGGAGATCTTATTACATAATGAATATATGCAGCAATTATTAAGGAATAATGTATTTAGAAGAAAATGCTCATTCATACGCATTATTTTTTTTTTTGGGTTATTCAGAGATCCATTTAATATTTTCAGATATTATTGTGTACTTTTTAAACTGACAGGAACATAAAGATGCTTCATATAAAGAAACAGTTACTATGGCAGAACAGTCACGTGTACTATTCAATATTAAATATGAATTTGAAGAAATTTTGATTTGAAACCTGAAATATGAGTTTAATTGGACAAGTGTTGATTTACTTTTTTTTTTTTCTCTTTTTGTTTCGCATGTCTTATAATGTAAATGCAATTACTTTTATTTCTTTCTGTCTGTCGTTTTTTTTTTTTTTTTTTTTTTTTTTTTTTTTTTTTTAATTTTTTTGCTTGAACTATGCGTATTGCGATAGTAACGGAGAATTTTTTACCAAAAGTAGATGGTGTAACACGTACATTAGCCAAGCTACTTGAACATTTACAAGCCACAAATCATGAAGTAATTTTATTTGGACCAGAAAGTAAGATGGAAACCTATGCCAATGCAAAATTATATGGAACAGCAGGGATACCCTTTTTACCTTACCCTGAGCTTAAATTAAATATTTGGAGACCTACGTTTACAAAGAGGCTGATTGAGTTCAAACCTCAAGTCATTCATCTTGTCGATCCTGTCTTCATGGGTGCTGCTCTCTTGGCCGTTTTACGTCTTCATAGACTTAAGATACCTGTTGTTTCCTCTTATCATACCAACCTGAGTACCTATTGCACTGCCTTTGGATGGGGTATCTTTGCTAATCTCATGTGGGTTTGGAATCGTCATTGCCATTCTCAATGTCGCTACACTGTCTGTCCTTCGGAATCAACACGAAAGAATTTAAGAGAAAAGGGATTAAAGAATGTAAGAATTTGGCCACGTGGTATTGATATGTCTCTCTTCTCTCCTGAACATCGATCTGAAAGACTTCGATCACAATGGCTTTTGCAGTCAAAAAAACTGACTCGGGGGAAAAAAGAAGAAGATGAAAACGGTGAAGATGAAAATCGGACGGAGATAGTGACCGAAGAAGAAGAAGAAGAGGAAAAAAACAGCATGACGACAATGACAAACGATAAAGAGAATAAAACCATTTTACTTTACGTTGGGCGAGTCTCATTTGAAAAAAATCTAGGTTTAGTGATTGATAGTTATCGAGACATGGATTACCAACGCTGTCATCTTGTGATTGTAGGACATGGACCTGCGTTAGAGGAGCTCAAGATATTATGTCAACAATACAATCTACCAGTGACTTTTACAGGTTATTTAGGTGGTCATGAACTAGCAACCGCTTTTGCTTCAGCAGACATCTTTGTCTTCCCTTCCTATACAGAGACATTTGGACAGGTTGTCTTGGAGTCAATGGCATCAGGATTGCCTGTGGTTGGATTACTAGCAGAGGGTGTAAGAGATCTTGTTCGTGATCAAGAGACAGGGTTACTGTTGGATGTAACAAATATGTCAAAACAAGAACAGGCAATTAAATATCGTCATTTGTTGAATATGCTTATTGAAGATAGAGAGTTGCGATATAAGATGAAAAGAAATGCATTAGAAAGATGCAAATCATATACATGGTGGAATGCAATGGAAGATATGGTTCAGGTATATCGTGATACGGTTGTTCTAGAGAATAGTAATGAAGGAAAAGAAGAAGAAGAAGAAGAGAGAGTAAAGTCAAAAGTAATAGTGGATGAAGAAAAGGAGACTGATTTAACCGAAGTTATCATTGAACCTAAAGATAGACTACCACCAGTTGATGATCATACTGTAGAACATGAACAGTCTTTTACACATCATGATTCCATTGGTATTATTCCTACTCATCATAAAAGTCTTTCTTCAGTAAACGAAGGTGTTAACCAAAGTGCCTCTTGCTGAGAATATACCAGTTCCTAATATTGTATATACACACACACATATATATATATACTAAATATTGTATCATGTAAAATTAATTAATACTTTATATTTCCCACTTTATCCTCCCTTAACTAATCTTATTCATTATATAGATTATATCTTGTTTATATTGTTAATAATATATATATATATATATATACATATCTATATGCGTTACATAAAAATATGACTTGTAATAGATTTATATATTATTAAAATGAATACAATAATATTGATAACGTCTGTTATAAACTATCAGAAATCCACTGAGAAAACATTTCCAAAGCGATTTTAGGTTGGTCATAATAGGCCATATGTCCAGCATTAAACAAACGTAGAAAAGTCAATTCATTGTACTTTCTTAATGTTCCTACCGTTTCATTATCATTGATCTTCCAAAAGATCTCTTGTTGTGCTTGAAAATTTTCTTTCCCATACCATTCAAGTTCGAAGGTCCATGCGTCAATACCCATCCAATTACATAATAAATCTGCATCTCCAGCATAGGCCAATACTTTCACACCTTGATCTAAAAGAGTTATTATTTGTTGAACAGAATAGGGTCTCATCCAATCCCCAGTGCTATAAAAATTAGCGTTTACTGTATTACTACATATTTCAAATTTACGGGTTGCATTTACGCCTAACATGGATTTTGTTTCCAAGCGATTAAGATACTTTTCAATGGCAGAAGAATAATTGTAACATAAGGGCCCAGCTACCGTTATTTGATATAAAGAAGAAATACATGTATATATTGTATTAAATGAAAAAAAAAAAAAAAAGAAAAAGAAAAAAAAAAGAAAAGGTTAAGCCCTTCTTTATTGTTATTATTTTGTATATCTATTACCTTCACATTGTCGACGTATATCATACATATTTAATGTTGTAGAATCAATAATAGGCTTTACAAGAAAGCTATTACAAATATTAGAAGCTATTTTACACATTTCTGTGGTCACTTCATGTTGTTGGTGTTGTTTATAACATTTTTTAATCCAATTTTGACATACAATTTGTTGAGATTCTAACTCTTGACATTTTTTAGAGGAGGATATTAGGGGTGGTCCATAAGACGAAGGGGTACATACCATTGGTTTATAGTATTGATATTGAATAAGCGGGTCAGTCAATCCATTACCTATCATAAGACTTTTTAATTGAATTGAAGGATGATAATGATTTTCTTTTAGGTTTTCTTCATTTATTGTAGTTGCAATAGCTGGTAAATAATGGCCCGCATCTTTTCAAATATAAATATGTATACATGTAAAAATGATGAAAGAATATTATATATATGTGTGTATGTGTTTACATGATTCACCAGCTATATGGAAATCCGATTTAGCAAATTCTATTCATAATGCAATGTAAATAAATATATAAAAGATTTTTTTTTCTTTTTTTTTTTACCTGAAAATTCTCTAAAAAATAACTGTAAAAATACATAAACATCTATAGAAGCAGTTTGAGTATCTACAACATGAAATGAATGATTATTATGATAAGAATAGCCAGAGTCAATAGGCTATAAAACAAAGAGGTATTAATAGTGATATATTATGAGAGATATACATGTAAATATGAATGCATTATTACTTGATCAAGATAAATGATATTTGCTTTATTTGTCCATGCATAAGGATTTGATACAAGTTCATTTCCTTGATTGTTGACATAGCATGGTCTTTTTTACAGACAAAAAAAAAAAAAAAAAAAAAGAAAAAATTAAAAAAAACAAAAAATTCATCTTATAATATATACATGCCCTATTCCCATTAATAAACCTAGCATGGAAGAGCAACCAGGTCCTCCATTTAACCATAAAACTAATGGATAATCTTTAGAAGATTCAAAGAACCAAAAGAAAAAGTTCTTTCCATCTGGTAATTCAAAATAACCTGACGTCTACAAGTAAATAATTTAATATGTATGTACAATTCAGGAACCAGTCCTTAATAATACTTGTTTAGAAGTTGTATTGCAGAGTGTAGGATACGTGTATCTAAGTGAATACTCGGGAAAACTTTCATGTAGTTTAGAGCGTTTTATAGGAGTAAAGCAAGTATTCCTATTTATCATAAAGAACAACACGAGTAAAAAGGATTTAATGTACATTATAATATACGTAGAAGAAAGAAGATTATTTTTTTTTTTATAATTTATTCTACTATCTGTATATATAATCTAAATGGATATGCAGATTTGTATACATTTTTTTAACGGCAGAATAGTAGTACCGGTAATTCCTTGCTATTGTCATCATTTGGGTTCTTTGTATATTTATTATTTACATAAAAATTTATCCATTACTGCTCTAGACTCTTTTCTTCTCACTATCTTTCTTTCTCCTTTTCTTTCTCCCCTTCCTTTTTGTTTTTTTCTTTTTAGCTAACTGTCTAATATGGTTTGGCCATTTCGAAATGAGGTCAAGAGATCTCAACAAGAATCTTCTTCTATAGTGGGAGGAAAAAAAGCAACAGAGGAAGAATTAGCACTGACAGGCAATAGTATGAATAAACAAGAAGAGGAAGAAAGTGATGAATTTGTTGGAAAATATAAACATGCTCCTCAGAGACGAGATGAAGAACAACCTATGGATTTAGGTGATTTACAGGATATATTCAGTTTTAGTTTTATGAAGGGAAGAACGATATGGAATTTCTTTCTTGCTATATTATGGAGTATTGGACTACCTATTTTACTTTATCATATTTTGAAGCCTTATATTGGTCAAGTACTTGCTATGATTACTGCTTCTGCACCTCCACTAGCCATTGTTATTATGTAATACATATATTCATACATACACACACACATACACACACACATATATATATATATGTATATATATATATATACGACTTCTTTTATATGAAAATACCTTTTTATTCATATAGTATATATCATTTATTAGACGCATGGTAAAGGATAGTACTTTTGACCCACTAGGGTGTGTGGCTGGTGTCAGTTTTCTAATTTCCGGAATTTTGGTAACACAAAAAAGAACATTATTATTGTCTTGAGAACATGGCTGTTAATTTTTATTTATTTATTTATTTTTTTTGAAGTCTATTGCAGAACCAGATGAAAAAGTGTCAGCTATATGTGAAGGGCTCGTACCCCTTTTTATAGGCGTTTGCTGTATGATATCCGTGATACCTATTAAGATAGGAAAATATGAATTTAAACCATTGGTATTTCAATTTACAAATCAAGTTATGCCTAGAAATGAAGAAGAAGAGCTTCAAAAGCAAGATGACTATCGATTAACGAATATTCAGAAAGGAGAACAAGGACGAAAAAAACTAGACTATTTCTATGATAACATGGCCAAGTTTCGACATGATATGCGATTCATGACGGTTACTTGGGGGGCATTACTGATACTAGCTTTTATTATTAAAGTCGTTATTGTAATGACAAGCACAGATATATGGAAAGCGCAAGTCTATGGTTATATCTTGTTTGGTTTAACTACTTTCTTTATGATGATTTTTACTTGGTTTTATACTAAAATTGTGAAAGGTCATATTATATCACAAATTACTTTTTGGAAAGAAGAACAAGAATATAAGCCCTTGGATAAACGAACAGAGACAGTACAGAATGTGAATTGGGGTATTCACTCTATGTCAAATGCATTTGGTCAAGTTGCAGGTTAACCTCTGTCTATTTATCTACTTATTCCATACCCTTTTGTCTATAATAATCACTAAATAATTTAAAAGCTTATAATGTGAGTCTCTATACTCAAAGATATATATATATATATATATATATAAAGATGATAAATCTAAAGTTTAATAGCAAAAAGAGCAGTTTTATATTTTGAAAGGCCTTGTTTACAAGGATAGTTTCATATTTATATAATCAGAAAAGATGTATTCAAATTAAACCCCTAATAGAGCAATCATTTATCATGGTATTCTCTATTTAAATAAATAATGCGATCCATTCGGCTATTTAAAAAAAAATATAGACATTTCCTAATTTTATTTATTATTTTCTCTTCTTCTCCAAAAATAATAATAATACTCCTTTGGTGCAGAACATGTCTTCTAATTCTTCAGTGAAACACTATAAAGCTTTAGGTGAAGAAATCTGGAAGTCTAAAGTAGATAAAATTGTAAATAAACATTATCAAATAATATTGTTCGCGTTCTCCCTTCTTTCTTTCTTTCTTTCTTTTTCTTTTTCTTTTTCTTTTTTTTGTAATTCATCCTTTTTTTTTCTTCTGATAGAATGCAGAATTATTTACTTTAACTTATGGCTCTATGGTCATTCAACTTGTAAAAGATTTTGAAGATTACAGTGAAGTCAATAAACAACTTGAAAAGATGTAATTTTATTTTATTGTTTCTTGAATATTATATACATTTGGAGATGATAACATTATTTTTAGGGGATATAATATTGGGCAACGAATGATTGAAGATTTTTTAGCGAGATCTGGAATTGGTCGTTGTTCTGAATTTAGAGATACAGCAGAAGCAGTGTCTAAGGTAAATCTCATTTACATCATATCCATTTTTTGAAAGCTTTAATTGAAGATTTTTTTTTTTTTTAGGTTGGCTTCAAAATGTTTCTTAATATTGCACCTACAGTGACTAATTGGTCAAGCGATAACAAAGAATTCTCACTTATTTTCGAGGAAAATCCTTTGACTGATTTTGTTGAATTACCTGATGAAGCATTAGAAGGCGGATTATGGTACTCAAATGTTTATTGTGGTGTTTTACGTGGTGCACTTGAAATGGTAAAGGGGAATAAATACAAATAAAAAGGAGAAAAGAAGAGAAACAATGTATTCATTTGCAATTTATTTATTTATTTTGTGGTTTTCTTTTCTTTAGGTACAAATGCAAGTTGAGGCATATTTTGTTAGTGATACGCTTCGTGGTGATGATGTTACTGAAATGCGTATAAAGTTAGTTCGTTACTTGGAAGAAGAAATCCCTGTTGGTGAAGATTAAAAAAAAAAAAAGATACCTATTCAATTTTTAATTTCATGTCATAAAGATTGAATATAAGTTTGAATGTCTCAATGAAGTTTTGTGCTTTAATTAAACCAAAATTATTCGTAATTTCTTTTTATTATTATTATAAAGTCAAATAGAGTGTACAAAGATGGTATGCATTTATAAATATATTCATATAATTATTGAGTCTTGTTTCCACGAAAACGCATTCGAGGATCAATCTATAAAGATAATAAAGATTAGTAAAAGAATAAAGAGACCAATCAAGTTCGACGTTACCATGCCACGTTTACATTCTGCAAAGCTCTTCTTAATACTATGACATTCGCTAGGTACCTCATCTTTATGTTCTGGTTTAAAACATTCTTTAACTGTGTTTCTCTTTTTTAATACACAGTCAGATTTTAACATGCATTCGATAAGCTCTTGTCTAATTTCTTTACAAGATGATGGCATAATGCAAGTTCATTTAAAAAAAAAAAAAAAGCTTTTGGATAATTATGAACCAGGGATTCTTTTTATTAAATTTCCGATTTCTATTTATTTATTTTTTTTTTACATTCTAAAAACACCAAATTGAGTCTTTTCTATAGGGGCATTTAATGAAGCACTGATAGCTAATCCAAGGATTGTACGAGTATCTTTAGGATTGATGACACCATCATCCCATAATCTTGCACTTGAATAATAAGGATGTCCTTCAGCTTCATATTTTTCACGAATAGGTGCCATAAACTTTTCTTGCTCTTCTTCTGACCAGCTTTCACCCTTCTTTTCTTTACTTTCTTTCTTAATTTGTGCCAATACATTAGCACTTTGCTCACCACCCATAACTGAGATACGAGCATTCTAAAGAAAACAAAACTGATTTTAATACAAAAAAAAAGATGTAAATAATCATTATCATCTACTTACAGGATACATCCATAAGAATCGAGGAGAATAAGCACGTCCACACATACCATAATTACCAGCACCAAAACTACCACCTGTAATAATAGTAAACTTTGGAACCTTGGCACATGCAACAGCATTTACCAGCTTAGCACCATTCTTGGCAATACCTCCTGCTTCAGCAGAAGATCCAACCATGAAACCTGTGATATTTTGAAGGAAGACAAGAGGAATGCCTCTTTGAGAACATAATTGAATAAAGTGAGCACCTTTTAAAGCAGATTCAGAAAATAGAATTCCATTATTAGCCACGATACCCACAGGATAACCATGAATATGAGCAAAACCTAAATAAATATAAATAAATAAATAAATAAATATAGAAAATAGGATTCTCGCTACTTTACCAGTAACCAAGGAAGTACCATAATTTTCTTTAAATTCGGCAAATCGACTACCATCCACAATACGTGAAATGATATTCTTACTATCAAAAGGTTTCTTCAAGTTATCACCTACAATACCTCCAATTTCATCAGGAGAATATAAAGGTTCTTCAAATGCTGTCTTTGTAACATAGTCAGCCTTTTTCCCTCGATTCAGAGTACTAACCGTTCTACGAGCTAATACAAGAGCATGTTCATCATTTAAAGCAAAATGATCTGTGACACCTGAGGTACGACAATGAAGATCAGCACCCCCTAATTCCTCAGCACTAATAGATTCACCAATAGCTGCCTTTACAAGAGGAGGACCTGCTAAGAAAATAGTACCTTGTTTTTTGACAATAATACTTTCATCTGCCATAGCAGGAACATAGGCACCACCTGCTGTACATGAACCCATGACTATAGCTATTTGAGGTATTCCTTGTGAAGACATATTTGCTTGATTATAGAAGATACGACCAAAATGTTCTCGATCAGGAAATACATCCGCTTGTCTAGGAAGATTAGCTCCACCAGAGTCAACTTTTTTTTTTAAAAAAAAATAAATAAATAAATAAAAAATAAGAATACTTTCGTTATTTATATCTATTTCTTACCAAGATAAATACAAGGAAGATTATTTTCTTTAGCTATTTCTTGTGCGCGAAGATGTTTTTTCACTTTATACACGTACACACATATAAATAAGTATACAATATCTTTTTCCCTTTTTTAATGATTCTTACCTGTGATTGGATAATAAGAACCACCCTATACAAAATGTATATTGAAGTTTAATAAAATAAGATTCTCTTTATATTATTACCTTGACAGTTGGATCATTTGCAACAACCATGCATTCAACACTTTATATTTAAAAGTCAGCTATTTTTTTTTTCTTTCTTTTTCCTTTTTTCCCACGAATTTAGTTTTGCTTACCCTTTGACGCGACCAATACCGGTAATGATACCACCAGCAGGCACTTCATCATCATATAGTTGATAACCAGCCAAAGTAGATAATTCAAGAAAAGGTGAACTATAACCAAGAAGATAAGTTATATACATGTATATTTATATATTTATTATTTTTATAATCTCTTTACTTTGGATCTAATAAACGATTGATTCTATTGTAAACGATATTAGTAGACAATAAAGACATATTGACAGATATAAAAATTTACCTATCTCTTGGAAGCATCTTGTTACGAGATAAATGTCTTTTACGAGCTGATTCACCTCCACCTGTAATTAAACAGATAACAATTTATTATTTCTTCTTTTTTTTACAATACGTATTATATGTATGTAATGTAAATACCCAATTTTATCCTTTCTGTTAAGAGCTCTAAATCATTGATCAACAGTTCCATTTTTGCAGCATTTTCCTACCCCCAAATTAAAATAATAAGATATGTGTGTGTGTGTGTGTGTGTTTAGAGATTTACCTTAAAGGATGCACTGGCAGGTTCTATTTTATTGGGCAATACGGATGCTTCATCTTCAAAAAATGCATGATAATAAGCTTTCTTTACGAGAAAAGCGCTTGATGAAATTGACTGTCTTTTTAAGGCAAATGTCTTTTGTTGTAAACCATAACAAAACCTTGTCAACATCTTTTTTTTTGTTTATATATGTTAAAGAGAAACAAAAATAGGAGAAGAAGAAGAAGAAAAAGAAAAAGAAAGGAAGCAAAGATGTACACGAAAAAAAAAGGACTTTATACATGTGTCTATTTCCCACGACCTCTTTTTTTTTTTTTTTTTTTTTTTTTTTTTTTTTTTTTTTTAAGACGGCTATTTTTGTAATTCGTAAGACGTTCAAATTCAAAATTAAATTCGACTTATTACGAAAGAGGCTGTATGAAATAGCGATTTTTGATCTTTCTTTAGCATACGCCTGTAGAAAAATGGGATAGATTTATGCATACCATAGCAATCAAGTACCTCTAAACTTCCAACTTTTCTTTTCTTCATATTAACAAGCTTATATTTACGTATAGCAATAATATTCATATCTTTATGAATAAAGACTATTCCTAAAAAAAAAGTGGTTTACTTTGTAAACGCGAAAAATAATGAGTGATAACATACCACAAAACTAAGCCTTCTATTCACTATCTTATTCTGTGATAACTGTATTTTATAAAATTATTACTGAGTTACAACATGCAGCATTATAATAATACAACAAAAGAAGTACATTCTGATTGCAATGGGCCTCCCATAAAATAGTGTGCTTACGCTGATTATTGTTTACTCACTTGGATTCCATTATTCAATATTTACAAACTCTGTATGTGTAAAAATTGTTTCTTTTTTATAATATGAAAAACAAAGGCATCAGAATTGATGGTAAGTATACTACATATAATAAATATAAAAGAAATAAAAGGGAAAAATGAAGAATAAAGAGAGAGAAAAAAAACATGTGTAAACACTATACTAACTGCTAATCATCCTAAACTCTATCAGTATGTTGATTTTCAATGTTCTAGGAAGAGAGCGCTGTTTCCTGTTTTTGGTGCTGGTATGTTTGGACAGGAAAAGGTAGAAGATATAACTTGTATTCCTTTATAGTATTCTAAAGAAGAGAAATGTAACTGGAGATCTCAAGGCAGTACATGTTTGTAGTAACTGTTCATTAAGAAATTAGAATCCTGTTCACGGTACCGTTGGTAATGATGTACTTGCTTGAGAAACATGTAGAACATTATGATAGTGGGACGTGAATATATGATGTTAACTATAATTGGTATATAAAAATGCATTAAAAGACTTTCAGCTTTAACAAAGGCTGTTATTAGTTGCAGTAACAAGCATAGTTTGCTTCTTTTTGGGGTCATGGATTTTTAAGGTAGAAAGAAGTCTGATTTGATTTTCATTTTGTCCAAAAAAAAGAATCTGAATTTTAATTTTACTTGGTCAAAAAAAAAAAAAAATAAAATAAAATAAATAAAATAAAATAAAATAACGTTGTCTGAATTTAAAGTGTAAGAACTATATTATCACTAACTTTGTTATAATGGGAAATAATATATCAATCTTTACTGACATTGCAGCCATTGGAAGCTATGTAAGTGAACTAGGTGATGTTTATTATGAAAAGAGGTATATACAATATATATGTAAATATAAGATCTATATACATATGTATACATGTACGTAACTCATTCCCTTATTGATAGCATTGGGAGTGCAAGATTTATGAAGACATTACGTGGAAGGCATAAAGACGGACACGTTGTCATTAAATTATATATTAAACCTGAGTCTGGTATGAATCTTTCTAAGCAAGTGAAACAAATAAAAGGTAATCTATGCAAATTTCAATCATTTCTTAACTTAACATGCTTATAAATAGAGGAATCTAAAACATTGACCAATGTACCAAATGCATTCTATTTTCAACGAGTTTTGGAAACAGATCGAGCCACTTATCTTGTACGTCAGTATCTTTATAGTAGCTTGTATGATAGAATAAGGTAAATCTTTCCACAATAAAATGATTATACGAACGCAAGTAAAAAAAATTGACTTTTTGTTTTCGATAGTATTCGACCTTTTCTTACGATTATTGAAAAGAAATGGATTGCATATCAATTATTAAGAGGCATCGAAGATTCGCATGCTAATAAAGTGTATCATGGTGATATTAAGACAGAAAATGTGCTTGTAACTACTTGGAATTGGGTTTATTTAGTAGATTATGCATTTTATAAACCAACTTATTTGCCCGAAGTAATCTTTATCTTTTTATAGATAAATTTAAATCAAATAATAACATTCTTTTTTTTTTTTTTCTATTCCTTGCATAGAATAACCCTGCGGATTTTTCATTTTTCTTTGATACATCTTACAGAAGAACATGCTACATCGCTCCTGAACGATTTTATAAGTCTGGAACTGAAATAGATCAAAGAATGGTAAACATTTATATATAAAATATACCATTTTATACTAAATTTATTTTGTTTTTGTTTTAAACTAGAAATTAATGCCTGAAAATAGTTTTAAAAGTGAAATAACACCAGAAATGGATATATTCTCGGCTGGGTAAAATCATGTATGTATATCAAATGACATAACTTTTAACTGTCTTTTTTTTTCCCCATTAGTTGTGTCATTGCAGAATTGTTTTTAGAGGGTACTCCTCTATTTACTTTATCTCAGTTATTTAAATACAGAAATAATGAATATAATCCAGATATAAGTTTAGAACAAATTGAGGATAAACATATTAGAGTAATAGACAATTTCAAATATACGAAAAAAAAAAAGAAAAACGCTAATATTTTTATTTATTTTTTCTTTTATTTTTTTTTTTTTTTTTTTTTAAAAAAAAAAGGATATGGTCAGACATATGATTCAAGTGGATCCTTTAAAACGATTATCAGCTACAGAATATCTTTCAAAATGGCATGGAACAGCGTTTCCGCATTATTTTTATTCGTTTCTATACCCTTATATGTCTTCATTAAACCAAAAACAAAAACATAAACAACCTTCCCAACAAATAGATTCTGCTATTATGTCGGCTTTATCTTCTGCTTATCCAAGCATTAATAGGAGTCAAAAATTAACTGATGCGGATGAAAAAATTGAACGTGTGTTTCATGATTTTCAAAAAATCATGCATTTTGTTTCCTGTCCGAAGAAACTGTCATCTAACAAAATTACTACCGCGTCTGTATGTATTCATGTAGCTTGTTCCCTCTTTATTTATAATTGTCATTACAATTAAATAACTTCTTTTATACAGATTTTATTACCACCTACTTCAAATATACCAACATTCTGTCCAGTCAATGATAATTCAGAAAAAACATCGATTATATGTAAACCAGAAGGCAAGTAAATTAGACATGTATCTTTCATTATATGTATTTTATTTTTTTTGCTACTATAGAAGAAGGTTCACTTATTCTATTATCATTCATTTGTTCAATGGTCAGAAACACATTATATCCCAGTTCAAAATTAAAAGTTTTGGATATTTTATTAACTCTTAGCGAACGACTTCCAGATGACGCTAAATTAGATCGTTTGGTTCCCTATCTTATTATTTTACTATCTGATGAGGTAGCGCTTGTAAGAGCAAATGCTATCAAAGTTTTAACTCATGTGGTAAGTTATAGGTATATACATATTAAGAAAAAGAGAAAACTAATTTCCTTATGTATTATAGCTTTGTACAGTAGAATCAATATCGCCTATTAATGCGCATATTTTTCCAGAATATATTATACCCAACATACGTCCATTTTCAACTGATCCTGATGTACTTGTTCGATTAACATATGCTAGTTGTATTGCATCACTAGCAGAGACTGCTCTAAGGTTTTTAGAAATGACACAGTTATTAAAAGCGGATAACATTTACTCAATTCAAGACATGGGCTCAGAAGATCTTGATTTTGAGGTATGCATATATACACACATATTGTGAATCTATTTAAATACATATACATATATATATATATATATAAACATATAAATATGTATGTATATATCTATCTATGTATGTACGTTATGTTACGTATGTATAGTCTGCCTATGATTCATCTTTGCAAGACTTACAAGCAGTCATTCAAGAGCAAGCAACCATTTTATTGATTGATCCGGAAAGCTCAGTAAAGCGCGCCTTATTAGCCAACATAACGTGTTTATGTGTCTTTTTTGGACGACAAAAGGCAAACGATGTACTTTTGAGCCATATGATCACTTATTTAAATGATAAAGACTGGATGTTACGAAGTGCATTCTTTGAGAGCATTAAAGGTGTAGGTACATTTGTCGGTGCTCGAAGCCTAGAAGAATATATTTTACCTTTGATGATCCAAGCCTTAACAGATGCAGAAGAATTTGTCGTTGAAAAAGTATTAAACTCATTTACCAGTTTAGCTGATCTTGGACTATTTCAAAAAATGAAGCTATGGGAATTAATTGACATCATTTGTCCCTTGATCTGTCATCCTAACGGTTGGATTCGACATGGTGCAGTAGGATTTATTTCTTCAGCTATCAAACATTTACCAAAGACGGATCTCTGGTGTATTGTCTATCCAACCCTAAGATCATTTTTGAGATCAGATATAGCCGATTTTGATGAAGAGAGTTTGTTTGGAAGTATCGAGACACCACTTTCTCGACAAGTATATGAACAAGCCATTCTATGGGCCTCAAAGGCTACATCGCAATCCAATTTTTGGAAACAAAGTAGTCAATTATCATCTTTAACTTCTTCTAAAGAGGATGATCTATTTTTGGAGCGTTTAAGAAGCTTTGGTATGTCCATCGAAGATGAAGAAAAATTACGGTCAATGCGAAAGTACATTTATAAAGTGTCCAAGACGAGTCGGTTAAAGAATGAAGATCAAAGTCTAAATAGAGGAGAGATTTTGTTGAAAAGTTTGAATATGACACCAATGACAGTCTTTCTACCCGATTTATCACAAAAATTACGAGTAAAAAGAGTATATAGTGAATCAAGTAAACAGCCAATGAGTATACAACGAGAAGAGGATATATGCAAATTGAACCGTATTGCCAGTCAACCTCATATTCAAGCTATGTCATCATCAATTCCTATTCAACATAATTCACCTACACCTAGTCCTTCTGACTATCATTTTGGGTCGAGTTTACCTAAAAGTCTTGAAAGATCAAAAAGTATATATTTGTATTTATTTCAATTTCAATCTTTTTTTTTTTTTTATTAATTACTCTTTTTAGGTATGATGCCTGACTCAGTTAAAAATAAGAATAATCCTATAATAGAATTAAATGTGTTATCTAAACAAATCATGGGTGATAATGAAAGTCTATATAACATGAGTTCTACTGGCTATGCTCATTTACAAAAATTGTTATATAGTATTGCGATGAAAGCATTCCCACCTCATATTCCAGGTAAAATAAGGCATAAAAAGAAATAATAAGTAACACACTTGACTTATGTTTCTTTTTATTTTTTATTTTTTATTTTTATTTTTTTTTTAAAAAAAAAATAGAATTCTTAGGGGATACTGCGGTCATGAAACGAATTAAGAAGCTAACTAATAATATGACTCGAACTGTATCCTCATACTGGAAACCAGAAGGTACTTTAGTTGCTCATTTCACCGAGCATACGGCTGCTATTAATCAACTTGCTATCTCATTTGACCATCTTTTGTTTGCATCTTGTTCAGATGACGGTTCAGTAAAGATCTGGGATTGCTCAAGACTAGAAAGAAATGTTACAAACCGATCTCGAGCAACTTATAACCAGCAAGGAGGCCGCATTAAATGTATTACATTTATTGAACAAACGTATAGTATTGCCTCTGCTTCAGATAATGGTAGTATTCACATATTTCGGTAAGTTTATTACAAGTAATTTTTTTTTTTTTTGATTAAACATATTATATATTTAGGGTGGATATTCGTAATTCAGGAAGCGCTGCTTTCAAGTTTGGAAAGTGTATTCCAGTTCGAGAATATCAATTAAAAGATGAATACGCCATATTGATAAAGCATTTTACGAGTAATGCTTCTAATATGATGGTTGGATCTAAATCAATTCTTTTGTTTGCTACCACCAAAAGCACTATCTATGCCCTAGATTTAATGACGATGGAAATTATCTGGAAGCTTCAAAATTCGAAAAGTCATGGCGTTATTACAGCCATGATCACAGATCCGAACAATATGTGGCTCTTGGTCGGTACGATGCGAGGTATTCTAACGTTATATGATTTAAGATTTCAAATTCCTCTTCGATCATGGCTTCATCCTACTAAAAGTCGAATTAATGCACTCTCCTTGGCGAATCATGATAAAACGTGGGTTAGGATTGCATCTGGAAGAAACGAGATATCAGTATGGGATCTCAAAAGTTTGACATGTCTTGAAGTATTTGCTGTTAAATCTGGAGATGAAAAAATGACAGGCGTACTTTTAGATTCTTATAAGGCACTAAAGACACCTAGTAATCGAGAAATATTACTTTATGCTTTTACAAATAACGAATCAAATTTAACAGAGAATTCGATTAGAGCTATTGCTCCTTCATCAGGTTCACATTTCATGATTACAGGTGGTATGGATCGTAAAATTAGGTATTGGGATCTATCTCATGTTGAAAACTCATTTACAGTCTTGGGATTAGACATAGATGAGCCTAAACCAAGATACAGGTAATACAGAAAATAAAGGGAGATATAAATGTATACATCTTTATATGACTAAAACTCACATTTTATTAGCACAAATATTTTTGAAAATATGAAATTTCATTTTGAATTTCAACAAACAAACAAAAATATGAATTCAACACGTACAACACTAACTCAAGTAGGAAGTACTGCAGTAGTTCAACAACAGCATTTGATGCAGAATCATACAGATGCCATTACTGATATTATCATTACTGAAAGACCTTATATGATGATTATTAGTGGAGACAGAGATGGTGTTATCAAGATTGTATCCTAAGATTTATTGTGTAGTTCTTTTAATTGAGCCTCAATTTTAGAACGTAAATACTTTGAACGTTCTGCATCCAATAAATTGTTATAGTTGACTTGTGTAGGATTTTTTAATTGATTTAGAACAGCATTTTGTAACTGTGTCACTTGATCCCTAATAAGTTTTAAAGTGTTCTGCACGTCTTGTATCTTTTCTTCTTTTGCGACATCTTTTAGGAATTTAATATTTTCTAACTGCGTATCTAATTGTTTATTTTCTGTAGCCAAGTTGTTATAAGTTTGAGTTAAGACGGCTCTAAATTTCTTTTGCTATCAAAGTTATACTTTAGTGATTTGCTTGACTTTTATTTTTATTTTTTTTTTTATTTTATTTTTATTTTTTTCATCTTTTTAATGGTTAAATGGACTTACAGCTATAATTTTTGCTCGAAGTTCTTCTAATTCATAATCCATTCTATCATTATCTTCATTTGTTATTTTAAATTCAATATCCTACAGTTTATTAATAATTGAAACTAATTGTACTATTCCTTTACTACCTTGTGTTTTTCAAATTGTACATCTAAATTTTCGGGTATCTTCCAAGTTCCTTGAGCTATGTATTGTTGAAGTAAGTTGAATAGTTGGTCTAATTTAGTTTCTGTTATTTTTTCATATTTATCAAGTGCCTAAAAGAAAAAAAAATTAATTCAAATGAGCATAACATCAAACAACACATTTGATGATTATTTACTGTATTGATTTCTCTTAGTTTGTCAGGTCGCAACTTTGTAAGTCGTTCAGCTGTACCTTCCATTACTTTATAAAAAATAATGTTGGCTAAATTGAATAAATCATCAAGAACTCGTGTAGGAACAAAGCCAAAGATCTCTGTTAGTAACTCATGTTCTATAGCAGCTCTTGGATTTTTCATTTTAAGTTCATCATTATATTGATCCATTCTAATTCATAGAAACAAACAAGGAAAAAAAAAAAAAGTATTCTATTAAATATTTCCTGAATTTTTAATTATTACTTTTATTGGCTACTGAGAAAATAGTAAAAGAAAAAAAAAAAAAAAAAAAAGCTTTAATTTTAGGTACATTTACTATAATTCACAAAAGAAAGAGGATATAAATAAACGAATAGATAAAAGAAAAGAAAAAACATGTCAGGAAGAAGTCTTTTTTCTTTTCCATCCTATTTAGGAGATAGCTATTGATTAGAGATATCAATAAATTTTAATACAGGCTCTTGACTGTTTTCATTGATGTAATTTATCTCTTTTATAGAAACTATTCAAGTTCTATGGATTAAAATAAAATGTACTAACAATTGTAAAGTAGACAGAGGTATTGCATGACATACAATAGTAGCTATTTTACGGAAATAATCATATATATTTGATGATGTATCGGCTAAATAGTTTAAGAATTGATATATAAATGTATGAATATTTTTAATCTATCTATGGAGAGATTGTAAGGAAAGATGAAGCTAGATACAAGTCTTTTGTTGATATTCTAAATATTACACTAACACAGGAATTTCTTTTTACTTGTTTAACCAAAGCCTTTTAACTCTACTCCAAAGTAGATTTTATTTTTAACGTTGTAAATACTTTCTCTGGTGACTTCTTTTACGAAGTAAGTTTTGATAACATTTTTTTTTTCTTTTTTCTTATAACATATCTAATCAGCTTTTTTCTGCGAAGTCTTACATAGGAGACGTAAATAAGAGCAAATACTTGACTTATTTCCAATGTTTAAAATAAAAAGCATTACATAATTTTATTTTTTTTTATTTTATTTTTTAAAAAAAAAGCCTCGAATTCAAGACTCAATATGACATTGTGAGACTTAAGCTCGATAATAGAATACGGACAAATGATTTATTCATTAATAACTGAGTTTTCTGTACAATTATTTCATTTTTTTTCCCTTTACTTTTCTTTTTATTTATTTATTTTTTTTTTTGTTTGACTACGCACATATATTACAAAATGAAGTTTGATTCAGCACCCATTATTCAGGATGCACAAATACCTCTTAGCCCTGCAGAATTAGAGGTAAATAAGTTATTCTCGGTAACAGGCATCTAATCTCATACAGATATATTAGGTATTACGAAGACAATATATCAAAGAAGGAGAGTATGTTACAATTCAAACAAAATTCAATTATGCATGGGGTTTAATTAAATCAAATAAAGCAGAACATTTAGAATTAGGCATTAAACTATTAACAGGTAAAATCTTCAGAAAGCAACATAAAAAAAAATGCGGGGTAAAAAAAATTAATCATGTTTTGTAATAGAGATATACACTGATGCACCTGAGAGAAGAAGGGAATGCTTATATTTTCTTGCAATTGGCAATTTTAAAATATCGAATTATTCTGAGGCAAGAAGATTTAATGATCAATTATTAAAACTTGAACCTCGAAATGATCAAGCGTTGGCTTTAAAACAGTTGATTGATGAAAAAGTGTCAACAGGTAAATCAATACAAATATTTAATACTTGTCTATTCCTAACTTTATTATTTCTAGAGGGAGTTATTGGATTGGCTATTGTGAGCGGTGTTGTAGCAGTTGGTGCTGCTTTAATTGCAGCAGTCGTGAAGCGTTCAAAATAATTATATAAATGCAGAATATGAATAAACTTAAAATTAGCCCTTTTTTTTATTTATTTTTTATTTTTATTCATTTTTTTTATTATTTTATTTTATTTTATTTTATTTTTCTTAATATTCAGAAATAAAAATGGCGCCTCCAATACCAACTAAAGATACCACAAACACATTAAAACGCTCATTTTATCAAATAGAAAAACCCATTGAAGCACATAAACGAAAAAGATCAATTCACAATCAACAGCCACGTTGGCATAATCAAGCTTACATGTTGTTTTTGGCACTTCGGCAACATCCAGAAAGAACAATGGCTCGAACTGATCTGATAAAATCAGCTATTTCTTGGGATGCTAAAATAAGTGAAGAACGTTCATTACCTAAAGTTTTTGGAGGAAAGGTATATTAAGATACTAAAATAGAGAGTTTTATTTAATTATTTATTGATTTATTTATTTTTCAAGACACCAAAGAATTCTGCTTCGGCTATACTAACAAATAATGTGGATCGTTATTTCATTCCATTTAAACCCGATGGAAGTCGATCCATGCATTTTAAGTTGTCATTTGAACCTGGTTCCTTTGAAAACGCATTTCAAGATTATAAAGATTGGCAAGATAACTTGGTGAAAATTGACTGGCCCTATTATTTTAGTTTACGACAACAAGAAAATAAAAAAATAAGAATGAATAGGATGTCTATTGAGAATCTAGTTGAGGATTTAGAAGTGACTGAATATCCAACTGAGTTTGATGAATTTATTGCCAAACGTAAAAGAGCAAGACAAGAAGAAGAACGAATACAGCAAGAGATCATGATAGAAGAAATACCCCGAACGTGGAAAGACTTGATAGTGTCAAGTAAAGTCGATAACCAGTTTAGTTTGAGTGCTAAACGATTTTTACCCAAAAATATACCTCTTGGATTTTATTTTGGTGTTCCAATGACTGAAGATGAATTTGATTCGCTAAAGGGGGATGCTAATGCCATGTTATACCGTAAAACAGTCCTTGATCCAACTGATGATCATGGAAAATTATACTTTTACCCTAATGGAGATCCTTTATGTCCATTTCATTGTATAAGAGAATGTTTAAGACGTGATGAAGCAAATGTTATATTTTATGAAGGTCATGTTGTGAATCAAGTTATTTGTTGGACTAAAAGAGATATTTTCCCAGGTGAAGAATTATTAGTTTATCTTCCTCGTCAAATGAATCAACTTAAACATACAACAAATACGTCTAACAAGGCGATTATTAATTATTCTCGTACTAATTCATTATCTTCTTCTAATGATGATATGAGTTGGCAGGAAGACGAAAATGTATCAACTATAATAACTAATAGTATTTCACCAATTACATAAAAATGAAATAACTTGATTTACTGTGTATATATAATTAACGAATGAAGTATGACTTTAATATATATGTGATAGCTACAATAAGATTTTAAATGACTAGCTTATTATATATAAATAAAATCAAATAAAAATGAAACAGACATGTAGTACCTTTTTTTTTTTTTTTTTTTTTTATACACATATAATTCATTAAAAAAATTTCCATCTAGCATTTTAATTTAACTCTTTCTTTAATAAATGCTATCTGATCTTCATCAGCGTAAATTACTAAAACGAAAGAAAGGCGATTGGTAAGTTATAAACTTTACATGTTTATAATTTTTTTTTTTTTATGTCTCATTTGCTTCTAGTGAATTGCCTGTAAAAGAACTTTCACCGTTTGTCGTTGTTCCTCGAGGTATGTGCTTATTAAACAGCTAAGCATACAAATCTATTAAATTATCAATTAGATAAGCGCATTCCAATTGTTCGGTCGCCTCAAATTGATAGCCAAGGACTAGAAGATCTTTTTGATTTAGCTCGATTACAACCATCATCCTCGATACCCATTCAGTCACCCAGTGTTGATGCCATCAACTTTCCAAATGAAGAACCATCCCGAATAATAAATGATGAACTAGCTCTTCAAGATCTTTCATTTCATTCAATTTCTATTGACGATGTCGCCCCTTTCAAAATTAGACACGATGAAGAAATTGGATCAATTACACCTCAAAAACGAACATGGAATGAAGCTCAAATCAACCAGGAAGAACAAGAGTTATCGGCTGTTCATGTTAGTTCACCTGTATCTTCTATAATGGAACAAGTGCCATCATCTTTAAACAAAACAACTCTTCATGAACAACATTATATAGATACGTATGTTGCAGCTGAGCCTGTACAAGAAGAAATAGCACAAGAAGAAATGATGCAAGAAGAAATGATACAAAAAGAAATGATACAAAAAGAAATGATACAAAAAGAAATGATACAAGAAAAAATGGTACAAGAAGAAATGGTACAAGAAGAAATGGTACAAAAAGAAGATACACAAGAACAAAATATATATGAACCAATGATGGAAGATGTGATGACAGATGTTCAGCAGACCAGATTGCAAACTCAGGAGCCATCAACGCAGCAGCAGCAGCAACAACAACAACAGACAATTAATAATGAAAAACAAGAACAACTAAAAATGATGGCCAACATTGGTAATGATGATGTTGATTATGGTGATAATATATATGATGATGCTTTTCCTGGTACGCCTGAGCTTGTTGAAGACTATAATGAAGAAGAAGATAATAACGATCTTTATTTGATTAGTCTAAAGGAAGTGAAAGATTTAGCTAGTCAACCTACTTATTTATTGAAAAAAACCAAGACATTAGCCAATTTACATATTGTAGCTATAGGAAAAATAGCACAAACAATTATGCGAGACATTAGGTAAATTTTTTATCATCTTGGATGAACAACTTATTCATGTATTATAATAGAAATTCTACAAATGATCAGTCTTCAAAAGATTTAATTCAAAATTATTATAATATGATCAATAATGAATTAAAAAATTTTCAAAGGCAATACAACAAACATGTCGAATTAGACACTGCATTAAAGCATATTAGGTCTTATTATAAAAAGAGAAATAAGCAATTGCTAAGTGTTGTAGGTGAATATAATTCAGTTACAAGACAAATAGAACAAGAAGAGGCTCAATTAGCAGAATTAGAAGAAAAGAAAAAGGTAATTCTTTTTTTTTCTTTTTTTATTCAAGTATATATACTAACTCTATGTAACAGGGATTCTCTTCATTTGACGATTTATTTAATAAAATTAAACAACTTTAATTTTCTTGTATATATAAAAAAAAATTATGTTTATGTCTATTTCAAGGAACCAATAAAGTCTAATTCCTCTTTCATTCAATTCTATGGAGTCAAGATTTTTTTTTTTTTTTTTTTTCATCTTTTCCATACTTTTTAAACCACGCTCTTTTTTTTTATTTTTTTTATTTTTATAAAAATATTATTTTTTTTTTTTTATTTTTTTATTTTTACTTAATTCCTTCTTTCTTATACAAATATATACACGCGTAAGGAAAATGGAGGCAACGATATTCAAAAACACAACAAAAATAGAAAAATTAACTGCAGAAGTACTTGTCAATCTTGCATCTTTTCTTAATGCTTCTTCTATACTTCAACTTTCTTTGACTTGCAAAACGTTTCGTCATTTGATCAAAGATGATTTAGTGTTCAGACGATTGGCTGAACGCGATTATCGTGTCACAGCCAAACCTTCGACTGAACCAAGCTGGCTTCAATATTATAAAGACTTAAAAAGTGGTACTGTTGCCAATGGTGACGAGAACACAGCAGATTCAGGAGAAAAGGATCAGCAACAGGAAACCGTTGCTAAGCAGTCAGATAAAAACGAAAGCCCCATTCATGAAGAAAAAGAAACAATAGAACAAGATAACGCTAAAGCAGCTAATAATAACATGACAGCGAAAGAAAGTGCTTGTCCTCATTTAGGTGATCCTTCAGATTTAACTATCGAAGTAAAAAGAGTTCTTTACAGAAACAACAAGAACGAGGATGATAAGGCCATGTGTGATTTATGTCATTTAGACCATGCTGTTTATTTAAATATGCATCATGATACTCATATTGAAGGTAAAAAAAAATCTAAGATTTATAAATACTAACTTTTTATTAACTCTTTGTCTGTGTAGCCTGTCTTTCTTGTTTAAAAAATAATACCGAAAATAATGACAATTATTATCCTATTCAATTAGAACTAGAAACAGGTGACTTGTATTGTTTCAAATGTGGCGATCCTCGTAAGGTAAAGGAAGGGAGGGATAGATATAATTTTATTACAAATTTTTTTTTTCGTTCTTTTTTTTTTTTTTTTTTTTTTTTTTTACTTACATCCAATATGTAGCTAATGATAGAAGAAGATGGGCCTAAGGTAAAATCAATTGTGGAATACATAAACGCACCAGAGTCAGAAGAAGATTTAGATAAAAGACGTAAAGCAGAGCATCAATTATACGTTCAAGAATTAAGAAGAGAAGATATGTCGTTGAAATTTTATTTAGTAGAAAAGCAATGGGGAAGAACATGGATGTTATTTAGAACTCGTAAGTGTTTATTAGTGTTAGTTATCCATTTTACTTGTACTTACTTGTTAACATATCAGGTGAAGGATCACCATTACCAACAAAGATAACAAATCAGAAACTAGCACGCGCAAATGGTACATTGGATCCAAACATTAGATTGCCTATGGATAAATATCGTCCTTCACCAGAAACACATGGTGACATTGTAAGTGAAAAGCTTTGGGGTTATTTATCTAAAGTATATGGCGTACAAGGAAGAGCTTATAGTGAAGGTAAAATAGAATCATAGTGTTATTTTATTTTATAAAATGGAGACAGAATGTTTAATTCTTTTTTTTTTTGTATAAATAGATGATATTATTGCACCAGAATATGCTAGATTGAGAGTTTATGTGGATGATTTCAAGAAGAGTATTTATCTTTACCCTTAAAAAGAAATAAACTTTTTATTTCGTCTATTAAACTTTTATTTATTTATTTTATTTATTTATTTTCTCTCTCTTAAATATATACATAAAATTATAAAAAGACACAAATATAATATTTATACAAGAGAGAACAAAAAAAAAAAAACCATCTTTTATATTAAAACAACAACATATACAACAAACAGTGCAAGAAAAATATACTAAACTGAATTGCATAACTGTTCGTACAATTTAGGGTTCCAGCATCCCTTTTTCATTCCAGTTTGCTTAACTATAGCTACTGTATCCAATCCCTTTTCAAATAACATGACTGCCATTAATTGAGGTTGATTCTGTCGTTGATGAAATCGGTTGTCAAAAGCAACAATGGATAAGACTTTTTTAGCAAAATAATAACGTTGAATAGCGTCTTGAACAGGTAATTCGGGATGTTCAAGACAGCGAATCATCAAATGTTGAGGTAATGCAGCATAAGCTCGTACCAAATCCATCATACCACGCATAGGGGGTGTACGTGTAGGCATATAGCCGCATGCGTTTACCTGTCCAATCAACACATTACCACTGACTTTAATAGTTGTCGAAAATGCTTCCAATTGAGTCGAAAGACTTTTAACCATAAATAATACAATATACTCTTCAAGTGTTTCAACCCAACGACGTGGTTCCTCTCCCTCCAAAGGTTGATAAGGATCCATTGCTTCAATATAAGTCATTGCCGTCTTTTGATGTGTCAAATTTTGATTAAGAGCTAGCATGAGTGCATCCAAAAGAGGATCAAGTCCCAATTCTTCCGAAGCTTCCAATAGTTCAATGGCCATCTGAGGTTTCTCAGTAGCAATAAACATAATCTCTTGAGGTGTCAAAGGGCGACTCAAATGACCAATGATCGTATGGAATGTCTCAGGAAGTACATAAAGATCCAATTCAAGTGTATTTGATTGTTCTTCCATAATACGCTGATAGAGGACGGGTGATCGAGAAAGAATGGTAGTATTTAATGGATAATGTTTTTGCAAAGTGGGGACATAGACTGTAATGTCCGAATAATAACCACCTTTAAAAGATTGTTAAACACATGTGTATATAAAGATTGATGCTTTTACTTACCTTGAGGAATGAAACCCATAGTTGGGTGATATCCACTAGCATAATCAATGTATTGTCCAGCTGGTTGGTCAGCTGGATAGATTGCTTGAAGAGGAGGAGGTGGAGGTGGATGATGAAAGAAATTAGGAGGATGATGAGGAGGCATAAGATGATTGATCATTGGAACAGGCATGGGTATAGGCATTTGCTGTTGATGCAAAGGAGGAGGGGGTGGATGTTGTTGTTGATATTCATAATTGTTCGATTTATAATGTTCGTTATTATAATTGATTGGTAAAACTTGGACCATAATGTCGTCGTTATTGTTTAATTATTCTTTTTCGTTATTTACGATAATGCCTAAAGAGAAAGGAAGAAAAAGAAAAGAAAAAAAAAAAGAGGGAAGGGATATAGTATGATACACAATACAATATTCAAACAACTAAATAATTCAAAGAAATTACAAAAAAAAAAAGAGATTAAAACATGTATAAACGCGTAATGCAATGTTACTTACAAAATTGTACTTTTCCTTCCTTTTTTTTTTTTTTTTACAACTCTCTGCTCAACTTAAGAATTTTCTTAAAATAGTATTTTCAGTCCTCAAGTTTATTTTTCGAAATTTTTTCAACAAGCTCAAACATCAAATAATTTTCATTGGATAATATGAAAAATAGAAATTTAAAAAAAAAAAAAAAAACTGTCTTCGGAAAATGATTATACTGATTAGAGGCTCAAATGCATGAACGTTTCTCAAAAGACACTAGAAGATTTGAGAATTAAATAAACTTAATGTACAACAATTAAAAATAATAAAAAAAAATGACTATAAAAAAAAAAGAGAGAAATAATGCAAGTAAATTAGTAATGATAATATCAAAAAGGTTATTACAATATAAGTAAACTATCATATTAACTTATAATAAGTAAAATGTTGAAATATATGAAATAAAGGACCATTTTAAGCTAAAGTATTAAATAGCTTCCATAAAAAAGCACATTAATGATTTAGCATAAACACACAAATATTAACACTTTCACGTTATAAAGCCAGTTTTACTGTCATCATGTAGAAGTACAATCGATATACTTTAGATTCGAAGAAACTATAGAAATTCGTTATTGGTAAACTTGATTGACTGATTCATATCCTATTCTACATTATAAGAATAAAAGATAAAACTTGTTGTAAAAAGTTAAGAGTAAAAAGGTAGAAATTAGCTATTATAAATATCACAATAATTTATTCAACTATAAATAATAATAGCTTTTATGAGGTTTTTTTTGGAATTAAAATGTTATCTTTTCTTACATTATTAACTGTAGCAGAATAGCTTTCGAATACTGATTTAGATATATTTAAATGCTATAGACATATTTACGAGGCTACTCTATATACATAATAGTGCTCTCCATGAGTATTATTATTAGATAAAAACTACTCTATCGTCTATGTTTAAAGTAGTATTTTGCAGTTTGATATCTCTTTTTTTTCTTGAAGACTCATCAGTATTAGGGTAACTTTTACACTATTCAACAATAGTAGACTATCATATATACATTAGCGATTTATTAATTAACTTCAACCAAGTTAACATTCAATGTAGCAATATATTGAGACATGTATAATCTACAGCTATAATATAATAGTTAATTGAGTTTCTTTTTTTTCAATTTCTGCATGATATATCAAATTCAAAAAAAAAAAAAAAAAAAAATCCGAGCCGGACCATAAATCGATTTATTCAATAATTTTGAAAAATTCTGTTATTTATGAAATCAGTATCACTGGTACCTAAACGAATCCTCCTCTTTAATTTATTCCAAGTAGATTACTATGGTAAGTGGAATCAAACACATATGCATCAATAAAAAACTAAATGGATGGATGGATTATTATTTAGGGTCGTGTTAGGTAAATAGATAAACATCATGAGAATTATGGAAAGATGGATTATTGTTCTCAGAATTGACATGGCAATTTCGTCGATTAGATTAGATTACTAAATTTCGCTTTTCTTTTTTTTTTTTCTGTAGAACTAAGACTGTCAAGAAGGCTTCTCGTGTCCTCATTGAAAAGTACTATCCCCGTCTCACTCTTGACTTCCAAGTCAACAAGAAGATCCTTGATGAAGTCTCCATTATCCAATCTAAGCGTCTTCGTAACAAGATTGCTGGTTTCACCACTCACTTGATGAAGCGTATTTCTCGCGGTCCCGTTCGTGGTATCTCCTTCAAGTTGCAAGAAGAAGAACGTGAACGTCGTGATAACTATGTTCCCGAATTCTCTGCCTTGGATACCTCTGTTATTGAGGTTGATCCTGAAACCAAGGATCTCCTTAAGGCTATCAACTTCGAGAACTTGCCCGGTGTTCAAGTCACTAACCCCATTGCTGTTCAAGCTGATGTTCGTCGTGGTCGTCGTGATAACCGTTCTCGTGCCCCTCGTGCTCAAGCTGAAGCTTCTGCTTAAATTATTTTTTTTAAACAGAAATAAATTTATAATTTCACATAAACATTATACATATAAAGGAGCCTTTCGACCATTTTAGTGAAATGCATACAATGTGTGTATTGAGTAAAGTGACTTTGCAGTGCTATGAATTAAACTTTTTATTGTTTATTATGCTCAATTTTTTTTTTCACTCTTTGCTGTCTATGCTAAATCATATGTTTATATTTCTTTGTTAATTGTATGTTATTTAATTAATTTGCATTCCTTTTGCTCTTAAATCTGCTTTAGCTTGTGAAATTTCCTAAAGAAAACTGTTAATATATAAAACTAAAACAAAGCAAAAAATAAATAAATAAAAAACAATTAGATTATTTACGGTCATGAGTTCATGATAAGCTTCAGGACAATCGCGGAAGGTAAATAAAGCATAACCAATATTACCAAGGCAGTGGCAACCAAAACAAACTAAAGCCCACCATGGGATCTAGAATATCATCATTAGTACGCGTTTATTTTATTATTATTATATACATGTATATGCATATACATTTATATACATGTGTAATTATACTTTACAACTGGAATGATTTCATTTTGAACCTTCTCAGACAAAGGAACAAAACCAAGATAAAAAATTAGATAAAGAACAGATAAAATAGAAAAAACTGTTAATGTATTAGTAGCTTTAGTCATTTTTTTTTTTTTAATTGTTAAAAAAAAAATAAAAAAAAAAAAATAAAAAAAATAAGGAAAGGCTTTAATCTAGTGAAAAGGGGAAAATGGATGAAGATGGGGTGTATTTATTATTGCCATTTTATATTATTAAATTTTATTGGATGAAGAATTAACTGCTCAAATTTCTATGCACAAATTTATTATAATACATAATAAAATTTGTCTTCTGAAATAAGGAAAATGACAGGGTAGAAAAGTGCCAGAGTGATATGATTTAAGAAATATTTATTTGCAAGTAAGTATCATCTATGCCTATGCATATCAAAACAGACTCTTAAATTGTTGATCAAATTATTTAAAGAAGTTCGTAAATACCAAGAATAGTGACAACTAATTTATATGTAATCTATTTACTTTGAAGTGAAACTAAGAGAGGATGGAAAACATATTAATAACTAATATAATAATTTTTATTGATTTATTCCTTAGTCTTACCGTGAATGAATTGGTTTGTCTTTGCATAAACTAGGAGGCTTTGTTTTCTTCTTCTTCTTTGTGTTGTTATTGGTGTTTATCTCTTTCTTTTCTCTTGAAAGAGATGATAGTAAAGGGAGAAAAAAAAGCTCTCACAAGACGTTCTAGTAGTCGTAAGTCTGTAGAACTTAATTCATACACGATGTATTGAAATTTTAAGATGTCAGTTCAATCATGATTCTAAAGTCTCTTCTCAATAGGATTTAAACAAACACACAATTTTCAGTGAAATATCTATTGAATACTACTAAGCAGGTCTGCCTTCCATTTTGTTAAAATATTAAAATAATTACTTGATATATTATACAGATCAAGTAGGTACATTTGGAAGCCATCATCTTTATGTACATATTTACTTTTATAGACAGTTTTAATATTATCTATTGTATACAAATATTTATATAGAAGTAAAATGCGGAAAGAAAAGAAAAGTAACAGAAAGATCAAATGCTGCTAGAGCTACAATATTGTATATCATTGTATTAAAGTCTCAATAGGCTATACCTCTGCTTTTTTCTTTTTGGAAATAACCATGGCAAATCAATATTTATAACCTACATGCTTATTGATTGTAATAAACCATATATGTATATTTTTAATCGTATCATAGTAACGCCCTCCCACAACTATCAATAAAGCAGAATGATTGGATGCAATATCGACTACTGTCCTAAAACTGTTTCCTTTCATTAACTATTTGTCTTGGGCAATTTTGATATGGTATGCCTAATTTGGGGATACTCTCTTATAAATAATACTATTTGAACATGTAGATAGTTTTATTTTTCTCATATTTATATTATGTAGATTTCTGAATCTATTCAATTTTGTATATGATTTAAGCAGTTTTTGACTTTTTCCCCTTTTTTCTAAGGGTCATTACTTTTGTATTATCTTCATCTACCATATCATCATCACTTGATTTGACTTTTTTCTCCTGTTTCTTTCTTTTAGCAGCAGCAGCAGCAACAGCAGTGGTAGCAGATTGTCTTGTCGTTCGACGTACCTCGGTAGCTTCTTTGAAAATAACTTCCTCTTCCTCATTTGCTGTCTTTGTTTTCTTTACAACTGTTTTTATACTCTTGCGGCCTTTTGTTTGCGTTGTTTCAGAGCCTTTTTGTGGTATCCAGACATCGTCTTTAACAGTTTCTAGCTTATAAAGCTTGAAGAGCTGGAAAACAGCTTGTTCTGGAAAAAAAAAGTAATCAATTAAATATATTTCAGCACAAACCAATATTATTTCTTACCTTTATCTTTAGCTTCAATCATAAGATCAACGTCATCAGTTGTGGGAGGTAAACGCTATATATATGGTTAAAAAGATCGAATAGTATTAATAATTGTATTATTCTTATACTTTGACTCTATCACTATGTGCTCTCATCTCCATCGCAGTAACTGCACCTCTTCTAGATTCTGAATAATGTTGCTTGAAATAAGAATAAGAATAATATAATATCAGTAAAGCAGTAGTATAATGGTATTGAATCTTTATATTATATACTTTTGGTTTAATTCCTCTGTCAAACCAAAGTTTGTTGATAGTTGGCAAAAGGGATACTAAATCAGTAATATTACCAGGATTGATACTATACATAAGAAATTAAATTTGCTATCAAGTAAACATAATATATATATATGCATGTATATATCTTACTGATGATGATGCCTATGATAGTGTATATATACATATATATTAATATCATACTAAATAACCTTGGGAAAACAATTTTTTTTTCATTTATTTACCAGTCTAACACTAATGGAATTGAGAGTTTTTGACATATAGGTAATAGATCGGATACAGAATAACCAAATTCATCGTTTTCAAGGACTAATCTTCGTTTAATATGTTCAGGTAACTTGAGGTATTCTTTTTCAAAGCGCTATCATAAATATTAATATATTAAAAATTAAAAAAAAAATATAACAAAACTTCTTTCTTCCCCTTACAGCTAAAGCAGCTTCTTTATCGCCTATATAACATAAAAGTATATATATTTATTTATACAAGTTTATAATAATATATTATGTTACATACCATATACACCGCCCATATGGCTATGTTCAATGTTCAAAAAAAAAAAAAAAGCAAATCAGTAAGATTCAAAAAAAAAAAAATTATCATATTTACATAATCATGACTGAATCCTGATCAAGGTTCATTAAATCCATCATATGGGCGTGATCTGAAACAAGGATTAAAATGAATAATAAGTATAGTTTTATATGATAGACTTACAATGTAAATCTCGTATGGTATTTGAAACCACTTTTGGAGTAAGTGATACCAATTGATTATATTGACCTGGATGCGTAGTCTAACAATTTGATATATATAAGATATTATTATTATGTAAGCCTACTTTTACGCTTACCAATCTATGATTGTATTTTTTAACCAAAGCTCCAACTTTAGCTAGTTCATCCTTAGCAAAGTCAATATCATATCTATAAAATAGAATAAATAAATAGAGTATAAAGATGGTTTGCATCATTACCCTGCTTTTTCATGACTTGCAAATGGAAACATTTCACTTGACATACGCATAAATCTAATTTTATTGTCTAAAACAATAATCGATATCCAGAAAAAAAAAAAGATATTTGTTATTTTTACCTTCGTTCCATTGTATCATTGTTAATAAGTCAGCGACATTCTAATATGAAATACATATTTATATATTTTAGTTATATATAAATCTCTCCCCCTTTTTTTTTGACGTTATATATTTCTTACTGCCAATGCAAGTTCCTTGACATAGTCTATGCCTTTCTTCATAATCGTATCTATACAAATATATAAGAGTTTTATTTTGAATATCATCATCATCATATATTATACCTAGACGACATGTCCTTGAACAAAATACAGAAGGCTTTTGTGCTCGTAAAACAGTATTCATACAACTACCATTCATATGAATAAGTCTTAAATTACATTATTCATGTTATCATCATGATACATACGCATAACCTAATCTCCCTTTAAAGGCAAAAGGATTCTCATGAACATATCTTTTATTATTCATGATTTCTGGGTTAGGAATCATAGCAGCCGTCTCTTCTAACTTTTTTTCTTTTTTTGGTAGCACATTGCTAACAGCTGTTTCCATTTTCATAACTGCTGTCTGACTTAATTGCTTTGACCCCATTCCTATTATTACTAACTTTTTCAAAACACTATTTGGCTTTAAGAAATAAGCTAACATAAAATAAAAGAAGGCAAAAAAAAAAAAGAAATGGACAAATAAATAAGCAGCTTTTATTGTACAGTAATAATTATCCATCATCATAAAGGTTACCAATATAAATTCGATCTGTAAGGAAAAGTTGTGACTACTCCTTTTTTTTTTTTTTAATCCTATGAAAATGAAGACTCATTTGGATGGTCTTGTTTCCGATTATATTCTAGTGCATGTTGTAAGATATCATCAGCACTTGTGATTGTTCTATACAAATTGGTTACATAGGCTATTCATGATTGGATAAATATATTTTACCTGATTTTATCTAATGGGTATTCTTTCTTTAGCAAGTTAGCCAACACTTTACCAGGACCAAAGCATAAGAAATCATTTATATCTTCACTTTTACAATAATTAATACTACGTTCCCATTCAACAGGTGCAACAATTTGTTCAACTAATCGTTTAGGAATCTCATCCGCATTTGTATACTTGGAATAATAGATTAGATATTAAATTCATATATCTTTATATATATATCTATATCTACCGGCTTAGCTGTAACATTCGAAATAACTTGCACGCACGGCATTTTAAATTTAACTTGTCTTAATGCTTCTTCCATGACATTTGCTGCTTCTTTCATTAAAGAGCAATGAAAAGGTGCCCTATAAAAATAAAAAAGTTTAACATGTCTATATCATGCTTATAAACGAAAAAGAAACATGATATTTACGAGACTGGTAAGTCTACTGCACGTGCAGCAAATCGACGCTCTTGTAAAATACGTGATGCTTGATCTACACCTTGACTTGTTCCACTAATAACTACTTGGAAGGACTACATAAAAAAAAAATTCAATTCAATTCTATTTCTCCTTTATCCATAATGTCAATATTGACTTACACTATTGATATTGGCTACTGAGACTAATTCATCTTTTGGTAAGCTTGTCTTTATTTCTTCCATTGCCTTTAACAAATCGCTCAATTTGTCTTTTCGTACTACTAAAGCTGACATGGCCGTCTTTCGATCAGCTACAGCTCTTGTCATTGCTTCACCACGTAATCTGACTAGCCGTACAGCGTCTGTAAGTGATAATGCTTTTGTTGCTACTAATGCAGTATATTCACCCAATGAATGTCCCAGGGCATGACTACATGCTTTGGCTACATCAAATCCGAATTCGATTTCTAAAACGCGCAACATAGCAATGGAGGTAGTTAGGATTGCAGGTTGTGCATTCTGTGTTTGCTTTAGTTTTTCCTGTTGTCCTTCAAAGATGAGTGAACGTAAATCGTTATCTAATGCTTCATTAGCTTCATCAAAGACCAATTTGGCGGATCGTGGATAAAGATTGTAAAGGTCCTTTCCCATGCCTACATATTGAGATCCTTGACCTTTTTGTGGAATGGTGTGAGTATGCCTTTTTTTTTTTTTTTTTTTTTTATTCCTATTATGTGTGCGTATTACCTGGAAAGAGAATAGCTCGATGAGAATGCTCAATACCAGCTGTACTCTATTTTAATATGTGAATTAACTAGTATAAAACTTATTCATCGAAATACCATCCAATTACGACGACCAATAGCCTTTAATTTATTCATTTTGTTGAAGATTAAGCAAGTAATGTGTAAATGTGCAAAAAATTTAAAATACCTTTTTTTTTTTGTCATATTTTCAAAGCTAGTTGGTAATTGGCTGCCCAGAAATTTTTTTGCAACTCTAAATCCTGTGGGGGTAAAGTGGAACATAGTGGATGATATGCATCCAAATATAGTAATTATTTGCCTTACTTGATATTATGTAATATTTAACAAAATTATGATTAAATGTATAAAGAGGAGCGTGTTATTAAAATAATAAAAAAGAGGGGCACATTAGTAGGTATAATAATTGTTTATAAAGCATTTTATTATCTACTGTCTGTGAAAGCATTATCGACTTCAAATGTCTAAAACAACGGATGCATTTTGGGTGTTGTATTCAATACCTTCTGCTTAATTAGGAAGGTCGTCTTCTAAAAATTAAATATCCTTGTAAACAACAATAAAGTATTGTAAAAAAAAAAAATTAAGGACTGGCTTTCCTGTAGCTTTTTTTTTTCTCCGCCGATATTCGTTTTCTCCTTTCCCCTTTTTTTCTTCTTTTTTTTTTTTTTGTCCTTTTTTATTATATTATGTCAGTTCAATTGTTTACATACGAAGAAGTTTCAAAGCACAATACAAGAAATGACCTTTACATGATTATAGACAATAAAGTCTATGATGTTACAAAGTTTCTAGACGAAGTAATATATACAAATATGTTATATATATGATAAATGGTGACTAAAATATCTGTATAGCATCCCGGTGGAGATGAAATTTTGATTGAAGAAGGTGCTAAAGATGCCACTGGTGCATTTGAAGATGTAGGACATTCACCTGATGCTCGTGATATATTAAAAAAGTATTATATTGGTGATGTTGATCCTAATGTACGTGTAAACATCTTTTATTGAATGAATGCTAATTAATCGTATTATAGTCTAAACCCGTTAAAGTTGAATCAGTGGCTAATGCTCATACATCAAATAAGAATGCAGAAGGAAAGTAAGTAATACTTGAAAGAAAAAAAAAAGTATATATTAATGAGATCTATTGTAAAGTCCTTTCCGTATTATTATTCCTGTAGTTTTCTTTATTGGATACTTTTACTGGCGCTTCTTTATTCATCAATCATAAGAAAAGCTAACTTTACGATATATTTCATAATAAAGCTCCTTATAACAATAAATTATTATACTATCTTTTGCATTTATTCAAGTACATTTTCTAAATGTACAAAAAGTGATGCATCTTTAAATCCGTCTCTTTCAAGAAGGAGCAGCCGGAATAGAGAAGGCGCTTTATTTATTTTAGTTTTGAGGTAATTAGTCATCTGTAGAAAAAATTTTTAGCAGCCGGCCTTTGCTTGGTCAGATATTTTTAGTAATATTCTTGATTCCAACAAAAAAAAAAGAAAAGAAAAGAAACCCCCTCCCCATTAGCTAACCCTAAGAAGGCTGCTGAAAACAACAGCTAGAACTTTGTCAGAACGAATGTATTTGATACTCAGTAAAGATGTTATTCTATTTGGTTAAGCAGCCTTCACAATGCATACAAAAAATGTTTATAGTGCAAGTTCAATTCATCATTTTGCCCTCGATAAGTGGAATTAATACCTCATCTTTGTCTCTCTATCATGAAGTCATGTTGGTATAAGTCTAGCAACACATTTCTTAGACTAGCCTGCGTATTTGATGCTAAAGATGTAGACTTACACACTTTCAAACAATAATGTTGATCAGCATCAAGATGGCGCTAGCACCAAATTTTAGCTAATATATAAGACCTCTTCATATTTCCTCTTGATTTGATCTTCTTCCGGTTACAATATGTTTCCTAGAGACAGAAATTTCACTCTCCAATAGTGACTCAACTAATTGCATGGTAGCTAATCAAATAGCCCTCTATTCTTCTCGAAATTATGCTATTCATAATAAGCGTATTTGCTTATTTACCTAATCTATACTATTAATCATTCTCTATTCTTTCTTCTTATTGCGCTTCCACACCCTAATCTTCAAGATTCTTACCAAGTTTCTGTTTAGTCCTACTGCTAGTCTACCTTTTAAATGATAAATTATGAAGTACATTGTAAATTTCTTCTTCTCCCCTCCCCACTACACAAGACAAAAAAAGATAGCCACTTGATTGGTTATCAACTCAATAATCTGATTATATAATATAATTTCCTTTCTTCCTTTTACCTCTTTCCTTTCTTTTCTTTTTTCTCTTCTGTCCCTTAAACAGACTTTCATATAACATTTTTGGTTTCATAAGCTAACTAGAATAATTTAATATATACTTGCAACAGTTATTATTAAAAAAAAAAACAAAAACAAAAAAAAATAAATAAATAAAATAAAGCCATTGTTTAATCATAATTAATACTTTTATCTTATTTGCGGCTAAATCCTTTTTATTTTTTTTATTTTTGTCTCAGTTAACATCAAAACCTCAATTTTTTTTTTCTTCACTAACAAAAAAAAAAAAAAAAAAAAAAAAAAAAAAAAAAAAGACAGTGAACTGGAAAAAAAAATATGAGAGGATTATCAGATACAGATTCAGAATCAAGCATGTCTTCAGCTTTTTCTTCATCATCCTGCGAGCTCAATGAAAATCGAAATTTAAACAATATTTCATCTAATTTTGCTAAATTAGTTCGAGATACTCGATTCAAAGTAGAACAAAAGACATCTGAAATTAACGCTACGATGCAAGAAAAACTTCCTGAATGGAAACAACGAGGTGCAATATATTCAAACAAAGCAAAAGAGACAGGTATTGAATGGAGTAGAAAAGGGAAAGAAGCTGTTGATCGTTGGAAGAAAGAAAGAGCAGGTAACGTGGACGACATTCTGTAAATGTTGAAGGAATGTGTGTGTGTGTGTGTGTATTTTGTTAACATCTATATAGACGAATCTCGAAATAGTATTTTACGTCAACAACAAAAACTAGGAATTTTTGGTATGCCATTAGAAGTCGCTGTTGCTTTAACAAAAATAGAAATAGAGGATTTAGTGCCTGCTGTATTTAGAAGATGTATAGAATATTTAAATGATGTTGGTAAATAGAATGCCTATTGATAGTATAGTTCATATACTTAAATATTATATTTATAACAGGAGTACATGAGGTTGGGATATATAGGTATTAAGACAAGTTGCTTATTATTCTAGTGGAAATATTTATTTTATGTTGTAGAATACCTGGAAGTACAACTACAGTGAATAAGCTACGTGCTATATTTAACGATGGTATGATTATTTTTTTTTTTATTCATATATAAATAGGTACATGCATAAACCCTTTCTCTCTCTCCTTTTTTTTTTTTGTGTGTACACATATACATGTATGTATGTATGTATGTTAGGATCTGATGTTGACTTTTATATTACGAAACCTGATACACATGCAGTTGGAACATTACTCAAAATGTACCTAAGAGAACGTAAGATAACTTTGACATATTTATATAGGAAAAGAATACAAATAATAGCTATATTTATTTAGTACCTGAACCTATTATTCCCTATGAATTGGCTAACGAATACACACAACAATTCTTGAATTCTATTCAAACAGCTAATGATAGCGATAAAAAGGCAATGGAAGCTACGCTTACAACATCACTTTCAACAATGGAAACAGGTAAATTACCGCCTATTTCACCTGAATTACTAAGAACAGTAAGACACATAACGTCAAGGTTACCTATTAATAACTTTTGTCTATTGCAACTCCTATGCCAACACTTGAAACGAGTTACTGATTACGAACAAGAAAATCGCATGTCTATATCTAATTTAGCGGTTATATTTATTCCTACTTTAAACATTGGTCGAGCCTTATTTCATTGTCTAGTTGAACATTATCATGACATTTTTGAAACAAACAAGTCAAGAATACCACCCCCACTACCACAAAAGCCACGTAAACTTTACACTATTACAGATCGATTCTCAGCTAGTTCGATTCCTACATTATCACCGTCATCATCATCACTAACAAAAAAGACCCTTCACTCAAAGACTATGTCAGATACAGTTATCTTGGAAAATAAACCGCTTACAACTAATAAAGTGCCACCTCCAAAGCCGAGTCGATCTCCTTCTTCAAAGAAACAAGTCCGTGCGCCTCTTCCATTACCTTCAAAACCAAGATCAAAATCAGTTTCTTCCCCTATTCATAATGAAGAAGATATATGGATACAAACGGGTCGAGTTGAAGCTATTGGTAGACAATTTGAAATATTAATGAATAAAAAAGAATAGTTGTATATGTCTCGAAGTTTCAACTTGAACAAGTCTTGAAATGAAAAAAAAAAAAAAAAAAAAAAAGTTGTTTGAGTTGAAGTATGAATTTTATCTTTTATTTAAGTTGGCTATCTTATATTGTGACTGAAAGCATAGCATAATAGTAGTAGTGTCCAATTTTAAAATAGAAAGTTTAAGCTGATACACATAGGGAAAGATGATAAGACTATAGAAACATCATTAAATTTATTGTATAACTTACCTTTACCTATCCGACATAGTTCTTAGCTAGAGAGTAAACAACTTTCCAGTGTTTCTGTCTGTAATAATAATTATAAATGCTAGAAGAAATGATCAATCCCCTTCATATTTTTCATTTATTTATTTCGAAATAAGCTCTCGGCATATAAATCACATATCCATCCTAATGAACATGCTTGATTTACCTATTAATCGATCCCTTATTATGAACTTGATCATCTCTTTTATTATAAAAATTCTGTCTTTATTATTATTACCATCCCTGACAAATATGCTTCGGGTTAGCTTTTCTTTCCCTTCTCATACTAATAGTGTTTTAGTTCATTTTAGTTTTAGTTATTCGTTTTTATTTTAATTTCTATTCCATGAAGGGGGGAAAAAAATTTTTTTTTCTTCATAAATATTCATATCCTTGATCCGGCCGAGTTAATTCTCATGTATTAGATATCAAGTTTATTATAACAAAATAACTAATGATGTTTTAGTTATTATCTGGAGGTAAACTAAATTCGTGTCTTATTTACCTAAAATACTTGCATTTTATTAAAAAAGATATACTTAATTTTCCTTAAAGCAATGCATTAAAGGTTCTTTTATATTATCTACCAATAAAACTATTATGTTTCTTTTGATTCATTTGATTATAATGGACTATTGCACTAGCCAGAACTTTATATAATTCTATATGAACTTGACTACTAATAATACAACAATGATATTTCGTCTCCAACACGACCAAATCATAGATATTAGCTATTTTAACTGTCAGTTTTATGCATATATAATTATATACCTATTCTCCCATCTCCTTCTTTTTTCTTTTCATTTATTCTTCTTCTCTCTTGATCCCTAAAGAAACTTTTCTAAATCTATTTTTATTTCTAGTGCTTTAATCAGGGTGAATCTAGTTTACAAAAGACACTTATGCGTTTAATAATCCAGTTAATAAAAAAAAAAAAAAAAATAAAAAAAAAATAATAGTAGTAGCAGTAAAGTTTTCAAAGTCCGATTTTTTTTTTCTGTGGAAAGGGTCATGGAGAGTGTGTATGAGCTCTGCATAGACCTGAACAATAAAATCTTCCTCTTTTATTTTTTAGGTTCGATTCAACAGCTACCATGAAGGTAAATGACTATTTTGGAGGGAGATAATAGATGGATGGCAACATAAATAAGAGAGATGATGATGGATTGATAATGGATAATTAAAAAAAAAGAAAAGAAAAAAAAAAAGATCAGCATTGCATTTTGGAATCAATTTTAATGTAAATTCTCGTTGTTCTCTTTTTTTTTGTTAATCAATTTCATTATTTCAGTAAAGAATCCAATTCAACTCGACTCTTGTTTATATATGCTAATCAACCGTCTCAGTGATAGTATTGAATTCACATTAAAAAAAAAGAGAGAAGAAACAGACTGTCATCTCTATTTTGTTCATCCTCCAATTATCACCTCCTTTTTTTTTGGTTAATTATAAATTTCATAAAACTGATTTTTTATTATAGCTTAACATTGCGAACCCAGCAACCGGCTGTCAAAAATTGATTGAAATCGAAGATGAACGTCGTCTGTAAGTTTTTTTTTTACACCATATTAAAGATTTAAAAATTTGCTAATCTCCCCTCCCCCTCCCTTTCTATATTCATATAATATATAGTCGTGGTTTCTATGATAAGCGTATGGCTCAAGAAGTTTCCGGTGACTCTCTCGGTGACGAATTCAAGGGTTACGTTTTCCGTATCACCGGTGGTAACGATAAGCAAGGTTTCCCCATGAAGCAAGGTGTCCTCTTGCCTCATCGTGTTCGTCTCTTGATGTCCAAGGGTCACTCTTGTTACCGTCCTCGTCGTACCGGTGAACGTAAGAGAAAGTCCGTCCGTGGTTGTATTGTCGGCTCTGATCTCTCTGTCTTATCCCTTGTTGTTGTTAAGCAAGGTGAACAAGACATTCCCGGTTTGACTGATACTACTGTTCCTAAGCGTCTTGGTCCCAAGCGTGCTTCCAAGATTAGAAAGTTCTTCAACTTGTCTAAGGCTGATGATGTTCGCAAGTATGTCATTCGTCGTGAAGTTCAACCCAAGACTGAAGGTAAGAAGCCCTATACCAAGGCTCCTAAGATCCAACGTCTTGTTACTCCTCTTACTCTTCAACGTAAGAGACATAGACAAGCTCTTAAGCGTAGAAGAGCTGAAGCCTCTCGTGAAGCCGAAGCTGAATACAAGCAATTGCTTGCTAAGCGTGTTAAGGAACAAAAGCAAGAAAAGTTGGAACGTCGTCGTACTTCCTCTATGCAAAAGTCTGCTTCTAAGCAAAAGACTGCCTCTGCTTAAATAATAAAATAATATCATTTATTTAATAAATTTCGTGAAAGCGGTTGGGTGTGACTTGATTTCAATTTTATTATACACGCATATTTAATTTTTTTTTTTTTTTTCTTAGCGTAGCAATCACGCTAAATCTTATTTCTATTTTCTATTTTTCCTTAACAACTTCTTTTATTTTAAAATATATATTGATATAAATATATATACATATATCTTTGTACACTATTATAACCAGATAAATATATATTTATATTTATATATTTGTAAAGAGGGAAAAAAAAATTTACACAACACGAATAATAACATGAGTTCATCTCAACGTGCTCGTATTCAATCATTAAACATGAGATCAGGCTTCAATCAACAGCAGCCATCTTTTCAGGAACAAGTCAATCATAAACCTTTGGACCGTCTAGAAGTTGTGATTCCACCAAGACTTTCAGAACGATTCTTACCAAGATCGAATGGGTTAAAACCTTTACAAGAAAACATGATTAGCATGCGAAAAGAGAGATTGAAGCCCATTGAAGATATAGTGGATAAGCATTACAAAGAGCAACAGCAAAAATTACAAAAACAGAAATACAGATTAGTTGCTGATGAGGATATACCGTCTGTCATTATAGATTTCAAACGCAAGAAACAATATAAAAAATTAAACTATCTAGGCTCTGTAAGCTTTTTATGTGTATAAATTATAGACAGGTTAAATAAGTGTATTATTAATTCTCTCTCCCTCTCTCTCTCTCTCTCTCTCTTTTCTTTTTTTTTTTTTTTTTTTTTTTTTGGAGTAGGGCGCATTTGCAAAAGTCTATCGAATTCAGAGTGTGGATGGCAGATATCTTGCAGCTAAAATTATTTCCAAAAATGCACTTAACGACAAAAGAATTCGTAAAACGCTATTTTCTGAAATTAATATTCATCATAGTCTGAAACATGAATATATCGTAAGATTCATTGAATGTGCTGAAGACAGAAAAAACATTTATCTCATCTTGGAATTATGTGAGAATAATGTAAGCTATAAAAATACACATTAAAAAAAAAGAAAAGAAAAGAAAAAGAAAAGGGAAATCTTATTCATCTTCTCTCCCTTTTTTTTTATCTTGTAAAGTCACTTAGTGTCATGTTAAAGAACAGAGGTACATTAACAGAGCTTGAAGTAAGATATTATATGGCACAGCTCCTAACAGCCTTACGATATATGTCTGATAACCGTGTCCTACATCGTGATCTCAAGATGAGTAACGTTTTATTGGATGCAAATATGGATTGTAAATTAGGTGATTTTGGTTTAGCGGCTCTTTTATTAAAGAATGAAGATAGGAAAAGGTAAAATGATATTATCATTTATATGTATTTGCATGCATGCATACATTCATTTACTTACTGTTTATTCGGGGGAAAAAAAAGATCTGTATGCGGAACACCGCATTATATGGCACCGGAAGTTTTGTTCAAAAATGGTCATAATTATAAAAGTGATTTATGGTCTGCTGGTATTTTGATGTAAGTCTTTATAATAAATAATAGTACATTTGGACAGTTTTATATTAAAACTATGTTTAGGTTTAATCTTTTATTTGGAAAACAACCCTTTCATTATGAAGATCCTAAAAAACTTTATCAGTAAAGTTATTCTACATGCATGCATTATTTATTATTTAATACTTATGTTTTAAATAGACAATTAAGGAAGAATGGAGTAACTACACAATTTACTTTTCCTGCTGATGATTTTGGTATCTCTAAAGAAGCTAAAGATTTAATTAGTAAATTACTAGTGAATGATCCTGGTAAGGCTATGATAGAATAAAGGAGGATAGGATGATTAACTCTATTTGAATGAATAGACCGTAGATTATCTGTGATTGAAGCATTAAAGCATCCATTTTTTCAAGAAGATATTCCTGAGCAGATCCCTAAATCAGCTCTTTATAAGGCACCTCATTATCGTGAATTATTTGCAAGTAGATTTCCTACGAATGATAATAAGCCATCTAAGCCTATTTTATCAAAAGTAGCCATCGCTGTTCAACTTGCTAGAGATACAAAACGATCTTATGTGAATCAAAATATTGGACCCTCTATGATCGTCATGGAAGAAACTATCTTGGATCATCGTTTACAATACCCAAATGCTATACAACAAGAAGAAATCGTCTCCAACGCAATTCCTTCGCGCACATTAACTATACCCGTTGAATATACCAATACTACATCTACGTCAAATAAAAGAACAGTTCATGAAATCACTAAAGAAGAAGATAATGCTACGTCTTCAAAGAAATTATGTAGCCATATAAATAATGTTACCACCACTCAACCCTTAAAAGAGCAAAAGAAGCCTATTAAAGCCGAGAGTAATCAATCAACCACAGTTCGTGATAACAATCATCATCTTAGAAATCACTTGTTTATAACCAATGAAGAAACCAACACAACTAAAGATACCAATAACAAACAAAACCACCCACGTATTCCTATTTGTAAGTTTTTTTTTTTCTTAATAATAATGATAATAATAACGCCTATTGAATCATGTTTTACTTAGCCATTCAAAATAAAAATGAACCAATCAAGAGACCTGTTATTGAAGATATGATTATTAAACTAGAATATATGATCAATAGAATATCTACAATACCTAAGCATCTTCGACCCAATATTCCTAGAGTAGATCAAGATTTTAAATGGGATAAAAATAATGTCTTTATTAATTCTTGGGTAGATTGTTCTAAATCTTATGGATTTGCATATGGATTATCAGATGGTACATTAGGATTTTTATTTAATGATGGATCAAGTTTAAAAGTGAATGATAGGTAAAATAGATAAGGAAGAAGAGTATGTATGTGTATATGAATGACTTACCTTTTTTCTTTTCTTTTTTTTTTAAAAAAAAAGCCATTGTTATTATTATACTTATTATCAAAATAATGAATTAATTGAAAATGAATTTACTAAAGTACCACCAGAATTAAGAAAGAAATGTTCTATACTTGATAAATTTAAAAGTTATGAGGAAGCCAAATTGAAACGAGCTCAAGATATACCAAAAATAGCTCAATCAAAAACTCGTCTATATAAATATTACGTATCTGATGATTCTATTGCCTTTCGATTAAGTAACGACGTTATACAGGTAATTTACATATAAAAAGGGCTCTATTTTGTACAACGACACTAACATCTCCTTTTTTTTTATAGATTAACTTTTTCGATCATAATAAGGTTATTTTATATGAAAGAGGGCAAAAGATCGTGTATATCAATAAAGAGGGCAAGTTAAGTCATCATCATACCTTTGATGCCTTTTGTTCAAATTATGAAGAATTAACGCATGCCATTCAACGTACTTATGCTATTTTATTGGATCAATCAACAAAGCATGATGAAAATCTTCGAAAAGAAAGATGGAATCGATTTGTAAAAGGATATTCACAAGAAACGAGCCATCGCGTATCATAAAATATTCATTTGTCATCAAAAAATATATACTGTAACTTTATGTATGTATATATTGTATAAACTTTTTTTTTGTTTTAAAATATACATGTAAATAGTAAAAATAAATAAATAAAATAAAGTTATTTTGTAAAATACATGTGTTCCTTTTATTTGATTCGTAGATTGATGTCTCCGCTGTTTCTATGGTAGCATATCACAAAGTGTCGCTGCATAAACTTTAGTATTTCGGTCTCCATCTGAATAAAGGATTTGCTCCCTTCCAAAAAAAAAAAAAAAAAAAAAAAAAAAAAAAAAAAGAAAAAAATTACAGATTATTATTAATATCTAATCGACCCTGTTGTGTCTATAATCATAAAAAGATACATCACATACTTGAAATGAATAAAGGATAACAAGAATCCTTTTATACACAAATTACCATGTAAAATATGATAATAAATTGTTATAGTAAGCTTAAAATTGTTTTTTTTTATTATTCTACTATTTATTACCAACGCAATTAGAATATGATTTATTAACATAAAAAAAAAAAGAAAGAGAAAAGAGTCTAAACGACCGTTTATCTATTTATGATAAAGATTTAGATTAAGAAAAGGTATATCGTATAGTGGCATTATTAAGCGACAATTATTTTATCTTGCGTAGTAGTAGTAGTAGTAGTAGTAGTAGTAGTAGTAAGAAAGATAATTTTACTTATAAAGCTTAAATGAAACAGCAGTAATGAAACTACTTTATCTTATATTAATTTCATTACTTGTTATCAGTGCCAGACTACTAAATATAGCAATTCTTGGATTTTATATTATCTCATATGCTCTATGTTTCTAATTTATATACTTTCTACCTCCCCCCCCCATTTTCGCTATTACAAAAAAAAAAAAAAAAAAATAATATCTAAACTGATAAGCCAATTATATAAGATTTAGCTGACACCATTCACTTTTGTTGCACCAATGAACTAGACAAACTTGATTTCTTTTCTTTTTTTTTTTTTGTTTTGTTTACAGTTTATGGTCATTTTTTTTGTTTGAATGGAATTAATAAATAAATAATAAATACAAGTGTGTGTGTGAGTGAAAAGTAAATTTGCCTATTTATTTATTTTAATTTTTGGGTTTTTACATTAAAATAAAGATTAAGTTAAGATTTGTGTAAAAAGATGTAATAAAAATTAAAGGGGCAAATTTTAGTGTATTTTTTTGGTAATTTATGATTTGTGATTTGCTTATCATTACATAAAAACTACCGCTTTCAGCTTCGAGTAGCGGGAATCAAAATAGGTTTTCTTGACATATAAAAGGGACCCACTTTTTAATAGTAATGGTCTTTTTTTTTCCTTCCTTCTTTCTTTTTTTTTTAAAAAAAAACAATCAATTTTTTATATTTATTTGAATTTTTGCTTGTATTTTAGCTTCTTTTCATTTTTGTCATTTTTTTTTCTTCTTGTAAAAAAAATAAATCCGGGTCTCTGGCCACAACATTAAAAAGAGTTTAGAATTCCTTTTTCTATTAAATAGAAATCAATCACTTTTCTTTACAAAGAAAAACAACAACAACTACAACTACTACTACTACAACAACTTTTAATAAATCAATTACATTATTTATTCAACAATAGATAAATAGACACAATGAACTTTACAGAAAAAATAGAATCAAATGATCAAACAATCATTGAAAATGTTGAAAGTTATCATTCAGATAATTCTTCAATAAAAAATAATCAACATACTTTAAAACGTGGATTAAAGGCACGTCATATTCAAATGATTGCTTTAGGGGGTACTATCGGTACAGGTCTTTTTATGTCCTCTGGTAAAGCTATCGTCATGGGTGGCCCTGGTGGTGCTCTTGTAGGTTATGCCATAGTAGGTATTCTTGTATTTTGTGTGATGATGAGTTTAGGTGAAATGGCTGCTTATATTCCTGTTGCTGGTTCTTTCTCTCATTTTGCTACTCGTTTTGCTGATCCTTCATTAGGCTTCGCTGTTGGCTGGATCTATTGGGCTAACTGGGCTGTAGGTGTCGCTGTTGAATTAACAGGTGTGGCTATCATTATGGAATATTGGGTAAAGACGATCAATAGTGTCATTTGGTCCGTCATCTGTCTTGTCATCTTGCTCTCTATCAATGTCTTTTCTGTTAAGGGATATGGGGAAGTGGAATATTGGATCTCATTTATCAAGATCATGATTGTCATCATCTTTATCATTGTCGGTATCTGTGTCGATACGGGTGCTGCAGGTGGTGTCTATTATGGTGTTTCTAATTTTCATTTACCTGGAGGTCCCTTTCCAAATGGTTTCCTCGGTGTCTTTAATGTCTTTATTACAGCTGCTTTCTCTTATAATGGTGTTGAAATCGTCGGTATTACGGCTGGTGAATCAGCTAATCCTCATAAAACTGTTCCCTCTGCTGTGAAACAAGTATTCTTTCGAATTGTGTTGTTTTACATTTTATCCATCTTGATTATTGGTCTTATCATTCCTTACACAGATCCTAACCTTTTATCAGGTGCTAGTAACATTGCTGTCTCTCCTTTTACACTTGTCTTTAAAAAGGCAGGTGCTTCATGGGCAGCTGATATGATGAATGCCATTATCTTGATAACCATGATTTCCGCTGGTAACTCGGGTGTTTATTCTTCCTCACGTACTCTTCTTTCTTTAGCTTCAGATGGATATGCTCCTCGTGTCTTTACTCGCGTCAATCGTTGGGGTATCCCCATTTGGTCTGTCTTGGCAACCTGTCTCATTGGTTGTCTTGCCTTCTTGACATCCCTCTTTGGTTCAGGTGTCGTCTTTACCTGGTTAACCAACTTGACTTCACTTGCCGGTTTAATTACATGGGTCACCATCTCTGTCACTCACGTCCGTTTCCGTAAAGGTTATCTATCTCAAGGTCGTTCCTTAACTGCTCTTCCTTACTATGCACCTTTACATCCTTTAGGTGATATCATCGTCATCGTCATCGGTACAATCATCATCTTTGGTCAAGGTTGGAAGTCCTTTGTAGCTCCTATTAAAGCTGCCAATGTGATCTCTACTTATATTGGTCTTGTTTTAGCTGTTGTGCTCTATGGAGGTCATAAGATTTGGAAACGAAACGGCTTTGTCAAATGCGAAGATATGGACTTTGAAACAGGCACCTTCCATGATAATGTCATTGATATTCGAAAGACTGGAGACGATATGGATGAAAATAGCAGTCCAATTCCTTTATGGAAGCGTATTTTAAACAAGATCTTGAATATCATTGCTTAATTCTTTATATATATATATATATATATATAAAAGAAAAAAAAATTCATTCATTTATTTATATTAATTTTAATATGTATTTTGTAAATAATTGTTTTCAACAACATATACCTTTTTATTTGTGTAAATAATTAATAATAAAATCCATTTTTTTTTTGAAATATTTCTTCAAGGGAGACATTGTATGTATAATAAGTATCACTTGTAAATAGCAACCATCTTTATGAATGATTAGTAACTTATTCTTTGTTCTCTTACTTACCTATGACGTGTAAGACATAATACTTTGCTCTTTCTTTAGAGAGACAAATTGGATATATGGTTATGATTGGTTTAATCATCTCCAATAATATAAACATATTTTATTTAGTGTGTAAAAGTTTTTTTTTTTTTTTTTTTTTTTTTTTTTTTTTTTTTTTTTTTTTTTTTTTTTTTTTAAACTAAATATTTATTTGAAATGGAGTCATACTTCTTTACACTATAATTTTCTCTATTATTTAATACCAATTGATATTATTTGTTTTATTCTAGCCTTAATAGTTGTTGACGCTAATTGAAAGGGTATCCTCTTCCTTACAATAGATATGAGGGCAGCTTGTTACAGCTCTTTTCCTAAAATAAGTATAAACTTTAGTAATACTGCTATTATTTTATTGGTCTCTATACGCACATACTCCTCCTCCCCGCCCCCTTTTTTTTTAGCATAACCAAAAAAAAAAAAAAAAAAAAAAAAAAAAAAAAAAAAAGAAAAAAAAAATACAGCACTACTAGGAGGAATGACATTTGGAACTACAGGTATATTATACAAAGAATTTAAACAAATATCAAAGTTATTCAAGCCCTTCAAGATTGATACTAGTGAATTTAGAATGTCTTATATGAAGCCTAAGTTGTTACTTTAATTTTAAAGCATGGAAATTGGATATGCAATAACTAGAAGTAAAGACTTGAAATAATCAAAATTTCCCCCCAATGATAAATACTCTTGCAGTATATTCGGATACAAAAATTGCAGTTTCCTATAACACAGGGATATCAATGTTAGTAAAAGATATGCTTGATATCTTATTCTCTATTTAAGAGAAAGAAGGAAAGAGAAGACTTACCATTTTTGTTAATAATAGTTACATGTAAATTGTCTCCTTGTTTATCTAAAAAACAAACACACTTTCTCGAATCAAATCCTTATTGTTCTTCTCCAGTTGAAACAAGCAGTCCGTTCATCCTTCTTTATTGGCTATTATGTGTGACTTTTAGTTTTTTAAATGAGAAGAAGATAAATAAATCATTCACTAATGACTTTTGTTATTTTATTTTATTTATTTTTTCTTTTCTTAGTCGTTGGATCCTTGACTTTAAATTGGTTTTTTTATTATTATTATTATTTTTATTATTTTCTTTTTTTCTTTTTTTTATTTTATATAAAATCAGTCTCATTATCATAGTATCAATATTAGCTTAAGATAAGAGTGACAAGGTCAGAAATCAAATTCTTGATAATTCATTAATATAAGAGTTATACGAATGCAGAACAAAGAATTCTATGGAACTTTAGTTCAGAATAAAAATAATGATAGTTATAAAACTGTTTATACTCTTCTAGATTCTTATTGCTATAAATGAGCATAGTAAGATAAGGCTTGTACAGTTATGGTAGAATATGTATATATATGTATGTATATATAAGATGAATAGACTAGCATCTCGATAGTTGTGACGGACTAATATTGACAATAACGGCACCTAAACTTAATTTCTTCATTACGAAATACCAAGTTTATTGATGAATACAATAAACAGTATAATAGTTTTTTTTTCTTACATTGTTGAAGACTGGACAGCTATAATGATGATGGGAAGTTATTAAGGCTGGATAAGACATGCAAAAGTTCACTGGAATAAATGCCTTGATGTAGAAATTGGTTTGATATAGTCTTTATATATAACCTTTTTCGTTTCGTTTAAAAAAGAAAAAAGAACTTTTGAATCTTAATTTCATTTCTTGTTGCAGTAGTAGCAGTAGTAGTAATAGTAGTAGTAGTAGTAGTAGTTGTTGTTGTTGTAGTAAGTAGTGCAACTTCAAGCGGCGGAACTTTTTATTTGCCTAATTTATCTATGATAACTAATCCTTTTTTTTTTCTTTTCTTTTCTTTTTTTTTTAGTTAAGAAAAAAAGAAAGAAAAGAGAAGAAAAAAGAAATTATGAATACAGAAACATATAAAGAAAGGCCATTAGGCTTACTCGAAAAATATCAATTGTCTAAACATCTCACTAATGCCTATGGTAATATTACCCTTACTCTTTATTTAGAACATGCTCCCATCCAAGCGGACCAAGAAGAACTATTTTATAGACAATCTTTTTATCCTGTGCTAACACAACTTATTAAAAGACATCCTAATCTTTCAATTATTGTACGCGACAAACTACAAAAGACGGCTCACTTTGTACAATTATCTACTATCGATCTATCAAAAATTGTCAAAGTTGTGAATAGTTCTGACTCGTTAACAGACCTCATTCGACAAGAAACATCGTTGGAATTTAACCTTGATGACATGTTACCTCTTTGGCGTTTAACAATTGTTCCACAAACGCTTACAGGATGTAATGTCATCTTCACTGCACATCACATTATTGCAGATGGCATGAGTTTAACCATTTTTTGGAATGAATGTCTAAAAGCCTTGAATGAGAATACACTATCGTCTATCACTACTACTACTACTATTGACACGATAATTAAAGTTCAGCAACATGCTATAGCCCCACCCTATGAATTGTCAGGCGCACCTACTTTGTCTTTAGTATGGGATGTTGTGCCCGTCCTTTGTAAAAACTTTCTTCCAAAAATGTTACCCTCACCACTAGCTCACTGGATCGATCCTCTGGTGGATGGTACGAGTTGGAGTGGTGATTTTGCTGCTGTAGAAGGCGAAGGTCATAAGACCAAAATACAACTCATAAGTGTGCCACCCACTGTTTGGAAACCTATTTTGGACAAAGCCAAAGAAGAGCAAGGTGTTTCAGGTCATGCCATCTTATTTATTTGCTTACTGATAGCATGGGCAAAGTTATATCCAAACGAAAAGACTGAAGCCTCTACACCAATTAATTGTCGTGGTTTATGTAATCCACCTGTTCCTAATAGTCAAATAGGAAACTTTGTTGGTGGATACACGACTATTTGGACATCAAAGCAACTACTTACACAAAGTCCATGGAAGTTAGCAAAGGAATATTCTCAAGGTCTATGCCAAAATAAAGTCAATGCAGCTAAACAAGCTCTCTTCTTAAGTTATTTACCACAATTCCCTGAATCCTTTTGTGACTTTTGGTATGATAAACGAAAATATACAAACTTAGGACGATCAGGTGGAGTAGAAGTTTCTGATTTGGGTCGTTTTATTATGAATACTCACGAAGAAGAAGATGGTTGGAAACTAAAAGATATTTATTTTTGTCAAAGCGCGCAAATATTCACGAATGCTTTAACATTTAACACCGTCTCGGCCAATAATGGCCTTTCTTGTACACTTAGTTGGCAAAAAGGTTCTCTTGACGAAACCAAACTTGACCAATTTCAAAATGTCTTTTTAGATATCTTGAATAAATTAAAATAATGTATCACGGATTTATTTTATTTTATTTCATTTTTTTTTTTTTTCAGTTGGGCTCTATATTAATTTTTTTTTTTGTCTATTTTTTTTTTTTTTTTTTTTTTTTTTTTCTTCTTCTTCTTCTTCCTCCTTAAATAATTTAAATAATGCAAACCATTAAATGTGTTGTAGTTGGCGATGGTGCTGTTGGAAAAGTAAATAATACAAAGTTTGAAATGTGAAAGAAAGAAAGAAAGAAAGGAAAAAGAGTTTTTTGTATTATTAACTTTGCTTCTTCTTTTTTTTTTCTTTTATCATCTCATTTTATTAGACATGTCTTTTGATTTCATATACGACCAATAAATTCCCTTCTGAATATGTCCCTACTGTATGTATAAATGAAACATTATAAATTTAAATATAATTAATAAATTCACGTTAGGTGTTTGATAATTATGCTGTTACGGTCATGATTGGAGAAGAACCTTATACTTTAGGTTTATTTGATACTGCAGGTAAAGAACAAAGAATAAAGATGGGAATATAAAAATGTACTAATTACAAAAAAAAATATATATATATATTTAATTAGGTCAAGAGGATTATGATCGTCTTCGACCTTTGTCATATCCTCAGACAGACGTTTTTCTCGTCTGCTTTTCAGTTACTTCACCTGCATCTTTTGAAAATGTCAAAGAGAAATGGTTCCCTGAAGTTCATCACCATTGTCCTGGTGTTCCTTGCTTAATTGTAGGTACACAAATCGATTTACGTCAGGATCCTGCTGTTTTGGAGAAACTTACAAGACAAAAACAAAGGCCTATTACTTTTGATGCTGGTGAAAGATTAGCTCGTGAACTAGGCGCTGTTAAATATGTAGAATGTTCTGCACTGACACAAAAAGGTTTAAAGAATGTTTTTGATGAGGCTATCGTTGCTGCACTAGAACCTCCTGTTAGAAAGAAGTCAAAGAAGTGTCTTGTTTTGTAATCCTTTTATATATACATTTATATATATACAAATATACACATTATTATATAATCCCAACTTTTATCTCTTTCTCTCTATTATTATTATATAAATTTATTATTCAATGACTCAAGATAAAAAAAAAAACTATATATACATAAAAGAACAGGGTTACATCAAATAAAAACTAGCAAAAAGTGAATTGATAGTAATACTCGTGATCTTTCTTTAAATAAACTTCTTTATGGTAAAGCTTTCAGCAGACTACTGCTGCTATTATTATTATTCTTATTATTACTACTACTACTACTACTACTACTGCTACTACTTTCACGGACTTTAAAAACAAAATTTATATTCATTTCAAAAAAAGTAAAAAAAAACATGGCTCATTATTTATGTCCGGCTCGAACTAAATATAAGGCTTTTTTTTTTGTTGTCATTGAAGAGAATACAACGACCTGTTTTTTTTTTGTTTTCTTTTTTCTTTTATATACATATATAACAGACAATGTCAACAAGAGTATATATTGGACGTCTTTCTCGTGATGCTACAAAACGTGATTTAGAACGTTTATTTAAAGACTATGGAGAAATTCGTGAAATTAATCTCAAATCTGGTTTTGGTTTTGTTGAGTTTGGTAATGAAAGAGATGCCAAGGATGTTGTTTATGATTTCCATGGAAAAAACTTTCTTGGTGAACGGTAATTATTATTATTATCATTATTCTATTTTTGATTAGTATTCATCTAACAATTTTATACAGTTTGATTGTTGAAATTGCTCGTGGTGCTCGTCGTAATGATGAGAGACGTAATAATGGCAATGACCGGTAACAATAATAATTTTTATTTATTTTATTTTATTTTAAAAAAAATGTATTACGTATAATGTATTTAACTTTATTTTGTTTATAGTCGTCGTTCTCATTATAGATTGATTGTTGAAAATATTGCTCCTGGAACAAACTGGCAGGTACGGAATCGTTCTCTCTTCTCTCTTCTTTATTCTCTCCTCTTTATTTTCTTTCTTTTCCCTCAAGAAAAGAATAGATAAGAGACCCTTCATCTTTCCTTTTTTACACTTTATAAATTATTATCTGACTGGATTTTCTCATCTTCATTGCCGCTGGCTTTTTTAAAAAAAAAATTTGCGGAAATTTCCTCTTCCAATCGAATAGGACCTTAAGGATATGATGCGTAAAGCTGGTGAAGTTACTTTTGCTGATATCAGTCGTGATCGTCCTTCTGAAGGGTAAAAAAAAAAAATTATATAAATTTATACATATACTGACATGGCCCTATAGTATTGTTGAATTTGCTGTTCGTGATGATATGGAATATGCTCTCAAGAAATTGAATGATCGTGAATTGAATGGTCAAAGAGTGACTCTTCGTGAGGTAAAGTTTATCAAATTTTAATAATTTTGTATTTACTAAAATAAATAAATAAATAGGATACGGGTCGTAGTAGTCGTTCTTCTCGTCGTTCTCGCTCTCGTTCCAAGTCTCGCAGTCGTAGCCCTCCTCGTCGTCGTAGACGTTCACCATCTGACTCTCGCAGTCCTCCTCGTCGTCGTTCTAGACGCTCTCCTAGTGCCTCTCGATCCCCTCCTCGTAAGAGAGATAGACACGATTCTTCCCGTGAAGATAGTCGAAGAAGACTTAAGTCTGAATCTCCTGCCCAATCTCCTGATAATCGATCTCAATCTCCTGCTCGATCCCCTGCTCGATCCCCTGCTCGTAGTGAAGGAAGGTAAAGTAAAGATATTTAAAAGGCATTTTTCAAAAAAAAAAAAAAAAAAAATTCATCTGATTAAATTATATTTATAGTGTTGCCAGAGACGATTAAATTTGTAGTGAGTAAATATTAAAATTCAATTATACACACACAAAAGGGAAATAAATTTTTATTGTTTTGTTTTAAAAAAAGTTGTGAAATAAAAAAGGATCTTTTGAAATTTTTTTTTTCTCTTTTTCTTTTCATTTCTCATAATTACCTTCATGCTTAATTACTTGAATAGATTGTAAAAATATATATATATATAAGTAATCAAGTTATATAGTCTGTCATCATAATACTTAATAAAGATTATGATACTAGATATCCATATCAAGCCATCAAGTTACTTGTAAAATCATCCAAAACTAAACAAGTAAACAAATCACCTATTCAAACAGATTACCAAGCAGTTGAATCCACATTAGACAAGCTTGATAGATCCTTGCTTGATTTCACAGTTTACAGAAAGGAATCAAGTATTCCTAATGCAGGTATATATATATATATGTGTGTGTGTTTGTGCATGTTTTATTTATTAAATCTAAGGGATGATATACAGGTTTAGGTGTTTTTTTAGCAACAGCACAAAAAATAAAAAGGGGAACGATTGTCTGCTTTTATCCAGGCACCATTTATTTACCCTCAGAACCCATCTTATTGGCTAGTATTGCTAATCAATATATTCTTAAATGTATAGATGGACTTTATGTAGATGGTAAACCCAAGGGTCTATCACGTAGAATGTATCAATCTATTTATAAGAGAGAAAATTGGCCAGGTACAATTCAGATGAGTGATCAAAGTTGGTTATCCAATGACGATAAAGAATTCATGTAATAAACAAAATAGATGTATGCATATAAACTAGAGGGAAGGACGGGAGATTCATCCACTATTATATATTCATATTGTTAGAAATCCATTGGCTGTAGGACAGTATGTGAATAATGGGGCAACGTCTTCTACATTTAAACCAAATGGTATATAATAGAATATATATAAAAAATAGCTCTTTCTTGTTACTCATATTAACACAATAACAAGTTTGTTATCAAGAAGTAGATTTACCTTTGCAATTTCCAAATCATCTAAGACGTTATATCCCTAATATGTATTGGAATAGTCAAATAGATCCATTCTTAAAAATGCGAGTGATCGTGTTAGTTACACTTCGAGATATAGACGATCAAGAAGAATTATTTTCGACTTATATGGATTCAATGATATAAACAGTAATATATATACGTATACATATATCTATCTTTTTATTAGTTAGTAATAAAAGAAAAAGAGTTGAAATTATTAATAAAAAGTAAATAATACACTACATTCTAAATAAAGGAAATGTCAAGTAACTGCTGTGCCATTTATTACATATATTTACTTCTTCAAAGCTCGCATACTCGTTGTGTTTAAATATATCTGCATGTATGTATAGATAATTCCTATTATTTTAATATATCACAACTGAGGCCCATTCAAGGTAATATTGATGAAATACTACCCCTCTTGTTATTATTCTTTAAATGATAAATTAACTATTTTTCGTTCATCAAGAATAACAATAAAAAGAGAAGAGGGATTGGGTTGAGTCATTTCTATCGTTTATTGATCCTGTACGTTTTTTTTTTTTTTACTATAGTGAGTGGAGATGCCTATTGATAATAAAAAAAAAACCCCATATTTTTATATCTCTACACATATGATGTCCTTCTCAAATAATTGAAAGAATTTACCACCGAAAGTCCCCTGAATTTTACTTGTTTTTTTTCTTTATTAGCACTTTGTAAAAATGTCATGTGTCAAATAAGTTTTTTTTTTTTTTTTTTTTTTTGTTTTAGTTTATTTTATTTTGATTAAATTGTGTTATTATGAATGACATATTATGATTTGTAATATAGATTCTATCCAATTAAAAAGGAATATAAAATTTAATATTGATATTACGTAAGCATATGATGGCTAGTAATTTATTAATAGTATAGTTTTGTTTATTTTAGAAAAAGGCAGGGAATAGATGAAGGGATTCTTTGTGTGTGTGTGTGTGTGTGTATGCATATAATATAGATTTAAATAATACAAATGGGTGTAATATTAAGATGAGATTATTTACAAGCTAAGAACATGATTGTCATTATTAGTACTACTAATAAACCATTTAAAGTATTCATACACACTCCAACTAATAGCAGCACTTGGCATGTTTGTTAAAACTCTTGGTTTAAAGCCTCTAAAGAAACCCTTTAATCCATATCGTTCTTGAATGATCTTTGCTGCCTCTATTAAACCCGATGCATTTCGAATACGTGGATCCGTATTTGTGCCACGAGTCTGTAATAAAGTCTTGACGACATCTAATGGGGTTGTCACAGAAGAAGCAATGGCACCCGCTAAACATCCAGCGATAGCATGTGTTTTAGGGTCGTACTCGCCTCGTGGATTTAATACTTTACGGAAAAATTCATAGGTTGCAAATTGAATGGATTGGAACGGTATAGACATTGTCAAGGTAGTTGGTAAGGAAATGTAAAAGGCGACAAGGCCTTCTTTACTATAGACACGTAAAGCACATTCACGAACAGTTCGATATTCACCCAACTGCATACGTTGCTTTATCACATCAAATGGATTCATCAAGGTATCGTGAGCTAATGTTGCACAAGCACCTGCCGCTGCATTTGATAAAACATGATGTCCCCCTCCTGTCTTTCCTCCAAACGCTTCTTTACAGGCCTCATAGGTAGCAAAATGAATGGCATGGGCAGGCCCAGCCCCCATCACAACCGAATTCACCCCACGCCAAAGATGACGTGAAGCTGTTCTAACGTTCTGAATATTGGCTGTTTCCATAATTGCTGAAGAATGAACATGTCGATGTCCCCCACTACCATTAAATAATTGAGGTCGATTTAATGCAGATGTGGCTGCTGAAGGTATATTAGTAGTAGTAGATTGAATAACTTGCATACGAGTCTATTGTATTCATATTAGTCATCCATGTATTTTTTTTTTGTAACTTTTTCCACCACCCAAATATATATATATATATATATATATATACATATTCATACATTCTTTATTTCTTACTTACTTTAATACTATCTACTGGAAACATGGCACAATGTTCTGCTATGCCTGCAAGTGCACCTGCCATAGCATCTTGAGCAAGAGTAGCATTATCACCAAGAGATTCATAATCATAATCGTCAGACATCTTTATTTATGTACAGAAAGAGAGAGGGGAGTCTATAATTTTTTTTTAAAAATTAAATAAACAAATCTTATTAAAAAAAGAATAAGAAGAAGAGAAAGAAGAGAAATAAAAATAAAGGGGATTATAATGATCTATTTATATATTAAGAAAAAAAAATCTGATTATGAAAAGAAGATTTTTTTTTTCTTATAAATAAATACAAGCCAATCATATTTGATCTGATAAAAGATTTTAAGGCTTATTAACCCGTACACCCCCGCTTTTGTCTTTTGTGTAATTTTGATTATCTTTCTTTTCCCCTTGTCTGTTGACTATCATCAATTAAATTGGATTAGATAAAATAATAACACGATGTATACACATAGATTTAATAATGTAGAATAAGACATGTATAATGTATCATCATCATTTATGACGCAAAGTATAGACTACTTTCAAAGTTATTGTAACAATAACAATAACAACTTGATTTTATAACCCAATCATAGAAGAGTGATGTAAAGTTGAATCATGTAAGATAATCAAAATTTTATTATGTGGCTACTACTACTTTTTTTGTATTTATCTGACAAGAGTCGTATTTTATTTATTCATTCAAAAAAAAAAAGTCTCGTTCTGTATTTCACTTTCTTTTAAATGAGACTCAGTAAATAAAGGAAAAAAAAAAATAAGTTTAGTAATCAACAAAATAAATAAAGTGGATGAAAATCATTCATTTTTTTTTTTAAAAAAAAAAAAAAAAAAAAAAAAAAAAAAACCAGTAGGAAATCCTTACTACATCTTTTATGTGTGATACAGAAGATGATAGTAAAATAATATTTATTATTAATGTAATCGCTTTATAGAATGCTCGTCATCTGAAAAATCTTCTTCTTCACGGTCTCTTTTCCTACTATATTCGTCATCACTTTGACTTGCACCATAATCACTTTCTGTTACTTGTGAATCTCCATCAATATCCACTAATGCTGCATTTAGCCAGTCCTCTACATCTTCTTCTTCTTCTTCTGGCCCTGATTCCCCCTGATGTATTTCTTCTTTTTCTGGTTTTTTTTCCTCTTCTATATCATCGTCACTAAAACTATCATTATAACTATCTTCTTCTTCTTCTTCTAAAAGAACGGCATCTACTTCATCATCTTGCCAATCAATATCCACCTCAAAATCTAATGGTGCTTCTTCTGGATTTTCCACTTCTGAGGCTGCTGATCCTTCTCTTGGTAAAGGGACTAAATAATCCTCTTCGTCTTCTTTTTTCCAATTCCATACAGAGTCCATTAACCAAGCAGGTGAAACAATTTTAATATGACTATATTTTCTAGCTGTATTCACTTTATTTGTGCCTGCCTAGATTTACAAGAACTCTTTTATTAGTTTTTTTTTTTTTTAGTTTTTTTTGTGTTACTTACATTGGCAGCTACAAGATGTGTTACTTTGCCTGTTAGTTCTTTCAAACATGTCGCTCCGAAAGTTGTAGCCAACTTCCAAATAGATGAATCTTCTGCATTACAATGAAGTGGAATTACACCAGAAAATAAAATAAAACAGTCCTTTAAAACCTCTGATTTTAATATTGGTAAAATATGTGCTACATTAGGCTTTTCTATCTTCTTCTCATCTACTTGATTATAAAATTCTTTATGAACAGAAATGAGAGCCTTTTAAAGAAAAGAAAAAAAAATTTATAAGTCATACATCTTAGTATATAAATATAAATGATTACCTTTTCTACAACGTTGAGAATAGTGTCTGGATCATTTGTTTTAGGGGTATAATTGGAATGATTATTACTACTAGATGCTGGTTCTCTAGGTATTTCTTTTGGTAAAGGTACTTCTGTTGTTTCTAATGTTGAATTAGGTTGATTTTCATTATTTACATTATCACCTTGCTTTATATCGATAAGTTCTTGTTGATTTATATTGATGTCATTTATAGTTGAACTGCTACCAGTAGCAATTTTATTTACATTCATTCCTTCTTTTTCTTCCTCTTCATTGATAATATCATTTGTTGGTAAAGAAGAATGTGTAGTAGCGATGATAGGTTGAGTTAGAGGAGGTGCATTAATATCACCAATACCAGCAAAATATTCATATGGTTTGATTTGAATCAGATTAGGTGAATAATCCCAAACATCGGCACGATCATCAAGTACAATCACTTTTGTTTGATCAGATGGAAATAAGCGTTCGAGTCTCTTTTTAGTCATACTACCATTTTCATCGCGGGATAGAATTCTATCCTGAAATAATTTCCCTTCAGGGTCAATTATTTTTGCTACTGCATCAGCATAGGCACGAGTACCCATTGTATAAACATGCATTTCATAATATTTTGATATTTTATTTAAAAATTCTCTTAAACCAGGTCTAAATAAAAAAAGATGTCAATTTGATTTTTTTTCTTTTTTTTTTTCTTTCTTTCTTTTTTTTTAAAAAAAATAAAACAAGTTACCTTAGTTTAATAGTATATTTATTCATACTACCATCTAATGAAAAAGTACTCATGTCTTTCACTTTGTCATTATCTTTCACTTTTTGCTCATCAACCCAGTTTGCAATATGAGGCTCCCAAGCAGCATGTAAAATAGTCTGATCAAGATCAACAATTAATGAAAGTTTTCTTTCTTTTAATAATCGTTTCTCATCCTCTTTTTCTAAGCGTTTTGCCTCCTATCCATACATTTATTAGTATCTATTCATTTTTCATACTTGATAAAACTAATTCTTACTTTATAGCTAACAACAATGCCTGACGAATTATGTGTCATGTCAATATGATCTTTTGGTGCATTTTCATCCCTAAGAAATATATACATTTATTAGTTCAAAGTCTTTCTATTATGTATATATATATATATATATATATGTGTGTGTGTGTGTGTGTGTGTGTGTGTGTATAAGAATTACTCTTCAACTTGTCTACCACAAACAGCACAGAGACCAAAATAGATTACTTCATGTGAACAATATCCACAATCTCTACATTGCCCTGATTCCATTGAATTATGCTGGCAAGTCATTTGATCCTTATTATTATTATTTTTTTCTGATTGTTATTCTTCTTCTTATTATTATTATTATTTTGATACAAAGTTAATTTAAGAGGAGTAAATAATAATAATAAATAAATAAATAAAAAGAAGGAAAGAACAAAAGGAAGGAAACACGCCTATTTCATGTCAGGACAAATAAGTCACGATGAACTGTAATATCAAACTCCGATATTTTTTTTTTTATTTTCTTTTACAGAATGAATGGTGATGTTTATCTATTTTACTATTATTATTTCTAATGTATCTGCTGTCTAAGTATCGTATAAATAGATGCGTATAAATAGTAGATAAATAATGATATACACACATTTTATTATGACACTTCTTTTAATACCCGTAATAATTCACGTTTTGCTGTGCCATTAAAATCTACTTTTTCAAGACCTATTTTAGTTGCAATGATATCTTTTACTCTATTACTAAAATCAACAGCATCCTCATTCTCTTGTGGTGATTGAGGCTGACAATAGACTACTTTGACAGGTGTAATCCATCTTGTCATTCTGTAATACGCATATGACATGAATCCCTTACGTGTATCCCAATATGGATCACCAAAATATCTATCATATCTAATAGTATCATAATAAATGAATCAATAAATAAATAGAATAAATAAATAAATAAAGAGAGAGATTACTTTATACCAATTGGACAGACTTTGGCACCTAATTCAAATGCACCCTTTTGAAAACGAATTATATACTTGTTATTAACACAAGTGCCTTCAGGGAAAATAATCATCGGATTCTTCCAAGTATTAGACAAATGCACATGTTTCTTTAAGCTAATAAATACACATATCGTTATTTACACATTCATTCTCTATAGTCCATTTGATTCGTTACCTTTCAGATAAAATTTTACGTTCTGTTATATTTGACCGATCAAAGGTAAGTGAATGTAAATAGTTTAAACCATTATTTTGTAAGAAGCCTAATAAAAAATAACCAAAAAAAAATATCAATTCATGGACTTTATCCCTCATAACATAGACTTGTATCGTCTATATACATATATATAAAATTACCTAATACACCAGAATGTCTTGCCATAACAACAGCATGAGGAAACTTATTTGCTCCCAATAAAATATAATCCAAATAGGATGTATGATTAGCCTAATAATATATAATAAAACCCTGATTTAATAATAATAATAATAAAATAAAATGAAAAAAAAAGACTCACCACAAACACATGAGGTTCTTTTAATTCAGCTTTTTTTCCAATATAATCTACCTTGACGCCTAAAGAAAATAATATCCCTTTACAATAATATTTAACACATAATGACTTTGTTAAGAAGAAGAAGAAGAAAAAGTTATTATACGATTCATATCAAAAAAAAATCTTTTAAAGAGATTACCACAAAATCATTATTCTTTAATACAACACCAATAGGTAAAGATAGAAAGAAAGCTATTGTAGAAGCAGTCAAGGTCATTAAACGAAATGGAAATAAAACACCGTATCGAATAAGAATACTAGGTAGAGTGGTGATTGATAATAAAAAGCTATTCTTATTTTCTGTGATTGAAGTAAAGCATTTTGAATAGGATAACTTTTACACAAAAAAAATAAATAAATAAATAAAGTATAAATAATATATTATTTAGTTTATCATTACCAATTCGTCTCTGGTATATTCAATATGATGATTGGATCTATAGGTAATATATAACCATCGTTACAAATATATATATATATATACATATACACATAAAAGTAGCCCTTTTTTGTATTTCTTTATTACTTTTTTCTTGATCCTTGAATATAATCATTCTTTACAAAATCTAAGGATTCATTATGTTCTGACTTTAATAGATCTGAAGGATGAAATGTTGGTTCCTGAGGCGGCATTAATTGGCTGGATAACAAGAAGAAATAAAAAAAATAAATAAAAAAAAAAAAGAAAAGAAAAGAAAAAGAGAACAATAATAATAAAAAGGCCGTCTAATAGAAACAACGTTTATCCTTCAAAATTTTTTAAGTTGCCGCCCGTCAACTCCAACAAAGGATATTTGACGGGTTATTATTAACCTAATCTTCGGCCATATTATTGGTGTAGTAGTATTCTAAAGGAAAGAAGGAAAAAAAATAATCATTTGACAACAATAGCAATACCTCTTGTTAAAAAAAAAATGAAAGAAAAAAAAAAGGTACATTTTTATTATCATGTATACTGCATTGTATAAGTCATGGTTATTATTATTCTTAGTATTCAACAAGTTTTATAATCATAAAAAAAAAGAGAGAGAGAGAGGGAGAAAGAAGGAGAAAGAGAAAGAGAGAGAATACATATCAATTAACCTACAATAACCTATAAATGGAAATTGAATTTTTTCTAGTGAAATCTTTCATGATGGCAGGTTTATTTATTTCTGAGCGATTTTAAGCTAACTACATATTACATGAATATGATGGTTTTATTATTTTTATTTTTTTTCAAGGAAAAAAAAATCAACTTGCGAAACCCTTTTTTTTTTTTTTTTTTTTTTTTTTTTTGTTTAATAAATACATAAATAAAAACTTCAGACTTTATAGAAACGCATAATAATGACTTCAACAAATGGAAACTTAAAGAAACACAATATCATCACCAAAGGTAAAATAATGTCATTGACAAGCTCATCATGTTAAACATCCCTTTAGATCTATTAAGTGAAGAGCAACAAGATGTACTTGAAAAAAAAGAGAATAAAATTGAAAAATTACAAGCAGGTACTTTAAAACCAGTTAAATATGGATGTAAATTGACTTTAACACAACATCATCATCATCATTTTTTGTATGTGTGTTCTTTTAGAAATAAATCAATTATCAAAACCATTACTACAATCAGAAAGTTCATGGTCAAAGCATATTACACCTGGCATTTTATCTGTCTTTCAAGATGACAAACATTGGGACGAGATTAACTTGGATATAAATAAAAGAGATGTGAAAGAACTAAAACAGGTTGATGGACAATCTTGGATTCAATTAAAAGAATCTATGCATCTAGAATCTGAAGGTAAAATAATAATAATAATAATATTTTTTTTTTAGATGATTGATTTTAAAGCCAAAATAGATGATAGTTTTTCAGAGAGTGGTTCGCCTATAACAACACAATTAGATATAAAAGATATGAGTATCTTTGGTACGATGCCAATGGAAGAAGATATGGTGGTTGTCAAGTGTAATCATTGTCAGCGTCCCTTGTTGCCTAGCAAATTTAAAGAACATTCAGGTAAAATATGCATTTTATTGATATTCATTATAGGATATTTTTTTTTAAAAAAAAAATGGATAACTAGAGACATGCCTTGGCAATAAAAAGAAATTAGATTTTTTTTCTGATGATGAAGATATGGATACAAAAAAGGATTTGAAAAAGAAAAAGAAAGCAGTTGTATTAGAAGGTATTTTTTATTTATTTATTTATTTTTTTTTTTTTTTTTTTTTTGTAAAACGTAAAAGGTAAAATATATAAAATTTATCTGATGCGTGTGTTTATAGATGAACTAAATTCACCTGTTACTACTGCAAAAAGACCACCTTCAACTTCATTAGAGAAAACAGAAAAGAAGAAAATAAAAAAAGAGAAACAACAAAAAAAGACTACAAAACAGAAAGGTACATAAATATATATAAAGGGGACTTGTTATTGTTATCATTGAATGCATTTATTATGTAGCACCATTGGATTTGGATAAACAGTGTGGCGTTATTCAGGGACCTAATAATTTACCATGTACACGATCATTAACCTGTAAAAGCCATTCAATGGGAGCTAAACGTGCCGTAGAAGGAAGATCACAACCCTATGATGTTCTCTTAGCAGCTTATCAGAAAAAATCTATAGGTAGACCTAATGTTAAAGATCAACTAGCCAAAAAGAAAGGTATTTTATATAAAAGCTTGTTCATTCATATACATGTATATTCATTAAACACTTTTTTTTTTTCTATTTTAGTTGAATCCACCTTTAATCATGGTAATACGGCTAATACTATCACTGCTACTAATACCACAACTACAGCAGGAAAATCAATTAAAAGTCTTAAAAAATTACAAAGTCAATTACAACAACAATATCTTAACAGTGCTGATAGTAAACTATTGATAGTGAATCAAACTAATGATGAATCATTTATTGATTCCGATGAAGAAGTAGAAAATGTGATGCAAGCGTTTAAACAAAGTCGACCTACGCCACTTGCAGAAAAAAGATATTATTTCGTTAAGCGTCGGCGTCAATGTTTTCGTTTACGAGATATTTTAGTAGATGCTATCACACCCAAATTAAACAATACTTATTCACAACGACAGCAGCAACAACAGCAACAACAACAACAACAAAATAATTTTAATACAGATAATAATACTATTTTTAATGAACCTTCTAATACTACATTTTTTTCAGTACGATAATAAACATTTCTTTACCTTCTTATTTAAATTTATAAGAAGTTGTACTACTTGTAGCTGCTCTATTTTTTTTTTTTTCGAGTTATCATCGTTAAGTCTAGTCTAGCCTTCTTTATTGGTTATGTGTGTTTTAAAATAGGTAAATAGGGGATAATTTTAGATTTCACAAGAAGAACAATCTACTATTACGATTTAACTTTCTTTCTTGAAAGATAGATTTTGTGTAAAAAATGTGAGGAGAGGGGGTTTTTTTTGTGTGGGTAAAATGATTCATTTGTTACTCAAGGCTTATAAACTACATGTTAAAAGATATTAACGGCATGTGATCTACACCAAATTTTGTCTTACAACCTCTCTCTCTCCTTTTTTTTTTTTTTTTTTTTTTTTTTTGAGATCAAAATCGAGAGTAGTAGCACGGCCTAATACTGATTTCTAATTGACAATTTAACGTAATTTCAAATTTGATTATTGGAAAAAAAAAAAGACATACTCTAGATATCATTCTTAAATAATGTCTAATAAATAATTTAATCTATATGTTTATCAGTTATTTAAATAGCCTTACGAATCCTGAAATAGAGTAGCTTTTATACAAATGTACAAGTAAGTTAAATTAGAGGAAGTTGGCATTATTATTTATTTCTTACATTCAATTCCTCATTAAATTGGTAAAGAAGTATCGAAGCTCGTATCCAAGAGTAAATATAAAACAGTCATTTCAGAAAGGTAGTTTATATTTTTTTTTCCTTCAATTTTATATAAATATACTGCTTCAATATTAAAACATATTCAGTGGAAACAAAAAATATAATTTTCTTTCTATTAATGAATATGTATCGTATGGAATTAATGAGAGAAAAATAATTATTTGTGTCCATTTGTTTGAATTTCCAGGTTTATTTGTATATAGATGTCTATTGTCTTAACCTTCGATAAACAATGCTTTTAGAGTAAAATACTTTATTTAGACAATAACATTGTCACATACAGGATATTAAAAGGTGTATAATATATAACACGGTTTACATATACATTTATTTGTACATGGAAGTCTTTCAATTATGTATAAATATTTATTTAGGTACGATTGATCATATAATGGGTCCTATAATTTAATGGTCATTTATAACTGAAAGACAAAGCTCTTCTTAACCTAGAAGTAAAATAAAAATAGACGATACTGACATAGAAAAGGCTATAAATCCAGAAAAGCATTTCATCAACTATTACATGATTCAGCTTTTTATCCCTTTTTTTCTTTTTCTTTTTTCTTTTTTTTTTTATGCTACCCAAATATGGGATTTCTAACATTATATGAAAATTAAGCATTATAGGGAGAGAGAGAGAGAGAAACGCCTGTTAGAAGCAAGTATGAATTGCAAAGAAATTACAATTCGGCTAAAGTCTATCAGATATGAATAATGCGCATATTTTATATTAGAAGGGCATAGTGAAGGTGATAAAAGAAACAGGTTTTAGATTTAAAGCAGAGTACATCTTTCACTAGAATAAAGTTATATACAGACTAATTATTGTATTTAGCGTAAGGAAGAGAATAAAATAAGAATTTATCAATAGACAAGAATTGAAAAACTAATATTGACTCTTTTTATAAGAAAAAGGTAGTTTCCTTTTCCCCTCCCCCCTTTTTTTTTAAAAAAAAAATAGCTTATCAAAATACTTTTAAAATAAATGTAAACTTTAATTTAGACACAAAAGAGATATGTTGTAAAATGACAAGCATTTATTTTATTGTAAAATTCATGGAATTATTTATATTCTGTACTCCCCCCCTCTCTCTCTCTATTTCTTTTCTTTACTGCCTTTTTCTATTTTATCTTACTCTTAAAAAAAAAGGGGGGAGGGAGAGAAAGAGATTTTTTTTTTCCTCTAGTATTTATTATTATTGATCTGACTAGAGCAAATTTGATAAATTCAACAGTATCTCGTGCTCATTGGGTCATTGAAAGATTATATATATATAAATATATAAAACTGTGTAATCGTATCTAATTGGAAGATTGTCACATTGATTATATACACAAAAAAAATGTATACAACTAATACATATATTACATATTTATATAGATACACATATATGTATATTTCATTTTAATCCTTTTCTTCTCTTCTCTTTTCTTTTTTTAAAAAAAACCAATACTATTATGTCACAATCCTATCAACAACAAGAACAACAACAACAATACCCTTCTCCAAGGTATACATACATACATACATACATACATACATACATACATACATTTATAATCGAAAATTGTATTGATCTATGTAAAGAATGAATAGTAATAGAATAAATCAAGATGTTACAATACCATTTAGTAATAAAGCAATAAATAATGAGCGACCTACTTTACCGCCTATTTTATCTAATAACACTAGTCGACTATGGTATAATACAGAGGACACTATTACATTATCATCACATCAACATAATAATAGTAATACAAGTAGAATGAATTCTTATTATAATACTACTACTACTACTACATCATTACCACAAATAATGACTACAACTCCAGTTGAATTTATTTTAACACCTAATTCAATATTAGCGCCTTCGATACATCATATTGAAAAAGATATTGATCAAGTAAGACGACAATGATAACAACGGATTTATCACTCATTTTAGTAAATTTAATATTATCTCTATCTCTCCTTAAAATTTAAGGTTATTAGGCATTGTAATAGTCTTGTAGATAACATGAACGAAAGAAAACAGACAATCATAGAAAATGATTTTAATAATCCAACATTAATCCGTCCTTGGTTAGACGATATGATTAATAAAGCAAATGAAGTCTTGAATGCTTTACTAAGATTAAGGAAATATCAGTTAGCTGCAGAATATAGAATACAACATAGATCTAATGATAATGATGGAAGAGTAGATAGATAGAGTTTTTATAGGAATAAACATTCATAATCACTTACTTGTTTTTTTTTTTCTAAAAAAAAAAAAAAAAAAAAAAAAAAAAAAAAAAAATAGATAAAAAATAATCAAGTACCAAAAAATAGTAATAATAGTAATGGAATTATTGCCTTAAATACAAATAATAATAATAGACTTAGAAAAAGAGGAGTAAAGAAAAAAAAATGAATAATATAGAATAAGAATAAAGTCTATGTATTCATATATACATCTCTATATCTATTTTGTATATACATAGAAACGGCCAGTATTTCAAGGTAGATGCCATTCTTGTAATATATCAGAAACACCTGAATGGAGAAGAGGCCCAGATGGTGCTCGAACACTTTGCAATGCTTGTGGTTTACGTAAGCTATTTTATGTATTTATTGTAATCATCACCATTTAACGTATTATCTTATTTAGACTATGCGAAATTATCAAGAAAGAAGAAGGAAGAATCAATCATAAAGGATGATACAAGTATGAAGTGATATTTATTCAATGCAGCATTTGATTATTAATCCATTTGCCCACTCTGGCAAATTCCCATTATACCATTTTTTTATTTTAAATAATAAAGTTACTATCATATCATTTTCTCGTTTAAAAATATAAAAATTTATTATGTTTTAGTCAGATCGCTTAATAAAAACACGCTGTAAATTAGGTGTGATTAGGGTGACCCCAGCGCGTATCGTCATGTCTCCCAGCGAGAAAAAGTACAGAAATACTTTTCCCTTTTGGGAGGTTGATCGTTTACTGGGTCATGAAAGCTATCATCATACTTTCCATATTCTGGAAGATTTGTCTAAAGAAAAAAAAAAAAAAAGAAAAAAATTTTTCAATTTTTCGAGATTTTAATCACATATTTATAGACTAATAGAAGCAGTCATATTATTATTTGTTATTCCGAGAATTAAAAATTTTTTTCTTCTTATATTGGAGGAGTCTAAAAAACACACACACATTAGAACTGCGGCAATACGATTAAAGAATAACAAAAATTTAAAAAACCTAAGTGAGCACATAATACCGGCGTAATGGGTTGCCCGGGTCAGTTCGAGAAAGGATAAAAGTGTAGTAAAAAAAAAAACCTTTTAATAGGCAATAGGGTAAAAAAGAAAGAGAAGGGAAGATATATCAACAAATACTAGATTCAGAGTTACGTAACCAGGTTACAAGTTTTGTACTAAGGAGGGGGAGGGGGGGAATTTCTGGAGGAAGTTTACCATGATGAAGGTAGTCAAGCGATACAGTGTTTACCTTTTTTTTTTTTTTTGGACAAAACGAAAAAGGAATTTAGAAAAAAAAATAGAACTACTATTTTATAAAGACTTCTTACCTGTAAAACCTTTAAGTCATAAGCCCACCGGAGTGAGCTGAGACAACCACATTCGAGGTGGCGCTTTGTCGTTGGAAGATATCTGGACGGCCATTGCCACTCCAAATGGACTTGGCAATGGTTAAACATATTTTTGGAGGCCATGACTTCCCGATTCCAATAAATATTACATTGTTTGCAGATTAATTACTTGATGGATTTCGCGTTCGCCATGCTTGAAATATTCCACACTTGTTTGAAAGCAGCTCCTATTCTTTCCTATGCTTTCATGAAGGGCGTCAGAGTGGTTGCTTTCATATTTATCTCCTGTTTTTCTTCTACTTTAGTTGTATTTTTTTTTTTTTTTTGAGCCGTTGTGTAAAATGTTGACAGCATTTTCGATTGCCCGCTGAGACCCAAAGTGGCTGCACCATCGCAGTCTTGCAGTCTGGAAACTGTAGAAAGCAGATAACGTATCAAAGTGCTGTAGCATATATATATTATGTATGCTTTGTAACGTTCGAGAACTGCAGTTTTTTTTGGAGAAGGTATATGGGTTTCAATCTATTCCACATTTATTCTTTTCTTTCGGTTTTGTTCTAGTCTCTGTCGATTCATATTTCCCATTCATATCGTAATATTCAGCAGATGACAGGCGTCTTAGATCATTCACACCATGGTATGACACATATACATCTTTTCTGTTGGGGTCTACCATACAAGAACGAAAATAGTGATTGTTTTAAGTGCAAAAGATAAGGAAAGAGAAAACAGAAAAGACAAGTCTGTGAAAACTCTGTATAGTTTATTAAAAGAAAAAAATAATACAAACATTGTACAAAAGAAAAATGATATGGAAAAATGATAAGGGCTATTTATATGCTTTTTGCTTGCAAGGTAAGTGATATTAATAGAAGTATGATTTGCTATAATAAAGCATATGTGTAAATATTGTCTGTGTAAATATTGTCTCCTAATAATCCTGCATGCAATAATATACATTTTATCTTTTTTTCTTTTAACTGTCACTGTTACTAAAAATATACCCAATCATTATTTCTGGGGTAAGCAACGCGTTCATATTAATTCACAGTGAATATTCCAGATATAACAATAATACCAATTATTTATATGCTACTATTATTATTATTATTCTCTAAGATGTTATTACATAACAATGTTCAACATTATAAATGTATGTATAATATGTATAGCTTATGTAAGTGATTATGTAATTGAATATAACAGTCATAATCCTATTGAATTCTTATTATTACATAATATTATTTTTTTTAATGCTCGAATACTCTAACAATGACCGTTATTAAAACTGAATATTGTATAATGCACATCATGCTGTAAAGTACAATATACTGGTCTTATTTGAATAACATCTTTATTAGGTAATAAATGATGATTTATGTCTATTAACTTAGTTATAAAAGACGACTACAATTATAACACCAGGCATAGATAATGTTCTGGCGGATCGACTAAGCCATTTATCCCCTCCTATGGAAAAAATTGGGGAGAATATGATCCTTGATAAGTCCAGTAAAATAAAATGGATAGATGTTTAAAAAAATTAGAAAAATCAAAAAGCAAAACGAGAAATTTAAAATAAATTATACAGAGTATAAGAGTGGAGATTGCATGACACCACTAGAGAATGAAAGAAGAGCTATTCTAACAAAAGCTCACGTATTCGAACATTTTGATGCCGAAAGTATAGTAAAGGCTATTCATAATGATGGCTTACATTGGCCACATTTATTAGAAGATGCTGTCAATTTAGTAAAATCTTGTAAAACTTGCCAAAAACATAATATTGTAGAGTGTGATTTCCATGAATTACGTCCCATATATAGTTAATATATTGGGCGACAATTGGTCTTTTGATTTGGCTGAACTATCATATTATACTGTATATAATATCTTATAAATAATATACACCTTATTGAATTCAAATTGTCTTTGATCCAATAAAATAAAATATATAAAATATTAGGAACATATACTCATTGAATAATAAATTTTTTACTTAAAACTTAATCAAAAATCAAAATTGCATTTTTTTTGTAACTTAAAATACGCCCATAACTTTCATTTTAACGATATATAGCTTTGATCCATAGATTCTTTGTCTTGTATGACCAAGGTTTGGTATTAAATATTTATCGTAGAATTCACAAATTTGCCTGTTTGATCATTGTCACAACTTCTAAAGGTTTTTTAGCTCCCTACATTTCTTACCCAACTACCAATATTAAAAGGATTCATATATCTTCTATCATTTTTATCAACTTTGGCCACTAAGTCAGTATCCTTAATCCTTCCTTATTATTAAATTAGTTATTTTTAATGTTGGATAGCTTATTTGATGTATCAGCTATAACAAGTCTGCCATCAGTTTCATACTTTTTTTTTTTTTTTTTTTTTTTTGCGCTATCGATCCTTCTTTGTGTCCTCATTATTAAAAATTTGCTATTTATTTTATATTGTTGTTGTTGTTTTTTAATTCGTTACATTTAATAATATTTTCTTCGTTTGTCAATTCTTTGCGTATTCTTTCTTCTATTTCAAGTCTTTGTGTATAACCAAACTAATTTCCTTACTGTTACATATTATAATTTACAAGTATTCTGTAACCACAACAAGTATGACAGTAGTTCTAAATAAATAACGTGTAACTTTTTATAGCAATTGTACTACACAATACATATTAACTTTAGAGCCCATCCTTCCTTCTTTTTCATTTTTTTTTTATTTTATATGAGAAAAAAAATTATTGAAGAGGAAGTCCTTTATAGTGTAGAGGTGGATTAGATTCTGTTCTTGTTTGCTTCTACTACAGCCGTGTTACTCCCAGGAATTCTCTCAATGCTGCGGGCTTTCCTCTCTTGCATGGTAGGAAATTACCCCGCGATTTAACAACATCTTTTTATCGACCTCCATTTGAAGGCCTGGTGTTGAACATTGGATCCTGGAAGGTAGCATGTTATCATTAAAGCTCAGAACTAACCCCGATTTTATTATTTAATCACTCCCATCTACAGCTAACAAAGTTCATCTCTCCATGATCGCCGCTTGGCCTACATAAAGGCGCTGCCCTTTCCGATCAAGCTATTTTATTTACCTCAAATTTTTTCTTTATAAACCCAAACTTTTAGGTGTAGTTGCCGAGTTGTGGTATTCAAAAAAAAATAAAAATAAAAAATATTTCCCTTTTATGCATGCATATGCTATAATATCACATCATCAAACAATTTTTTTATAAGAATTCAATGACCATCGAAATAAATAGGTATAGTCAGAGTTATTAAATTCTAGACTTAAAGTATCTGGGCAAATAATATAAAGGAAAGCGACTTCAACTTATTTATGTATTATACTTCTTCATGTTTTATAAACTTAAGGAAGTTGGTACACTCTACTGACAATACTAAGTAGGATTATTCTGTCGTAACTAATACTTTTCTAATGCTTTCCTGTTCTTAGATATTCTTATATAAATACCTAACTGTTAAAATCATAGATAAAACTGTGATATTACTTGTAAAATATCAAATAAAAAATATTATAAAATGAAAATAATAAAAAGATAAAAAAAAAAAGTCAATGAGACGGAACAATAGTTCTAAAGTCAATCATTTTTATTTATGAATTTAAATTGATGAGTATTTATAAGAATTGTTAAAGAAGTCTAAGATAAGATTCGAATCAAAAAAGTGTTAGTTACGACCGAATAAGGTATGTTGTTGATAATAAAGTGTTAGAAGTTTTAATATTATTTGATAAAGTGGATCAGAGAATTTTTCAGGGGAATCTAGATAGAATTCCTTGATCCACTTGTTTAATCAAGGAACATGACATTCTAAGTCAGTTCATGATATTTATAACTAGCATTTATCCTATCTTTCTCTTTTCATTGAATAAACTACTTCACTGATAAAGGATAGTCTGATATTTGATATCTTGTAGCAGGACTTAGCCGTTAAAGCGTTATACAAATCATTTATAATTCTATAGGAGGCAACTCATAATAATAATAAAAAGGAGAGTGAGAGAGGGAAGATCTATCCGAAGTGTAACAAAGACAAATAGGTTTAATTATGCTCTTCCATGGAAAGCATTGCACCTATTAGACCGTTTGTTTATGTGAAAAAAAAATTTTTTTTCTTCTCCTATTTTTATTTCACACTCTCGTTTTTGTTTTTTCTTTTTTTCTTCTTCTTCTTTTTGTTAAAGTGAAGTTTTGAAGATATTGGTCACGTTAAATAAACAATCTTTAGTGAAGTTTTGAGGATATTGGTCACTTTAAATCAACAATCTTTAGTGAAGTTTAAAGACATAGGTCACTTTAAATAAAAACAATCTTTAGTGAAGTTCTAATGATGATGGTCACTTTAAATAAACATTCATTAATATCGTTGTGAGGATAATAGTCATTTCTATTGTCCAATATCGAGAGTATGTTTCATTTGTAGTTTTCGCGTCTCTCGTTAAATAAAACTGTGAAAGGAAGCACATAATGATCAACCTCCACGATTGGTTGCTTCTGGAAACAGTAGCCTTTTTTATTATATAATGAAGCTACTGGCTAATTGGATCATTACCCCTTTTTTATTATTATTAATTAAAAATGAAAAAAAACACACATATTATCAGTAAATAAATATCTATTTTTAAAACTTTTGTATAATAATGAATCTAATCATTGACGACTTGTAGAAGAAGGGTCGTCTAATGATGTTTAGAAAAGAGTCAAAATGAGATTTGTAGATGTTTATGTACTTTATTTATTGTCCTTTTTATTTGGTTAATGAGTTTATAGAAAGGTATAATTATGAAGTATATTTTGCTTTCTTACCTTAAAAAAAAAGGAAGGGGCTGTTTTTATTATAATCATACTTCATGGATATATCTTCTTATATTTTAAATAAAAGATAGCAACGTTAATTTAGCTACTATGATTATATAGAACAACTAGCTCAAAATGCTTTACTTTTTTTATTTCATTTTGATGCTGATATTGGCCCCATAGGTTTAACCGTAATGGGCCAAAACCTAGTGTTAAATATGAACAATCATGATTTTACAGTTTGTGTATATAACAGAGCTGCTTTCCAAAATAAATCCTTTTTTTTTTTAGGTACCCAAATCATAAGTGCACATTGCATTGAAAAGCTTTACTTAAAATTAAAACGCCCAAGAAAGATAATGTTGTTGATAGAAGCAGGCACAGTTGTTGACTCCTTTATTGAGTTACTTCTGTCTTATCTAGATCAAGATGATGATAATTCTTATTTTCTAGATTTTATTCGTCGTGATAAGGACGTTAGATATAAATGGTATTGTATTTGTTGGTTCTGGTGTTTTAGTAAGTGAAAAAGATCTCTCATTGATGCCTGGTGACGGTCATTCAAGGATATGGTCTATCATTCAATCTATCTTTCAAGCTATTGCCGCTAAAGCTTCTGATGTCTCTCCATGTTGTTATTGTATTATTAATAAATCAAGAAGTGGGCATTATGTCAAGATGGTTCACAGCAGTATTGGTAAAAATCGATTCAAAGAAAAGAAGGAAGGGTGTATTTTTTTATAATAAGTTAATTGTAATATGTATACATATATTTATAGAATAAGGTGATTTCCAGTTAATCTGTGAAATTTACCTACATATTATAAAAGACTTTAAGGAAATTACAGTTACTTTTGAAGATTGGAACAGAGATGAATTAAACTCTTTCTGTATTGAAATTATACGAGGTATTCTTCGATGGTGAACATCTCGTGGAAAAGATTTTTAATACACAACGTTATCATCAATTTACTCCAACTTTGATCTTCCTCGACATCAAATCAGTTTATAATACTGTTGACCGATCCTATATATGGCGAAAATCTTCAACCTTTTGCACCAACATTGTTGCTTGGTATTTTACAGAATTTATTTGATGATGTACAGATTGAAGTTCTACTCGATAATACGGTATCCTCTCAATTCTCTCCGGTTACAGGTGAGTTACAAGGCTCCATACTATCCGCATTTTTGTATTCTATCTATATTAATGATCTACCTGAACTCCTAAGACCACAGCATGCAATCTCCTATGCTTTCTCTGATGTCGTCCAATCTGCTACAAAGTTCACATCTCTCCTCTACGCAGATAATGTCGTCCTGATCGCCCCAGCAACTGAAATGCACTCACTCCCGCGAAGCTGTGAGGACCATAGCTATCATGTGGGCTACTGTTGGAGTCCGTCCAAATGCGTCGTTGTTGCGCCTTCCAATGATGATCATCCATATTACCTATATAATACATCTCTACCTCGTGAACCCTCTTTTCCATACTTAGGCATTCCTATAAAAGCTGGTGGTTCTATTGATACCTGCTGCTCTTGTTAAACAAAACACTGCTAAAGCGCAATTTTCAATGAACCAGATAACCGCCCTCAATGTCAACTCAAAAGGTTTCAGCTGTCTCCTTTCAATTCGTTTTTATGTCCAGATGATCAGATCACAATTGGAATACAGCCTTGCCATCGCTGCCCTCAACGGTTCTCACTTTAAGCATACTAGAGGCCAACCAAAATGAATGTCTTCGTCGCATGTTTGGCACCTCCCTGTGGTCCTCTACTAAAGTGATGCTTCACATGATCCACCAACCGTCGATGATGAACCGATCCATAACACTCTAAACAAAATACCTAGCACGGTCCATAAATTTACCTGATGATATTCTGCTCTCCAAATTACTATCCTACTTGGAGACGTCTGCAGGCCACTCACAATGGTACAAGATGACCAAGAACTCTTTATGGAGAGAATGCACCTGCAATTTGGATGGCCTTACTAAAAGCAAGTTTAAGCTGGCTACGGCATGACTTTCTACAACAATACCATGACACACTTTGCACTGGCCCAAAATACTAATCTGCTTGCCACTTGTTGTCCAACGGTGACACTAGATCCTCTCCTTTGGTTGCTCGATGTCCAAAACTCAACACAGTCAGGTTATACATTGGCTACCTGGTGGTATATCTTGTCCCTATATATACCACCCTTTCGAACATTTTACTCGTTGCTATGCCATCATTTGTCTCTTCACATGCATCATTTGCTGTTATTACCGACGTCGATCGAAGATTCTCTCTCTTTCTTGCTGAATCTTTTGCCTACTAAAAAAAAAAAAAAAAAAAAAAAAAAAAAAAAAAAAAAAAAAAAAAAACTCTAGAGAATTGTAGTGGCATTATATAAAAGTCTCATATCAACTATAGTTAATCGAAATAGGCCTAGAGGAGGAAATAGATGTTATCCTACCAAACATACTTTAAAGTAAGCTTACTGACAAATTATGTACATCTTTTATGGATAAGCATACCCTTTTTTCTTCTTCTTCTACTATTCATTTCATGTATTATTAAACTTGAAGCAGACTATATATACCATCTGGGATATAATTATCTCCATATAGCAAGAAGATCTGAAAGGAAACTTTAATAGTAATAAAAGACTTATAATGTGTCATACAATCTTGTATATGTATATATATCACTTATATACACGCTTTTCCTTTTTCTCTTTCTTCCTTTCATTACATATAATTTATCAAGTAATAATAGTCGCTCACACTTGGAGAGTAAATTACATGTCATATTATTATTATGATTATTTTTTATACTCAGTGATTAATTTATTACTTGCTTTTTTTTTTTAAAAAAAAAAAGACATATTTATTCTGTTGACCAAGAGCTCAAAGCAATTATTTTTTATTATCTTTTTTTTTTTTTTTTTTTTTCTAGTTCTACTTGAGCATTCTTTTTTCTATACCTTTTTATTATTATTATTAGCAAAACGCGTTGTTATATATCCCTTTTTTTATAAAAAAAAAAAAGAAAAAAAAAAGAAAAAAAAAAAAGAAAAATAAAATCAATGATGGTTGGTCAAAAGAGATTCATCAATTTGAAATTAACTTCCGAGATTATTGAAAAGCTGACAAAACAAAAATCAGTTTTTATTGAAGCTTCAAATCAGGGAGAACTGGTAGGTTATAATTGATGTCGATTTTAAACTAATAAAAGGGAAACTTACTTATTAATGTAGGAGCTTGTTATGAAAGATGTAAGAATTAAGATTAATGAGAATAAAGAAGAAAAGAATGCGACTGCTATTTATTATAACAACAATTCAAGTACACTTCATTATCTTGGTAATGCTATTCCTACAACTGTCGAAAAAGTACAAATTAAAAAGTTAGAAAATGTAAAACGTAAAGATAATATACCCAATGTAACAAAACCATCACCATTAATAAAAGCAAAATCAAATGTACCATCTACACCTTCACGTGCATCGCAAAAACAATCTTTTCCAGAAGAAAAATATAGTTTAAGGATGCGTATCTTGCAACGTTTGGCTTTACATCCTTGGTCTATTAATGAACTTGTCAAATCACTTAATCGGACACAACATGAAAAATGTGATCAATTAGAGATAACAGATATCCTTGAAAAAGTAATAGTCATATAAATATATGTATAAAATAGATGGTGAACTTACTTATTATTATTTATTAGGTTGGAATTCCTATTAAAAAAGATGAAAGAAAAAAATTTTGCTTAAAGCCAAATTTGTACAAAGAAATTAAAATATGGGATTGGCCATTTTATAATAATACAGATAAACATACAGTAGCAGATAATACAAAAGAAGCTTATGATTTATTAAAAATATCAGATTCTGACCCTGATCGATCTAATCTATATCATCCTGATTCAAAGTACCAACCAAAGAAGCCATCTCCTGTCATCATTAGGAATCATACCCCACAAGATAATAAAAGTAAAGGGAGAATGACGCCCAGCTTTCATCCACTTAATGCATCACCTGTATTCACATCAACTACAATCGATCCTCAAACGAAGCCAAATCATAGTATAAAAAGAAAACGTTCACCTTCACCTGCTCCTTTACAAAATAAGAAGCCTACTCTAAAGACATTACCTCAAGAAATGAAACAAAAAATTGAAGAAGGTATATCTTTTTATATAAAAAAATATATATTTGTATATAATTTTATTCTAATTTATAGTATAGAAATAAATAATTCAAAGATAAAAGTAGAAGAAAGGAATCAATTTCCTATAGAAAGAAATTTATCCATATCATCTACTTCCTCTTCATCCACAATAACAGCTAATAAAGTAGTAGTAGTAGTAGCAGCAGCAGCAGCAGCAACAACATCAGCAGCAACACCAGCAACAACAGCTCTAATACCTAATAGTATAAAACCAATCAAAATCCCTAGCCAACGAGCATTTAGTGCATACTGTACTAAATATGAAATAGTTCGTGATGAATATAATAGAATTAAGCAATACCTTATTGAAAATTATCCAGATTATATAAAAATTCTTCAGAATACTGATCAGCCTACTGGATCAAAACGATCTTATCATGATCTTAAAGCAGAATATCAAACTCTTATTAAAGAAAAGTTCTTGAAGGATGCTAAAGAAGAGAGATTTATAGAAACAGAGAATTTAGTGGAAGAATGTAATAGAAAGAGAAGAAGATTAAATTATATGTGGACGACTATAAAGCAAAATATTGGGGATCATCGCTATAAGGTTCCTAAAAGATTTTGTTTGTAAATAAAATGCTTCTGTACATAATTCTTTTTATTATTATTATTACTATTATTATTGGAATTCAAGATACTTTTATAAATGATAATAAACATGACTCAAGAATCTCGGAATACTCTTCTCTGGTCATGGATATTATTCACTCTTATTTTTGACTATTCAGTAGATAATAATGCAGCAACAAGAAGCTGTAAACTCCGTCAGTGAAGCAGCAGGTAAGAAAAAGGAAAGAAAAAAGAACTGCAGTAGTAATAATTCATTATTATCAACTATACATAATAATTAGATAACTTGACTTGTCCCTGCATATTATTTGGATTTCCTCTTTCTCCCTTTATTCACATATTAAATGCATAATATAAACGAAATCATTTAATGATCTCACACACACACACACACACACACACTTTCTCCCCTTTTTCTCTCTCTCTCTATCGTCTTCGTTATTATATATATTTCATTTAAACTAATAATTATATTAAATACAACTATTTTTATTAAAAATAAAATAAAGTCAATTTGTAAAAAAGAAAATGAATAAAATAAGAGTAAATATAAAAATTATTTAGTGTAAGTGAAATAAATATGCATTATTTAATAAATATAAGGTATCGATAATAATGAAAAAGAGGAAGAAGTAGAAGTAGAAGTAATTGAAGAAGAAGAAGAAGAAGAAGAATAACGTCTACTAAAAGACCAAATATTAGATGAAAAAGCAGATTTCCAAGGATTTGTATCCACTGATAGAGGAAAGATTGGATTCAGTACTTTCTTTAAAGTGTCGGTTGAAAAGGGAGACGCGTGATGTTCATCATGTATAAATGTACAGCGAACACCGTATAAACAAGTACCTGTTGAATGAAAGGTTCGACAAATTTGTGTCTTGTATCGTACATGACGCTTTACACATCGAAGCTCTTCTTGACCATGAGCAAATCTACATTTTTTCCCATACCTAATGTATTCCATAGAGTCTACTTTAAATATGATTTGTCCTTTTATTGCTATTATTATTACTATTTACCTGCATTCACCGATTTCTTGCCAATTTCTACATAACTCAGTTTTATAGAGCTGATCTTTATTTAACGAGCTCATATTATAAAAGAAGAAGATATAATAAATAAATAAATAAATAAAACACAAACGAGACCAAAAAGAAAAAGAAAAAAAAGGGCAATTTATAGTTTTTTTTTTTTTTTTAAATGTTTTTTTCGAACCGCCAAATTTGAATTTCAATAACAAAAAGTGATTTTTAAGATTAAACCATAAACAAGGTTATTTTTTCAACTTAACTTTCATTTATTACTAGATTTTTCCTTGTAATTTTTTTTATTTGTTTATTTATTTGTTTAATACTAAAGAAACGTAAATACTAGAAAGTTTACTTTTTTTTTATTGTCTATTCAATTTTACTTTTCTGTATTTATACAATGAACACAATAGCCTAATAATAAATTTAACTATAATAAATCTATCCTTAATAGCAAATGTTTTTTTTTCTTGGTACTTTTAACTGGTATCAATTTTGGAAACGAATGATAAAATAAGTAGTTTTTATATAATTAGACCTGAGAATAATATGAAAATAGTGTCCAAGTCTCAATCTATACTCTTAAATATCGTCATGTCCTTCTTATAATTATTGAATGTTGCATAATAAACATTACAGCCTTTTTGAAGGACAAATTAAAATTCAAAACTTTTTATCCACAGTAGACAGGTTTTTGCACAATCTGATCTAGTTAATAGCTGTTAAAAATAGTAACTGTATACATTTCCCTTTCTCGGTGAATTCTTTTTTTTTTTTAATGTTTTGATTCACAATACTCTTCTCCCTTTAATAAATTTAAAAAAGGAGGAGAAGGGGGGAGTAGAAGAATGGTTCAAAATAGTAGTTTACAACTACAACTGTGAATGGCATCAATCCAAGCGGTACATTTTTTTTATCATAATGAATTATGATAAATAAACCTTTCAGGCTATGCGTATATATTATATTATTAAGAAAATACAAAACTGTATTCATAGAACATAATAATAGGGCATACTAGATTACTCCTTTTAATTAGACTGATTTCAATGAAAGATGTATGTCTCTGTATATATTTAAAAAAAAATCTTGACATAAAAAAATCGTTATATTCAAAATAATAGACTGGTTTAACCATATATAAAATTTAATTCTCATTTGCCTTCTCTTTAAAGTTACAAAGTTTTAAGATGGGAGAATAGATCGTAGGAGGAGTATTTTTCTCATTATTAAAAAAAAAAAATGAAAACAGTGGATGTAGGATATAACTCTGCGCTCCTCATTTATCTATCGTTAGTAATGTAAATACATATTGGGACTTGGCTGCTGCTTTTTTTTTTATAAGAGAATACATATAGTTCAGGTTTACAACCTGTTTCTTGTACGTTAACTATTGTGTTTTATAAACTTGATTTATACCCTCATATCACACATATTATCTTTTGTTCACTAGCATCACCTTCTGAAGTTTAACTTTAACAAGATATATTTTATATCTATCCGAAATTGTTTGATTTAAGCTTAGCAGTCTTATAAACCTTAATGACCATTGCCTTAGTTCTGCCAATTTTAAACAGAGAGATCAATTTGTACTACAAACCATGGATAATAAAAATGAAGGATCAATTCATGTACATCCATTGTTACATAATATTAAATAATTGAGTTTAACTATTCAAGCATCTTCATTACCTAACATTTATGTTCAAAACATAAATTTACTTGTTACAGTGTTATCAGAATTCGATCGAATAAAATAAAATAAAAAAGTATGCTTAGATATCAAAAGCTTAAATAAAACTGTTAAATTCGAATTATTCACCTTCAACAGCACTCCTTCTATTGAGTGTCCTTAAAGAACTATTCGTTTAATATATTTATCATTAGGAATTTATGCAACTTGCTGAAAAAAATAATTACATAATATTATTATCTTTTCTAAACTCTTTTATATATATGTATATGTATATAGTATGTCAAAAAAAAATGACATTATATACTCTCTAAATAGATTATAATGATTTCCAAGCATTAATAAGAACTTGAACTTTGTCTTCTTTACGGACTGCCACTCGAATAAACGAATTACATTGATATCCAGGTTTACCACTTCGAACAGGTACACCTGCTTTACGAGCCAATTCTACGGCTCTAGCAGCCTTCTCTTCATTCTTCATATCTAACCAAACCCAACTCAAAAAAGGTTCACCATGATACTCCCATTCATCAAAGCCTAATGACTTTAGCTGATCAATTAAATAAGCTCTCATGCGTCCTGTATTCTTCCAAGTCTCATTCAAATAATCTTGATCTTCTACCACTTTCTCAACAAATTTTAGCGCAGGTCCATTCACTGACCAAGGTACCTGTATCTTTCTTAATGCTTCACAATGTTCAACAGTAGGACAAATAACAGAGCCAATTCGAAGCCCTGTACATGACCAAATTTTTGTCCAAGAATGCATAACATGGATAGAGATGGCTTCAGTTTCATACATTTCTCTGATAAATTCATGTTGTGATATAAGTGAATCATTTCTAAAATCGGGTGAATGCCATGGTTGCATGGATTCATCTAACAGCCATTCAATTAGTACATTCTTTCTTTCTTTCTTTTTTTTTCTTTCTTTCTTCAAAACACACTTACCAACGATGACACAACCTCCTGGCTTTACATTATTTTTAATCCATTCCTTCAAGGGTTCAATAGGGAAATAATCACCTGTTGGATTGCATGGATTAACGATGCAGATCATATCCACTTTTTCAGGGTTTGAAGGGTCCAAAATTTTGAATCCATTTGTTTCAGCACTACGTTGATATTCTCTATACTGTATTAAACAAATAAATAAATTCCAAACTGAATAAGCCCTCTGTCAAATTTAAAGAATAAAATGACCAGTCATCTTTCTCTTTACCTGAACATTCCATGGACTTCCTTTCCAAGTAGGCAATTGAATACCTTCTCTTGTAAACATCAAAAGTGCCTTTCTCACTACTAAATCAATTAATTCAGAAGCTCCATTACCCATCAATAAACGACCATTGTATTTAGCATAATCAGAGCCCCATAAAAATTTTGCTAAACATGATTTCGCTGGTTCTTGATTAGCAGCAGGATAATGATGTATATCATAAATCTATTCATCCCCCAAAAAAAAGAAAGAGAGAGATAAAACATGAATAAATGAAAACTTCGCCTACCCCATCCTTTTTTTTTTTTTTTTTTTTTTTTTTTTGCTTTACTTACGGCTTCTTTTGCAGCTTCAAGTGCTTTATGAGGTGTACCAAGGTAATTTGTTGTGACGCTAAAATCTTCTACAAAATTATCGATAAATCGATGTTCTTGACCTCCGTGAAATGTTTGTGTCTTTGAATCCCAAACTGTATTAATATTATTTTCTGTGTATACCATGATTTAAAAGAAAAAAAAAAGGGGGAGGGGGGAAATAATAATAATGATAACAAAAAAAAAAAAAAAAAAAAAAAAAAAAAGGAAAAAATAAAATAAAAAATAATAAATTATTTTTCTTAAATAGTTATTATATTGGCAACGTGGAAGTCAATTAAACGTAGTTCGGTTATCAAATTTATTAACTTTCAGTAACACATGGTATTTCTTTTCCCCCACTTCACCCCAAAAAAAAAAGGGGGAGAGAAGGGCAAAAATAAACTTTCCTTATCTTTTATTTATATCCTTAAAGAAGCGTAAAAAAAAAAAAGAAAAAAAAATGCTATTAAAGTATTCAGAAAAAACTATAGAGGGGTTTAAAAGAATAATAAATAGGATACTTTTTATTTTATTTCGTTAATAAGGAATGACAATTGCACAAAGACTATTTTGTTACACTAAATAAACAAATAAACAAATAACTAAATAAAGAAGCCCTCTTTTATTAAAAGGACCAGCTCATTGGTGAACGCTTCCTTCTCATCCTTTAATACATGTTGTAATGTAAACAATAAAAAAGCATGAGATAGTGAAGACTAATCTTAAATAACTATTGGTTTATAAATGAAGAATAATTAAAAAAAAAAAAATAGTTACTATCATGACAAACTCACACTGTTCCTAAGATGAATGCTGCATTTATTATAAACTACCATGAAACAACTCCAAGTATTATATGCGCGTATATCATTTATATCAATAAAAAAAAAAAGGGAAAGGGAAAGGGAAAAGGGAAAAGGTGAGAATGCTTCAAGATGACATAAGCTTTTTTTTTTTTTTCATTACATAAATGATGAACTTATAACTTTATTCAATTATCAAAATTTACAAAAGACATATTATATTTAAAGTATATATGTATACACACACACACACATGTATATATATAAAGGCAAAGGAAAAAAGTGGAACAAATATCAAGGCTTGAGGAGGAAAGAGGATATATTTATAAACTGACAGCACATAATTTACCGCTATCATCGATCAATTTACCTTCATCTTTTTGCTGCTCATTAGATGAAGCGGACGTTGTTGTTGTTGTTGCTGCTACAGCAGGTCCTTCAGTATCATCAAGTTTAACAAAGTCATTATTGTCCCAGTCAAAACCATCAAGTCCCAAGTCAATACCTGTAGTAGAATCAAACCAAGAAGGTTGTAAATCATTAACAGCAATAAGATCATCTTCTTTTTGTAATGTGGACGATTTTGCAAGTAAACTTAAATCTGGGGTACCAAATGTTTCATCCTTATATCCTTCTTTAAGAGCAGAAGAATAGCTATCAAAGCTGCTATTTGATACTTGTTGATTATTATTTGAATTAGGATTAGGTGAATGTTGAGAGGATGTTGTAGTAGTATTAGGTTGGCTATTTAATATAGCATTAGGAGAAAAATAAAGAGACATAACATCTTCACCAGGTTGAATACCAGGATGTAAAGTTACAGAAGGTTGAACAATCATTGTATTGCTACTATTAGTTGTAGTAGTGGGTATCTGACTGTTATTGGTTTTCTTTTTATTAGCCTTGTTACTTTCCTTAATTGCAGAGGCAGTAGCGGTATCATTATCACTTTCTTGTAATGCTTGTTGTTGCATTAATTGTTGCTGTTGATGTTGTTGTTGTTGTTGTTGCTGCTGCAATTGCTGCTGCTGCTGCTGTTGCTGCTGTAATTGCTGCTGCTGCATTTGAAGTTGTTGTTGCATGTGTTGTATATGTTGTTGATTATGTAAATGTTGTTGTAAAGTAAAGTTTTGTGAATCATTTTCTGGCTTTATAAACACATGATTCATACTAGGTGACTGAGAGGTAACAACCGATACAGGAGTGGGAGAAACAAAGGAAATATTTTGTTGTTGTAAGAATTCATGATGATGATGCATAGCAGGAGAGGCTTGATGAGATGCCGATAACTGCTGCTTTGCTGCTTCAATATAATCATTTAAAACAGATTGAATTTGTTGTTGTTGGTGAGGCATCAGTTGCATCTTGTTTTGAGCTGCTTGTTGCAAGATCCAATTGCATTGCAAAGCCTTATGAGGTAAGAGATTAGCAATTTGAGGAGGAATACCATTGCTAACAGCTGCCATATAGAATGCTTGAGATTGTGCCTGATGTTGACTTAAAGGCATACCAGCTTTAACAGGTATTCCACCGCTATGAGGACCCTCCATGTTAGATTGGTGAGGGAAATTTATAGTGTTAGGATAATCAGATGGAGATAGACTAGTACTAGGATGTACATTATTAGCAGGCGCAGGGCTATTCACTGAAGAAAGAGAGATAGTCTCTTGTTGATTCTCAGAAGGAGATACTTGCTGTTGAGCAAGTTCAGTTAGTGTAGGCATAGAGACTGGTACAGAAGCTGGTGTGGATACTGGCACAGAGACAGGTGTAGCAATGGGTGCAGTAGCTGAAGTAGAGACTGACTCAGATACCGGTGTAGATACAGATATTTTATTATTAGCTGCCGCCGTCGCTGCTGCTGCTGCTGCCGCTGCTGCTTTCTTTTCAGCCGCTTTGCCATTTTTACGGGTTAAAGTAGGGGATGTTCCAGCAGCACGTGTGCCACGGAGTTTCTTGGTAGGAGGTAATTTTAAATCGATACTTTCACGTTTAATACCTAAAGAAGAATTACTAGTTGATGCCTCAGTAGCTGCAGTAGGCGTGTAGGATACAGCAGTATTATCATTGCTATTATCTTCAGAGGCAACGGGTTGACTTGAAGAACCAGACATGAGAGGAGATGAGTCACTCATATTTTCTTGTTGATCATGCTTACGTTTCTGAGGCTTGCGAGCTTGTTGAGTCTGTTGTTGGGCTTGCTGTTGGACTTGCTGTTGGGCTTGCTGTTGGGCTTGCTGTTGGGCTTGCTGTTGGGCTTGCTGTTGGGCTTGCTGTTGGGCTTGCTGTTGAGCTTGTTGTTGAGCTTGTTGTTGAGCTTGTTGTTGAGCTTGCTGTTGAGCTTGCAATTGGGTATGTTGTTGTTGACGTAACATATTCAATGTTTGTTGATTAGGACCACCTTGTTGATGCGACACCATAGCTTGCTGAACTATACCTTGTTGTTGAGCTATGATTTGGTTATACATAGGATTACCTTGTTGTTGAGGAATACCTTGCATGCCATGTTGATGAGCTTGTTGCATATGAACAGGAAGCATGGCCATTTGCTGTTGATTGACCATAGCATTATTATTCATAGCACCAGCCATAGCATTCATTTGTTGTTGTTGTTGACCTACAGCATTACGAACCCAATTGAAGTAACCATTAAATTGATCGCGTAATTTGAGAAGATTTTCCAAACTAATCAGAAATTTGTTCTGAGGGAGAGCTACCCATTGATCTTCAAACATATATTTCATAAGGATAAGACGACGTGTAGCTTCAATATTGCTTGTCATAGCCAAAAAGACAGGCAAGAGATTATCAATCTTATCATACATGGACTTCATTTGAGACATGAGTTCACGGATGGCCATCTTGTCATTTTCAGACATGTCCTCAATCACATTTGCATGAACTATCAAAGAAAAAAAAAATGGAATTAGCACTTGTAAATATTATGAAAAAAAATACTGGCTGCTATATTACCTCGCCCTTGACGTATATTTTCGTCAATCTGTCTAACAATACCAGCAGCATTATTTCTTTGCTGTATAGTAATAGGTCTAATACCGGTATTAGGATGCATATGATGTTGTTGATTCATTATTGGCCTTTGCATAGCATTTGGAGGAGCATGGATACCTTGCTGTATAAATGGTTGAGGTTGTTGTTGTTGAAGGCCAGGACCTCGGTTATTACCAGCAAGGCTATTGTTCATTATGTTTTGTTGTTGTAATCTTTGCATTAAGAGCTCTTGATTCATCATCATCTGTTGATGATTATTATTAGCAGGAGAAGGACGCACTATATTTTGGTTAGTCTGTTGTTGCTGAGTGGTAGCAAGGGTAGCAGCAGAGCTTATAGGAGTAGATGAAGGAGAAAAAGCATCCATTTGATTAGGGTTCATGCTTGAGGACATATTGACAGAATTAGAATAATTGATATCAACCTTATTTTGTTGTAAGGGAGAACCAGTGGAGATCATATTATTATTAGAAGCAGAAACATTTGTACCTGAAAGATCCTGTTGCTGAGATTGAGGTCTAAAGTTTCCGTTATTCACAGCACCAGTATGCATTATGACACCATTATTCATTATAGGTTTGCCAATATTAGTACCAGGATTCATTGCCATATTCATTAACTGCTGTTGAGTCAGTATATTTTGAGTCTGTGGAGGTAAGAAGTTTTGTTGTTGATGAGGAGAATTTTGACTTTGTTGATTTTGTTGTTGCAACAAGTGAGGTGGAGCAGTTGCCTGTTGTTGTTGTTGTTGTTGTTGTTGTTGTTGTTGCTGTTGTTGTTGTTGTTGCTGTTGTTGCTGTTGTTGTTGTTGCTGTTGTTGTTGCTGTTGCTGCTGTTGTTGCTGCTGTTGCTGCTGTTGCTGTTGCTGCTGCTGTTGTTGTTGTTGTTGTTGCTGCTGTTGTTGTTGTTGCAAAGCCATTTGACGAGCCAAATACATTTGAAGCTGTTGAGGAGAGATATTTACGCCAGCTTGAGTAGCATTTGTTGTATTCATATTTTGAAGTAAGTTAATAGGTATTTGTTGATGCTGTATATGAGGTCTTTGCTGCATCGATTGCATAGGTTGCATAGACTGAGAACCATTAGAAGCTGTCATAGCAGCAGCGGCAGCAGCAGCAGCAGCGGCAGCAGCAGAACGTTGATAGGCGAACATTTGAGCCTGTGCTTGCGCTTGCGTTTGTGTTTGAGCTTGGGCTGGTATTTGTGTTTGCGTTTGAGCTGGCACTTGGCCATTCGTTTGAATAGGAGTCCCTGATTGAGTCCTAGCTTGACGCATCATAGCTTGTTGATGAAGATTAGTGGCTTGTGGACGCATTTGATTTTGTGCAACCATAACCTGTTGTTGGTTTAATGGAGATTGAAAATTACGTTGCTGTTGCTGAGGAGATGAAACACCAACAGCAGGTTGTTGTAGACTACCATTATTCATATTTTGATTAATTTGATCTCTGATATTTTGAAATTTTTTAGCATAAGCTAAGACATATTGGTTCTATACGAAATATATAAATATATTAGCATTAAAAAAAATGAAACTGATTTAGAAATACATATTATTGTAAATAAACTTACTTTGCTGGTACATTTTTGATAAAGTGAAGCCTCAAAGTTGCTTGCAATATTATAGGCATCATTATCTGATGATCCAGGAGAAAGATGTTTTAAAGCTAAAGAACTGGCAAATAATAAAAGAAAAAAATAATTAATTAATTATAACGCGCATAATATCATCAGATTAAAAAAAAAAAAAAAAAAAAAAAAAAAAAAAAAAATACTTACAGTTGACTAACAAAACGGGTTCTATCAGGAATAGAGATTTCATTCCGCCAATTGGCACTTGGAGATTCAGTAGATTGACTCATGCTAACTTGTTGTTGCTGCTGTTGTTGCATTTGAAGTTGCTGTTGAGTTTGTTGCATTTGTTGGGAGGTGGGAGTAGGAGGAGGCTGTCCAGTAGTATTACTAGATGCTTGAAGATTAGAAGTATTTTGCTGATTCATTGTCAGATTAAAATAAATGACTTTATAAAAAACAATAAGAAAAAGCCAGCAGATGAAGAATATATTGAGGGTATCCTTCTTTTTGATGTATTGGAATATGTTTGTAAAGTTGTATGTAAGAATATCGTAAGAATGTGAGTTTATATATAAAATGAATAAAAGACGTATTTATATAAATACTAAAAGGTATAAAATGGAGAAACAAAGGTAACTGAAATGGTAGCTTTGAGGATGAGGTAGATGTAGTTGAAGTATAGAATTTTTTTTGTTTCCTGTTCTTTTGCTTCTTTATTTGTGAAATAAATAACTCTATTTTTATTTTTATTTTTATCTCTCTTTTCGCGTACAGAAAAAAAGAAGAGGAGTAAAAAAAAAAAAAAAAAAAAAAAAAATAAGAGTAGTTATGACAATAGCTATGTCACAAAGAAATGTGAAAAAAAGTAGTTCGTTACTTAGTAAAAGAAAAGAAAATTAAAATAAAAACTAGAGGATAAAAAAGAGGATAAAAAGAGGGAGATGGAAAGAAGAAAAAAAAAATAAAAAATAAAAAAAAGGGAGAAGATTCATTGGATTACAGCGTATCTGTTTCCATATTTCACGTGACGTTCTTATTTTTTATTTTATTTTATTTATTTTATTTTATTTTATTTTATTTTATTTATTTTAAACAGAAGAATTTTGATTTAACATAGTTAAAAGTATCTTTTATATATTTTGTAAATGAACGATATGCTAATAAGCAATAATTTGCCTTAATAAAAGAGATAATGTATGTATGTATGTATGTATGTATGCATGTATGTATGTATGCATTATTACTATGTATATATGCAAAATTTTGTGTAGTAGATTAGTTTGATTTACTCTAATCAAATATTCCTTCTTCCCAATTTTTAAGCTTATCTGTAAAGGAATAAATAGTAAATACAGTATACATATGCCATTTTATTTTATATGTATTTTGTAAGATTGTTTCATATAAAGTATCTTAAGGAGTAATTTGCTTATCATTACCATTGTTGTTAATTTAAAACACCTTTGTTTCATATATAAATTGCTTGTAAAATAGATATCATTGTACCACCTTATTTCATCAAGTGGATACTCTATTATTTATTTTTAGATTAAGCTAGTAAATAGAAGACAAGAAAGAGGCTTAAAGGCTTCAAGTGTCTTAAAGATGAAAGGATAAATGACATCGGAAAATTAATAAAATAAACTTGATCGTTAGTGTGACACTAACATGAATCTATCTTCCTTTTTTGTGGGGTTAAAAAGATAATACTTGTTTGAAGATTTTTTTTGTTTATGATAAGAAGTTTATCGATTTGTTTTGTCAAATACTTGGATAAACAATGCTACATACACACATCTATTCTCTCCTTGTTCCCTTTTTTTTTAAAAAAAAAAGAAATAAAAAATAAAAAAAATAAAAAAATAAAAAATAAAAATAAAATACATGTATACATATAATATAGTTCTGTTATATATAAAAATAGAATAGGATAATACTTTAATTTATACAGGGTCCACTTAAAGCTTGATAATAATATTGTATACAAATATACCTTATAATACATGAAAAAAGAAGCTTGCATAATAATACATTTAGCCTTCTTTTTTTTTTCTTTTTCTTTTTTTTTTTTTTTTTTTTTTTTTTTTTTTTTGCTAGTTAGTTAGCTAGTTACATCGATGGATTCTTTATCTTGTCTGTTGTTGTTCCGTTGTTTGAGACGATCTTTGATGTCGACGTCTTCTTCGAAATGTAGTAAATTGAGGCATCTTTCGCATATCTAAATCAGAGCTGATATGAATTGAAGACTCTATAATATTAATCCATTCATTTTTTTCTGTCTCTGTTAACATAGTAAATAAAAATTGTGGACCATCTTCTATCTTTAAACGAATCACATGGCGAAATTTTGTGTAATCTGATGCTACTGATACTTCTGCTCCTTGCATTGTATATTTCCAAACGGGTACTGCATTTTTCTTTTTCCTTGGATTACGATAATATGCCATAATTTGAGTACCATACACTAATATATAATAATCTCTACAAATATAATATATATATATATATATGTATATATTTATATATATGAGTTATTCCATATTATATATGTAGTTATTCATTTATTTACTTCCAAGATCTATTCTTTGACCTAATATTTGGCTTACTGAATTCACATTTGACATGCATATAAGTCATCTTATCTACCGAACAGCTGTATTCTGGTAAAATCTCTTTTCCTTCTTCTTCTCTAGGAATAACATGAATTCTGTTTAATAAATAATTTGGAATTTGAAGTGCCCATGGATGTAAAGGATCATCATAAGAAGGTGGCGGTGCTACAGTAACTTCTTGCTCGGGTATAATGGTTATTGATGATTCAGCAGATAATGGCAATGATAGAATTGATGATTGATGCTTATTAAGAATTGAATAAAGAGACCAGCTACTTTGTTTTTTACGAATCCATGGAAATAAGACTTTAAAAAAAAAATTGTTACTATGATACTTGTTTGAACCTTTTGTATTTTTTTATTTTTTAACTTACCAAATTGATGACAGCTATTGTCTGTTAGTAAATTTCTTTCTGGTAAGTTTGTTGTACTTAACATGATATAAATATATAAATATATATAAAAGTGGAGGGGTAGAAATGGAGGAGTGTATGTAATAATATGAAAAATGAATCTAAGTAATGAGAAAAAAGAATATGAAATGTTTATATGTAAAAGATAAGTGAAGAAGAAAAAAAATATAATTGAGTATGCGAAATAAATAAATAAAAATGGTTTGTGCAGAGAAGATATATAAAGTATTTATTACATATATGAACAAAAAAAAAAAAATAAAGAAGAAAAGAAGAAGAAGAGCAAGACGTTTTTTTTTTCTTGATATTTATAAAATATAATATTATTACTGTTCAATTCATCTCTTCCCACCCCTCTATTTTTTTTTTTTTTTGGGTTTTCTATTTCCCCGCATTATGTTTCCTTAACGACTTGGCCAATATCAATTAAAAAGAACCTTTTTTTCGTGGTCGGGAACCGTAAATTTTAACTTTAACTTTTATTTACTGGTATCCTTCTGCTCTTACATAAAATTAAAAGAAGAGAAACATACAGCGCATAATTTATTACATGTCTTTATTACTTTCATATGTTAACATAATTATAAAAGAAAAGATGAAAATGACTTAATGGCATGTATTCGCTGTCATACGTTTAACAACGTAGTATATGGAAAAAGGAAGGGGATCTTCTGTAGTTTGCCTAATAGATGTGATACATGTGTTTATTCTGTGAGATATATTCACGGGATCCAGGATGATGAAAGAAGATAGTATAAAGGATAAAATAATATAATATAAAAGGGTAAATTCGATAAGTACCTCAAGAGAGGAAAAAAGATTAAAAAAAAAATACAATAAAACTTTATTAGGTAATCATGTGATTATCAGGTTAGATAAGAAAACTTCGCTATTGTTTTTGATTTAGGATAAAATAAAATACAATTCAAGCTAAAAAGAAGATTAGTGCTTAAAAGTGTGTATATGACAAATTAAATACGACTATTAAAACTTTTCTCTGAAATAAAAGGAATACACGTTTTTTAAGAAATGTACAGAAATTCGGTAATTACTATTGTTGTTTAAATCTACTAGTTAGATATTTCCTTTCCAAATAAATAACCACATGGACATCATATTCTTGCTTACATTCATTTTTTTTTTCTCTATCAAAGCACCTTATAATGGCCAACCTAACAGTTCATAATACTGAGTCTAGGGATGTGTTGTATAGTAATAAGTAAAATCTGCTCGTATTTATTGCATCTATTAAGATTTACTCCTAAAGGATAACCTCAGATTTCACCTTTTTTTTTTTAAAAAAAAAAAAAAAAAAAAAAAAAAAAAAAAAAGAATATCACAATACCCCAGTGACACAGCATCTAGACTTCTTAAATTTCATTTAGTGCTTTCCGAGTATACAGTGCCTTCGGCGCCAATTTGCTCCGTAAACTACCAACAGTATTTCGGATAAGCTAGAACTTGTAAAGTCTATATATAAATGTATATATGTCTATGTCTATGTCTATGTCTATGTATATATCGTTTTTTTTTTCTTTCTCTTCTTGTGTCTGTACTCTGAAACGTCGACATTTAGAAAAACGTTAGCCAAACATTTTATAGCGACACTTGGATTAACAAAAAAAAAAAAAAAAAAAAAAAAAAAAAAAAAAAAAAAAAAAAAAAAAACTATTAAAATTAAAAAGAGCCGTCATATTAACAGGAAGGAAAGCAATATAACGAAAATGATTTATATTCTATTGTATCCAAGGTTAATCTTGATAAATATTCAAAGGAATTAATATAACTATAATATTCTTTGGTGGTGTATTTCCTTATTTTATGATCATCTAAACTCAAAGCTGCGTGATGTACCTTGACCAATTTTTACAAATAATACAGGAATTAATTTCTTTTTTGCTTTTTGGTAGTTGTTTTTTTTTTTCCTCTCTTTCTTCGAGTTGAATTGTGTTATTTTATTTCCTTTATGTATCTTACTTTTTTTTTTTTTTTTTTTTTACAAACAAATATATCGATTGAATAATAAGAGCATAAATAACTATCATTATTCATTTACTGTCTTGGGATTATAGGGTTTACATGCGTAGCACATTTTTATTATATCCGCTAAAAGTTCCACAATCTATGTACTTTTACTATTAACGATCAAAAGGTATGATCATTTATATTTAGCATTTCTAATAAGAATACGCAAAGTCTTTTTATATCCTTTTTGCTCAAATGGAACAATTTTTTCCTTCACAAATATACTTTCAACTTCTAATCCAAATATAAATGTATGAAAACAATATGAACTTGTTCATTTCCATTTGGCTTATAAGCATTTACTTTATGGCAAATATTCGTTATATGAGCACTAGTATTCATGTTCCTTTATATATTAGTTTTTTTTTTCTTTCAAGAAGTTACTGCCAAACTATTTAATTGAAGACTGATGAAACCATGTAAGAAAAGAAAGTGTAGAAAAATGATAATCTCTTTTATATTTGTATATATTTGCATAATCTGTAGAATGGTATTGTTAGTATTTCCATTATTTTATTTTTTAAGTCACTTAATTTGTACCATTGGAAAATCATTTTGTTTAGGATAAGAGGATGTTATCATTCTTTACCTCTAGTTTTATCATCTCTACTGGGTAATTTGAATAATAAGCAGATAAATAGTTTCTATTTTATTTGATAATTTGGTAAATATGAGATATGTACATACGATTATGTCTATATAAAATAGGATAAAGTGCTGGTAGATAGCTTTGACATTCGTTAATTAGATATTATTTATAACTTGATGACTGACATTTATAAAGTGTAGTATGGACCTTTAAATAATCTTTTAGGTACATTATAAAAAAAAAATAAAAATAAAAAAACTAGTGGCAAAACAGGCGTAATCTTTATCTTTGATTTACCAAGATAAATGTAGATTAATTGCATTCATAGAAAGAGAAAAATCTAAATTAAATACTTTTTATTTATTGGATTCATTATGATTCTCATTTTAAACGCTAATCATTATTATATTATGAGATGAAGATTCCCTAGGAAAACAATATTCATGTTCCTTAAGGATTAAAGAAAGAAAGAAAGAAAGAAAAGGCTAAATCCAAGAAAATATATGAATTTTGACTTTAATATTTGTTTAGTTAAAAGGAATACAAGACTTCAAACTGCCGAGATGATTAGTAGTATATCAAATTGTTAACAATAGAGTTAATTTGTTAACAGCAATCTTTAACGAAAGAAAGCTTTATGCAAGAGAAAAATGTAACTAAGATTCTGACAGGTTAAAAATTGTTGTGACTATTAGCGGTATTATATGTATTCATTTTTTTTTTTTAATAAATAAATAAATAAAAAAGAAAAATCAACTTCTTCCTCTGCTATTATTATTATTATTATTATTATTATTATTATTTATTCGATTCTCTTTTTTCCCCTCCTCAATATATATCGGTCATGTCAGCCTACACGATATATAAAGAGTTATTTCCGCCACAAACTGTGGAGCAAGTAGAGACTAGTCATTTTACTTCCCCAGACGCGATCAATTTAATTGTTGCAAAAGCTTCATTATTACAAATTTACGAATTTGTGGAATATATACAAGAACAACAAACAGAGAATGATGACGACACTGATTTAATAGATCAAGAATTAGTTAAAGACCGTTTAAATGATAATGAAGATTTGGTAACTTTAATAACTTATTTACTCTTTATTATTATGATTATTAACTTGTATGCTAGTCACTTGTATTTCCTAAACTAAAGCCCTTACATAATGCATTTGGGAAAACCTCTGGTCGATTAGAATTAGTTGCACAATTCAAATTGAATGGGACAATTGCAACCATGGGTGTTGTAAAGACAAATTCACCTCGGGGAAATGAAGGATGTGATAGCTTGTTATTAGGATTTAATGATGCAAAAGTAAGTCTTCAAAATCGTGAAAGAATTCAAGGTTTTTATATATATATTTTTTGTAGATGTCACTGCTGGAATGGTCACCCGCAACAAATTCGATTGTTACAGTATCAATTCACTATTATGAAAGAGATGAATTTAAAGTAAAAATATATATAAAGAGAGAGAGTGAGAGGGAAAAGAAGATGTGTAATAGCATAATTCAATATTAATATATTTAAATAGAAAGAATTCTTGACGAATCCATACCCTTCTAGTATCCATATCGATCCTCAACAAAGATGTGCTGTTTTAAATTTTTATGATACAAAATTGGCTGTTTTGCCTTTCCGTCAATCAGAAAGGCTAGATGATGAAGCTGAAGAAACTCAGTAAGTTTTAGAGGAGGAGGAGGAGGAGGAGGAGGAGAAAAAAAAAGGAAATAGTATGCTTGGAAATCTAATATTATTCTAGGAAATGGCCATATATGCCTAGTTTTATTATTGATTTAGAAACAATTGATTCGCGAATTAAAAATGTTATTGATATGGTCTTTTTATCAGATTATTATGAACCAACGTTAGCCATTTTATTTCAATCAGAACAGACATGGACAGGGTAAAAAAATTCAAAAAAAAATATATATATATATAAAAATTCGACTCACTTCTTATTTATTAATCCTACTTTTTAGTCGATTAGCTAATGTTAAAGATACAACATCAGTTGTCGTAATTTCATTAGATTTGACAGCCAAAATCTATCCGATCATTTATTCGATTGATAAGTTACCTTATGATTGTATTAAGCTTGTTGCTATGCCTAAACCAGTAACAGGTGTTTTGATTATTGCTGCAAATTCATTATTACATGTCTCTCAAGGATCTCCTGGTGTCGGTGTTGCTGTCAATGGATATACAAAAAAAATGACGGAATTTCCTGGTATGATCTATGAAGACAAGAATATTCAGTTAGAATTAGCATTAGATGGAGCTAAAGCATTAGCATTTGGTGGAGATTGTTGCTGGGTGTTCATGCAAAACGGCAATTGGGCATTTGTACAAATGAAACTAGATGGAAGTAAAGTTGTTGGCATGGATATTAAGGAGATTGTGCATGATACTACAACTTCACCTTTGGCTACTATACCATCTTGTGTTTCAAATGTTAAGGAAGGTGAATACTTCTTTTTGGGAAGTCGTGTAGGTGATTCACTTTTGATTAAATGGAAATATAGCAAAGACACGTCATCAGATACCAATCTTTCATTTCAAGTATGCGATACTCTTTTAAATACAGGACCTATTTTAGATATGACTATTGGAGACGTTGAAAGTAATCAAAAATCAGATGATGAACAGAATAAAAATGTACCTGATTTAGAATTAGTGACTTGTTCTGGACACAATAAAAATGGATCACTTTGTGTTTTTCAACGTCATATTTACCCCCAAACTTCATTTTCTTTTAAGCAATCTGATTGTCAAAATATTTGGTCTATCAAATGTCATAAAGAACCATCATTCGATGTAGAGCGAAAATCTTCCATCGGCTCAGTTGAAAATAGTCATCGATGGGAGGTTGACAAGTCACTTGATGATTCATTTGATAAACTTTTATTTATTAGTAAATCCAAGTCTACAATGGTTTTATCTGCTGGTGATGAGCTCCAAGAGTTAGTGAAAACAGGATTTTATACACGCGGCCCAACTATTGCTGTCAACACATTATTTGATGCAACACGAATTGTACAAGTTTATTCAACGGGACTTATGATACTTACCCCAGAGGGTAAAAGACTACGTACTATTCCTATTCGTGGCTCTAAAATTATTGATGCCAGTATTCGAGATCCTTATATTCTATTAACATTAGATAATAACAAAATTTATGTTTTGGAAGGCAATCCAGAAACAAAAGAAGTGTCTCCTGTTTCACTTCCATCTCACATAGTAAAGGCACCTATTGCAATAGCGAGTATCTTTGCAGACTCATCTGGACTATTTCAAAGTATATCAGAAAAGAAGGCCGCTATTGAGGCTACTCGATCTCTAAAAGAACAATCTAATCTGAGACAGCAGCATCAAAAGAAACGTAAAGCAACAAATGATGATAATAACCTATCAAAGAAACCAAATTTGACAGCTGAATTTGACGAGATTGATATGGACCTTTATGGTGATGAAATTAATAATGAAATCAAACCCACACATAATATATCCATTCATTTAGATAATAATGAAGAAGACGCAAAAGTAGATGATGGCGGCGACGATGACGATGACGACGATAAATTACTTTATGGAGAAGATGAGGTACAAAACAAAATAACCAATATCAAAAATCAAGCCAATATAGAATTAGAGAAACTTGATGAAAACAACGTCAGCCTACATGGTGGAGAACTGAATGAGATGACTCGAGTCAGCTTTTGGTCAGTCATATACACAACTAAAGGCTCTCTACATATCTACAGTCTTCCTGATTTTAAAGAATATTTTACTTGTTCACAATTTGATATTGCACCTGACTTGATTACAGATGAGCAACAAATAACACATCAAAAAGAAAATAATGCAAAAAAGAATATCAATGGAAATAATAGTTCTATTATTCAGGAAATCTTAATAACAAACATTGGTAAAGAAAGAAAGGATCCTCATTTGATTGCACGTACAGAAACAAATGATATTATTATATACAAGGCATTCAACTATATTCCTGATACAGTAACAGATCGTTTAGCTCTTCGATTTTCACGAGTTCATCATGAATACGTCTCTCGAAAGCCTAAAGAATCCGAAAAAGTGAATAAAAAGAAAGAAACGGTAGTTAACTATGAAATTCCCGGAATGGATTTAGACGATGAAGAAGAAGACGATGATACAGTAAAGAAAATTTTGACAGGTAAATCAAGTAAGCAACTTCAGAAGCTGTTGATTCCCTTTAACGATGTTGCGGGTTATACGGGTGTCTTTGTGGCTGGTACTCAACCTGCCTGGTTAATGAATTCCTGCAAGAGTTTTGTACGTGTTCATCCTATGAAATCAGATACAGAAATTGTTGGCTTTACACAATTTCATAATATCAACTGTAAACATGGTTTTATTACCGTTAGCACAGATTCAACCATTCAGTTATCACGGTTACGTACAGATGGAGTCATTTATGATCTAGATTGGGTGCTACAAAAGGTACCATTAGGACAAACGGTACACAAGATAGAATATCATCCTATTATGCGTGTCTATAGTGTTATCGTATCAAGCTCATATCCAGTACGTGTACAACAAACTGAAGACGAAAACGAGATACATGATGATCAACAACCTGGTGAATTTTTACCTCTAGTAGATAAATTTTCTATGGTAATGATTTCACCTGTCACTTGGGAGATTGTAGACAAAATTGAATTCGAAGATTTTGAGCAAGTCTTTTCGTTAGATTGTGCAGCACTTGAATCCAAGCAGACAAGTACTGGACGTAAACATTTTATTGTTGTTGGTACAGGATTTTTAAAAGGTGAAGATACGAGTATGAGAGGATCTGTAAGTATAGATATACATATGTATATGTATATGTATATATAATATAACATATATTTATTCATTTTTTTTTTTGGTGTATACATGTGTAATTATATTTAGATTCGTATTTATGATATCATTGAAGTCGTACCTGAGCCGAATAATCCACAAACGAATCATAAATTTAAGCATATTCATACAGAAGATGTAAAAGGTGCTGTAACTGCAATGTGTAATGTAAGTGGACATCTTGCCTCTTGTATCGGATCAAAAGTGATTGTTTGGAGTTTAGAAGATGATGAAAGTCTTGTAGGTGTAGCATTCATTGACGTTCAAATTTATGTTACAAGCATGAGCTCCATAAAAAATTTTATTTTATTGGGCGATGCACAAAAGTCAATTTGGTTTCTAGGATTTCAAGTGAGTAAATTAAAAAAAGTCTTTTTTTTTTTTGTCACATTTAATAATTTATGATGTAAATAGCTTGAACCTGCAAAATTATCCTTATTAGGAAAAGACTATCAATCGTTTGAAGTTGGATGTGTTAACTTTATTATTGACGATAAATCATTGTATTTCGTTGTTGGTGACACAAATGAAAATTTAGATATTTATCAATATGCACCTTTTAACTTGCAATCTTTTGGTGGCCAAAAACTGATGCGTCGTGGTGATTTTCATGCTGGCTCTCAGGTGCAGACAATGATCCGGTTACCGCAAATTGAAAAAACCGAAAACGGATTAGAATACAATCGAAGACATTTTTGTTTATGTGGTACATTAAGCGGATCCATTTCTGTCATATCGCCAATCACAGAAAAGACATTTAAACGTTTGAATACTTTGTATGGACAGTTAGTCAATAATGTACAGCATGTAGCTGGTTTAAATCCGAGAGCTTATCGACTGATTAAAGGACCTAAACAAAGAATGGCGTCAAATCGTACAAAGGCTGTATTAGATGGTGATTTGATTTTCGAATTTGCAGGCTTATCGTTAGAACAACAGAGTGAGACTACAAAGCAAATTGGTACTACAGTGCCTCGTATTATGGAAGACTTGGTAGATATTGAACGTAGTATTGATCACTTTTAATATGTATAATAAATTGTAATAAAAATAATACGTTTTTATAAAAAAAAAATATATGTATATGTGTGTAAATTTATACATATTTATATTCATGTTAATAAATAAACCAAAAAAACTGGATATAAATAAATAAAAGGGGCAGAGATGCAAAGTAGCTTCAATGGACAAAGAATAGTATGATTAGCGTTTATTTTTCTAAAATGATGAAACTGAAGAACAGAGTATTCTATTTATCATCAAATCTGTTATAACATGATGATGCTGTTGCATTTAATGTACCAGGAGAGAAAAAAAAAAGGAAGCTACAGAGAAGAGTGTTAATATGTTTAGTAGCTATGGTAAAAAGTAAAATAAGGGAAGAAAAGGGATTAAAAAGAAATAGACTGCAATCAATATGTGTATAAGATAATAACTATAACTACAAATGCATGATATTCCTTGCAGTAATAAGAATAAAGAAAAAGAAAAAGAAATACACAGTGGTATATATGTTGGAGTAGTAGAGACTTGAATAGAGTAGCTAATAATATAATAAGTACTGCTACTACTACTATTACTACTAACTCATCTTTTTTTTCTTGAAAAAAAAATTGTCAGGTTTGTGTAATAACCTTTATCTTTTTCACTTTTGCTTGAAGTTGTCCCCTTTTTTTTTTTTAAAAAAAAAAAAAAAAAAAAAAAAAAAAAAAAAAAAAAAAAGCAACAATGTTAAAAGAACAATGATGTACAGTAGTAGCGAGCAGATCTGATATATTTTGAATTTCCGCCACAGCTTGTTTACTGTTGGCTTCTTGCAGTAAAGTTATTACTGTAAGATACAGCCAAATTTAAATTCCCTCCTTTTCAATCCATATAGTAAAAATAAGATATAATGGTAAGCATTCTTCATAAAAGATAGCATTATTTAAATCAGAAAATGGATGGATGGATAGATTGATAGGGAGAGCGGATGAGAGGAAAAAAAAAAAAGGATAAATCGATATGTAGCAGTACACAACGGGCAAATGACAAAGAGAATGACACATTTAATATTAACGAAATTTTGGTTCGTGTGTGGATAGTAAATTGATTTATACATTATGGTTCGAATACACAATTTTAATCAATAAAATATCGATTTGTCCTTTTCTGTTCTTTACTTTGATTTATCATTCACATTACAAAAAAAAAAAAAAAAAAAAAAACCTGCATGGAGAGATATTAAATTGATTTCACAATAGGACTCTTCCAAGACCCCCGTTAAGCTCGCTAGAGTTACAAAAGTTCTCGGCCGTACTGGTTCTCGTGGTGGCGTTACTCAAGTTCGTGTTGAATTCATGGATGACACTAACCGTTCCATCATCCGTAACGTTAAGGGTCCCGTTCGTGAAAACGACATTCTCTGTCTTTTGGAATCTGAACGTGAAGCTCGTCGTCTTCGTTAAGTCATTGACCTTATCTTATTCAATCCAAGAAAGGAATAAAATATGTGCACCAAATTTTAAATTATACGGCTCCTTTTTTTTTTTTTTTTTGCTTCTTGTAATTGATTACTTTATAAAATGTACAATTTATATATTTATTAGATCTAATTATTAAGGAATGAAGTCATATCAAATTCATCTTCTCCTTCTTTTTTAACAACAACTCCCTTTTCAGTAACGATAGCAGAAATCAAACTAGCAGGTGTAACATCAAAACTAGGATTCCAAACACCAATATTTTCAGCTGCTGTACGAACACTAGTAGGTACATTATCACTCACACGAACACCAGATACTGTCACTAATTCTTCAGGAGGACGTTGTTCGATTACGATAGCATCACCATTCTTTGTATTTAAATCAATGGAAGTAGAAGGTGCAGCAACAATAAATAAAATACCATGATATTTGGCTGTAATAGCCAATTGATATGTACCAATCTTGTTAGCCGTGTCACCGTTAGCAGCCACACGATCAGCACCTACCACAATGGCTTGTACATCAGGCTTCTGTTTCAAGAGAGCAGAAGCCATGTTATCACAAATCAAAGTAGCGGGAATATTTTCATAAACAAGTTCATAAGCAGTTAAACGAGAACCTTGATTGTAAGGTCGAGTTTCAGTACAATAAGCATGTTGAAGTTGATGATTTGCATGAAGGTCACGAATGATACCTAAAGCAGTTCCCCAGCCAGCTGTAGCTAATGATCCTGTATTACAATGTGTTAAAACACTAATTTGTTTGCTTTTCGCATGTTCCATAATATACTGAGCACCGAATTTGCCAATGTTTTTATTGTCTTGAACATCATCTATCAACATTTGTTCAGCTGCTCCAATATAAGTCTCAACGACTATAGCAGGATCCTGAATATTACAAGATGTTGTATTAATTAATTTTGAAAGTTTAGCAGCAGCATCAAACAAATTGACAGCTGTTGGGCGAGAAGTCTTGAGGTATTCTAGTGATTGATTTAAAAATTGAACAACTTGATCAACTGTTGTAAATTCCCCATTTTTAAAACGATTATTAACGTCTACAGCTAAAGATAATGCAGCTACAATAGCAATTGCAGGAGCACCACGAGTTTTCATTGTCTTGATAGCTGCATGACCATCTTGTACATTAGCGATTGTCTCATAAATAGTTTCATGAGGTAGAACGAGTTGATTTAGAATACGAAGATCTCCTCTAGTATATTTAATAGCTTCCAAGGTTCTATCTATTTAAGTTTAAGGTTAATACAATTTCTTGTTTTTTTTTCTTTTTATAGAATCTCTTACTATTCTCACTCATCTTGATATATTAAAACAAAAACAAAAAAAGGAACAATAAACAGTTAAAAAAAAAAAAAATAAAAAAATAAAAATTTTTTTAATTGGCGGTATAAAAAAAAAGGGTAATAAATAATAAAGTATTTGTTAGCAAATTTTTCAAGTAAAGTATGTTTTAGAGAAAATGATCATCAATATCTTGATCTTTGAATACCTGTAGTAGGATTAATAATGATGATTTTTAATATTAGTATACTTGGAAATTTACTTGTATTTATTGAGGCCTATCTTTTGCTGTAGTTAAAGCTAGTACAATAACTGGAAGATAACAGCAATATTAACTTTATCATGCATGTAGTTAATAAAAATCTATCAATTATCCTCACACATATAAGAAGAAATACAATAATACGCTTATATAATATGTATATATGCATTTTATTTTAGTCTTTACGTTTATATTCGGGGGGAAATGTGCCAGACTATTGAAGTAGGCAAGCAAATATACTTTAGAAAGAGATGTACCTTAGACATTAGGACTTTGATATTCTATTATGCGTCAATTGCGGTCTATATCATTAAAACTATGGACATAATTGATAAAGGAAAGGAAAGGATATTTCACTGTGATAAACAACTATAATAATTTACTGCTACAATCGTTTTGATTTGGAAGTAATTAGGTCATGACTCATTGTTTATACCTTCATATTTATCCTTCTTAATTGCTATTAAAGAGTGCTGATCTAAGGTTAACAAAAAAAAAAAAAAAAAAAAAAAAAAAAGCTTATATAAGAAACTCGCTCAAAGAAAATAAATTAGTGCTTCACTTTAGAGAAGTGTGTATAACCATTACTTCTAAGGAATATTTAGGATGGGATAAACGACATTTCTTACAAAAAGGGTTTGGCTTAAGGTTGTCTCAATATTTACGTGTATTAAATTCGCTTTAAAAAATAAGTTTTATTCGTCCAAAAAAAAAAAAAAAAAAAAAAAAAAAAAAAAAAAAAAGTGTGACGATATATTAATTTAATTGGCTGATGAGAGTGAGACCTTAAAAAAAAACATATTTTATCTTTTTTTTTTTTTTTTTTTCCTTCATACAACTATGGACATTCATAATATTGACGAATTTTTAGATTTACAAGATCAAGCTGAAACAAACTTGCTCTCAACTGAACAAGGACATGAAGAAGAATGGCATTCTACTGCTGCACCCATCAATGAAATGTTGTCATCTATGGACAATAACATTTTTTTAAATAATAGCAGTGGTAATAATAGTAATACAGACTGGGAATTATTAAAAAATGGCCTCGATAGTTTACCAGGGTTAACAGAGATTATGGGACATGGTGGTATTTTAAATGAAAGCAATGATTGCATTACGCCTGATTCACTTATTAAGCAACCTGAACAACGAATCACGCGCTCAAAATCAGTTGCTGCTTTGGCATCACCTACTACTACTATCTCAACATCAACTACGACCCCCAAGAAAAAAAGAACACGTGCAAAAAAAGTCTATTGTATTTGTAAACAACCTTATAATGGAAAACCTATGGTTCAGTGTGATAGGTGTCAAGAATGGTATTACGGCTATGATTTACATGTATGCATATATTGACCTTTCTTTTTTTCTTATAATAGGTTCCATTGTGCTTGTGTAGGATTTGATCCAGACAATGAAGAAGATATTGATTGGATATGTAAATCTTGTATTGAAGGTAAGCTTATTAAAAATGTGCATATGCATACAAATACAGTATATCACAAAGGGAGAGTTTATGCATGTATGAGACGAAGATTTATGTACATAATTTGTCTTGATTGTATTATTTTATTACATTAAAAAAAATGAATGTTTATTTCTTTCAGTAATTATGTGGTTTTTTTTTTTTTTTTTCATTGCTCTCTGTAAGATTTTATTATCGTTATTATTGTTATTGCTACTGTTATTATTATCATAATTATTATTTGAGGGAGAAGAAACTAAGTGTATTAAAAGATAGCATGTAACTGAATTTGACCTTTCCTCTTTTTAATGTGTATCAATATTATATTTGTATTTGTATGCATTATTAATAGCAAAGTATATTAACTCTTTCTTTTATATATTCCTATACAATTATAAAGCTGAAAATAAAGAAGACAATAATCAAGAATCGAAGGAAGAGGGATTAAAAGAACAGGAGCCAAAAGATCAGGAATCAAAAGAACAGGAATCAAAAGAACAGGAATCAAAAGAACAAGAATCAAAGGAACAAGAATCAAAGGAACAAGAATCAAAGGAACAAGAGTCAAAGGAACAAGAGTCAAAGGAACAAGAGTCAAAGGAACAAGAGTCAAAGGAACAAGAAGTGGGAAGGGTAATATTCTATAAGTTATGTATGTATTTATAAACAAAAAAAAACTGATCTTTTTTTGTATATAGTCTATTACAACACGCCAAACTAGAAACGCAAGTCGAAGTATTCAATCAAAATGTCTTTATAAAGGTTGTAGTAATCCTACTCGTGCTGATTCTTTTTGTAGTGATGTATGTGCTCGTAAACAAAAAGAAGATAGGCCTCGTCGTACATCATCGATGCGGACTTCTGTTGCATCTATTAGTATCGACAAAAAGCCAGTTTCTTCTACTACTAATAATAATAAAGACAATTCAGATGATGTTAATAATGATGTAATAAATCAACCTGAAGAAAAGACAGAAATGATAACTGATGAAGAGGGTAGCACACCAAATACACCAATGTCCCCAAGTCTAATGACAGAGGAAGAAAACCCTGTTCGTCGTAATGTCATCAAAAACATGACTAATGTTCTAAGATCTATTTTTGATGAATCTCTTAAAGAAAATGCAGACATGTTCGAGGGTAATCCAGACCCACAAGAAAGAGCAGAGGAATTGGCAAGATCGATTGAAAAGACAATGTTAGAGCAGCTTGGTGAATTTAATAAAGGACGTCAACGTACTTGTGGAGAGAAATATAAAAGTAAATTTCGATCTCTTTTGTATAATCTCAAGGATAAAGCTAATAAAGTATTTCAATTACGTGTTGTGACTGGAGATTTATCACCTCATGATTTAGTCAAGATGTCTTCTGAAGATATGGCGAATCCTGAACTGAAGTCAATGTCGGAAGTTCTGCGAAAAAAGGCTTTGAAAAACTCGGTAATGACGATAGATAATATGCCAATCATTAAAAAGACGCATAAAGGTGATATCATCATGGTTCCTAAATCAAACCAAGACGAGGATATGTATTCACAACAAGTAAAACAAGAACTTGAAAGGATCAGTTCAGCCGATACTCACCACCCGTCTTCTCCTTCTACAAAAGAACCTAATAAAAAAAACCATATATCTAGTTTGAGTCCTAATAATACATCCTCTGATTCAAAAATAATGGATCCCTTGGATAATATTTTAGCACGTATTGGTATTCCAACTTATCTTGATGATAATAAAGGGAACAAACGTGAGAGTACGACGGAAGATGTTGATCCTGAATTGAAGAGAAGGAAAGTCACGAAGGATGTAGAAGAATTACTAGGTGAAGAAGATGATACCCCATTTATGGTAGAAGAAGTAGACACAACTAAGCTTGACAATAATGACCAAGAAGAAAACGAAGAAAAAGAAGAGATACAGGAAGAAGAGAAGGAGATTATGGAAGAAGAAGAAGGAGAAGGAGAAAAGGGGTTACCTACAATTTGGCATGGTCGTGTTAATATGCCACAAGTTGCAGAATTTGAAGCAACAGCAAGACAAATTGGAGGGCGTCTATTAAGTGAAAAGGAATGGCAAGATGTTTTATCACCTACTATGTGGATTGAAGGCCGTATACCTACAGATCGCGTTACTAACTATATAACACAAACGCAATACTCTACAAGTCGAGAAATTGTGTTAATAGAAGTAGAAGCTAAAAGTGATCATAAGGAACAAGAACAGACGCTAATTAAATATTTAGAATCAAGACAAAGATATGCAGTTATAGGACATAATAAGAAAATTGTTAAAGACTTTTACTTGATTCCTTTGTACCAAACTCAACAAATACCTGATTGTCTGTATGTAGTACGTGTAGAAGAAAGAAAACGAAAAAGCGATTTGTTCTTGGGTGTGTTAGTTATTACAAAACAACAACAGCAGCAACAGCAACAGCAACAAACCTATCATACAATCTCACAATCCAATCTTCCTCCTCCTCCACAACAAGCAGTAACAAATCCTCCTCCCCAGCTACAATATCCTACTGCTAGCGTACAGCAAAACATGTATTATCCATCTCCTCAATACTATTATCCACAGGGTCAATATTATCCCCCACAACAGCAACATTCAAATAATAATAATAATAATAATAATAATTACTCGTCATCTTACTATCGTCCTCCCTACTAAATTTTATACTATAACTTTTTGTTCATGTATATGCTTATATACTTAAACTACATGATGAAAAATTTAACTTAATAAAGTCATTTTATTATCTCAATCAATAAGAATCTATATATTAATGGTAAAGGTCATTATATATGTTATGATAATGAAGAAGCAACGCTTTGTTAATTCAGTACTAATATAAGAATAGAATACCTACAACACCTACAAAAGCGTTTATTGTATTTGGCAAAGAGGAACATCACATTATAGTCAATTATTAAAATAAGTCTAATGTTATTTCTATAGTTTTATATATTTATAGTGAAGGATATCATTACTAGCAGCAAAGAAAAGGCCTTATACTGTAAAGAAACATTAAATTTAAAAAGAGAAAGTATTTACTTTTAAAAGAACCATTTTGGTTTATTTACTGGTATTGTCACTAGATCTGTATCAAACAATTCAATAAATTGTTCATTTAATAATCTAACTTTAGGTCCTGCATATCTTCTATATTCTTCAAAGATTGATGTTAAATTCCATCGCTGTAATTTTCTCATGCAGCCCACAATAGTTCCTGTTGTAAATATTAGTAATTGAATACAAGTAATATTACATATTGCATACCTGTTCTATGTCTGCCTAAATTACACATAATCATCATTGGATAATTTGACGGATTTAATATTAGTTCTAGTGCTTGAAGCACGGCTTCTTCTGTAATAGGATCCCAAGCATTGACAGAAGAAACAACACCCAAATGATGCATTTGAATTTCTTGATCATCGATGAAATCTAAACTATAGAAAATTATAAGCAAAATAATAAAATCATTCAAGCTTAAACATACAAGCGTTGATTAGGCTCTTCTGGAGCAAGCCATGCTATTGTTTTTAAACCAAGTTTTTCGAGAAAAGGAAAATTAAGCTCATTGGGTTGGCCTGAGCGATAAAGATCTTCTTCAATCATACCAAAATTCTAATGTTAAAATTAGCTTGGAGATCAATGTGCGATTAAAGTTAATGCTTTTACCACAGGTGGTATAAAATGTTGTGAACTCATTTTATTTATATTGCTTAGAGAAAAAAAAATAAATAAAATAAAATAAAATAAAATAAAATAAATATTCATGTATAATATTATTTAACAGCATAAATTTTATTTATACTAAACGTAAATTATACATTTTCACCTTGATAGAGAAATAGGATACATGAATAAAAGGACTGCATTAAAATAGAGAATGAATAAGGAACAACATGGCTACTGTCTCTGGTTGAGGAAGATAAGTAGGTTGTATATCCCAGGGATAAAAGTATAATTTTATATCATTCGACTTTACCTCAAATTAAGAGATGTAAACATAAAAAGAATTACTCGACGTATATACATGTATCAGATAAAATAGTTCAGCAAGATGATATTCTCGGGCATTTTCCGTTATTTTATATTAATATGAGCTACACATTTATTATTACATTGCTTGGAGCTTTAGGAATCTATGGAGATTCATTAGTTTATTATAATAAATTTTAGTAGCTTTGTTATCTCAATTTTTCCGATTACATTGGAAGTAGTTATTGGCTTCCGTCTGATTAGTTGGTCAAACTCAATTCAACATTGAACTATAGATATTAAATATATAATGGCTGAAAGAAGATAATTTTGGATTTACTCACTACAATACTTAAAACAGATACAAATTGATCTTTACTATCTTTTTTTTTTCTTTTTTTTTTTAAGAAAAAAAACAGTTACAAGTTAAATTTATTAGTTTGAATTAAAATAGGAAAAAAATCTGATTTTACGGAATATAGAGTATAGGTGTTTTAAGAAATAGAAGAATAAACTGTTCATTTTATTTATAAGCTGCTGGTTCTTTTCGAATTAATAATCTGCGGAAGTTTAAATAATTTTTCTCGGATGTTAATACTGTCCTGCATACATCCATGAAATGTTCGTGTATGTATAAAATGAAAATTCTCTTTAAATATCAATTCATTGTTTCATACAGTTCTACTCATATCCATTTAAAGGAGTGTGAATCATTGAAAATATAGGCTTATTAATCAAGTTTAAAAAAACAAAAAGAAGACTATGTATACATATTTACTTCTAGAGCAGCAGTCACGTTCATAATCTAAACGCTTTATTTTACGTAGCTTTTTTTTTTATACACATATTTTATTTCTTTTTTTCTTTGTAATCTAGATTAAAACAGATTAGATTTAAATAAATTTATAAAATCGAAAATGTCGACGCCTACTAGAAGAAGACTTATGCGTGACTTCAAGAGATTACAGAGTGATCCACCAGGTTAGATTATAAATTTATCATCCAAATGAATTAGCAAAAATTAACAATTATTTTTTAATAGCTGGTGTATCAGGTAAAAAACAAAAATAAATAATGGGTGGTCAATTATATACTTATTCAATATTTCAGGTGCACCTTGTCCAGATAACATTATGATGTGGAATGCAGTCATCTTTGGTCCTGGTAAATATTAATTGATGCTGCAGTTTCATTTTTTTTTCCTTAACTTAACTGATAATAACACTAATAATATATAGCGGATACTCCTTTCGAAGATGGCACATTTAAATTAGTTTTACAATTTGATGAGACCTATGTAAGTTATATTGATGTAAAAATATATTTGATATTAATTCAATGTAGCCCAATAAACCACCTCAAGTAAAATTTGTATCAAAAATGTTTCATCCCAACGTATATGCTAATGGTGAACTTTGTCTTGATATTTTGCAAAACAGATGGAGTCCTACATATGATGTTGCAGCCATCTTGACAAGTATTCAATCTCTTTTTAATGATCCTAATCCTAATTCGCCAGCAAATGCAGAAGCAGCTAATCTTTATCGTGAAAATAGAAAGGAATATGTTCGTCGAGTAAGGGAAACTGTTGAGGAGTCATGGGAATAAATAAAATTATTATTTTTTTTTTAAGTATGTAGCTTTATTCATTTTATTGAATTAATTTTAAAAAAAAACATAATTGTACTGTATGCACATACACATCAAATATATAAAGTATCGGTGTTATTAATAAGTTTTATAAATAATAATGAATTTTTCTATATTAGCAAATAAAGTTTTATGTTACTGAGTATAATGTATTTAACACTTCATGAATATAAGTCTCAAGTTTTATACTGAGGATAAATAGTAGACAACTCCTTATTATTAATAATTTACCAATTACCAGAAATCCTTCTATGAACTAGTACTCTGTGATCTATTACTATGTTGTATTGCCACATTGCGCAAAGTGGTATTCATTGGTAATTGTATCTAGAATAATATATTAGTCTCTTTTTAGACTCTTTAGTTGATACATGTCCTATAGAATAATTAAAGGTTCTCTAAGAATATATATAATCTAACTTTATCGATAAAAACACATGATATAATATATTGGAAGTATTCTACATTACTCTATATCATAACATTCATAATATAGTTCTTTATATAATAAAGGTGGTGAAAATTATCATAAATAAATATCAAAATAAGTCTTAATAATATTTGATCAAAGTTAATTCTATAACCAAGTTATCTGTTAAGAAGATTGATTATATCTATTTACTGTAAAAGTGATTCTGAATAAAGCTATGCGACATTTATAAATTTATTCAAATAAAAAGGTATATTTTTTTTTTGTTTAATAAAATAGCTTGCAGTGTTATTATGTTCAAAATGATGTGATATATGGATCACTTATTAAACTACAACTATATGAAGAATAAAACTTCTAAATGCACTAGTTCGTTAAAATGATATAAATTTATAAAATCATGATAAATAGTGTTACCGTACTGATGTCTTTATAATATATACAATAATTTCCATAATATATGTGAATGTCCGTCATTCATTACAGTCAAAGAAACTAGGCTGGGCCGATAGGAAAAAATTTTGGTCATTTTAAAATTGAATTGGGACACGGTTGCGAAAATGGAAAACCTGAAGGGATTCTTTTTTTTTTTTTGCTATTCTAATAAAAACTCTTCTTGAAGCATCTGTTGCTATTTCTTTTCTCTACTTCTTTGAATACTTACTGTTGTAAATAGTGAAGCTAATCTTGATGGGCAGACAGTACCATTGATGATTCAGTACTATCCATAGGAATCGAGAAAAGCCTGCACGAGCGAATGCCGGGGACAGGTTGGTCAAGAAAAAAAAAGGACTTACTTTAAACAATATCCTTCGTTTTCTACAGGACAAAGAGGACCTTGTACCTTTCATTTCAAAAAAAAAAAATAGACAATATCAATTTTTTCGTTGAAAAACAAGGTCTAGTAGGGTATGGCCAAATTGTTTCGTCTGCTTGTGATACTCTAGCTACTGCCTACAACAACTTCTACGTGGAAAATTACGAAACTTTTATTTATAAGGATCTTAAAATGCCACTTGTAAATAAGGTTGTATACGATTATGTCTTAGATGAAGTCTTAAAGAACGACACAAGGTTAGGTATGCTAGAGGGTTTTATTACACAAGATGGCCTTAATAGTGCACCAAATCTACAAGCATTTTTAAACAATATCATTCAGCCAGTTAGGAACAGAATACATCGGCTCCCACTTTCAAGAGAAGAAGTGATCGAAAACCCGTTCATTGTTCTATCGATAATGAGTTATATTCTCCAATCCTACGAGTAGATCAATATACAATTGCAGGAGAATGCACAGCCAACCCGAGCAGAAGAACCACTGGAACAACCAACAGAGCAACCACCAGCTCAAACTGTCGAGTTAGTTTATCCTCAGACACAAACGCGACAATCCCAGAGGCCTCACCTGTTTTCTCTTTTTCCAAATCCTAGTCTTAAATGGCAATTCATAAAAAATGATGGTCAAAATTTGTCAACTCTTTTCCCTGATACACGGCTCCAAAAAGAAGAAAACGAAACAAATTTCGCACTCGCTACATGTTGTTTTTTCAATTCTTTTGATTTTACCAAGCTGGAAATCAGAAAGTAAGTTTTTTTTTTTTTTTTTAAAAAAAAAAAAAACCTCCCAATTAAGGTCATTATTAATTTTTATTACAATAGTTTGACCAAATTACAAGAATTACCAAGACAGAAAAGACGGATACTTTTGAACAGTATATAAACTGATGGATATACTTGTAGAAATTCTTTCGCAAGGAGTGTCCCAGAAACTCTTGAAGAAGATAAAGTCAATCTTGAAATCGCTGATTTCAACGCAGATAAAGTTGAAAACTTTTTCCGTCCTTGTTTTCTAGATCCCGGCCGTAAGAATGCATACGTAGCATATTATGGAGATGAACGGGTCAGGTCTCTGACAGTGAATGAATACTATTACTCTTCTGGATCTGTAAATCGAGCAAGAAAACAAGATGCCTTCAAAATCGAACAAGGCATAAAAAATCTGGAGACTCAAATCCCGATGACTAAAACTTCTTCTGCTGATTCCTATATCAACCATCTAACATATGTACTGACTCATTTGGGTCGTTTTTTTGACTTCTATGACTTCAGAACAGCTTCGAATAAATAGAACAATTATTATGGGAGACAATGTGTCCTCGAAGAGGCTTGCAATATTCTGATTAATGGTGGAAAAAAAATATAACCCCAATCGAAGAAAGAAGACGAGATTAAATAGATGGAAAAGAAAAAAGATGGCCAACCGACGAAGTCTTAATGCTCGCAATCTACCAATTGAAGTAAAGTAGTAAGCTAGTTTCCAAGTTTAAATGATCATCTTACTAACATCTATTTATATTTTAGACGAACTAACTACAAAAGCCGTTTCGCTGAAGGGGACACAGCAAAGATGTCTTTGGTGATTTTCGATGATGGTTTAAAAAGGAGTAGTCATTTGAAGTACAGAGGACGACGAGTTGGCGTTTCTGACGTTATTTATAAGAATTTAAAAAGAAGACAAAACCTCAAGGAGGCGTTATCGCTCGATATAAATGAATTCCGGACCTCTTCTGTAAGTCATTACAATACAAGTAAACGCTTATTAAGTCAACTAATTATCCTTTTATAAAATAGGTCTGTCCAAATTGCAAAGAAATGAAGCTTAGAACTCATAGAGTTGACGACAAATCTTTCTTTAATATATTGATCTGCAACGTTTGTAATATTTTATGGAATAGAGATATCCTCGCTGCAAAAAAAAATATGATGTTCATCGCATGTCAGATCTGGGCTAATATGGAACGACCAGTTGTTTTTACACGTCAAAACAGACAACGCACCACATAGAACATGGCTGTTCTGCGTCTTCGGATACTATACTCTATTTCTAACTTAAGAAACGTTGTATAACATTAGAATTAATCAAATTAACAAAAGTAATAAAATCCTCACGACAAAAGAAAAAAATGAAACGCTCCTAGGTGGGCTCGAACCACCAACCTCCTGATTAACAGTCAGACGCGCTAGCCAATTGCGCCATAGAAGCTAGTTGTTTATTTGCATCAGAAAATCATAGGTAAGCTATATTTTAAAAATTAGCAGTCACAGATGACGTCACCCTTAGGTCGCTTAAATATTTCTATTATTTTTCTTTATTTTTTTTCTTCATGGTTCCTCCGCTACAAAACACTTCTGGGACGTTGCCTCCAGACAACGTTACCACTTTATCAAATTCTAACTCTTTGTCTCCTCTTTCTGAGACTAACAACACCCCCTCAACTATTCGTAGCTATGCTTCAGTCACTGCAACTTCATCTCGAGACTCTCGTTTGGATTCTAAAAAACCCTCAAAATCCATGCCTCCTCACCCCAGAAAAGAGTTGTCGCTTTTTCGCTCCACTGAAATTGAGAATTGTTCCAACAATTCCTCCAAGCGTCTTGTTCACCTTACGGGTACTACTGAACATTCCGTGTTTTATCATATTCCTAAGCACCTTTCATCCTTGAGATCAGCCCTGGCCTTAGAACTAAGCCATAAATTCCCCCTTGGAGTCGGTCTCGGATTAACTTTAACCGAAGACTCTACAGGCACCAATATGGAATTTACTTTAGCTTCAAAAGGCGATTGTGAGTCAGCCATTGCTTCACCTATCAACGTTGGAGATACGTTTTTCCATGCCTCTCCTGCAGTTCATCCAGATCGAGCTCTACTACGTATCAATTTGACCAAACTTCCCATCTGGACTTTAGATAAGCTTCGCAACAGTCTTCTAAACAATTTATCACGATATGGTATCGTCCGTGAGATTGTCATTTATTTGGATGATTGGTCTGGATCATGGCCCACAGGTAACGGTCATGTCTACATGGAACGTCCTAGTAATGCCAATAAAACTCATGACGTTTTGACTTATAACATTCCACTTGAAGGAGAAAATACCTTTTGTCTCGGCACCTGGACAAACATGGGCAAACACTGTGTATACTGTAAAGGTAGCGATCATTACCGTAAAGATTGCACTAAAGCACCCTCCGAAAAACGTCGTTGTTATCAATGTGGTAACGTAGGTCACATTGCAAGGAATTGTTTCCGAACTAAAACAGACAATACCACATCGAGTAAGCGTCGTCGAGAAGTCAATGTTCAAACCCGACCTGCTAGTATCATAGTTCCTCATGCATCCTCAGAAGATCAATCTCCTCCCTGTCCTGATTCTAAAAACTTAGAATCCGTTGACGATGTCCCTCTCATCGTTTCTTCCATTGGTGCAACGAGTCCACCAACTAGTCCTACTATTGAGGATGATACTGTTTCACCTCTTTTCGATCCACAAACGGAGAATGCTAACTCTGAGATAAACACTTCTAGACTCAATCCTCGACCTACTCGGTCAACGGCAGGTACAAATTCTACACTGGCGGATTATTTGACAAATCTTCCTAATGAGAAGCGTTGTAAATGTGGCGGTACTGACCATCAGAAAACGAACAGTAAAAAGTGTCCTCTTAACAAAAAGAATCAAGATAGTCACAATATTGATCTTAACGAGAATTTGATTGCCATCACTCCTGTAGATACTTCTAGCGTAGAATCGGACAGTTTGGGTGGTTCCAATGCTATGGAGGAAGATTAATCCCTTTCCTCTATACATATTTCCCACTACTGCTTGCTTATACTTACTCAACGTCTTTCCTTTTACTGAATCTATACTTATACCTTTATTACATTATGAATAATCAATCTACAACTTCCTATAACTTAAGCGATTCCTCCCCGGCGCTTAATACTCAATCTCAATTCTTATCTCCTACCCTGAAAATCGGCACCCTCAATTGCCGAGGTCTACGAAAAACTTCTGACCCTTCCATCAGTAGTCAATTCATTCGATATTTACGTACTTTACCCTTTGATATCTTAGCTCTACAAGAAACTCATGCATCCTCGTCTGATATTGGTGACTTGTTTCACAACCAATTTCTAGCAACAAGTAGTTATTGGTCTCAATATTGCGGCTTGGTGTGTCTATCACCTCTCCTTAACTTGTCTGACCCAATGTGGGATAATGACCAACGAACACTGACAGTCAAAATCACTCACACGCAGACTCTTTTCGATCCTCTTTTTGTTACGGTCTTATACGCTCCTGCTGATTACACTCAACGACAGTCGTACTTAGACCCAATCCTGCTCAATCCTAACAATACTTTTGAGACTATACCCTCTCGTCACATTGTTTTAGGAGATTTTAACTACTCATATAATGCTAATATTTCCTCCCATAATTTTCTGAACGCTCCTTCATCATGGTTAAATTATTTGGATAAATATTATACAGATTCAATTCTGGCTACTGATCAATTTCATCAGACTACTTTTCACCGTGGCTCCTCCAGCTCATGTATTGATTATATTTTTGTTAGCCATGATCTATCTCGTTCCTGTCTTCCTCCGACGGCGTTATACATCCAACCTGCCTGGTCCGATCACATGCTCCTGTCTCTGACACTTCAATTGGAGCCTCCCCTTCCGTCAAATAATTCGTCCGCTCCATCATATCAAACTGGAAAAGGACTATGGCGTGCTCATCCTCGATTAGCTTCTTCCAAAACTTTTCGTCGCATCCTCGCATCTGCCATTTCAAAAACTATCGCAAATTTTCCTTTCGGTCTGAGTGCACAATATAAATGGGATGCAATAAAAGCAACGGTGAAAAAGGTATCACAAAATTATTCACGTAAACAAGCTTATTCTCTTTCGACAGCCGAAGAGGTTTTACAAAATAAGCGTTCTGTTCTCCGTAAACAACTTTTACGTGAACCTACTAGACAAGCCTCACTATCCCCTCAATTAAGTGCTGTTGAACATCAATTAGCCTCGATCCAACAACATCGTGTTGATACTCTAGCTCTGCGCTCCGGTCTTCAATGGCGGGAAAAAGGTGAATTGTCCGCTGGCTACCTCAAAAGGACGGTAGCCCAACGACAACAAAAAACTTTATTTAAGGCTATTCGGCACCCTAGATCCTCTGTCTTGTGTACTACACGCTCCGATATGCTTAATGCGGCTCAATCCTTTTATGCTGATCTTTATTCTCCTGATCCTGTAAATGATGATGCCATTAATGAATTACTCGGTTCACTTCCATCGTCTCTATCCCTCCCAAATTCAGATCAATACTGGTTAGCTAGTTCATTTACCTGGGATGAATTGTTGGCTGGTATTAAACGCTGCCCGAAACAAAGTAGTCCTGGTAAGGATGGGATCCCTTATGAAATTCTTCGTTTGGTGTTTTTGCATCCTGATTGCCGTGCTATTGTTCTCCAAGTATATAATGATGCTCTTTCACATGGTGTATTCCCAGACTCGTGGCTTCAAACGTGTGTCTCATTACTGCCCAAAAAAGGTGACCTGAGTGATTTAAAAAACTGGAGGCCGCTATCTCTTATCAACACCGATGCTAAAGTGTTTACTCGCTTACTTAATGCTCGAATAGTTGTGTGTGCTAATAAATTGATAACTCCACTTCAATCTGGATTTCTCCATGACCGGTTCATTGCTGACAATGGTTTAATGATGAAGCTGGTCTTGTCTCATGCACGCTCCTCCGATTCTGAGGCAATTGGCCTGTTGCTGGATCAGGAAAAAGCCTATGATCGAGTACATCCGGTTTATTTAACGCGTGTTTTACAACATTTCGGCTTCCCTATTGGAATAATTAAATGTATCACCAACTTGTTTTTTGGCACTAACTTACAAATTAACATTAACGGTTTTTTCTCTGAGCATGTGCCTCAATTGCGTGGATTACGACAAGGCGATCCTCTATCTCCCGTCCTCTTCAACCTGGCATTTGAACCATTACTCCGTCGAATCCTCGACGACCCTACTTTTATTGGGTACAATTTACCAACGTCCTTATCGGCTCCCACAACTATCCAACATCGCGTTAAATTACTTGCTTATGCAGATGATATTGCTTGCTTTTTAAATTCTCCTACTGATCTTAATATCTTAAATCGGCATCTCCACACATATTCTGTTGCATCCAATGCTCGTATCAATTATCACAAGACAGAGGCCTTTGCATTATCTGGTAAAAGCTCTATCTATAATCGTATTTGGCGTGCTCCTCTGGCTCAGAACAATATTTCTGTATGGCATGATGTTAATTCGCCAAATTCTATTATTTACCTTGGATATCCTATCTTCCATTCACCACTTCAACGCGATTCCTTTCTTCAGACTCTTTTAACCAAAATTGAAGCAGCATGCAATATACATAATCATCGATCTCTTTCTTTCCGTGGCCGAGTGACCATCGCTAATAATTTGATACTTTCCAAATTATGGTATATTCTACGGGTTGTCTCAGTGCCTAAGCATTTCCTTTCCTCTGTTGTTTCTCTAGTTTCGGGATTTGTCAGTATCCGATGTTTTCCTCGTATTAGTTTTAAATCTATGACCTTATCTCGAAAGAATGGTGGGCTTGGTTTACTGGATCCTTTTATACAACAAGCTTCCTTACAACTTCGTTGGCTTCTTCCTTTAATTCGACGGTCTAATCTCTCACACGAATTTTGGTCCAATCCCAACCTCTGTAAATCTATTGTGCTTCCATTATTGGCGGACTATCTGATGTACTCTCTTGAGACCATCTCGGGTTTGGTTCCTAATAATACTTTGGTGACGGACTATCGTCTTTGTTTCTTGTTTCCATCTCTTCGTCCCCCTTTGGTTTCCCATAGCGATAGCCCCCTATACCTCCTTTTTCATGCGATGGATATTTTACCTAAGGACTTTTCCACTGTAGTTATCAATCCGGAGACATCGATGCAACTTTCCATTGATAACATTGTGATTCACCAGCCTACGAAACCTATTCGCAAATCAATTCTTAAACTCTCCGTGCGTGATGTGTATATGATTGAACCTACCTCTCGTACTATTAGGCCATTTACTAACAGAGAAATTGTGCGTCGCCCTCGCTTAGTTAGGAAGTTTTTGAAAGATGTTCAAAACAATCACATCCAGCTGGCTCCATTCTTTATACGAACATGCATTGAAGCTCGCTTTGCTCACTTAGGTGTCCCTTCGTATTCCCCGGTTAATCATGACATGATCGACACCCAACCGTTTTTTAATTCCTGTGCTCTAACATTCCAAGGAAAGGATATTTCGACTAAGCATTTCCGCATGGCTTGCACCCCCGCTTCCGATAATCGCTTTGTAACCCTCAGCCCAACGAAATGGTCATCTTTTTGGCGATTTCCTGTATTTCATCTTTCTCGCAATGTATGGTATAGAATACTACATGACAAACTGCCCTGTCGGGCGGTTTTGAATAGGTTTATCCCGCTCTCGGTACCATCTTCGTACTGCCCCATCTGCTCACTCTCTGTGATCGAAGACAGCTCTCATTTTATTTTTGCCTGTCCTTTGAAGCTTATGGTTTGGCAGGAATTATGGCCTTCATTCTTTACTGCTCCTTTCTCTGTAGAACTATTAACAACGGCTATTTTCGCTTTGAAATTCCCTGACTCCAGGGATGATAACTTACTCCCAGCTTCCGTCTGTATCGGCCACACACTCCTTGCCATCTGGCGTTCTCATTTTAATTTTATCTTCCATGAGCAACCTTTTGTTACAACAACAGTGGTATCTGTTGCTCGATCCCTTTTACTAACTTCGTTCCGTGAACAGTTGTTAACGGCAGGTAAGTCTCCGTTTCCAATTCCTCACTTTTCGATTTAAATTCCACCTCGTTGTTCCCTCATTTAGTCGTATATCTTGGTCTCTCGTCCCTTGATACAACTTATTTTTTATTACCATCTGAACTTTACAAAAAAAAAAAAAAAAAAAAATCAAAATTTTTAAAAAACGCATATCATAAACTTTAATGTGACTTTCTCATATTTCACTAATAAACATCCGAGCCATTTTGGTCTCCATAAAAAAAAAAAATTTATTTTTTTCTTGTTACAATGAAACTACTTTCAATTTTGAAAGAGAATGAATCTCTATTGTCTATTAAAGAACCTGAATTACGAGATCATTATCAAGATTATCGTTTGGTTTTTGTGTTTTTAATAATTTTATATTTTAATTTTTTACACATAAGCACCGTAGGCGTATCAGTTTTTGTTATTCCGTATGTTATGATTGCAGTCGTCTTTACAACTAAGTTAATATAAATAAACCATCATTTATTTAAATAATAAAGAGGTTATTCAAATAAATCCAGTATATTGTACTTTACAGCATCATATTTATTCTACATTCAGTTTTAATAATAGTCATTGTTAGAGTATTTGAGCATTAAAAAAATAATTATATACATCATATTATGTAATAATAGGAATTCAATAGGATTATGCAATTACATAATTATTTATACAAGTCATACATATTATATATGCATTTATAATATTTAATATTGCTATGTAATAATATCTCAGAGGATGATAATAATAGTAGCGCATAAATACTTAATATTTGTTGTATTTGTACACAATCTGGATATAATAAAACATAAATGTTGAATATTCATCACTCAATAATGTTGTATAAACAATATTATTACGTCGAACATAAATTTTTGTAATTATTAATTGTAAAATCTCCAAATAAAACTCTTATGGAATTAGCAATCTGTTGAATACAATACCAGATTACGATCTGTAACATAATTGCTAATAATATCGTGAAGAGATCAATATCTAATAACATGACATCAATGAAATAAAGCATATTATCTATTGCTACAAAAAAAGTATAAATAGTCAGATGGTTTTTTTTTTTTTTTTTTTTTTTTTTTTTTTTTTTTTTTTTTTTTTTTTTCATTAAAAAAAATATGTATAAATATTTATATGTTTTTTATTGACTTTCCCGAGCCGAACAGATAATGACATACTTATAAGCTTGGATTTTTATATTTCAAGGTATCATTTTGTTATCTGTCATTTGAAAATGAGTTCTTCTAATTACAAGTAATAAACTAAGTGAATTGAATATTCTTCTCACTATAAATAATAATAATAAAAAGAATAGAAAAAACCAAAGATTAATATTTTAAATTACTGGTAATTAGATCTTACAGTCAACAACTATTTCCTGATCCTTCATCAACAGACAGTAACAATAAACGTAAAAATTTCCATGAGGCCGACCAAAAACTGATTGATGAACGAGAAAATGAGATTTTAACTTTTGGATATGAATGTAAATTATATAATGATGAGAACACAGCACTCAAGATCCATAATGGCGAATCCTTAATTCCTTGGAAAAATCACGATGAACAAGCATCGTTATTGATGGACAGATTTGATGTGCGTCATTTGATTGATAATCTTGATGATCTTTGTGACATTGCTGAATTACCAAATAAAAATTTTGAACAAATGTTGGACCTTGAACGATATGCTGATCTTTATCAACAAAATACAGAAGAAGGTATTCTTTCTTTCTTTCTTTCTTTCTTATTATTAACCAAAAAAGAAATCATGCTATTTAATATCAGAGCCTCCTATTAAAAAGAGCAAAAATACTGCAGCTATACCATACAAATACGACGAAAATTCTTATAATGAAATACAACGAACAATACTTACAAAATATAAAACACCTTCATCAATGATTATTGTAAATATAATACATGCGTGATTCATGTGTTTAATGATAATTATTAATATTATATTTATTAAGCCTGCAACAGAGGAGCAAATGTCTATTATAGAACAAGTAGCAAAACATGCTAATTCAGCAAAAGATTCTAATTTATTTGAGATTCAGGTGCAAGTAAAAAATTCAACAAATAGCTTATACTCTTTCTTAAATAAGCAAGATCCACTTTATTCATTTTATAAACACGTACAGTGGTTAAATCGATTAGGCAATTATTATAGCAGTGACAGTGAAGAAGAAGAAGAAGATAAGGGGATAAATATCCCATCACTCGAAACCCAGCAAATAATTGATAAAACTGCAAAATATATCGCAAAATCAAGCAACGGTGCTGAACTAGAAAAACGATTAAAGGAAAGAAAAAACCATGATCCCAAGTTTGGTTTCATACATCCTGATCATTTATATCATTCTTTTTATAAATCTAAAATTAAAGAATATAAGGATACATGTAAATAGAGGATTAAAGCCAATTATAACCAATAAAAAAAAAGAAGCCAAATGCATACTTTTATTGCTATTCTCATTTAGTATTAGCAAATCATGCAAAGAAGAAAAAAAAAAAAGAAAAAAAAAACTGCTCCTGTTGAATGAATGTGCTATTCTTAGCCCGGCTTCTTTAGCTGTGAATTATGAATATCTGTGTAAGAGAACATTATAATGTTAAAAATAGAAAGATACCTAAAGATAAATTTTTGATCCATATATAATAAGTATTACATATAATACATTATACATTTACCTTGGCGCTCAAGGCGATTTACCACATTAATACTAACAAAATTAGATAAATTCGAATGATTTTAGGCACAAGCTAAATGAAAAAAAAAATCAAGTATTATCAGTTTAAAAATTATGACATCCTTTCTTTATGAATTATAAATGCATGTGAGGAAACTCCAACTCAAAAAAACCATATTATGTATGATACTTAATACGTTTGTGGTATATTATATAAATCTATGGATATTATTGATTAAAATTTTAAGCATAACTAAATTCTGTTAGGCTATAAATAATATGTTCTCTCAATATTCTGTATGCTTTAGAAAGAAGTTTAATATTATCTAATTTTCGTACTTGTACTATTCATAGTTTCAGTGTATATAGAAACTGTAGTTAATTAGACTCAATAAACATAGAATGATATGAAAGACTGTACTCTTGAGCTTCATTTGTTAAACGAGATAAAGAGAGGGAGGGGCCGCTTTATGATCCTATGTGATGAGGCATCAATGCCTTTATACTTAATTCTTATGAAGCTACTGAACTATTTAAGTGCAATTATCATAATATTAATTTTTATTATTATTTATCTATTTAAAGTAAAAAGTAAAGCATATAAATATATATTTATATAAATAGAGAGAGGGTTATTAATAATCCATAGAAAGATACAAATAGCTATTATTACCTTCTGTTTCACCTAGGCATACTATAAAAGTATATTAGTTCTAAACTCCACTTTCTATGAAGAGTTGAATAATTTATAAAAGTTAATATGTTTATAAATATTTATATATGTATTATATGTAGAATAGGGAAGCTTATTTGGTGAGCAAAAAAAAAAAAAAATGTTATAATGACTATTTTTTCTTTTAATTGTGTGCATATACCTTTAGTATGAAAACCTTTTATACAAAGGCTCACTTGTCGAAACATATTAAAAAGAAAATGACAGATTTTAAAAGAGCATTTATATACTATGAATTTGAAAATATTTTGTAGTATGTTTATGTTTACAAAGCGCGAAGTGAATTATTACATAATAAACTGATATTTGTATTTGACACTTTAAATCCTCATTTAGCACTGCAATTAATTATGTCAGGTCATACTTTATTTATTTTTTACAATCTTCAGTGGCTTTCTCGGTTCCTTTTAATTATTATATACTTTTTTTAGTATTAAAGAATAAAGACATAAAAAAAGAATGTTATAAAAAGTAACACTGACTTTGTTTCTTTTTACATTTACTGCTTAATAAATAATGTAAAATATTTATTTATTCTTTCAATATATTTTTTCTTATACATACATACATTTATTTATATTTATACTATATACTTTGAGACCAATCAAATTCTATTGAAAAACTATAATATGCCTATCTTTATTACAATAGATATTTGGTCTATACTAGAAGACATTCCCGTTATTTTTGGATATATTGGTAAGTTTTTCTCCAAAAATAAACTATCCATATTGAAAATCCTTGATAACTTTTTTCTTTTTTTGTAAACTCAAGAATTAATTTTGTAGACCAAGACGCACAGAAAAGTTCAAACGATAAATAAAATATGGAGTATAGTTTACATAAATCTCTTTATTATCAGTACATTCTCCCCCTTAAACAGTTTAAGAAACTAACATTTGTATTAGAAAGTTTCCTCAGTTTTTTTTTTTTATTTTTTATTAAATATAACCTCTAGTCAAATGTGTATATTTTTATATAAAGATTTAAAAGTTGCGTCCCCGATTTATCTAAAAATACATTACTCATTTCGAAACAATTTTGCGGCGGAGACGGATTATCCTGCTACCTGTATTATGTTTGAATGTCCATTGCTGTTTCTTCAACAGAAAGAAAACAATTTTCGGTAAGGTTTTTTTCTGCAATGCGGGAAGTAAAAACTATCTAATCAGGAAACTAGATTAATTAGTCTTCATCTTAGCTAATCTATTTATTAAAAAAAAAAAAAATAGCTAGCATGCTTAGCAAAGAGTTTTAGGGGCATATCTCGATTTCACCCTTTAGCTCTGTTTCTAAACAAAATAATACAGGTACAATTGTTGTACTCTTCAACCAGAAGCTCGTATAGAGAGTGTTATTATATGGAAACCTATACACAATGCTTCTTCAGCAGCAACATTGAGCTGTTACAAAAAAAAAAAAAATTTTTTTTCTTTTATGATAGTAATAAAGCATTGAATCCGAAGAATACCATTTTTTCATATACTTTTTGTTAATTACTAAAAGCAAAACATTTTTTATTTTTTGCTCATCAATTAAATGGGTATTTAGATTTAAACCCCAGATTCTCTCAAAATAATAAAGATAATAATAATTAAAACTGATTGTCTTATTTTGGACTAAAAACAGTAGCAATACGCTAACACATCCTTTTATCTTCTATTGTCCAAAAAAGAATTTCAAGCTTCTTTTTTTCTCTCTTTTAAGATAATGATTACAACGTTATGTGCCCACTAACAACCGGCCATTTAAAATTTTATTACTGTTTAATTGTTCACCTTTAAATAGAAATTTATAAAGTCTAATTTACATGTAATACAGCGCACAAATTATTAGTTTATTAATAAATCCAGAACAACCTAGCACATTTTTAAGTTGCTTTTTCTTTTCTTTTTCTTTTCTTTTTCTTACCTTTTTTTCTCTTTTTTATAAACTTCTTTTTTTACTCTCTCTTTCTCTTTTTTTTCCCCGTGTGTGTGTTATTGTATTCATATATATAAAATGAAGTTGACTGCACTCTTAGCTTGTCTTCTAGCTGTCATTACTATTTCATGTGTTCAAGCTAGTAGCATGGATGACGCTTTAAAGAAATTTTGTGGTGGTAAAATATATTTATAAATTGAGGACAAGCATTTAGCATGAATATAAACTTATTCATCTTTTTTATTTTTCGATAAAAGGTCTTGAACTTCCTGAACCCAAGAAGGGTCACACATTTTCTAATCCAAAGAAAATCAAGATTACAGTCAGTAAATATCTTTTAAAAAAAATTTTGGTTTATAAAAATTTGTTGAACTTAACAACTAATTCTTTTTTTTTTTTTTTTTTTTTTTTTTTTTTTTTTTTTTTTTTTTTTTTTTTTTTTTTTTTTTTTTTTTTTTTAGAAAGAAAACCTAATTCCGAACAAAAAGTTATTTCTGCAGTTGATGTAAATATTTTTATAATTTCTTTATGTTTTGCGTGTACTCATGTTTTTTTTTCTTTGCATTAGGCTTATTCTATCAACAGTAAAGGACAAGCACAATATCTTCGTACAGTTTGGAAGGGTAGTTACAAATTACATAAGAAGGCCTCTTTAACGTAAGAAATATGAGTAGTTATAAACTATTATGTTTCAAGATTTTATTAATTCTATAAATATATAGTGTTAATTTAGAGAAAGCACAGGTCAAATTCCCTGGACAATTTGAATTCCGGTAAATTATCCTTTTTCTACAAAAAAAAACATATAACTCATTTTTATTTGAAACAGTGTCTGGGTTCACAATGAGAGGGGTCCCGATTGTACCTTAATGTCTAAGGTCTTCAAGGTCAAATCCTCCTCCCATAATAACGCTGCTGAAGAAGCTGAATACCAACAACTCAATGAAAATATTGACCGTGGCTGTTTCGGTGTTGAATTAGTCTCTCCTGGTTTGGGTGGTGAGGTTATTGCTGGTCAACCATTTAATGTTCATATTAATCGTGATTCTGCTGCTCATACAGACACTGTTACCAAGTTAGAACTTTATCGTGTTAACTTGGATTCCCGTGAATCAACAAAGATTCAAGATTCCTGGTCTGGTAGTGAAATGATCACTAACCTCATGAGCATCAAAAATACCATTCCTACCTCTGCTAAGGTACCTAACTCTGCTTTCTATTACAAATTGTCTGGTACTACTCAACATGGTGAATCTTGTGATTTCTTCTCTCATCCTTTCTATGTTAACTAATAATAATAATAAAAATAAAAATAAAAAGGGGAGGGGAGGGTATTCGTAAATATGATGATATTGTCCTTTCCCTCCCTCCCACCTCCTCTTCCCTCCTACCTATACTCTCATCTACCCTATTTCTTTCCTCTTCTTCCTTTTTCCAAACTGTATACATATTTATATAAAAAATAAATAAATTTTGTCCCATTTTGTATAACATATTTAAAAATAGAATTTATACATCAATAGTCGTTGATAGGATAGACTCAACATAATCAGCAGAGCGTCTTTGCTTGTTTAATGCTATTAAATAAATTCATAAAAATAAGAGGGAGAGGGAGAGAGAGAAGGTTTATTTATTCTAGATATAAGGTGTATATGTATATTATTGTCACTATTATTAGTATGTATTGCAGTAGTATATGTTTATACATTAATCCCAAATTAATTGTCCGTGCTCATTTACACTTGCAGTTGAAGTGGGTACCTTAGAGGATGAAACACGTTTCCCGTTTTTACCCCAAGGTGTATTCTTTCCTTGACCGGTTGAATAAAATTCTTGTATCTTGAGCTTTTCTAATTGTTTTTGATGTTGACGTAGTCTTTGTGCCTGTACTTCTTCTGCTGCCATCTTTTGTTCCTTCTTTTTCATTTGTCGAGCTTTATTTTCGCGTTGCTTTTTACTCAGTCCGGGAATATATCTCTCATTATTTTCAGTTGTTGTAGCTGCATTATTATCAATATAGTGAGAAGTAGTGGTAGTGACGGAAGCCATTTTAGGAGTATTACTATTATGAGATCGACGACCTAAAAGCAAAAGCAATATACAGTTATTATTTTTTTATTGCTTTCATTGCTTTCATTTTTTTTTTTAATTTCTTTACTTTTAACTTGACTCCAGCCTTCTTCATAAGGTACAGATTCCCATTCTTCTTCTTTCTGTTCAGGCTTGATACGCATCACACGTGCATAGTGAGCTGTAGGATCCATGTGCTCATCAATTTCACTCACTTTTTCCTCCTCAACGACCTTTTCTTCTTGAGGTTCTGACTTCTTTTCTTCTTGAGGTTCTACCTTCTTTTCAATTCTCTTTTCTTCCTTCTTCTTTGCTACTTGTGTCTTATTATCAGTTTCTGTCTTTTTTTTCTGGGACTTTTTCTTCTCGTCCTGTTTCTTTTTGTTATTATTTTCATTACTCTTCTTTTTATTTTTTTTACTAGTATTTGTATTCTCTGTCTCCAGTGCTAAACGTTTCTTTGCTTCTATCTTGGATTGCTGTTGCTGTTTTAAACGCTTTTGTCTTTCATATTCATAATCATCCAGCAATGGTTCAGCATTAGGTCCACCTGTTTTATAAACAACAAATAATGGGAATAAAAAGACTAATATCCATCCTGCTAATCTCAAATAATCAACAAAATCCATCTTTTCTTATAATAATAATAATAAAGAAATAAATAAACAAAAAAAGGAGAAAAAAAAAAAAACACGAAAAATATTAATTTTTTTTTTGTGGATATGTGTAACATTTTTACTCGTTAGCTCTCCTCTTGAATTTTTTGATAGCCAATCAAATACACGTAATATGGGTTCAAAAGCCCTTTGTTTGCCAAGAAGGTCTGATCTATGTTGCAACCAAAAAAATAAACCAACACATTATTATTATTTGGGTTACACGCATCTAGACAAATAGTTTATATGGATATCTAAAGAATATCTTCTATAAGTATTATTATTATTATTACTATTATTATTATTATACATGTCTTGTATGCATAGATAGTACCGTAATATGATATATACTCTCTAATGCATATATTATTATTATTATTGCATACATATATATAAATATATATGGTATTATGTATATATAATTTTAATCTTGATCAATGAACACAGGCTTTTGTATCTCCTGTTCTGCTGGTGGTAAAGGTAAGTAAAGGCCATGATTGTGAATGTAATCAATGACTGGATTAGGTAGTAAATACTTAATTGACATGCCTCTTTTCACAAAAAGTCTATTTAATTTTTACTATTAATTTATAATCATTACGTAATAACAAAAATACACGTATAAATTACCTTATTTTTGTAGAGCTAATATCATTATGGATCAATTGTTTAATTACTGTAACGTTCATCTAATATGTATAAGATATAATTAATAACATAACCTGAATCTCCTCCTCCTCCCCCCCTTTTTTTTTCAAATATTTACTCTATGCTGATAAAGGATATCGTGTGATAGCAAAAATCCATATACATCAGTGCCTGTTCTTTCAATAATGACACAACCATAATGGCCCACAATATGATGTAACTAGCGAGAAGGTTTGTTTTAATTCACGTATTACATAATAATAACAAAGAAAGTGTAAACTCACATCATTAGGTGCCCAAACACCAGGATGTCCAAAGGAGGCAATTAAATCACCACCAGCTAGTAACATAATACGAATTTTACGTCTTTTTCCTATTAAAACAAAAAATGAATATGCTGATACCTTTTTTTTTTTATAAATTTTCAATTTTTTTTTTTCCTTTAACATGCCTGATTTTGTCGAAATGCCACCACCTATTGTATTCAACTCATGATCAAAATGATCAAGAACAACCGCTGTACGTTGATAAGTTGTTTGACGTGCTTCCCAAGAATCCACCATTAACCAGTTAGATGTTGTTTCAACTGCCAATTGGCACATCTTGACACGATGTTCTGCCTTTGCTAATCCTTCTTTCATATAATAATCAGATACAGGTGAATAATATCCTGTTAATAATTCAAATTCATTTCGTTCTTTAAAATGATCTTGAGCCATTTCTATAAATCACAAAAAAATACATGTAAGTTTGTCCATGTTTTATTACATGTATATTTATTTACCAAACATTCTCAAATGAAGATAAGTTACAGGTGAAAAAGAACCACAAGCAACCAAAACTAAGGGGATCTTACTCTCGTCTATATACATATATACATTTATATATATATAACAATAAAATGTACACGTACATGAAGAGAATTTAGAATTTAGATTAATGGTATATTTTACACACACGTTTTTTTTTTTTTGGTTACCTTTCATGACAGTAGGTAAGAAATGGCGAGGGAATTTATAAGGGGTCTCGAAGGAAAGTGGTGACAAGTCATAAGATGTGGATATTATTGTCGTGGACACCCTATTTTCTTTATTCATCCTGTCAAAAATATATGAAGATATTTTTATATAAAATGGAAAAGAAAAAAAAAAAAAAAAAAAAAAAAAGTGCAAATATGAAACCCCCATTTCAAATTTAATCTCTATATCGAATCAGCTGAGAAATTAATTTTTTTTTTCCCGGATAATACTACTATTATTACTACTTCGTAGAAAGACCTTCTTCATAAGTACTAGTAGTAGTAGTAGTAGTAGTAGTAGTAGTATAAAGTTATATATTATCATATTATACATAGATTATATAAGAAAAATATCAAAGATAAGTTCATTAAAGGTATTTAATATAACATATAAAAAGGACTATTTTATCGATATGATAACCTTATTGTTGTTGCCATAGAGATAAAAACAATAAATCATCCGAAATGAAAAAATCAATAGATAATTGGCTGTAGATGAAATCTGATTGTCTTCTGTTAATATTCATTGATAGATATGATTAATATGCTAAGAGCTATTTTGTACCAAAAAAAAAAAAAAAAGTAACCTCGCTGTTATAATTGAAATAATGGATATTCTTCTTTGTGTTGTTATTTAATCAGTATAAAACACTTTCTTCTTATTATCTTTGTTGACTCATCATACAAAGTAACTTTTGCTTCAGGGAACAAATAATAAGGGCTTTAGAATGATCAAGTCAATAAAATTAGTAGTTCTATAGAAACCATGCTAATAAAGATATATAAACAATTTACAACTCAACTTTTGGATGGCGTAATTATAGGGCCTATTTCTTATCTTTCTTTAGGGTAAAGCTTTGAAGCTATTGCTAATAACACTAATATAAAAAAAAAGAAAGATAACATGAACAATAAACAAGATCAGAAGCTTGTACACGTGATGAAAAAAAAATTATTTATTTATATAATACAAGCATTTTATAAGTGATAACAGAATGCATGTTAGACAACAAACAAGTTTTGTCAAGATAAGAAAAAAATAGTCTTGGAATGGTACACTCAATAAAGACACTGAAAAATTGAAAGGAATCCAAGCAGAAGTCATGAATAGACTGTGGAGAACATGGCTGATTAAACAGAAAATGCAGCCATTTGACTGTAGCGTAACTATTGTTGATAACTTCTAACTTAATAAATGATTGCTATCTTGTTAGTAATAACTTGATATATACATACACATATTTTTATATATAGATCAGTCATATTAGCTATATCCTGAAAAGAAATTAAATCTTACAATCATAAACTACCCTAGCCTTTTAGCAAGTTCATCAAAAACTATGGGCATGATTCCAATACTGCCGAAAATATTCATCCATCTCGTACAAGACACTAACTGTTTGAATTTATCTTTTTTACTTTCTTTCGTCAAGAGCGATAATATTGTTGCATATAAGAAGTTTTTTTTTTTTTTTTTTTTCCTTCTATGAAACTTGTGGAGGTAAACATTTCATGTGCCAATTTTATTCTAAATTAATTAATCATTTGTCTCAAATTCTTCCAAAAATAATATAACACAATCATTGATATTTTTATAGAATCATCTTCTAAACGACCCATACTGTCTTTCTTGACTTTAAGCTAATATCAAGAGCTATAGGATAATTTAGTATTTTACACTAAAACAAGTCACCAAGTTTCTACAAGATGAAATGATAGTTCCTTAAATAGATATAATGCATCTGTTTGATACTCTATAATAGAGGGCATGGTATCTAGCAATCGTGGCTACGTCCAAAAATAATAAATATCTTCATCTTTTTTTTTTTCTTCTCTCTCTTTTGTGTATTTTATTCACTAGAAATAATTGCATAAATAAGTATGTGTATATCAAGTCCTTAGTTAAAGAAATCAGATATGCATTCTCATGGTATATATTATATACATTGGAGCCTTATATCAGATATATTATTTGGATGATTTGGCAGTTTTGAATATGATCGATAAGAAGCATTTATTGTTAAACAAACATATTGCAAAAACATAAGCCAGATTTGTTTGCTTAAGGTATAATTCTTTGATAATGATGAAACTATGACTCTTAATATTTAACTATAACTTTATCAATACAAATAGCTTTGATGTATATTTCCCAAATTCAATGATTCATGATATACTAACCAAGTAAAAAAAAAAAAAAATCAGGATATACAGCTTTTATTCACTCTTCAAATGGCACTCAATGTTTGCAAATTCTTTTATAGCTTGAATAGAATTTAGATAATATACAAAGTGTTCACAAGTCTAATAATTCCAAGTGTTCCAAGACTTGAACTTATCTAATGTAATTCAATCAAACTTTGACATCTTCTACAGATAGTTTACATGGAAATAAAGAGAAAGAGAAAGCAAGCCTTCTAAGATACAAATATCGTCAATTCTATTCTAAACATGTTTTCCGAAAGTCATCTGTAAGTGTAGACAGTTTAAGGATACTATTTGCTTCCAAGAAACTAAAACTGACATATTTAAGCAATATAGTTCTTTATATTACTTTTTCTAGTAAACTCTGCTTTTACAAGACAAACATTTCACACTTGTATCTTAACATGAATGCAGATTGTATATTGTTCAAACTGATAATATTATCTTTATTTTGATGACTTTTACTTTTTATTTATTTATTTACATAAGATTATAGACTTAATCATTCTAAATCCCTTATTATTTGTCCCCTGAAATGAAAATTACTCTGTATGATAAGACAACATTTTATGCAGTACTAAATAACACAAAGGTAAACGTCAATTATTTCAAATCATGATAGCGGGACTCCTTTTTTTATTTTATTATTATCAAGTCATAACCCACTATTTTTATAGCAGATAGCATTATTATGTAGTTGATAGCTACAATATAAAACTTATTAGTTTGTTCATATAGCATAAAGAATTCTTCTCAATTTCATAATATGCTTTTATTTTTGTCTATCCGCTAAAGAAAAAAAAAAAAAAAATTCAAATTAAGAAACAGCTATAAAATCTTTTTTTTTTTTTTTTTTTTTTTTTTTTTTTTTTTTTTTCTTAAATATTCAACAAATATAACAATACAAAGTAATTCATAATTATGGCACAAGGTAATTTGAAATACATATATAAAAGAAAAGAAATGTGTACTTCATGTTTTAAAAAAAAAGTGTGAAAAAGAGAAGGGAATGTTTTGGTTAATTGAAAGAAAGAATAATGTTATATCATTATTACAAAGCGGATTACTACATGAGAATTTGAAAAGGGGGAGAGAAAAAGAGAAAGAAAGAGAGAGAGAGAGAGAAGGATATGCTATTTTCATATTACTCATTATGAACATGGACATGGACAGAGATGTAATAGTAATGAAACTAACACAATACGCGTTTAATCGTTTCTCCCTTTTTTAGTTCCTCGTAATTTCCGTTTATTGGAAGAATTAGAGAAAGGAGAAAAAGGACTTGGAGACGGAGCATGTAGTTATGGTTTAGCTGATGATGATCTTTTAATGCATAATTGGCATGCAACTATTCTCGGTGCACCTCATGTATGTTATTTTATATTATATGCACACATATTTGTATTTATTCTAAATTCATATTTTAAATAGTCAGTTCATGAAAATCGTATTTATAGTTTAAAAATTTTCTGCAGTGACCAATACCCTAATCAACCTCCTACACTTCATTTTGTATCAAAGATTAATTTACCCAGTGTTAATCCACAAACTGGAAAGGTTTGTTGTTTATTTATATTGTATTCAAGCGATTGACTATTATTAATGAATTATGTGCTAGGTTGAACCCAGTCGCTTACCTTGCCTTACATATTGGAGAAGCAATTATACACTTGAGACTGTATTAACTGAATTAAGAAGGTAAATACACATGAACAGACAGATAATAATAGATACGTTTCTAAATAATGATAATTCTTTCAATTAAAAAAAAAAAGGGAAATGGCTACTATTGGACGTAAATTACCTCAACCCCCTGAAGGCACCACTTTTTAAATTGATTACAAGTAAACATAAAGAATATATTATTCATAAACTATTCTTATAAAATTTTTGTCTTTTAATACATGTTATATAAACACGAATATCCAACGCATTTGCATAAATGGGATATGCAATTTGAGTTTATTCACCTATTTTGAAACTTTGCAATAAAATAAATAGGGTCAATTATATCTTGTTTAGACATTTTTATAGGGGAACATATATCAGTCGATTTAGCTAGATTTAATGTATATATTTATATATATGTTTGAGTATTCTAGAAGAGTTGATTTCTTTAGCATTAACATTATATTAAAGACTTATATTGAAAGCCACTAAAACTAAGCAAAAGAAACTGAAATGTTTCCCTCACACTCTTCTTATACGTATTGTCTCTTCTTTAATAGATAAGTTAATTAGAAGAGAAAGATAATCATAGCTTCTTTCACAACTAAAGCGTTATCGAAAGATAGAAATGACCCTATTAGTTTCTTTGGAAATTGTATCGCTTTAGATCAGATGCTGTAGTTAGTTTTGACATCTACTTTCATGATAGACCTAAATACAAAGGGAAAAAAAAATTCATTCACTATGCAGGCAATGATTGTGTATTTGAGAATCCGCTTTTGGTCAAATCCATTTTCTTTTTGAATCTAATCTCGATAAATACTGGCTGTTCAAAAGACTAATTATTAAAAATGAAGAGCACGAACCAAAAGGTTAGTTTCTGGTATAGACAATATCTATCCAATAATACCAATACATACTTGTATAAATTATTGTTTTTCTTCTGTCAATTAAAGATGTTCAAATATATAGCTTGATCCAGTTAAATATACTTTCTCCAACAGTCATTATTGATTCGGTAGTACTTGTGCAACTAGTGATGATTATGTAAAGAACATTGCTACGTCTATTTATTGATGCAAATGTCTAAGTAATAAAGACTAGATTACATAAACATATTTATAATATCTAATATTGTAATTAAAATTAGTACAGTAGCTGGAATACAATAGTTGTTAGGAAACATTCTAATTAACATCTATTTTGTATATCAAACAAAATAGCTAATGTTGGTTTCACAAACAGTCATTTCCAGCCTTTCTTCAATAAAGACCGATTATCTACAAAGATATTTGTGTTTAGAAAGCCGCTTCGAATATGTTTAAGAATACGCATACAAATCAAGTTGACAATATAGGAATTATGTATCATTAGCTTATATATAGATATATATAAACACTATCCTCTGGCTAAAGCTTTGTTGTATGTATGCATTAAAAGGAGTTATTCTTTATTTTTTAAGTATGTAATATTCAATTGTATCAAGCGCTCCTCCATCCAAATAAACACAATAACACCATCCAGTTAAAATGATAAATAAAACTTGAGAAGCCATAAATATAAGCTTCAATATAAACATAACGTATGGGTTTTTCTGCATAAAAGAAAATACAATAGCATCGTTATTTAAACTAATTGTTTCAAACCACCAAATGATAATAAAAGTAATGATATCAAAAATACTCTCTATACACTTGCAAAAGGTATGTCCAAAGGTTATTTCGGTGTTTTCCTTTGTAAAAGAAGGTAAAGCATTTTCAAAAATCTCTTGCGAATCAGATAATGAACTTGTGTTGTCTGGATTTAAGCTGATATGACTCTGATGACTTGAATTAGAAGGATTTATATTCATGTTTGAGTTCAATCGAGAGCTTAAGCGGCTTAAAGAATGCTGTGAATAAAACTCTAAGGGTTGAAGCAAAGAGTCATGCCTTGAAGTAGATCTTGTTAATCTTTTATTATGAGATGATGATGTAGAATTTTGATGAGTGAGTCTTATATTCTGTGGTCTCTTATAGTATAATGAAGAAGGACATGCTGTTGATCTCATCTTGTGCAAGGCTAAGCCCTTCTCATTTTTAAATATGCCATAACAACCTTGACATTGATTTCTCTTGATGTCCATTATTTAAAACAAGAAAAAAAAAAACGAAAAGAAAACACTGATTAAAATTATATACATATTTATTGTATATAGAGCCATAGTATCTAAAATTAATATTTATTATCCTTTTTTTTTTTCCTTTTATTACGACTGAGGGTTTTTATAGTTTGTATTGCTTTGGATTTACAAACACTAAAGTACATTTTTAGATTGAAAACTTGCGGGAATTTTGAGTTCTACAAAAGAAAGCTATTTATCTATAAAATAAAAAAGTTAAACAATGAGGTAATCGGTAAATTACGATTTAGTTTATAGTAAAGGTGTTTAGTGAAGCTAATAAGTAGCATTTAGAGACTGTACGTCTAAATCAGTTTAGTCGCTTTTTATTTATTTATTATGTAAGCTTTTTACAAAACTGTTACTAAAGATTATTTTACTATTTCATCCATAATCTTATTAAGAACGCTCTATAAGGTTTAGTCAAAACACTATATATATTATTAATTCTAGTTGATAAAATCTTAACTTTTATAAAAGAAATAGTCATTGTGTTGATGAATAATTACTGTGCAACTACAGGTAATAGACTTATCATACCAGAAATCTAAACTACTAACACACTAAATTAAGTTTGATATTGAAAAAAAAAGTAGGAATTAGATGGGTAGCATATGTATTCAGGTTGAATTTTTTTTTCTGGTAAGTAGAGGTATACATCTAACTGATTTACTTTTTTTTTCCAGACTTAAAATGTGAGTCTAGAATTCAATGGATCATAACTACCATTTGGTCAACAAATAACGCCACCATATCCTTAAAACTAAAAAATGTACGCCTTCTAATAGCACTATAACGGGAAAGTAAATCCTATCAATTACATTATAGTATAATTTTGCCTTAATTCAAGACTTTTACGGTTGTCTAAAAGACAATAAGCTTGAAGAAAAAAAAAACTGGGTTACATGCCTCTACAATAAAATATTATAGGCATAATAAACTGGTTGCTCGCTATATATGTGTATACCTTACATTTATACAGATAACCTAAGAAATATGTTTAAAAAAATGCAACATTGTCTAAATGAAGACTATTATTGTGCTTTCTTTCTTTGTTCATTTGTTGCTATTACTTTTTGATATTTCCTCTTACTGCTCCCACCCTTTTTATATAAGGCGTTATATAACTATCTAATCTTTTATTCTATTTCTTATGTGTCACTTCTTTCCTAATACTTACTGTTCATATTAGATTAGTTTCATTCTAAATTTATGTCTGCTTAATATATTCATGACAATTATTACCAAACGCTTAATTTTATATTTTCGCATATTAATAGTTATAATATTTCTTGGCTTCTTATTTGCTGTTATAGTTTTAATAAAATGTCTCAATTACCTACCTACTGTTACTGAGTTTTAATTATATTTTCGTTTAGCTTATTTAGTGTGAAGAATACGACGACGGCCTCAATTACAGAACAAGAATAGAGTTCATTATAATATACGTAAATTATATATAATAGTAGTAAACTATTTATCACAACCAGACACGATACTATATAATTTATTCCCATTTATCACTTCTCTCAAGTTTATTTGATTTTATCATTCTTAATGGAATAATTAGATTATAATAATTCTAAAGTAAACGTAGCGTAGTAACAAATTAGCTTTTTTTATTTTATGTTATTACTATTTTAATCCTTTTCTTATTTGGACAGCTTGTTATTTAAAAATACATATTGAAGACAGTTAAATAAGATTAATTAAACTTTAGTTGTTTCAACCAGTAAATACAAGTCACCACTTAATTTACATGAATAATTGAAAAATAGACCAGACAAAAAATAACTTTGCAAGCATAATCATTAAAGCTATTCAATTGATAAAGACTGTATGTGTGACGCATGCGCATATGATAAATGTATGCATTATTTATATTACTATTACAGTTGTTTTTATCATTAATACTAAATGACAGGCCAAAATCCTGTTGCTGCTGCTGTTATGAATAGTTTTAAATTCAGTTAATATAATATAATATAAGAGGAAAAAAAAAAAAAAAAAAAAAAAAAAAGATCAACTTTATTATATATATTCATATAAATAAGAGAAATAGATATATTACAATATAGATATTGTATACATGTACATAAACGATTGTTAATAATAGCTGCTACTATATATTCTGTTGTTATTATTTACAGTATAAAATTGGAAGGATGTAGTTATTGTGCATTGTGAGACAAAAAGAGGATGAAACAAGTAGATAATTTTACATTTTTACAGCAGAGTTTTTATTATCGTAAGCTGGAAGACTCCTTCCTCCACGATAAGTAATTCGAGCATCGTGTATTAACGGACTTGCAACTAATTCAGCATCAAATACAGGCAAAGCTTGATTTGAATTGATAAATAAGAATGAGATTAATAATGAAAAGAGACAAAGAATATTCATATTGATTCAAGTATATATAAAAAGAAGAAGATGAAAAAAAAAGAATAAAAAAAAAAAAAAAAAAGAAAAAGAAAATGAATTTTATCTGAATATTTAAATGTATTTTTATTTTTGGAAGATGACCTCTTAACCTGTATGTTACGCATCATTCCCGGTCTTTTTTTTTTTTTTATTATTATTATTATTATTGTTATTATTTTTATGACGTTGGAAACACTTTTATTAAAAATGGGAATATTTTTTTTCCTTATTATTATCTCAACTAGTCATAAGAAACTGTTTATTTTATGCATAAATTCTTATTTATTTTACAGGTCGTTTTTAACTTATTTTACTATTAATTAAACAATTTTTTTTTTCACATTTAGAAATGATTTGAACCTTTTTTTCTTTTGCTTCATAAATTTTATGCTATTATAAGGTAAAACTTTTAATAATGGATCTTTATCCGCTTTTTCTTTTACTTGAATTTATCAACTTTCTCATTTCACAAAACTTTATTTTAGGATTACATAAGACTTGAATACTGTATTTAACTTACCTTCATGTTTCATTTTTGATTTGTCAAAGAAAGTTTATACAACTACACAGTATACTCGATGGTCATTTGCTTATCCTTTCTCCTTTTATATACATATATATATATATATATTGCATAAATTATTGATTTATGTAAATAATTCCCAATGGAATATAATGATTTAAGAGTGATATCATTACTACTACTATCTATAATATAGTAAGTAGTAGGACATGTTCTACATGATACTATCATATCCACATAAGTTATCTTTTATTTTATGTTATTCCTACTTACCTAGTTGTTCAAAGATCTCTGAATTTCTTCGATATCAACGAGCTTTGTCAATCATAGACTCAGCAATTGATCCCAGTGCTGCACATTTTCTCAATTCTTCAAAAGCTTTTTCACTTGCCAGACTGAAGCTTATCAATTAGTGCTTGATTAACTTCACCCTACTGAGGGAAGCTTTTTTATCTGCCCTCGATCTACAAGTGACTTGGCTTTCTACATAAATTTTCATGAAGAAGATGGCCACTCAGGCGGGCAATTAACGGTGGCCTAACTATTGACAGCATTCAATATAAAGCTACAGTCAGGCTTATAGAAATTGGCGTTTTCTCAAAAATAATTGGCCTCAAGTCAAAAATATTTATCTACTTTTGAAAAAAAAAATTTGTCTCCAGTTAAGATTATTTTTGGCTGTTTGTCTAATATTTTGATTAAAAAAAAAAATAAGATCTCGTATTAAAATTAGGAAGGGTATTTATACTTTTAAAATAATGCATATTGATTTATTCATAATTAAATTAGCTGTTCTATCGTGCTACGCTCGATTATGGTCTTAACCGGTGGGTTTGTCTCTTTTAACATAATAAATCTATATAAAGTAAGGTAAAGAGAACTTAAAGCGAAGAACTATTTGACAACAAAAATTTCAAGTAGAGTTATTGTTACTTATGAGAAACTATGGATAGACAATATTTCTTAGTTTGCAAGCTATCATTCGGAAATAGAATGGAAACACTACTCACAGAGATTGTCCTTGTGATATCAAATACGAAAAAAAAAAAAAAAAAAAAAAAAAGATGATAAAGTAAAACGAATGAGTGATCAGACTAGCTGACGATAAGAAAAGATCTATCCTTTATTAAACATACAAAACAGGGTGCTTTATCATATAGTTTTCTAATTGCAGGAGAAACCGAGTAACCTTTGCGAATGAGTGGACAGACTGTGCTTGGATTATATATAATCAATTTAAACAATAAATCCATAGTAGGTAATTCTTTATAGTTTATTACTGCAGTAGATCAAATAATTTTTTATTCTAAAATAATATTGATTGCTTTTTATATGGGATATCTATAGCACTTTACCCAAACTCATAACGGGCAATCTTCTTTCAAGCTGTTGGTTTAATATATATATATATATATAAAACCCCCTTAAAAATACGAATAATCCAAAGTTTTATGTTCAAAAGATGCATAATGTTAAAATGATATGATAAATAAAGCCCAAAAAAATATTCCATAAAGACTTACTTTGATTGTTTTTGGCTGATACTTACTTTTGTTATTTTTACATAATAATCGTCGCTTTTCTATCTCTACACGCACAGACAAGAAGATTGTTACTGTTTTCTTCTATCTTTCACAAAGAAGCATAACTACTGTGATGGTACGTAATACAATAAAAATAAAAATAGAAATAAAAAGTAAAATAAAAAGAGAAAGAGAACGAAAGGAAGTATAGTTTGAGACTGTGTTTATTCAATGAAAAGAAAAGAATAAGCATTGAAAGTTGAAGGAAAGTTAAAGATTATTTTGTGTCTATACAAATGCTTGTATTTATACTAATGAATCCTGAATCAAAGAAGTAAAAATAGCTGTCAAAGAACATGAGTCATGAAACAGTGTTAGTATTCAGATATACATTGTGTTGATTCAAGAGACTGATTTATGGATTATTTATTGAGTGTTATAATGATCTGAGTGTATGTTCCTGATATCTTTTATATTCTATTTTATTGGATCAAAGATAACCTGAATCCTTTGTCAAGGTCATAAAAATAAATATGTAGAAATGATACAATGTCTTATTTAGTTGATACATCTAGACGATTGGATGTCAATAAGTTTTATATTATTTACAAGATGTTATATACAGAGTTTTATTTCATATCCAGGCTTATGGTTTATCCTTTATTATGTAATTCATCTTTTATAATATTACTTGTGCTTATATCCAGAGCTTGTTCTATAACAATGCTAATATTCTATCTTCCTCAATCGTTTCGGATCAATTATTGTCGTTTTGACAGTCTACTGTAATGCTTTTTGCCCGTAAGGGTTATGAGTATTAAAGCTATTCGTATTGCATCTTTAAATGCTCGTATCATTTCCAAAGGCGCTGACAAAAACACCCAGAGGTTGTTTTTATCTTATCCAAAATCCTCTTCTTTGTCTCTGGATATCTTGTGTTTACAATAAGTTTCGGCCTTTCATCAATAGGACTATCTGACTGATGAACAATGTCAATAATTTCACTTCTATTTGTTTTCTGATTTTTCAGGTGTATCGTATTAGTTTGTCCGTTACGGATACTATTATCAACTAAATCATTTGTTTAATTATTAATATTTATGGTCCAGCTCAGTTACAAAATAGAATCCCTTTTTTTGGACTCTTTCATGACCTCACCTTTCATTCAACTAGTTGATGAAGATCTACTTCTGTTTTTTTTTTTTTTAAAAAAAAAAAAAAAAAAAAAAAAAAAAAAAAAAAAAGACTTTAATCTTCAACTTAAAAAAAAAAATCTTCCTGACTCTTCTACAAACCAAAGATTTCTCCACTCGTATGTTTGACTTATGTCTAATTTTTTTCAATTGTTTCTCGGATGGTCATCCTACTTTTCAGCGGGGACACAAACACCGTCACAATTGATTACATTTTCTGCAAAGCATCGGATATGACTCGTGTTAGCAATAGACAGTAATTGCTTTTACCTACCTCATAGGCAGATCATCAGTCACTTTATTTTGATTTTCTGTCAATTAAGGAAGATAGTGAACCTGGTTTTTGACGCTTCAACGCTTTCCTTCTGCACAATAATTTTTTTGTAGCTTTATTTGACAAAGCTGTTATTTTTCTTTTAAATTGGAATCTTCCAATAAATTCACGCAGAATTTATAGGTATTATTTAAAAGAACACTTCGAGACGCCTGTTAGATCTTTTCCACAGGCTATAAACCAAAGCAACAGGGCCAAATATAAAAGCTACAACATAACTATCAATCCTTAAATATTTCTTTTCCGGTGTCACCGATAACATTCAATCACAAAGGTTAATTCATTTCAAAGCGATTAACTGAGCTACTTGAAAAACAAAGTATAGACTGAAATGCAGCAGATGCTTCTTCGTTCGGCTACTTAATGGCATGAGGATAATAAGCGGAACACTAAGCGTTTCTAAAAGGTGATCAAAACCTGGCAAGCTAAGAAAACTATTCAAGCGATAAGGTCAAGTGACAATGGTAAACTGTTGGAATCTACTATTGATATATACTTAAAGAAACCTATCGGCTTTATAGTAATCTATATACCCCTGATGCTAAAGATGAAACTGTAATTAAGTCTTTATTAGGCAACATTTCTGAAGATACAAAACTCACGAATGATTAGTTTACTGCATTGAAAACTGATCCTACTGCAGCTGAATTAATGTCTGTTGTTACAGACTCTCTTACTCTACGGAGCCCTGGTTTGAATGGAACACCTTTTAAAGTGTATAAGTATTTTTTTTATAACTTTTCTACAGCAAGAGAACTTTTATTACAGTTATTGATAGATGCTTGCCACGGTGCTATACCACTTTCTTAGGCACAGACCAGAATAGTTCTATTATATAAAAAGCGGAATCTTTCGTTACTTAACAATTGGCACCCTCTGTCATTTATCATTATAGATGCTAAAATATTTACTAAGCGATCAGCTAATAGATTCAATATAGTGCTATCAAGTTTAATAAATCCGTATCAACCGGATTGTTTACCTCGACGTCCAACACCTGATAATGGCATTATATTACCACTAGAGAACATTGATCCATCAACTCTGCTTTAGCTTGACTGTAATTATCAACTACGATAGAAATATCTCTTAGCTAGCTTCAAGATAACATGCTTGAATAGAATAAGAATACTTCTTTGGTTCTTTAATTTTGTTCATTTCTTTTCTTTTATATCTTACTTTCGTTTATATTTTTCCTCTATTCCATTTTACCTCTACTATTACAATTTTTAAAAAAAAAAAATCATTTATTGCATTTTTAATAAGAAAAAAAAACACTTAGATATGCACATATAAAAAAGAATAATAGCACTCTAATAAATAATGATATTTAAATTTTATACAAGTTCTCTTTAACAATAAAATGAAAGGATAATTAGAGTTAACACTTAAATATTTTGATAATCACTAAATAGATAATTTTTGCTCAGATGGAGAAGACTGTAAATGAGGGTTATGGTTAATGTATTTGTATACAATTCATCATTGCCGTTTTATTTTCGTTCTTTGTTTTATAAAGTGTAATGTATAATAAGCAACCAGTCAGTTACGGAGCATTTGTGTTTTAGTTCTTCAATTAAATAGGTTCTTTTGCAAGTTTTGTGGACCTGAATTTGAAACACAGGGCTTCTTGAAGCATCAGGGTGATGTAAATATTATCATGCAAACTTGGAACTATCAGGTATGCGATCAGCTAATTCGGTAACAGTACATATAGCTGGTAAAGTAGTATGTAACTTAATCATGAATATAATAATGAGGGTAAAGTTACCATATATTATGATTGAAGCCATAAAATATTTCTAACCCTCTATTTTGTGAATATAGATTGCTACAAGATAGAATCCAATAGCTTCACAACTATCTTTAACATCCATAATACCATCCTATAGAATGCATGATAAAATATAATACATATGCTTCCATATTTAGAATAACTCCTTTCCTTCTTCAGCTTTTCATCAATCCTAATATCTGCTCGATCATAAAAACATATGCAGTTAGTAATATCCCTCCACCTCCCCCTCCACCTCTTTATTTTTTTTAAGAAAAAAATTCTACATTTTTTAAAATTGAGTATGCATGTTTTCGTTCAAGAAGTAATACATTTGAAATAAGTTAGAAGACGCAACTAAAAAAAAACTATCAATAAAAAACTTAATCATATGATACGGTTTTTGAACTTACTTAAAAACACTTTACTATCTACACTGCTGCTCTATCTATGGGTATCTGCTAATAGTTATTAATAGTATCAGCTTTTAAAGTGTCCTTTCTGGCAACTCTGTGATCCATCTTTGGATAATCTTGATCGTCAACAACTTCAGGTAAACTGTCTACATTTTCTTTACAATAGCCTTATTCATATCCGTAAATATCCTACTTTTACGTTGCTCGTTATTTGCCGCCTTAATCCAATTCTTTGCTTAACAATGACCTATATTGAATGTAGTCATGCTGCTTGTTGGCTTTGAGATGGTAAACCAAAACTTTGCGCATACTACTCTCACTCTGGCTTTACTCTTGCTTATTTCATCAAGGGTCGTCATGTATATAGTCGATTGTAACCTCTGTTCTCTGTTGAAGACCCTATTCTTCATTTTGAATCTGTTACCTTTCCAAAAGCTTTGGCTTTCACTAGAGACCTCTACTTGGTCTGTCCATTAACCAGCTGTCTGTACTATAACCCTATAGGAAATGGATTATCATATCTATCATTCTCATCAAGATCCTGGCACCTAACTAACTATCTTTGTAGGGCTGTTGGTACCTCAGTTACTGTTTCTGATTTCACTATTATTTTGACGTTTTCCTTTTTTTATATACATATTTATTTATTTGATTTTTTTTTTTTAATTTTTAAAATTTTTAAGTAAAATCTTATATTACCTAATCAATTGCCTATAGACAGACAAATTATTGTTCTAGTATATATTTATAAAAAAAAAAAAAAAAAAAATGAAGGTATCTAGATAAAATAAACATTTATTTTGTTTTCAAACTAGTATTTGATATATAGCTTTTATAGTTATAGAAGAACTATACGTGTAGCATATATTCCTTTTTCACAACAAGTTAATTGATTATCGTGACCTCTTTTTTTTTATGAAAAACTATTTTATTGTTTTATTCAATTCTATTTTTTTTTTTTAATAATTTTCAATGAAAACTTAATATAAAATGGCACTATCAGGAGACTTAGCATATAAATTAGCTAAAGAAATAAAACGTACATCTGATCTTTTCATTTCACCTTATAATGATGATCTTGTGCAAAACATTTGCAGAGAAATTCGCTTTTTACACAACAAAGCAAAAGAAACAGTGAATGCAATGAAAGAAGATCCTACAAGACAAGCCATGCAAGATCCAAGTAATATATCACAAGTCATGCTATATCATTTAGCAGTGAAGCGTAATAAACGTGTGCTATTCGCTTATAATCGATATCGAACAAGTAAACTAAAAGATATTTTATGGAATGTTGGTTTATATTCAAAATATAAAAGACAGATTCTGGCTAGTTTAGGCCCGACAGAACAACAGTTTTTAGAAGAATATGGAGAAATGGTCAACACATATAAACAAAGCTTTTTAGAAGTTGATTTAGGTGGTCCTGGAGGTGCAGGCTTAGAACCGCCTATGGATTTATTTATTGAAGTACGAGTCATACGTGATGCAGGAGAAATTAATACTGAGTACGGCTCTTTAAATCTCTCAAAGGGGAATCAATTTTATGTAAAAAGAACGGATGTTGAGTCATTGATTAAAGCTGGATATCTTATTCATGTGTAGGAAATAATAATAAAAAAAAAAAGGTATTTGTAAAGTTATTATTATTATTATTATTATTACTATTATTATACATCCTTTTTTTTTTCTGCTGCCTATATATTTATTAAGCAAAGTCTTTGTATTTAAATAAAAAAAAAATCATTGTTCAGGTGCGCTTGTATATATGAATACTAAGTCGTATATAAGGATTGGTGGTGTTGTAAGTGTAATATAATACATACATGTAAATATGTCCAAATATTTTATTATATTTAAGCTTCCTCGTTTTTGGTTTGCTGTTTAAAGAATTCCTTTTCATGCTGTTTTCTTTCCTCTCTTGTTTTATTAGCATAAATTCCCTTTAATTCGCCGGAAGCTTCATATGCATACATAGTGGCTCCAACAGCTGCACAACCAGCACCCATCTTTGCAAATGAATGACCTATTATATATATGTATATCAATATATTCAAATTGCTTTTAGATATTGTTCATTTTAACCTTTTTATACTTACTCTTAATACCGGCCAACATACCAGCTGCACAACCACCAATAGCAGCATTGATAGCGTCGTCTTTTCCACGAATATCTTTTGCTGTACATTCACCAAGAGTAAAAATACCACCCATTGCAGCTAAAATAGAAAGTCTAAGTTTTCGGATCTACTAACAAAGTTTTTGTAGCTCTATATATTTATATATATACATATATTTACCGAAGAAAGCAACAGTGCCACCTGTTCTGGTAATGACACCTCTAGCACCTGTAGTATGCTTTTGTACTATGTTTTGAATGGCTGACACAAAAAAACCTACACCACCAGCGATAGCAGCAGTTTTTCCCGCTTCAGCAATGCAATCCTTAGTTTCTGTCATTGTCCTCTAATTAATGTAAGCTCAAAAAGATAACAAAAAAATATATATGAATAAGGATTTTGTTTTTTTTTATTATTTTATTTAAAAAAAAAAAAAGGCGGGGTCAATTAAACTAATAATTATTACTCTTAAATCAAATTGAACCCCTCGCTTCATTTTACTGTTAGCATTCAACACACATCTTTTCCAATGAGTGCGTCACAAATTAATTTAAACTCCTACGATTTTTTTTTTTTTCTCTTTCTGTGTAAATTATAAAACATTCATTTTTTTTTTTTTTTATATACACATATAAAGGCAGTAAAATCAAATCATGAGTGACGGTAAAGCTTAATGTTAAAATGAAATAAATAGAATAAATCTAATTTTATATATACTTCTAGACATTGAAAAAGAAATTAAAGCCACACAAGCAAAACGTGCTTTAATTACTGAAGAAGACATTAGCAAAGCAGTTTTAAATAATGAGAAGCATGCCAGTATGGCTGGTGTTTCTTATGATACTGATCTTTACACAACTGATAAATTTGCAGGTTATTCTACCTCTTTACCTGTCGATGAAGAAGAAGAGGAAGAGGATGAAGTTTATCAAGAAACAAAACGTAAATTAAATTCATATACAGCTTCTAAAGATATTATCGATGAATCTAGAGAAGGCGCAGATGCTTATGATCCTTTTGCTGACACAATGCGTGAACGTACTGTTGCTGGAAAACAAAATGAATACCAACAACGTCGTTTTAATCGTATGTTATCACCTAGTAGAAAAGACGCATTTGGAGAAGATCAAGGAGATAATGAATCTCGATCTTATTCTGAAGTAGCTCGTGAAGCTGAATTGGAAAAAGAAGAACAAAGAGTTTTATCGATTATTGCACAAAAGAAAAAGGAAGAAGCACAAAATGGTACCAGTGCTCAACAACAACAACAACAAGCACAAACAAATGTTGAAGAAACACCTACTACACGTAAAAAGAGAAGATGGGATGTAGCCACACCTGTTACTCAAAATGTAGAAGCAACACCCGTAGCTAGTACTAAACGATCTCGTTGGGATGCTACCCCTGTAAGACCTTCTGAATGGGATGTAGATGCTACTCCTCGCGCTACCCCTAAGCGTTCTCGTTGGGATGCCACTCCTGTAGCTGCTGATTTGGTCGCAGCAACACCTGTAGGCGGTACAGGCATGATGACGCCTTTACCTGGACAAGCATCATATATAACACCTGAAGCTGCAAATGCTTTACGTTGGGAACGTGAATTAGATGCTCGTAATCGTCCTTTATCTGATGAAGAATTAGATGCTATGTTTCCTACCACTGGTTATAAAATCCTTGAGCCTCCTGCTGGTTATGAACCTATTCGTACACCTGCTCGTAAGTTAACAGCAACACCTACACCAATGGGTGATACAGGCTTCGTTATGCAAGAAGAACAAAGACAAATAATTGTACCTGAACTTCCTCAGGAAATTCCTGGTGTTGGTGCTTTACCATTTTTCAAGGAAGAGGATATGCAACATTTCGGTAAATTACTGGACGAAAAGGATGAGAGCACAATGTCGGTTGATGAGCTTAAGGAACGTAAAATTATGCGTTTGTTATTAAAGATTAAAAATGGTACACCACCTATGCGTAAAGGTGCACTGCGTCATATTACAGATAAGGCTCGTGATTTTGGGCCTGGTCCTTTGTTCAACCAAATTTTACCTTTGCTTATGTCTCCCACTTTAGAAGATCAAGAACGTCACTTATTGGTCAAAGTTATTGATCGTATTCTTTATAAGTTAGATGATTTAGTTCGTCCTTTTGTACACAAGATTTTGGTCGTTATTGAACCTCTTTTAATTGATGAAGACTACTATGCTCGTGTTGAGGGTCGTGAAATTATCTCAAATTTATCAAAGGCAGCTGGTCTTCCTACCATGATTACTACAATGCGTCCAGATATTGACCATCCTGATGAGTATGTTCGTAATACAACAGCTCGTGCGTTTTCAGTTGTTGCCTCTGCCTTAGGTATTCCTGCTCTTTTACCTTTCTTGAAAGCTGTTTGTCGTTCAAAGAAATCATGGCAGGCACGCCATACAGGTATCAAGATTGTTCAACAAGTTGCTATTCTTATGGGCTGTGCTGTTTTGCCTCATCTTAAAAATTTAGTTGAAGCAATTGGACATGGTCTTGAAGACGATCAACAAAAGGTACGTACGATTACTGCTTTAGCTATTGCTGCCTTAGCCGAAGCAGCTGCTCCATATGGTATAGAATCTTTTGATTCTGTCCTTAAACCCTTATGGTTGGGTATTCGTAAACATCGTGGTAAAGGTCTTGCCGCCTTCTTGAAAGCTATTGGTTACATTATTCCTTTGATGGACGATGAATATGCCAATTATTATACAAAGGAGGTTATGGTCATTTTGATTCGTGAATTCCAATCCCCTGATGAAGAAATGAAGAAAATTGTATTGAAAGTTGTAAAACAATGTGCTGCTACAGATGGTGTTATGCCTGCTTATATTAAGGAAGAGATTTTACCTGAATTCTTTAAGCATTTCTGGGTTCGTCGTATGGCCCTTGATCGTCGTAACTACAAACAAGTAGTTGAGACAACAGTTGAATTAGCTAATAAAGTAGGCGTTTCTGAAATTGTGAGTCGTATTGTCAATGATTTAAAGGATGAAAGTGAGCCCTATCGTAAAATGGTAATGGAAACAATTGAAAAAATTGTATCCAACTTGGGTGCAGCTGATATTGATCCTCGTCTTGAAGAACTATTGATTGATGGTATTCTTTATGCATTCCAAGAACAGACAGTTGAAGATATTATCATGTTGAACGGTTTTGGTACTGTTGTTAATGCTTTAGGCATGCGTATTAAACCTTATCTTCAACAAATCTGTTATACCATCTTATGGCGTTTAAATAACAAATCTGCCAAGGTCCGTCAACAGGCCGCTGATTTAATCTCACGTATCGCTGTTGTTATGAAGAGTTGTGGAGAAGAGAAATTGATGAGTCAATTAGGCCAAATTCTTTATGAATATTTAGGTGAAGAATATCCAGAGGTCTTGGGTTCCATCTTGGGAGCCCTCAAATCTATTGTAAATGTAATTGGTATGGCAAGCATGACCCCTCCCATTAAGGATCTTTTACCTCGTTTAACTCCAATTTTACGTAATCGTCATGAAAAGGTACAAGAAAATTGTATTGATCTTGTTGGTCGTATTGCAGATCGTGGTGCTGAATATGTCTCTGCTCGTGAATGGATGCGAGTTTGCTTCGAATTGCTTGACCTCTTAAAGGCACACAAGAAAGGTATCCGTCGTGCCTCCGTTAATACCTTTGGTTATATTGCTAAAGCCATTGGTCCTCAAGATGTTTTAGCTACTTTATTAAATAACTTAAAGGTCCAGGAACGTCAAAACCGTGTATGTACAACTGTAGCTATTGCTATTGTAGCTGAAACATGTGCTCCCTTCACTGTACTCCCTGCTTTAATGAACGAATATAGAGTACCTGAACTTAATGTACAGAATGGTGTATTGAAGTCACTTTCATTTATTTTTGAATATGTAGGTGAAATGGGTAAAGATTATATTAATGCTGTAGCTCCTTTGCTAGAAGATGCGTTGATGGATCGTGATCTTGTTCATAGACAAACTGCTTGTACCACCATTAAACATATGGCTCTTGGTGTTGTTGGTCTTGGATGTGAAGATTCTCTTCGTCATTTACTAAATTATATTTGGCCAAATATATTTGAAACAAGGTAAGATAGATAATATGTGTGTACATTTATTTAATATTTAATTTTTTTCTTTTCTTTTTTAAAAAAATAAAATAAAATAAAATAAAAAATAGTCCACATGTTATCAATGCAGTCATGGAAGCTATTGAAGGTCTTCGTGTTGCACTTGGTCCAGCTACTATTCTTCAGTATACATTACAAGGTCTTTTCCATCCTGCAAGAAAAGTTCGTGAAGTGTATTGGAAGATTTATAATACTTTGTATATTGGAAGTCAAGATTCGTTAGTGCCTTACTATCCAAGATTGGAAAACGACGAACGCAACCATTATATTCGAAATGAGTTAGATTATGTCCTCTAAAAATGCCCTTCTTTAAACCCTTTCTTTTTTTTTTTTTAGTTATCTTTTATTTGTGTTTTTTTTTATCATTATTATTACTATTTCTTACAAATGTTGAATAAATGCATTATATTTATATTTTCATTTAATTTATTTGTTTTTGTTTTTTTACAAAAAAAATATATATGTGTATATAACAGAGTAAAAAAAAGGGGGTGGGGGATTTAAATGAGTTTTTCTATACTTTATCGATCAACTTCACCAAACACAATATCCATAGTACCAATGATAGTGACCATATCAGGAAGTAAGTGACCTCGAGACATAAAATCAGAACCTTGAAGATGTGAGAAACCAGGAGCTCTGATTTTACATCTATAAGGTTTATTAGAACCATCAGAAATCAAGAAAACACCAAATTCACCCTTGGGAGCTTCAATAACAGTATAAGTTTCACCAGCTGGAACAGAGTAGCCCTCGGAAAAGATCTTAAAGTGGTGAATCAATGCTTCCATATCCTGCTTCATTGCAGCACGAGGAGGAGGAGTTACTTTCCAATCATCTGTTTTGACAGGGCCTTCAGGCATTTGATTGATGCATTGATTGATGATACGAAGTGATTGACGCATTTCTTCCATACGGCAGAGATAACGATCAAAACAATCCCCATTTTGACCAACAGGAACATCAAATTCTACTTTGTCATAAGCATCATAAGGAGCAACCTTACGAATATCCCACTTAATACCTGAACCACGACAAAGGACACCAGAGAAACCCCAATCCATAGCTTCTTGAGCTGTTACAATACCTACATCACGTGTACGAATATGCCAGATACGATTACCGGTTAAGAGTTCTTCAATCTCATCAACACGATCACCAAATTGTTCTGCCCATTCATGAATATCAGATAAAAGACCAATAGGAATATCAATTGCAACACCACCGGGACGAACATAATTAGCATGAAGACGAGCTCCAGAACAACGTTCATAGAACTCCATTAATTTCTCACGTTCTTCAAACATCCAAAGTAAAGGTGTTAAGGCACCCACATCCATAGCGTGAGACATGACAGCCATGATATGATTTAAAATACGAGTGATTTCACCAAACATAGTACGAATGTATTTTGCACGCTCAGGAACTTCAATATTCAACAATTTCTCTACTGCTAAAGAATAGGCTTGTTCATTTGTCATGATAGAGACGTAGTCAAGTCGATCAAAATAAGGTAAAGCTTGAAGGTAAGTCTTATATTCAATCAACTTTTCAGTGCCTCGATGCAATAAACCAATATGAGGATCTGCACGTACAATTTCTTCACCTTCTAATTCAAGAATAAGACGAAGTACACCGTGAGCGGCAGGATGTTGAGGACCGAAATTGACGGTGAAATTACGCATTCTACTTTCTTCCTCTTCACTCATAGCTATTCATAAATCACATAAAATAAAACACTCAATTTAGAAAATTTCCGTTCTAATTTTTTTTTGTTATGAGTAATATTCAAAATAGTCTTACTTCTAGACTCGTTATCTTCTGTAATAGTAGTAATGGGAATCTCGCCTATAGTTTCTTTGTGGTGAACAGCAGTTGCAAATGTACGTAGTGGCTTAAATGCCTTTAATGGCATGGTACGAGATTTAAAAAGTGATGTGCATATATTTGTATTTGAAATGGGGTTGACAAGTCTACGTGCCCACATTCTCGTAGTAAAAGACATGTTGTATATTAATTAAATAAATAGAGAAAGAGCGGGGAGTTGAAAGAAGAAAAAAAAAATCGATTAATGAACTTTTGATCGTTAAAGTGATAAAGGAAACAATTGTTTATTGAAGTAAAATTAGTTTTTTTTTTTAACTATTAATTTGATTTATCTTCAATGTTACCTTTTTTATTTAAAAAAAAATATGTATGAATATGGGGAACAATTAAATGACTTTCTTCACTAGTTCTCCACATTTTTTTTTCAAACCGGGTGGATTGAGTCCAGGGCGAAATTGAAAACAAAAAAGGTATAGTTAGAGAATGACGCAAAATATCGGAGATCAAATCTGGGTACATTATTGTTGATCCCATTTCAGACTTGCATTACAATTTTTCTTTTTTTTTTGAGTCGAGATTCGAACCTTTGAATATTGTTAAATGCATTGAGCCAAGACAAATATCAACTCCTTGGTCAAGAAATTATACACCTAGTTAGTAAATCTTATGAAAGACGAGCTGAACAACTTTATTTCCTAAAAGAAGATATGATAAAATATTTAGCAAGAGATTACGTTTAATGAGGAAACTACACATACTAAATTAAAGCTTTTGAACATTGTTCTCCTCAAATTGATTTAAACTCTATTAAGCTATTTGAATAATTCTTTAATAACTTGTGTATGAAAGTAAAAAATATGTAAATATACTTGCTGATTTGATTAAGCTGATTAAAAAAAAACCAATAACTTTATTAACAGTTTTAGGAAGATGAGATTTATAGTTGTCAGTAAAACATATAATAAACTTTACAATGTTAAGCTTTAAACATTCCAAGTGATACAGAAAAGATAAACATTATCTTAGCTAATAATTTAACTACTTAGTATCCATTTAGTAAGTAAATGAAGGATAAAGATAATTAGACATTCAATATAAATGTAAAAATAATCTTTCAGAAATAAATTTATTAAACTAAAATGATAATTAAAACTAATTATACACAATGCGTGAGTATAAAAGTAAGTTTATTTTATTAACAAAGATATAAAATATATCTTCGTGCAGTCTTTTGTTATCCTTTTCATAAGTAGAAAAAGAGTTTTAATTGCTGGAACGTAAATTAGCTTTCTAAGCCAAATTTACTCAGCCACAAAAAAAAGCAGACGACGTCACAACGAATAAAACCATAAAATTAAATTTAAGCAGGTAATTTAACCACTAACTGAAAAAAAAAAAAAAAAAAAAAAAAAAAAAAAAAAGGTCTATTATATTGCTTTTTTTTTTTTTTCTTATTGCGTGTACACACGGATAATTAGTTATTATAAAGATTTAAAAATTGTAATTTAAAATTGAGCAAGTATTTCAAAAATATAAAAAGCTAACCATCTTTTTATTTTCTGTATAAAATATAGTTTTTTTTTTCTTTCTTTTATTTATACCTTTCTCTTTTGTTATAAAAAAAGCATTCAACAAAAGAAGAGAGTTTTTTTCATCTTTAGAAGTAAAATTAAAAAACTTTAAGATCAAAAGTAGTAAGTTAAAACAAATGTTGAATAAAAAACCATGTTCATTTGCTTAGCTATTCTTTTTTATAACCTAAAGGAATATTTAATTAAAAAATGAGTGCTTGGCAACCATCTGCTCAAGGTCTTACAGATCTTTTACAACTTTTGCGAGAAGCTATTAATCCTACTGATGGTCATAATGTTCAAGAAGTAAAATATAAATGAAATTAAAGCCATTCTTTCATTATTTATTAACCATTCTTTTGTTATAGAGACTCGAATATTTTAATAAAATTCCTGACTACAACAACTATTTAGTTTACATTTTAACACAAATGCCTCAGGAGGATCAATATATTCGTTCTGTTGCAGGTTTAACACTTAAGAATAACATTCGATCCTATTTCCCTACTATTTCCCCTGAAGTAGTTGAATATATCAAAGATTGTTGTCTTCGAAACATTGGTGATGCTAGTGTTGGCAAACCTGTCAGCATGGTTATAGCATCTATTGTTTCTCGTGGTGGTATTCAACAATGGCCTCAAGTACTTCAAGTTTTATTAGAAAAATTAGATGATCCTAATCCAGTTATGGTTGAGGTAAAAAAAAAAAAAGAAAAGAAAAGAAAAAAAAAGAGTGAGAGACAGAGAGAGGATTTCGTAATTATAAAGCTTTCTTCTACATGTATACTCATTTATGTACATTTAATAGAACGCGTTTAGTACTTTTCAAAAAATTTGTGAGGACTCTTCCCGTGATCTCGATACTGGAATTGGTGGTGTCAAACCTTTAGAATTTATGATACCTAAATTTATTGCTTTCTTTGATCATCCTGATTATAAGATCCGCTTAAGTGCAATTTCATGTGTTTCTCAATTCATTATGCTTCGTTCGACACCTTTGATGACTAGAATCAACGAATTTTTAAACGCCTTATTTAAGAGAGCTACTGATGATAATATTGACGTTCGCAAAGCTGTTTGCCAATCTCTTGTTAGTCTTCTTGAAATTTGTCCTGAAGTTCTTTTGCCTCATTTACCTGATTTAGTTGAATACATGCTTTTCTGTACTCAATCAGATGATAGTGATCTTGCTCTTGAAGCTTGTGAATTTTGGTTAGTTTTTGCTGAACAAGACGATTTACGCGAACATCTTCATCCTTATCTTCAAAAGATTGTTCCTGTATTACTTAAAGGTATGGTTTATTCTGAAATTGATTTGATGACTCTTGGTGGTGATGAAGATGATGCACATATTGCTGATAGTGAGCAGGATATCAAGCCACGTTTCCACAAAGCTAATGTTGTTGAAACTGATGGTACAAATAAGGATGACGAAGCTAATAATGCTGAAAAGAGAAAGACAGGCTTACTTGGTGATGAAGATTCTGATTTGGATGATGAGGATGAGGATGAGGATGATTATGATGATTTTGAGGATGATGAATTTTACGGTGAATGGAACTTGAGAAAGTGTAGTGCTGCTACTCTTGACGTTTTATGTACTTCTTTTGAAGCAGATGTTATTCGTATCTTAATTCCTCTCTTAAAGGGTGAGTTAGAAAGTGAAGACTGGCTTCATCGGGAATGTGGTATTTTGGCACTTGGTGCTGCTGCTGAAGGCGGTATGCAAGAAATTGCACCTCATCTTCCTGATCTTGTGCCTTACTTACTTAATCACCTGAATGACCCCAAGGTAAGTTTAGAATATAACATAGTGACTCCTGATAACAGAAATAATAATAAATCTCTTTTTTTTTCAACTTAATATAGCCACTTGTTAGATCTATCACATGTTGGACTCTTGGTAGATATTGCAGTTGGATTGTTGAAAGCGCTAGACAAACTCCCGATGCCCGTCAACATTATTTTGAACCACTCATTCAAATTCTTTTACAGCGTATTTTAGATAATAATAAGCGAGTTCAAGAAGCTGCTTGTTCTTCCTTTTCTTTACTTGAAGAAGAAGCTGGTGTTGATTTAGTCCCTTACCTTCAACCTATTCTTACAACTCTCTGTAGTGCATTTACTAAATACCAAAAAAGAAACTTGTTACTTCTTTATGATACCATTGGTACTTTAGCTGATGTTGTTGGTGAAGCATTAAATAATCCTCAATATATTGATGCTCTTATGCCTCCTCTTATTAATAAATGGCAAGAAATTGCTGATGATAGTACCGACTTGTTCCCCTTATTAGAGGTTTGTATATAATTCCAGACTTTAAAGTAAGATAACTAAACTATGTAATTTGGAATTAGTGTCTTTCTTCTGTTACAACTGCTTTGGGCCAAGGTTTTAAACCTTTTGCTGAGCCCGTGTATAATCGTTGTGTTGTTCTTGTCTGCAAGACATTGGAAGAATGTCGTTTATGTTCTATGGATCCTTCATTAGAAGAGCCTGATAAAGATTTTATGATTGTTGCTTTAGATTTACTTTCTGGTATTGTTCAGGCCCTCAATAAGGATGCTGAGCCTTTGGTTGCCAATACTAACCCACCTATTGTACAGCTTTTATCACTCTGTATCCAGGTAAATATCAATGAGGATATATTTTGTTGTGATGTTTATTTTATTTTATTTATTTTTTTATTTGAATATGATTAGGATGAAGTTGCTGAAGTTCGTCAATCCACATATGCTTTGCTTGGTGATCTTGCTATATCATGTTTTGAACACATTCGTGCTGTTGTACCTCAATTTATGCCTTTACTTCTTCAACAAATTGACCCTGTAGCTGAGCATGTGTCTGTTTGCAATAATGCTACATGGGCTGCTGGTGAAATTGCCTTAAAATGGGGTAAGTGATATATTCCAAAAAAAAAAAAAAAAAAAAAAAAAAAAAAAAAAAGCTAAAAATTTCAATCTTTTCAGGTGCAGAAATCAGACCTTATGTCGATCCTCTATTACAACGCTTGTTCCCTCTTATGATGAATACTCAAACTCAACGTACACTTTTAGAAAACGTTGCTATTACAATTGGTCGTCTTGGTCTCGTTTGTCCTAATTTGGTTGCTCCTCATCTTGAAGGATTTATTCAACCATGGCTAATGGCACTCACACCTATTCGTGATAATGAAGAAAAATACTCTGCTTTTAGTGGTTTATGTGAAATGATCAAGGTCAATCCTCAAGCTGCTGTTAAAGAGTTCTATTCTTTCTGTTCCGCTGTTGTTAATTATCAAAATGTCCCACAAGATTTGCATGAATCTTTTGCAAATGTAAGTTTTATTAGATTATATATCGTAAAAAAACGTATTATTTATTTGCTCTATTGTTAGATTTTAAATGGATATAAAAATATGTTTGGTGAAACTCAATGGCAACAAGGATTATCATCGATGCCACAAGAAGTAAGAATTCCTTTACAAGAGCGTTATGGTATTTAAATATCAATATAAATATAAAATTACATATTACCAAAAAAAAAAAAAAAAAAAAAAAAAAAAAAAAAAAAGCCATTTTAAAAAGAATAAAAACTTGTCATAATTATACAGTGGTTTTCAATCTAAATTTATTTTCTTAAAATTTGCTCAAATTCAATCATAAAAGTTGATGGATAGACCGATATACTTATTTATTAAAACTTTTATAAACATCATTGACCTGTTTGGGATTATTAGTTAAATTTTTTTTAAGTATTCTAGGAAAGAAAATTTAAAAAGAGATCAAACAAATTTATATCCTTTCATTCAGCAAGCTTAAAATAAGAGGAATTATATTTATAAAGAAAAAGGAGTAAGATGTCATTTTAAACTTTCTCTTAACTAATGCGGTGCTATTGTTATAAATACATACGCATATATATATATATATATATATATTGAACTCTAAAAGGGTAGTAAGAAGACGTATATACTCTATAAAGAAAGATATATTTACATTTACTATAGATTTACAAAACTTAATACAGCCCTAATGGCCCAAAGTTTATTATCCTTCTTAAGAATACGAAATAATAATTATAATTGAATAAAATCCCTTTCAAAGTTGAAACAAGTGAAGATCAACAAGGCAGAAGAACAATAGTTTTAAAGATGGGTTATTTTATTCAAGAAATAATTATGTAAAAATTTGAAGGATTAAGACAAAATTTTAATACTAGAAGATATTTAATTGCGACTGAATAACATATGACATTATATTAAGATATGTAGCTTTCTTGAAAAGTACTAATCTTAAGGGTGTGTGTATCAAATATATTAAAATCCATTTTTACAGGTGTTGTCATTTTTCTATATCTTCTATTAATCTTGGCTTAAACAATAAATGATAATTAGATTTAATTAGTTTATCTTTTTTTTTCAAATATCACAAATATACCAAAGAAGAATATTTAATATAG